AGACATTTTTGTCGAGAAATTGTCCGGATTAAATTGGTTTATATTGTATGCAGTTGGTGAACCACATGTTATTTTGAACGTCGAGATGTCGATTATAACATTAAGTTGTTTAATAAGAAGGTACAGACAGTGGGTATCCAACGAAAGGGTTTATAAGTTTCCAGTTAAGCTCCTTAGTCTGAATATCGCTAGTAATAACATCCAGACAGAAGTCATTGGCCTAATGTTTAACATGTCTGAATCATCGCTTGATTTCTCAGACTTGCAGTCTATTTGCTCGTATCATGCTGTTCAGTTTAATCATATCATACAGCAGGTAATCCCATATGCGATCTCAAATAAAGCCATAACGCCAGCCTATTTTGGTAGATAGTTAATATATATAGAAGGGAGTTTTGTTTTACCACATCTAATACTTAGTATGCTGACTGAAAATATGAAAGTGTAATGTCATCTCCACTGATAACGCACGTTTTGTCCTAATGCAAGGCATCTCAGGTGAATTAGAATCATGCAATGAACCTCGAGGTAACAGTGAAGAGAGCAGTTAGGGCACATGAATAACTGCATGGTAATCTTGGAGACAAAAAACTGCATGCGCGCGCCCTTAATAGCTACAGCGCACGTACAGAAGGATCGCATGTGATCCTCCAAGATCTTGTCTCGCCCGAAGCCGGACATTACGGGAGGGCATTTGTGATATTAAAAAAAATCTTAATTTTCGCCCCCTCCCATAGATATCCTCTTGGAGTTCTGCCCCGGAATTGTGAAAGCCAGAGGGTATAGGTACGATTCCTGTCGAAGGACATGACTTTCGCGATTTTTGCACGTATGAACGTCGCTAGTTTTTTCTATTTCCTTGAACACTGCCTAAGCAGATAATTCTGCCCATGTCAGTCCATGTTGATATCGTACTGGTTCTTTGCAAAGAAGATGAAATTCTTCAAACAGTTTCTTTAAATCATTTGTTCACATGATTGAACACACGCCAAAGCCAGCGTTTATATATTTACTTACAGCAAATGCAAACTATGGAGTATGGGGATTGAATATTCCGATTTCACTTGTAAATAACACGAAATATTGAACAGTCTACAGATCATTCTCAATGATAGCAAGGTGAATTGAATGCCGAAAGTATTAATATTGGCCTTAACGTTTTCGGGTGATTTTAATTGATAAACAAATGAAAAACGACGTAAACAGCCGCTTATAAAGTCGTGTAAAAGCACGGCACAGATGTTTTTAGGCTTGTCTCATTCAGTTAAAAATCACGAGGGCGATAACTTTAGCTACTGATAATGAGTAAGTAGGAAGGATTAATTACAGTTGAAAACAAATACAGTGAAATTTAGATGTTCATTTCCTGTGGCCAAGATTTTCACGAGGTTATTACGAGATATTTGATCAAATACCGACAAAACAATATGTGAATATATCGAAATATAATGATATGAAAGGACTGTTCTTTAGATGGTTCTCGTAGGTATTGTTGTGGATGCCAGAATCTTCTTAAAACCTCATTATGCAAAACAATCTAACATGCAGAGGTAGCCATGTGTGTGCTACATACACTGACCGCCAATGCAGTGAAATGTTGCTCGACTGAATGTTACAATCCCATTGAGTCTAGTAGAAAGCTAGAGAACTTAAGCCTCGATATATGACTTGCATGTAACACACTACCAAACAATTAAAAGGTTTATTTTTGTGGTATTTTACCTAATTTCGTGAAGACCATGCATGTATACATGACATATATATGCAGTTACATGCAATTGACTTGTAGTAATTTAAAACTTCAACAAATTTTCTCCACTTTTCTTTGCGAAGTTTACTTAAGTGAACTTGTATAACGGCGCAAAATTCGCTCATGCAATTTAAATTTTTTTTATCATATATCTATAATTAGATAACAAGAAAGAAAAGGAATATCTCGAAACTTTTAAGTGTTTCCTAAATTGTTGTTTTGTGTTTTGTTCCTTCCTCAATTTGGAAATTTAAATCGATTGTTAGCTTAAAGACAAAAAGTAATCTGTGTGATTTGATTCAATCTTTCCCCAGTTTCAAGTACCTCATGATCATTTATGGAAGTGAAAAAAGATTGGTAAAGATTTTAACAATTATTCAAAAGTGGTTTGAAATGTAAAATCGACTTTGTCTTTTTTTCCCAATTCTTTTGGTTTCCTGCCTAATAATTAGGAGAGATTTGCGATAAGAGATCGAATCTTCCATAAACCAGCTTATTTTTCCCCAATCCGAAATTGCACTTGCAAATATTGTCCAGTTATTAAAGTACATATAGGTTTATTTTCAATTTATGGGCAATATCGATGCTTTTGCGGTAGATAAAGATGAATAACCTTTTAACATTAGCTGCATTTTATACGTTCGTTGGCAAAAACATGTTTTTTTTTCTGTCAAAACAAAGCACTTTATTACTTCTATTGCAATACCTCTCGAAATCTTTTCCAATCGTAAACAAAGAAAACGGAATTTATTGAGGATTGAACTAAAATGGCCACATATATCACCCGCGGGCTATAAGATATGTTTTAGGCTTGCTAAGCTATCATTTTAGCCAGAAAAACAAACCGTATATATAAGCAATGCCTGACGAAGTTCATGCAGTATTGTAATATTAAATATATATGGTACTATATATATAAATATTATTAATTCAGCTAAACTTTTGTTGTCGTACACACAGGCAGTGAACTTAACCCAAAAGTTGGAATAAAGACGGGCTATAGTCCTGGCTTTGCTAGCTTTTAGGGTCACCAACAGCTTGCGAAAACCACATGCTATTATATGAATGACACAGCAAATTCATTTCAAATCTTATACATATGCGAAAAGGAAGCTAGCGTCTGGTATCTATCTGTAATCAGATGCCTGCAAGTAGCCGTTCCGAATGACATGGCCATTCCCGACGAGACACGAGCGAGAGCATGTCTAGGAAATGGTTAATGTATGTCACCTTATATCTTAATCATGATGTCTCAGACTGGTTGGATCGTGTAGTTTTCCTCGGGTTTCTCCTGTGGTAACGCTGACTGACAGAATTACATATAATAGCCTATACTTGGTGTCCGCTTGCCTAAACGTACCTCTGACTCGCCACACATATAGTCCGTTCCCTCGAGTCCAGTTCTCATCTGCGCAGTTTATTTCAACAGAGCATGGATGTATTCAAATCCCACGTCTGCACCGGATACCACTCACATTGCCTTGGATCAATCATTAAGCTTCATCTTCAGACATACGGTCGCCACAAGCCCAGGTGAATTTCCGTCGGGGCACTAAATTAAAACAGAATTAAGTTCTAAACGCATTCAAAGCACACCCTGTGGCTTCAAAGTTATTTTTACAACGCCAGTAAATTCCGTTCGACAAATAAGAGCAAATAACTATCCGAAAGATTAAATATTTGATCATTTCCTGCAGCTTTGAAATAGCTATAGACCGTGGTGTGCAAAAAAGAGCCACACAGCAATAATTGTTTATTTTATAACCGTAGGCAAAGCATGTAAATATTGAAAGATATCTAGGTACAGAAATTATCGATGTTCGTATGGTTTGGGGCGGGAAAGCAATTAATGTTTCAGGCTGTCTTTCGCTGTTAATGAAGAACTACGTTTAATAATCCCTTATGCTGGTTCTAAATGATATAGTCCTCCATAATTTCTAAACTATTCCCTTTAACCTCTTAATTAGCCTTGTTTTCACATACTAGATTGCTTATGACCAGCCGTGATTAATATCACACTCCAGACAGCACTAACGTGCAGGAAACGAACACAAATGTTGATTATAACTCATCGGTCTTATCTTTGCCAATTCAACCAGTGCTCACTTAAATATAGCGATAGTTCAACAGGCAATTGAAAAAAAAATTAAACATTTTGTAGAGCCTGCATGTATGACACGTATAAGATGGAATATGCGACCTGTGCAGTGTCGACCACACACACAATCTTGTAGCAATATTTTGTCCTATGCAAGTGAAGATTGTATTGTATAAAAGGTCTCAAGTACAAGGAATAACTGAATAAGTCTCTTCTTAAATACATACTTCTTAAATAGTATGTATCAATATAATTTAAAACCTATATGAGACATCTTAATACACTTAAATCCAGGCTTTATAAACTCTTGGAATGTCTGGGATAAGGCAGAGCTTTTCTCGAGTTGTAAAATACTTGTTAATCTTCTATAGAGAAAACAATTTAGCATCAAATGTGGTATAACAACTGCCTAAAATAGACAAAACACTTCTCGACGTTTCAACCTGAGGGTTTTGTCAGGACTCAGGAGAGTTGAGAATGTGTTATGTATCAGAAAATCTGCTGGTCTGGTATCTTGCTAGGACATACTGACCAATGATGGTCACATTTGATCAACTGTGGATATTGGACAACACTTAATGTCAATTGGGAATGATGATGGTCACCTAGGGATGATGATGTTAACTTAAGGATAACGATTGTCATTGGGGGACACTGATGGAAAGTCAGTGATAATGATGTTCGTTCATAGGTGAATAGGGATAGTGATTGGCAATTGTGATTGATGATAGTCATTTAGGGACGATGGTCGTCAATTATAGACGCCGGTGGACAAATGGGGAAGGCAGTTGATAAAAATATTTTAGGATATCACGAATGTGTGGTAGTTTTATGCGTTTGGTGAAGCATTTAGTGAAAAAATATTTTAATAAGCGATAAAAATTCGAGGTTTGTCACTAATATGCAAAACAGAGCGTATCACTCTACAGTGTGAGGGGGGAGGGTTGTGGGGAAGCATTTTTCAATGGATCCTGTTTCAAGGATCTAAGAAATATATGCTCAAGTGGTGTCGACATCCACCCGTCTCTCAAAACTGTGGCCCAGTAGGCCACGCAACCCTTACACAGGTGAAACAAACCTGGAACCCCTCGCGATCACGAGACCCAAATTACCGAGAAACAAGTTTGGAAGCTCAAGGTCAAAAATGCCATGAACCTCGACTTTTATTGCTTCATGTACAAGTACTCAATGACATGCATCTTCACGTTAATATAACGGATTACAAAGTGTTACCAGGTGCAAAAATATTTCAAGAATTTTACAAGAGTTTCGTAGTCGAATACACAAATTGTGCATCAACCATAGCGAGTTTTTGTGCTGTCGTAAAGTTTTAACAACAAATACCAATTATACCGTTTGTTTTACTATAAATTCGCAGTCATGAAGATGACTCGATGACGGGCAACTTGCTTCTATTCCGACTGTATTTCGTTTATATTACAACCAACTACAAATCATTTTAGAATAAATAAAAACGTCTTCGTAACGACGTTTCTCGTTCACGGTTAGTTAGTCAAAACAGACATTCCTCACTCCTCTTTGTTGTCGTTTGGATCCTATATTTAAATCTCTTGCCATATTCCGCTGTACAAATCTTCTCTCCTCATTTTTCATTCAGATTTTTTCTCTTTCTTCGCTCCAAATCTTCTCCGAGGCGGGAACCTCTCGTCAGCATCATAATCCTCAACACTTTTCATTTCATTGGCTTTCTTTTGAGCTAATCTTTTGTCAGCTTTCTTCCTGTATCTATTTCTATTTTTTCTGTTCTTTTTTTTATTATTTTCCTTCAACAAACGATTCAAGCGTGGGTTATTCTCGTTCCTTAACAAACCCAGCTTCTTCTGCTTGATCAACCAGTTCATTTTATCCTGTTCGATCATCCAATGCGATACAGGATTCTTTCTTCCTCGGGAGGTATAGTACCTGAAGCAAATAGTAAAATCCTACGAGTTAAAATGATTTGGATCAGTTTTAATATACATAGGATTGCTCTTGCAAAGGTTCTGTCGCTGGGGTTGAAAACAAAATCTAGTTTCATCGATTCGAAGAAACGTGAAACACGTCCAGGCCAGGATTGGCTACGACATAGCGTTAGGAAACTAGTTTTAATTCAAAATTTTACAGAAGGCTCTGACTTTCTTTGCCAAAAGGAGTGTATAATTTTTATTCTTGTTGTGAAACTGTGTATTGCTGCATCTTAAACTCACTGTTATAAGCTCTGAAATGTTCTCTGTTGAAAAGGAACTTTAGTTGTCAGTCTACGGCATTCAACGAGTGATTCACCACTACATGCTTAACTGTTGACATCTGTTGACCAAGAGCCCAGAAAGCTCGTTTATTTCCATGGTTGTTGTTGTTGTTGTTACTGTGTTTTTATTGTTGTTGTTTTATGCGCTGTTGCTATGTTGCTGTCGCTACCGGTTTCTGTCAAGGCTGATGTGTCTCCTGTATTAAATGTTTCCGGCTTGTATGTTTAGCTGTTGTATTGCAGCCTTATTTGTTGCTTTTTCGGTCAAAGGTTTTTCTTGTCGGTGCCAATTCGTCTCAGTCAGTTTTATTTATAGCCTTTCCTTGTGTTGTATCTGTTCATCATGCATTTATCATGCATTCATCGTGCATTCATGCCGGGTGCAAAACATTGCTTGTTTTCTTCCCTACTTTACTTTTGTGGTCAATTCTACTGTTAAAGTTGCATGCATTCACTCCACAAACCTCATATTTGGAATAACTTTTGATCTTGGTCGTTCAACGAACTGCACCGCCTTCGTACCATACCTGCTCACCGCTCTAAACCTGTTTATTCCCTTTCTGCTGAACGATATGAAACGCCCATTTAATACTTCAGACTCGTACATGGTATATGCTTTCTTATCATGCTGTTCTCGCCAAATACACCTGGCTGTGTCGCGTTTCTGAAAACACATTCATTAAACTTGAAACATGGAGTAAATTGTTGCAACATCTGAGTAATAGCAAATTGAAGATAATAAGTAATTTAACTTGTAGCTACACCACGTAAGTATTTAATACTGCAAAGTTTTCGGTCCGTTAACACAGGCCTTCATCAGTGCAATGACCTGAATGCACGGTTAACGTTATCGACTGCCACCATGCAAACGTATAAGAATATTATGAAGATAATAAGTTCACGGATCTCAGTAATAATATTGCATATTATACATCATATTTAGATTAAATACTTAAAAGAAAACAAGGGTTATTTTTGTAGTCAATACGATGCTTAAGCAACACATTAGATAAACAAGAAAACGTGACTTTTACAGTAAAATTATCGATCACTAGCACGAAATATTCGCAATTCCTTGCCAATGTATTTGATTGATTTCTCAAGGGTCTAATCCTTCATCATTTGTCATTCTCAAAGATGCTGGGCTAAGAATATCCAGGAAGTGCCCACTTGTACAAAAAGTCATGTTTTTTTTTTGCATAGTGTAACATCCCTAAGCAAGGTCGCTCGAAAGACCACCGTCAAGTATGGATGCTTAATCAGATTATCTCTGCTTTCTCCCGAGTGCTATATGTTTACTTCATAAAAAATCTAAAACTAGAAGTTCCCGAAAAATCCAAGCAAGAGCATGCCGCAGTATCCTGTGTTTAGATCATCGGGGTTTTTTTTAATGAAAGCAGGATTTTTGTGCACTCCATGAAACATGAAATACGCCCTCCCCCCCTAGGGAACTAGGAAGCTTTAGCAGTGACTACGAGTTCCATTCTCGCGCGTTGTTTGTTTACGCCATCAGCCAAAACTCGTCGAGATTTCGAGTACAAGTTGTTGATTAATTTCGTAGTGAAAAGCCAAACGACTACGAGTTTCGTCAGATGGCGTAAGCAAACGCACAGGGTTTGGCGCGAAAATGACGAATCTTGTACTTGTACAGTCGCACTCGTAGTCACTGCTAAAGCTCTCAACTATTACAATGGAAAGACGCCAGCTAGAGCCCCTTCTCTCAAGAAGAGTACAAAACCTCAATCTGAATTGACTTGCTAAAGATCTTTAAGACCGTGAATTGGTTGTATTTCATTCAGAAACGACAGACTATTTGACTGGGGCCGGTTGTATCAAGCCCGTTCAGCTTAAACGGTGGATAAGTCAAATTTAAATAACACGCTTACATCTCTCTTTAATGAGTCAACTTGAATATTATGCACTGAATATGTAGTTGTAAACAGTATCTTTGTATCGTATATAAAACGATAGACTAAGCTAAACGGGCTTGATACAACCAGCCCCTGTTACTTTCGTCTCAGGACAGGGAGTCCTAATCCTAATATGTTTTAAACCGTGCATAAGCACTTTAGACAAATTTATTATTTGAAGCACGTGCGAATATCGCGCTATAAATCAAGGGGATGAAGAATGTTTTAATTACAAATCTATTGCGTCTTTGAGGCGTCAGTAATTTACGACATTGCGTAAGGATTTAGTGAGAAAATCAGTCCAGTTATCATTTAGAGAACTCGGTGGCTCAGTGTGGGCACTATATGCATTAACCCTTGAGACGTAGGTTGGACCTTGTTGAGGACCCATGACCCTTGTGTGGAAAGAGTCAGTCAACACTCAAGAGAAATTTTGGATTTCTCTGGTACTTTGCTTTCCACAAACTATTGACTCCAGGGTGGGCTTAGGGGATCGTAACTAGCCTTGAGACTCTAGCTTTGCTATCCGTTAAAGTGATGTGAATCAGGTGGATTAATATTTTGATGGTGAAACTCTGGAGTTACCAATTCGCCTGGTTGGTAACTAGAGTAGCACCATCACAATATTTGCTAGTTTATTAGAGACAGTGCACACGGGAACAGCCATGCATGCAGATATGGCTTTTGTAATTCATTTCAACGGCGAGTGAAGATGAAAATAATATGTCGTTTACCTTCGCAATAAGTCGTCCTCGCTTGTCGAAGCAGATGTACCGAGAGGTCGCTTTGCCTCTTATGTGAACTTTACCAAACCGGACCGTCAGAATTTCAAGATCAGCTGGATAAAAAGAAAGAGAGTGATATAGTTTCAAATACCATCATCATTCCGATATTCAAAATGACACAAATAAGTGTTCTGCAGAGGAAAATATATTTCGCATCTTCACTGAAGTATAAATTATTAGAATATAAAAAACAATAGTTGTGTCTAGGAGAGTGTTAATATATTGTAATGTGTGAATTGGATTTGGAAAAGAAACAATTCTTGTCTCGTCGTAACTACTTTAACTTGTGTTTCAACACTTCCTCCAAAGGTACAGTATATCGATATTCTTTCAAAAAAGCCAATCCAGAATGTTCTAATGAGAAAGAACTTAGTCATACACAGTTTATATTTGATTACCACCAGCGGTTTCAAGTGTTTGAGAATTTAAATTTTGGCCAGACATGGTATAGGAAATTACAAATTACGTTACTATTCGAAGATATCTCTGTCAACAGGCATATACCATAAATACAGATATTTATAACACAGCTTTCTATGAGCTGCAAGACGTCTGATTGGCCAAGCTACTTGCAAGTATATCAGCTCATATGTAGAGTGGATAATGAAAAACGACAGTAGTTATTGATAGTGAAGTGAGAATTTGTGGTGATAATTTAATTAAAGTTTGCATTTATTGCAAAGTTTTGGTTATACTATAAAAAAAATTATACCATTCGTTCTCGTCTTATATAGCTGATAGCTCATATTCGACTGAAGCTGATGGTATAACAGTTTAATATAAACACGAGATAAAAAAAACACATTAAAACGTAACCTGGTAACTTTCAGACGAGAAGTCCTCGGAAGTACGGAAGTTCCCACAATGTTCGTGCGAATTTTAGATAAACCATAGACAAAAGCCTATTGTTAAATTGTACATTCTCATACTTAACACGACAGCGTCCAAAGATGATGATTTATAAATAGAATAATTTTAGGTGATAATGAACTTGATGCAAATGAGTCTATACCTAATATCAGTCTATCAGACTGCCTAAAGCAATGCTTAGGATATATTCCCAAAAATAGGGCATCGTTGATGCACGAAGATTGGTTGCGAAAGATTACTGTAAAATCTTTCACTTCCTGTAGTTGCAAGTGGTTGATTTCTAAAAACACTGCATGGTCAGGTCCTTGGTATATAAAAAAGTCGACATTCTTCGAAACGAGTGTGGAATTAAAATCTGATCCGGTAAACAGGTTTGAAGTGTTTAAATCAAGTGACTAATGGACACACCCATAAAAGAGAATAGCTCGAGTAGGCAACTCATTAAGTGAGTCATAAATGAAGGGGCTTTCACAACTTGGGCAGGTTTTACCCCCTGTTTTTATGGGTCATCGATGATGGTGCTTGGGGTCGACCCATTACAAAGTGGGCAGATTTTGATCCGTGTTTTTAAACCCCCCGTTTACATCAATAAATAAAACTTTTTTTAACCAATTTATCCTCCTAGGAGAATCTTCACAAAACTAGTCAGAATCACATTGTATCCTGCCAAAATTTCTGTGACCGCAGCCAAAGAAATTAAATTAAATATTTTTACACCATTTGAACTCTTGGACTATTAATTATGGGCATTGTTTGGCAAGGTTACAGCGCAAACAATCAAAACTCGACCTGATTCAAAACATCGAAAAAATTTCAAAAATGTCAATGATTCACATGTTATATAGCATTTGAGAATTTACCAGCTGAAGATGGCTAGTAAATTGTCCTTGGGCATTTAAATCACTAGTGTTAAAATAGTACTCGATTACTTATTATTTACTTATTTACATGTATTCTCCCCAATTTATTTTCATGCTAACTCTCCTGACGAAGGCCCTCAGGTCGAAACATCGAGAAGTGTTTTGTCTAATTTAGGCAGTTGTTATACCACATTTGATGCTATATTACTCGACTAGTCTGATTCTTTTTGTTGTGAAAAGGATAAGTCTTTTGTGTGCTTTTGGAAACAACGATTTGTCATTAGTTTAACTTTGTATCCGTGTATAATCCTTAGAAGAGTCGTGACCATGGGTTGCCAGTATTCCCCCCGGGAATGTTCTGGGCGTTACGCCGAAAGTATGTCACGGGTTTGACCTTTGTTGGCAAAAGTTTTGATATTTCAAGTTCGACTAATTTATAAGCATATTACTCCCATCAGCAGCAATTGTTCCGATAACAATGTTTACATAGGTGTGAAACTAGTTAATCAAAACATTTAACATTTGTCTGCCCGCAAAGTGCTGAGTATCAAATTATATGGTTGACGCAGAGTTGTTATCTAAACAAGAATGCCGTCTCCTCGACGGACCGTGCACGTGGTCAAGCTGTACACGCTTATAAACTCCAGTGTTTTTTGTGCAAATGTGAAAAAAAAAAAATATAATGTGAACCAAACTATAGACAAGCTTAACTTTCAGGGTTATTATGGAAGATATATCAGAGCAAGGGTGTAGTGGAACAGGGAGGTTACTTGTGTATATATTTTTGTATGATAAATTTCTGCGCTGTTCTAAGGTATTTTTGGTTACAACATTTCACGTCAACCGTCAACTGAATATATATTTTATCGCTGAAAGATTGTGCAACAAAAATTCGTTGCTTCAATGGCTAAAAAGGCGCTTAACTAATGCCTTGATGAAGGACGATTAGGCCATTTATCAAATTAGTTCACCACTGGTCGACATTTGAAAGTATATATAGTCATGCAGCCAAATATAGTCATGCATTCTGCCTCGTCAAGAAAAGGTTGCGATGAAATTAATGAAACTAGTAAATAGGAAAGAAACTTGAAAAATATCGTTCAATTTTAATCACACACTCTGCCCGATATTGAGAGATAATTTTAGCAAGGAATCGTCAAATCGAGTGCATTTGATGGTGAACATGAAGTTGGCAAACAATCTGTTGACTAGAATAAGGGGACGAAGCCGATACCGCTCTCGATTCATTCTCAGCGAGCGTATCTTATTAAAATATGAATGTCCACTATTCGCCCAAGGATCCAAGAGCGCATTTTTATGCGTACTATTCTCCCATCCCTCAAAACAAGTGAACTATCGATAATTAAATTTCCGCGACTAGATAAGGCTGCTGAACTTTCAACAAAGACGATATCGATCATTAAAAACAAGGGCATTACGCCGCCCAGAACGAGGTCGAAACGCCGGAAGAAAACTAATTAGAATAATTTGCGTTCATTAACCGAGGCTAAAGGCTTTATGAGGCATTGTTCTTGATCATCATAAAAGCATGTTGAACTTCCAAAATATTCGCTTTAAAATACTTTATCTAGATAGTTTTAAAACCCAATTTCTTTATCAAGATTGCCATCTTGATCATAAAAGTTAGTTGGCATACACTCGGAATATTTTTAAAATTGAGGATCCAGGGCGGATTTTGCAAGGAAATTTTTTCATCTGACTTTATCTATCATCAAATGTGAGACAATTAATTTACAGACGATTTATGATACTTTAGAGAGGATTTTGTTAAGCAAGCGTTGCGTAAATTTCACAAGTTCTTTTAACGAAACGCGATTATTTCCAGCCGTGATCGCAGATATATAACGCAGACTTTCGTCGACTGAGAAACTATATGACACTGTAGAATGACTAATTACTTGTTTTTGTTTCACAAGAACATGATGTTCAATTTTACTGACATATTTGAGATCTACGTTCGATAAGACGTGATAACTTTATCATTACAATAATTAGGGTCAACCGCGTTTAATAGCATCCTACCAACCTACACACCAATATAAACATTGTTATCTGATCAAAGACGGCAATTGTTTCTCCTGATGTGGGTGACTGGGTGAAAATTGCAATTCCTATGAACATAGACAAGATGCGGAAAAAATATATTTCCCATCTCAAATCGACATTGTGGCGCAAAGCAAAAAATGCTATTAAAGTGTTGCGCATATTTTGCAAGTTAAACAACACTATCTGTATACCTATATATGTACATATATGTACCTATACGTACCATATACATCCCCATCAGCTCCCTGCGCCACAACTTTTCCTTTGGGAGTAACTTGAATAAACTGACCAGTGTTTCTGGAATAAAGCTGAGTCCGGCGACGATTCGGATATTTACTTTTATGCTCATCAGGAGGTGCGTTTTTCAATTTTCGAAAGTGTACATCAAAATTTTTAGTCTAAAAAATGAAGTGCCAAAAATTATAAGAGTCCTTTAACGTGTTAGTATATACTAGAATTTCCTAACTCTCCTGACGAAGGCCCTCAGGTCGAAACGTTGCGAAGTGCTTTGTCTATTTTAGGCAGTTGTTATACCACATTTGATGCTAAGTTGTTTGAAGAACGTCGCTGCCACGCTGCTCCCTGCCCCTGGTTATATTAGAATTTTTTCGGTAGACAGTTTCAGGATAGTGATGGCAATATTATGTGTAAAAAAACTTGATTATGTTTATATTATGATAAACGCGTGTATAATATTATATCGTGGTTATGTTGATAAGAATTCTCTCTGCCGAGTTGAGAACGCACATACGTCCGAATATACAGCGTCAGGCAATCGCATGGACAGGATGAAACTGCAGTGCTATGGTACGTGTGCTTAGAAAATCATCCTGACAAACAAAAATCGCTGAAATTGAGACTCGCGTCAAGAGTACAGGGCTGGCTCGGCAAATTTTTCATGCAAAACTAGCCCCATACGTAAAGGTCAACCTGCCAAGTCGATGCTAAATTCTTTCATTTAAAAAATGACATATTTAGAGCAGACCTATCTTGCACACTTTGGGTGACAATAAGAGAGAATTACTTTGCGTCAGAGATCGAGTGTGTGGCGCTGGCTTACAAGTATATGATTTATGGGACAGACAAAATTAAGCAAATCCCTGACCGTGATAAATTGGATTTTATCTCCCCACTTTTCTCCTTAGTTTGTGGTAAAAGTTCTCTTGGTTTCTTTCAGCGGGACAACGCCGCGAATGGCAGTATTTGAGAGTATCACTTTTTTTACCGAGATTATAAACAAAAAACCCGGCAGAAATAATCTGTCCTGCATGCTTTAGAAAAAAGACAAATAATTACAAAATACTCATTTCACACAAGTATCGTCTAAGAGGGCTCGAAATAACGTCTTTTAAATACACCCGTAAGTAAAGATTTTTTAAATACACCCGTTTTAGTGCTTGAACCATTAAATAAAACTATACAGCTATGCATGTGCGTTGCTATACAAGGATCAAGCCGCTGGAACGCAAGTTACCGATGAACAACAGAAAAATGCCTTGAATAATTGAAATTGGATTGGAATTCTTAAGCAGTTTTCACGGTCAAGCTTTTACGAGTGAGGTGGTTAGCTTGTTGGAGTGTATACATCCCAGCACTTTGCCTGGAGGATTTCGATATTTCCAGGGTAGCGATGGCTTAGCCTCGAATGAACTTGGCTCAGATTTTTATCACACTTCCCTGAGGTGTTCTGGCAATGGTTACTGCATGCGTTTTCAGTTTTGACGCCGCAGATTACCCATGCATGCTTAAAAATCCAGCCAAGTTTTCCTTATATGAAGAATATCGTGAAAAATGGCGAAAACTATGCCAATATTTATGTATTGCGTATATATTACGTAACTCAATTGTATCACATGCACCACGGAATATTACGGAGGAGAAGGATTTGATCCGGTACTTGTGCCCGACAGCGTTGCCACAAGTAATACCTTCCAATCACTTGAAATCATTACGCGTAATTTTCAATTTGAAACGTAGCCACTGGTGTTATAGACAGAATATAGCGAAACCTACTGTTGTTGGTTTACAAGATAAACATTAGCTGCTCTTGACACATGAAATTTGAGGAATCAAAGAGTTTTTTAAACTCGATAAATTGAATTTTTATTGAATCATAAATTGAATCACAACTTCAGCAGAAAGTACGCCGTAGTGTGGAGCCGGTTTTAAGAACTCAAGATCGTTTATTCTTTCGTTTATTCTCATGCATGCTCTGCAACAGTGATCGATAAACGTATCAAAGATATGCGGGAATACGATTTCTATGCTGCCAGCGACGTAAATAGTAAAACTATCAAAGCAGGTCACGTGAATTTTAAATCAACATCTATACCTGTAAGGTGTCTACCGAGAATTCATCTGATGCAATGCTACAATAAAATTATAGGATATATATGTAGTATTTCTTACTAAATGTAATACGTACCATGTCATGGTCTTTTCCTGAGGCAAAGGTGCTTCCAAATAGCCTAGAATGTAGAACGAATATACAGTCAAAGATATGTCGAACAACAGGATATAGAAACCAAAATAGAAACGAAAATAGTTTACAAGCAAAGATTGAGAGCTTCGTATCATCTGCTGGCCACATCATAGCACAATAGATGAACAAGGCTACCCAGAACGTGAATTTGTCTCAAAGGCCGAGCATATTTGTTGGTTAGCTATAGAAAAGTAACTTGAATGATACTTACAGCAGCAAAACAACACCATAGGCGACCGATTCCATGATCCTTTTATAGGTAATCGTATTTACTTTACAACGACGCAGTTATAACGTAAGTCTCTGGATAAAACCTCGTCTCGGAGAGTGTTCTTGAATGTAACGAATGCAACGCGCACAGCTCTATTTATATCGAAGCCTCTGGGCAAAGTGTTTTGGCGTTAAGGAAGTGCTCACAAAATCCCTCCGTAATTTCAAAGCGAGTGTTGAAAGCTGGAATTCTATTTCCTCCCGTCAAAATCACCGTTCGAGCTTGATCGTTATGGCATTAAGGAAATACCTTGTTCACTAAGGGCAGCTCCTTCGAAAGTGCACGCAAGCTTTGCTTTTTTGTTGGCAGAGTTGAACGTCGGTAGCGAATCGCGCTGTTTTGTGAGGTCCACATTGAAGGGTGTCGATAAGTCGTTAACAATTACAGAGATAATTCCATTAGCCATGGATCAAACTTATTTGAGGTGGAGTAATGCACAAGATGACAAACGCTTCTTTCCGGCCAAGTCGAATCATTTTTGACCGATATAGTTTGATCTGACCGAAGCCTTAGCTACGCAGATAGCTCTGACCGTGACTGAACATATTAGAGGTGGAATATTTCGAATAGAATTACAAGCGTTTCTTTCCGGTGCAATCAAGTATCGTGTATAAACAAACCATTTGTGTGCGATGGGATTAATTGATGTAAGCCGAGGCAATGTCAAGCGGCGTGTTTGTGAGAAAATGATTCGGCATAATTTGAAATTAGGAAGTCCGCGCAACGCATAAAGAGCTAGGGACGGTCACGAAATTGTGTGTTTGCCGAAGACAAAGCAACTTTGGTGGCCATGAATGCTAGGATATGTAGCTACTGAGAGTGAACAGTCATCGTCTAATTTGTAGGAAAAGCTACAAGTGCGCGTATCTGTCAACGAGAATTGTTTTCATGGGGACATTACAATCAAGTGCTGCACTTCGTGACTGTATCTGAGGCGATTATAGATCTATAGTTGACTTGTTCCGAGCACCTGTGGGCAATATAATGCATGCTTAGCAAAGAAATCCACTAGACTAGATTAACAGCTAGGCAGACTTTGGTGAAGTACCTTGTTTCCGATGCAATGTAAATAAGACTGGTATTTGCGTCTCGCTCTCGGACGAAATTCTTCATGATGTAACAAAACGGGACGTTTTTCTCATAATTTGCCGGGCCGGGATTTCTTAGAAATGCTGTACCAGGGTACTTGCATTCAAAATATCGCATTGTAACAAATTAAATACCTTCATTTCTATACCACGCGTACTGTGTCTGGTAGCATGCATCAACAGTCGACCTTTCAACGTCGTAATAACAACTTTTGACTCTGAAAAGAAAAAATGTTTAATCATTTAGTTTAATCATAAATTTAATTGCAAAGTCTAAGCTATTGGCCGAAGGGTTCGACTTAATTTGGTAGTAAATAAATAGAGCTTAATTTGGTAGTAAAATTTGGTAGAAAAAGTAGTACATATAGTGCCCATATATGTTCAAAATCTGATCGAGATTTTGACTGAATATTCCCTACTATATTGATACATCACTGGCATTATTCCCTGCTAGTGACGTATGGAAAATTACCTGGTATTGGAAGAGGTAAAAGTTGCAATTAACTTAGCGAGTTGTTAGCTAATGATCTCAGGATGTCACCGGTTAGATTTTTGCCAAAACATAATTAGTTTTGAAAGTGAGGACTGGCAACTTCGCTGCGTGGGAAAATATGGGTGAATTAAACGGATACAATTATCGTTATCGATACCCCGTGTGTTTTGAAGGCAAAATGATGCTGTAATAAGGTTGATATATAGCCTATCTATGTTGCCTTGTAGCTATATGTGACATGATAGCCTAATTTATGAGATATTCTCATCTTATTGTTCAAAACTCAAGTTTTCGAGAGGTATATCTGTATGTAATCCCGTGCATTAATTGTAAAGTTGTTTGTAATCAGACTTTGCAAGCAGCTAACCCATTACTTTACAAGTGGAATGAAGCGTGCTATAAGTTATATGTATGTCTATGGTTTAACGGTTGACAAATCGCCCAAAATACACAAAGAAACTTCCTTGAGTTATATTTCGACTAGCAAGGTCTAATTCGCTTTTTTCATGCCGTATATACTCTCCAGACGAAAGCCCTTAGGTCAATACGAAAAGTTATTGCCGAATATATTTATATTTTAGGCCGTTGAACGAACCAAATTGCCATTAAACAATATTTAAAGAAACAATCGTTTCTTGCAAAGGTATACAGGTTTAATATTCGTGTACTGGTCAACAGAAGGTGCTGGTGAATAATTCACCCACGGCATTGCCTTTTACGGACAAATATAGCCTCTCTCGTGAAGAGAATAATGTACTCTTAGTCTTGAGTTTGACATAATGCATGAGTGAACAAGAATCGCTGCATTAAAGCAGATTTGCGTCATCCCATATTTGCTATCGCATTTTGCTGACGGGGAAAATCGTCTGGCCAAAGCCGAAGTAAAACATTACAAAGTCCTGAAACCAGAGTTATTTCCTGGCTTATTGCCAGTTCACCTGAGTGGGATATCGAAAATTACAGCACCACGCATGATTCCTGGATCAAAACTGTTTTCTGACGGCAAAAGGTGACCTTTGCGATTGACAATGCGTAAGTTAGTTGCTCGTTAATTTCACTCGACCTATGAGGTTTGACTAGACACGACGCCATGAGCATCGCAGGAAATTAATCATGATTAATTCAAAGTATTCACTTAAATATCCACAATCCACGAATGTTTGAAGGTTGGAAAATAACAAACGAATTGTTTGCATGCATTTCAGTCGAATTCACAAGGGCTTTTTTAAGAGCACAACGATTTATGACCGGACAGAAAACGTGTATATTTCGGCTGTTTAACAAAAGATTTAAGTGGTTCGTTGCTTTTTCAGACGTCAGTACAAAAACACTTGAATTTAACCGCTGTGTGGCTTGCTTGGGTTTCTAGGAGAGATATTTAGGTGCTAGTGATCTATACCTATTGAGATCTATACTCATTTCATCGATCTATACTCATATCCATATAGCTACACTTGGAATATAGTTTTAGCTGAATAAAGTCGAAACTTTCAAACTCTACATTCCTTCCTAATGGAATCTAAATGTTCACATGTCATTGGCATAGTGCCGGAAAACTTGCAATAGTTTCACACGGTGCTTCTCAACACGAGAAAATTATATTATTAAATTATTTCTTTTTTTCGTCTCCCCGCGTAAGAGAGGCGCACTTGTCCTAATCTGACTTTCTCACTTCATTCAAAAATAAGTTTATTATTAAAAAAACGAAACTGCAGATAGAATCTTCGAGAGCATTGGTTCCTGGTATTTGAAATTATTAACAGTTTCCGATGGTTAGAAAAGCACTTATGCACAATCATTGATTTCTTTGCACAATACACTTAAATTGTTTGTGCAACAAATTCAGACGAGAATACCAAATCATTTTCGAGTTCCTAAATGAATCGCGGCGGTGAGGAAGTTTGGACTGCCAAGTTATGTCACAAAAGGGTTGCATGTTTCCGAAAATAGACGTATGAACATATTACCTTTTAGTGTATCGTGTTTTGGTCAAAACTTCTGTTGAACACCTCTGAGTGCGTGCCTGGTGTAAAATGATCCCTTGATAGAAACGTGAATAAATAGGACCGTGCTAAGTTTGGCCTCCAAATTTGAACTTCTATTCTATTAAGCCGGATATATCTTTACTGTTATTGAGCTCTGTCGTTTTGATGGACACGCATGCACTACCGCTTGGAAATATTTAAATAACTTCGGAAAATAACTGACGATTTCTTTCCACAAAACTTCGAATTTTCATCAAAGTTTATGTCAATAAAAAACAACTTGTTTTATGAACAAGCGAAACTAACATCTGCATTCACAAGTTGCATCAGGATTTTTAACAAAGCTCTATTGTTTAATCGCGACAGAATGCTGGAAAAATCCTGGAAAGGAAAACAAGAGAATAAATCGAAATTAAAGTGAAAGAGTTGGATAGAAAATACTTTCAAGGATAAATAAATAACCTATATCATGATCACTGAGCAAATTCAAAGCATGAACTTTGCTTGTTCAAAGTTACTTGCTTGTTATCTTCGGAAAGTTGTTTTGCATGAATTCGTTTCACTTGCAATACAGGTGTTATGCCTATGTACATTCATTAAAGAGTAGAGAAATGCAGACCATATGTTGATTAACTCTATATGCATGCATGATATATGGTATATATATACTCAAGTACCGTGTGGGCAATATACTTGATTCGAAAGATCAAAGTCCCATGTTTTCTAATCTTATATCTTAAACCAATTTCCCGAGTTTTAATTAACCTAATTTAAAAAACAAACTTCGTATATACCGAGTCAATGCGCAATGTTTAAAAATACATTGATTACTGAAGAAACCGGCGATTAGTCAATTCTCGTTTTTAAACCATTAATCATACTGTCAATAATTTCTCACCTTCGAGAAGAGCGAGAAACCAACGCCCTTTCCGTTGAGATGAATGCTTTGCAGACGAAACATGTTTTGGTTTTTCTGTTTCCTGTTCGATATTGATGTGTGCAAATCAGAACGACAAAGGAAAATAATATATTATTTTATATACGAGTAAAATCATTAAATTACATTTTTGTTAAATGGAGAATACAGTATCCTGTATATTGATAAAAATGAAAAATATATAGTACATCGTGACGCGCGCAAACGCTGAGGATAAAGAAGTCATGTGAATTGTGAAGTAATCGTTTTGTTGATATGTTGTAGTTCGCGGTTTTCGTATATGTTGAATTTCGCATAACACAACGAATTATGTAAAATGAAAACCAGCCTTAAATGAGCCATTCAATAGATAAGTTATGAAGATAATTCTGTCCTATTATATGAGTTTGATATATAATTATAATTTAGACACGGGTCCTTGATCATTAAATTCATGATCGACCGCTCAAATATTCAAGGCCACCTTTAAAGGCGGTCTTTCACTTGACCGTGTACTTGATTGAATGAAATATTTCGCTTGATTTCCTTTTTAAATAAATGTGAGAGTTCGAGTGTACCGGATTTTTCCAAACCTGTCGTAACTCAAAAGGAAATCAAGTGAACAATTTCGTTTGATCAAAAACTGCCTGGTGGAAAACCGCTTCAATGCGGGGTCGAAGACGTTCCATAAATATGGTCAGTGCATATGACCAGAATCCAGATCTTGTATTTTATTATCATCAGATTCGGTTGAATGCCTATAGACAGCCCCACCTGATTTTAATATTTACCATATTTAAACCAGGGGGGCAGAATAACTAGATTTGAGCAGCTTTGGTTGAAAAATTTGCCGACGCAATAAATCGAGCAGTGTGCTAGTAATATGCAGAAGTCATTTTGAAAAACATTATCTGTACCGCACTAGAACGATGGCGAGGATTTTGAAAGCAGGATATTTCGAGCAGCACGGTTATAATATACTTTGATCTACACTATGATACACATGCACCTGTTTCTCTTTTTAGAAACAGGCTTGGAGTCATATATTGTTACATTGTGCGACGAACTTTTAGGAGCTGGTGGTACATGTGCAGGAGCTGGTGATACACGTGCCGGAGCTGGTACAAAAGCAGGAGCTGGTTGTCGTATTGGTTCAGGTTTAGGTCGTCTTACGACCTTTTCCAGATCTGGTCTGGTAACGTCTCGCAGAGCCATCGAGTCTTCTTTCACCGGAAACCAATCAGTGACGTGAGCGGTATTGTGCGTTCCACACATTGGTAAAATATAGACTCTATTTGTGTCTTCTACGTACACATGCGCTCCACCTGCTGCATGTTCGTAACAATCTTCGATGCGACAAGTGCTCGGCCAGCTACGCCTGCGTCGATATTTTTTATAGAATTGTTTCCACGATCTAAAACCCTCTGGTGGTGAAGAATTGCCAGTGTTTGGGACATTTTTCACTCGAATTCCAGCATCTAAGGGCAACTCGTCAATACTATGAAAAACGGAAAATAGAATTGTGATTACCATACGCCAGACTGCTTTAATTGTAAAGTGAAAAAGATTTAAATCACTTAACGGCTCAGAATTTATTAAATATTCTATTTACCTTTCAATAGGAACAGCAATAGTGCCATAGTTTACAGAAAAGTTTTCTGTAAATCCAGGACTGAGGTGGTATCTGCACATTGGAATTATATAATCAGTAGCTTCATCATCATTTATAATGACATGAGCACTCCCGTCTGTGTTTTTACCACAACCACGAAAACGGCACTTTTCTGGCCACTCTTCCCCTGAATAATATTTCCAATAATCCTTCCATGTTGTAAAACCACTTGGCTTTGGAGCATGTTTATACTGGCTATTTTTTACAACGTCCGTGTTATATAATTCCAAAGGGCTGATCCTATATGGAAAAATTATCCATTATAGCTGATAAAAAGTGTTTCGTTCTTCGGGGAAGGCGATTTTTAATGAATTTAATACAAATTTATTTTTGGAGGAAAATCATGAAATTCAAAGAAAGAAATGTTGGAATTGAAAATATTATGAATGCCACGTCCGTCCACATGCATTGCCTAATCATAATAATTATGCGATTTAACATACGTGTTATATTATATGTCTACGAAAATTTGATAGCCGAGTATCTCATTGCTGTGTTTACATTGTAAAATCGAAAGTAGAATTTTCGTATATATTTATGGCTTAGCTCACTAAGCTCAGCAATGCTGTAACACGTACAGAGTTTCCACAAAGCTAATTTCATAGCAATTTTAACACATATAAATAGATATAGTTTTTATTTAATCAGCTACATTATTCTATTATATCTGTGATATATTATAGTAGAGAATCACAAATTTAGCCGGCTGGAATTCGTTGTAATTCCATTTTTAATCTGTGGACTGGCGTTTAACAGCGAGTCAAAGCAAATTACCGGCTGTTAATCACGACAATATGTACGATATACGAAAATCAGCGTCGGAAAGATTGTAAGATTTACGACATATGCATGCTATTGAATATTAAAATCTTTATTTATTTGACATAGATCATACCTTAAGGTGCCAACTACGAAAGCGTACAACATAAGTATTCATAGGAATACATACCTCATCTTTGTATACGTGATGAATGTTTCTGAATGTTCCAATTTGATATAAAAACTTTGTAGAGGAATTGTTAGTTTAAACAACACAATTTCGAGTGACGCTATGGGTATTCCCCTGTTGTGAGTAATTATGACGTTAAACGATATTTATACCTCGCCCACTCATGACCGCGGACATAACTGCGTTTCATTATAAATTAACAGAGGCCTACAGAGAAAATATGGCAACATAACACAATACTAAAGTTAGGTTAATTTATTTCAGCCAAGGGAAGCGAAATTAAGCCACGTATACGATAATAAAAACCTTTATAGCAAGCCTCAGTTAGCTTGTTCGTATATATAGTGTTCTTTAGTAATATATCCAAGAAAATCCATGCATGCAGATACGGAGTGCTGTTTCCTTGCAAGTTTCATGCAAAAATTGAAATGATTCAAGTTAACGTACGTGTATTGTATTTTTATCCAAAAAAGTATACATTTTACTACTCTAGGCAACTCTCGACACAAGAAGAAGAATAACTATTAAGCATTAAACATTGTATTATTAAAATACTAAGAATGTGTTATTTTTAAATTAACCTTTTTAACTAACACGATGAATGAATGTTCATCTCTTTACAGTCTTTGTTGAAAAAACCCTAATTATATTCATCACTTGATGATGACTCATTTGACAATGACTCATTTGACAATGACTCATCTGATGATGGCTCATTTGACAATGACTCATCTGATGATGGCTCATTTGACAATGACTCATCTGATGATGGCTCATTTGACAATGACTCATTTGAAAATGGCGCATTTGAAAATGGCTCATTTGAAAATGGCGCATTTGAAAATGGCGCATTTGAAAATGGCTCATTTGACAATGACTCATCTGATGATGGCTCATTTGAAAATGGCTCATTTGAAAATGGCTCATTTGAAAATGGCTCATTTGAAAATGGCTCATTTGACAATGACTCATCTGATGATGGCTCATTTGACAATGGCTCATTTGAAAATGGCTCATTTGAAAATGGCTCATTTGAAAATGGCTCATTTGACAATGACTGATTCGAAGATGACTCATTCGACGATTTCTCACTTGGCCCACCACCCTGCTCAAACAATGCGGCCAGTGCATACTCTAAAAATGGCTCATTTGACAATGACTCATTCGACGATTTCTCACTTGGCTCACTACCCTCCTCAATCAATACAGCCAGTGTATCCTCTTCAACATGTTGCCATTCTGTTTCTGTGGGATGGTTATGCATGGGACACATTGGTACAATAAACATTTTCTCCCATATCCCTTCAATTTCTACATGGGCTCCATGTTCTGCAAAATTTGTACAATTTCTTATCCTACAGGTTTCAGGCCAATCACATGTCTCTTCGTAATATTCTTTCCACGAGGAAGCATTGCTTGGCTTCATATCACCAGTTCCTGGGATATTTCTCACTTCATCATCACTTTCCAGCATCACAAACTGGCTAGAATGACCCATGAAAAACAAGTAGAAATTTCGTTTGACCATTCTGCTCTACCGCATACATACATCTTTATTTTTTATTTGCAGAATTGTTTATGATGTACCGCAGGGTGTCTCAAAAAAACACGATATTTTCTTAATGCAATAAATATTGAATCATCACGCAGTTTACATAGCACCGAAAGAGGATCTTTTTGGCGCAAACGTGCAATAAAACTCCTACTAATAAGTTTAAAACTCCTATTAATAAGTTTAAAACTCATACTAATAAGTTTACTTCGTCTCCCGCGTCAAGTTTGATTTCAGATACTTTAAAAATATTTGATTATTTCTTCTGTTGTGAGCTATTGTGAATATGCGATATACAGGTAATTTGTCGTTAAAATAGGTAATTTTGTCCTAACCCCCCACCACCATATTTTTGTCTAAACGTTATATTTCCATATATTTCCATAATCATTAAAAATTTATAATTTATCAAACAGAACTGAAGCGAAACGATTATATTATATTCACATATAATCTGTGGTTTGCATAACCAAGCATTCACTGAATATTTTCGTTGAAACAAAATCGGCTTTATATTTTTTATGTCTAATCACAAACAAAGGTAGCAGCTGTACGTGTCCGACAATCACGAGAGCTACGTAACACACGTATTAATTAAATCCGGTGAATACCCTATACCTTTAATACCCGTAAATGAAACTTTCTATAAAAACAATTGAGAAAGCTCGGGGATTTTATTGGGATGCAAGAACAAGACTGCATGTTAATAAAGTTCTTGGTTAGTTGTTAAAGGTCTTGGTTAGTTGTCAGATACTGTTGTCATGCATAGGAAGATTACGCTTAGCTTTGCAGATTTTAATTGCTATTAATTTTGGCGCCAAGACTCAAGAGTTAACGTATTTGTGTAACTCTAACGGTCGCGCTGTCAAGAAACGTAGAGCAGAATAACTAGTGGTAGAGGAAATTAAGAGAAAATAACAAGCTTAGAAAATGGTAATATTCTAACTATTCATTCCCATCGTACGTAAAATGATTATATGCAGATATTTATTTGTAAAATTTTCAGTAAAGCGTATAAAAACATAGATAAGTTTGTCTCTTTATATAATTAACACTCACTTGCTCATCTTGCGTGTAAACTTTTCCAATACGTTTCCGGTGCTATCAAAAGTGACTTGAGCCGTTAGAATGCTCTGAAGTGATGAAAGCACGCTATAATGACAGACCAACTACACGATAATACTTTAACTGATTCTTGGAAAGTCGCGCGGTGACTGGAACACAGTGACGTCATACTAAATTTTCGACTGTCATTTAAGAAAACAGTTTACGTCATATGTCCATAATTAGAAAAGCAAACAAGTTCTGATACTAATATTTTTCCCAACACACGTCTAACACATCGAACAAAGATATCAGTAAATACAAACACAGATCAGACTATCGCGTGTGGCAACTAAGAAAACAACACTGACGCATGAAAATATAGAGTAAGAGCTGCTTTCCAGGTCCCATATATACATACATATATGATATATATATGCCTTGCAGATTATTTTGCTGCAGATTATGCATACGACAATTTATAACTTCTTTGAGCAAAAGTTTGCATGAACAAACAAGAGTTTATCTTTGAATGATTTACGGGCAATATATTTTGTTTGAACTAACTGGAATTTGATAAATTTAATTCCCTCTATGGTGCAGTCATAGGTTTCTGTCAGTATCTTTGCGTCTAAAATTACGACGAAAAAGTCATAATTTTAGATGCAACGTTTCTCAGATAATCACGCATAAATCCCTGAAATGCCAAGAGGTGTTTCCTTCAACAGAGGCAGTTGTCTCACTCTCCATCGGAATTCTAGTTTCAAGGATGCGCAAGGCAATGGTATCTTTCTCTGCTAGTAACCAATCCTCCACGTGAGCATTGTTGTGTTTTCTGTCACACATGGGTACAATATACACATACTCGCCTTTCCCTTCGACGTTTACTGTTACATGACCCCCTCCATCCGCTGGTTCGGTACAATCTTTGATGCGACACTTGCTGGGCCATTCACATCCACTTTCTCCTATATAGAGTTGCTTCCATGTCTCGTATTTTGTTTCTTTCGGCCTTACATTGCCCGTGCCCTTAAGATTTTTTAGTTCCTGTCCGGAAACCAAGCGCAATGTTCTGTAACTATTGTGGAAAATAATCATTTAATATTCACATGTCGAGTTTGTCCAAATCTTAGGATTTGCGACCACACATGCATTTGGCTTAGTGACTTGGTATAGTACGTGAATAACAATGCACGTCTACAGTCGCCAAGGCAGTCATGTACAAAGATATTTCGCTAACTTCAGATACACGCAGTATCTAATATATGATAAATATATTACCCAAGCTTATATAATTATCTTTGCACACATTATCTGGAGATATCGAAAGTAATGTACAATGCTTACTACACATTGTTTGGTTATACATAACAATAATTTTATAGGTAAAGCTTTCTTCTTTCAATATCAAAGACCTTATACAAGCTCCCTACATCATAATATCATCATTATCATGTCATAATGTCATATATTTCGCTACGAAATAACGGTTATAGTGCAGAAGCGTTGCTATGAATAACATACGTTATATGGCGTACCTCATACTTTCTAATGCGATGAAAATCCCCTATAGAAGGTTTCGCCAGTTCCAAATACCTCAATATATTAGACTGTGCTCCAAGGTTATTGTAGTAAACATATACTGACAGTATTTCTTTAATGACGCGCTAGGTATTTCCCCACAGTCGGCCTATACTACATTTTTGAAAATAAATTAAAGTAAATTCCAAACATGGATTGATCTCAATCTCGTGCATTCTCAGATTACGGAACAAGCGTAGAAGGCGAAAGCGTAACCCGAAACGGATCAGTTCAAGACAAAAAGCGAAAGAACTTTGAGTAAAGTCATCATCAGTAAATCATATCACAATTATATTTATTCATCCCTTCAGTTTATACAGTATATATATAATTACACCAACAATAAATTCAAATACTAAAAACATCTATTTATACAAACTATTACCATATCATATCAAAAATAAAGTTCCCAAAAGATCTCATGAAGGGAGGAGACGGTATAATAATATATTCACATGATCACACACCAAGATTCATTCTCGTTGACTGGTGTTTCGCTTTGGCTCTGCCTTCCCCCAGAGTGCTCCCTTTGCCCAACAGGCTGGGCAACGGTCCCTTGCTTCACAGGTAACCAATCATTCACGTGAGCAGTGTTGTGTTTCTTATCGCACATAGGCACAATATAAACATCACGTTTTCCCTGCACGCGCACATGGCCGCCCCCATTTGCAGGTTCATTGCAATTCTTGACGCGACACTTGCTCGGCCATTGTCGTTCGTCATTCCCCACGTATGCTTGCTTCCACGTGCTGTGATGGCGTCCCGATGGTTTGTCATTACCCGTGCCCGAGACATTCTTCACTTGAGTGCCGGACTTGAGCGATAAATCTCCGCGTCTGAGGAAAATTGCGACAAAAATTTATGTTGTTTATATCGAGCAGGCATGCAAGGGCGTGGTGGTTCAAGAGCAGTTTATCCAAGCTTAAAATTTAAAATCATTTGCATAAGAAGTAGATGCATGTTCACAGGAGTTATCAGACGTGTACAAATTAAGATATATAATCAGAATGATTCTTATGTATAAAACACTTTTCTGTGTATATGGCCTGTGAACACTCGCGAGGCAAAAATAAACTCTGTTGTCTTGAACATAAAATTTTGCAACTTGATCACGTAATAGCAGGTTAATTCCCGAAATATTGCAAGCTGTCTAGTTCAACTATAAATGCTGAATTTTAGTATAAAATATGAGATCAAGTGCAAATATTTTCTCAGATGTATTTTCTCAGACGCGTCACGAAAAGCCTTTGCATTTTTCTTGGAAAGTTTTAGTTTTTCCTTGTCATAGAATAACTAAACAATGGAAGATATGCTTATATCAGAATCCTTAGCGAATTTATCTTCCGTTTAGAGAAGTAAATGTCTTAAAAATTATTTTATAATTATGAAACAATCGCAGGAATAAAGTGAGAAATATAAAATAGATAGTATATATACATACCGGGGCATTTTTCAAGCGACTGCAGTATCGTCTAGTTATTATCGTCGCCAAGTTAATCCACTCAGAATCTGCCTCAAACTAAGGCTGTTCCAAACAAGTCGCACGTTGAATATGTTATATGTAATTGTAAAAACAAACTCTGGGAATTCCCCTTCGCAATAGGTAATGATATGAAAATAGACTGGAGCAACGCCGTATATAGACAGGTGTTCTGAAATCACCTGTTATTGGACAAAGCTCTTGAAAAAGTTTGCTATAGTTCGTAACCCACCAGGGGCGTGGCGTGGCTATCTTCACTGGGGGGAGGGTGCAACTCCCATGTTTTACCGATGAGCACGCAGCGTTTAACCGACCACCTTGCCAAAACTATTGGGTGTTCACCCCCGTACATCCCCCTCTACTCCTCCTGCACATAGGAGCCATATTGCCGCTGTGCTGTATAGCTTGGGCGCAAGCTACACAATTGATGATGAAATGTGATTTACAAAATTGTATCTTATAAAGCATAGTTTCACATCAATATTTAATGTACAACACATTGCCGAGGTTACATTTACATGGAGCTATATAAGAAGCATGTATTAAATTTACTTTAAACAAAAACAGTTTTTAATTACTAAAATAGAAAAGCTTACAATACGGAAACATGGGGAATTTATAAAATTGACTTGCTCGTTACTCGCGAACGACCTTGGTACCCCTTTTCACCCTTTGCGATTTCTTTTTCTCAGGGTGATTGTGGAACGCACACATTGGTATAATATATGAATCATTTGGAGACCCTGCGGTAGTTACATGAGCTCCATCTTCCGCTTTTCTTCTGCAACCCTGTATTGAACAGGTTTTTGGCCATGAATTGACCCTTGAGTAAAATTCCCTCCATGAGGAAGCATTTCTTGGCTCCCTATCACCAGTACCCGGAGTGTTTTTAACCTTGTCGCCGCTTTTCAATGTTTTAACGCGTCTACAAGAAAACATGAAAGCATTTATATAGCAAAATACACCCGTTTACATAGCACGAAAGAGGATCTTTTTTATGCAAACATGCAATAAAACTCATACTAATATAACTTCAAATTTACTTCGCTTCCGGGCAAGTTTGATTTCAGCCACTAATTTTCAGCCACTGAGTTTCATATGAACTCTCCTGACGAAGGCCCTCAGGTCGAAACGTCGAGAAGTGTTTTGTTTATTTTAGGCAGTTGTTATACCACATTTGATGCTAAGTTGTTTGAAGACGCTGCCACGCTGCTCGATCCCTGGTTATATCGAAACGTATCTATATTTCCATATATTTCCATAATCGTTAAAAATTTATAATTTATCAAAGAGAAAGCGAAACGATTATATTATATTCACATATAATCTGTGGTTTGCATAACCAAGCATTCACTGACTATTTTCGTTGAAACAAAATCGGCTATATATTTTTTTTTATGTCTAATCACAAACAAACGGATGTGCAGAAGCGTAAATCCGGTGAATAGCTACCCTATACCATTATATTACTCGTAAATGAAACTTTCTATAAAAACAATTGAGAAAGCTCGGGGATTTTATTGGGATGCAAGAACAAGACTGCACATTAATAAAGTTCTTGGTTAGTTGTTAAAGTTCTTGGCTAGTTGACTAGTTGTCATATACTGCTGTCATGCATTGGAGGATTCTGCTTAGCTTGGCAGATTTTAATTGCTATTAATTTTGGCGCCAAGATTCAAAAGTTAACGAATTTGTGTGATTCTAACGGTCGCGCTGTCAAGAAACGTAGAGCAGAATAACTAGTGGTAGAGGAAATTAAGAGAATATAACAAGCTTAGAAAATAGTAATATTTTAACTACCCATCGTACGTAAAATGATTGTATGCGGGGCCGGTTGTATCAAGCCCGTTTAGCTTAAACGGTGGATAAGTCAAAATTAAATAACACTCTTACACCTCTCTTGAATGAGTCAACTTGAATATTATACAATGAATATGTAGTTGTAAACAGTATCTTTGTATTAAGGTTAAAAATATTTAGTTTGCTTGTTGAATAAAACGATAGACTCGCTTTCTATTTTGAACTTATCCACCGTTTAAGCTAAACGGGCTTGATACAACCGGCCCCAGATATTTATTTGTAAAATTTTCAGTAAAGCTTAAACATAAATAAGTTTTGTCTCTTTATATAATTAAAACTCACCCGCTCATCTTTTCCAATACGTTCCCGGTACTATCAAAACTCACTTGATCCGTTAGAATGCTCTAGCTGAAGTGATGAAAGCGTGCCCTAATGCCAGACCGACTACAACACGATAATACTTTAACTCATTCTTGGTCGCGCCAAGTGGGGACTGGAGCACAGTGACGTCATATCATCGACTGCCATTTAAGAACGCAGTTTACGTAATATGCATGGCCATAATTAGAACAGCAAACAAGTTCTGATACGAATTTTTTCCCAATGTTTGTATATATATATATATATATATATATATATATATATATATATATATATATATATATATATATATATATATATATATATATACAAACATGGATTAATCTCATGCATTCTCAGATTACCGAACAAAAAATTCTGCAAGCGTAGAAGGCGACAGCGTAACCCGAAACGGGTGTATCGAAGACAAAAAGCGAAAGAACTTTGAGTAAAGTCATATCACAATTTAATATCACAAATAGCACGTTTTTATCTTATGCCCACGCTAACCGATCGATATACTTCAACCGCCTAAGTGCTTCCTGGAAAACCACGCTAACATAAGGCCTGGATTGCATTACGTCATACTTTGATACACTTCGTAATATTATTTCGCAATACTTCACGATTACTTTCCGCGCGGTGTCGGCTCCGACATTAAAACTGACTGACTCGAAGTGACAAGAGATATACTGTTCTGCCAGACGCGATTAGTTATGCTGAATGTTACAGGGAATATTACAAACTAAATGTCGCAATTCGTGATTATTGATAATATTATTGATGATTATTGATGATGATTAGTGATTATTGATAATATATTATATGTGCTATTTTACTTCATTGTTGGACTGGTGATATTACATCCATAATGAAGCTGAGTTGGGCACAGCAAAAATCAACTTACGCTATACTCCAACCACATTAAATTTGGTGATATATAGTCGAAACACAAAGTTATTCGTATATTATATACACAGAACATGATTTGTTCTATAAATTGTACTGAAAAAAAAACAAAATCTGCAATTTCATATTATCATTCATTGACCGTCGATCGAAGTTTATCGACGCTTGCAACCACTGAAACAGATACCAGATGGTCCAGATGTGTCTTCCATGTTAACAAGCACAGCCTTGGTGCCTCTCTTCACAGATAACCAATCCTTATTTTGAGCTGTATTGTGGTGCTCACACATGGGTACAATGAAAACACCTGGTTTCCCTGCTACGTGCACATGAGCGCCTCCTTTCGCGTGCTCCTCGCAGTAACTGACGCGACAGGTATTTGGCCATTCACGCTCGCCATCGTCGACATAATACTTCTTCCAAGAGCCAAAACCCCTTGGCAAACATGCGTGAGTTCCTGAGATATTCTGCACACGATCGCCAGCTTTTAAGGTTACCATGTCTTAGCTGTAAAGCATGAAAAATGTTAATGTGCTTCGTCCACTTCAAAGATTTCGAGAGAAAGTCAACGAGATCATGACGTTATATCTATATGGAATTATGAGCTCGTTGAATGGGGTTCCCCATGTCAGAAGACCACCTGTCGTTGTGGGCTTAAAATGTGAAAGCTTGCAAAAACAAATGTATAACATATTACAGTCCAAATGAGAGTGAATGGCAGAAAGTTTACAGCAAACTGTCCACTAAACATGAACCTATAATATAAGAATTTAATTTGGTAGCAAACTGTTCCATATATTGTGATTTCGGGCGATTTTAACAACTGATAAAAATTGCCTCTTGGTATGGCATAAGATAACTAACATGCAGCTCAACATTTGGACGATTTTGTAATTATATAACTGCAAATATATACATCTATAGGTTCACTAGTGTTCCTCTGCAATTTTTACTCGACTTATACCGTCTTTGAGACCTTTCAAGATTATATTTCCACGAAACATTTTAATACTATTGTAATGCCATTTTCAGTCATTTGATCGAATGTGGCGAATCAAGGGATATGCAGTTTAAATAATATACAAAGAAGTAAAATGAGTTAGAAAAAAACAGAATTAACGTACCTGAACAGTGTACTGAAGAACGAATATATTCCTTAGCTTAATTCTCCCAGTCGATTCTTCAAGAAGACAACGATAAAATGAGTTATTCAATGTTGTTATCATCAATAAATTCACAACTTCACGGGGAATTTCCCTTTGTGTTTGCCGTGAATAAATAGATCAAAATAGATCGCACGAGAACTATGCTATACATGGTCAAGGATGTAGAGAAGTATATGCATGCATGACTAATATTAAGTAATTCCGGATCGGACTATTTGTATAAGGTTGTTTTATATCAAGTATCAAGTTAATATGATTGGAAGACGTAACGTGAAAAGGCAGAAATACTTTTGTTTAACTTTTAAAGCCATGCATGGCAACCGTGAAAATTATTTTCAGCACAGAGCGTTAATAAACATTTTTTCAATGTGATTAAAAATCAGCAACTGGTCAGAAAGATATCTTTACTGCGAGGTTATATATTCTAAGAGGAAACGCGAAATTTTTCTAGAAATTATAGAAGTTATCATATGTGCTATATAGGTATTTCCCCACAGCCGGCCTATACTTTGTTTTTGAAAATTAATTCAAAGTAAACTCGAAACATGGATTGATCTCATGCATTCTCAGATTACGGAACAAAAAATTCTGCAAACGTAGAAGGCGACAGCGTAACCCGAGACGGGTGAATCGAGGATAAAAAGCGAAAAAACTTTGAGTAAAGTCATCATCAGTAAAGTCATATCACTATATTTAATATCACAATCATTTATTTATCCCTTCAGTTTATACAGTATGATTACACCAACAATAAATTCAAATACTACAAGCATCTATTTATACAAACTGTTACCATGTCATATCAAAAACAAAGTTCTCAAAAGATCTCATGAAGGGAGGAGGCGGTATAATAATATATTCACATGATCACACACCAAGATTTAATTAATCTTTGTTTCTTGAAACAAAAGTTTCTTACGTGACTAAAATAAGCCTCCCATGCAACTGAGGCTCAGGAAATTATATTAATAAACTGACTGGAAGTGCTACACCTGAACGACCTTCGTACCCCTTTTAACGGGTTGCCAATCCTCGAACTCAGGATGATTATGCCCGGAACACATTGGCATAATAAACTGCTTTTTTGGTGTCCATTTTTTGCTTATATGTGCTCCGTCATCCGCTGTTTTTCGACAGTCCTGCACACGACAGGTTTTAGGCCAGCGTTGGCTCCTTTCTTTAAAATATTTTTTCCAAGAGGAAGCCCCTCTTGGCTTCCTTTTAGTAGTTCCCGGGATATTCCTAACTTCCTGTCCACTGCATAGTGTTTCAACACGTGTACTGGGAAACATAAAAAGATAGAGCATTACGACATGATTGCGCAATCAGTTCTAGCTACAGCGAGGTAAGTGATTCGTGCATGTAAATGCCATTCATGCAACTATTATATACTATATAGGCAACAATTGTCACCAATTATCTGTGAAAGAACTTGAAATGAAATCCAATAAAACTTATATAATCTCACGACGAATTTGTAGTTCATAGCACGCGATTATTCACTATATCTTGTTATACACTAGCAGTCAAAAAGAACTGCTCAGAACAAGTTAAAATACTCTCAAATGAACGTAACTGTCCCTCTAACAATATATACGAGTAAATATAGACTAGATTACATGCTAAGCTATATGATATATTAATATTTTGTTGACCCTCCTTTGGCCTTATAATTGATGACGGCCTTACACCGGCGTGGCATACTTTCTGTTAAGGTGGTAATCTTAACGGTCAAAAGAAATTCATCCTATGGACAGTCTTTACGCGTAAATCATGGACGCTTTATGAATGAATTCCTTTCTTGCATGCACTATCCCCTTGACATTGTCCCACAGATTTTCAATATAGGGTTAAGGTCTTTTGACTGTGCAGGCCAATTTTGGAAGTGTGGCAGGTTGCATTACATTATTGAAATATTGCTTGGAATAAGAGAATTATCCAAAATGCCTATGAAGCTATCTTCTATATTCGCTTCTTTTTTATGAATTTGTATCTAAACAGTTCTTTTTGACCGCTAGTGTACAATAAAAGATAGATTATCACGATTCCTGTTACATACGATAATAGAAAAATTTGAGCAGTTCCTGTTACTTGGTCTTCTTGTTACTTGTACTTGCAGGTGGCATTTTTTGTTGAGAAATCGAAAGAGCGGCCTACATAATTTGTCTATATTTTCAAGATTTCTCTATATTATTTATAACAAAATCAAGTGTCTATCGGGCCAACAATTTGGTGAAAAACAAATTTCGATAAAAAAATGACTACCAAAGGTTAAATTAAGTCGTGTCAAAAAAGCTTCCTTTAACCGCAATGGTCTATATTTAATATGCTGCATCGTGTCTCACTCTAGTTCGATCGTAATGCAATTTTGGCGCTATGATTTCAAATGGAATTAACAAATAAAAGTACATCAATTGATCCCAACAATTGCGCTTGAAAATAAGACAAGTTCAAATACAGTGGGTGACTAATCCTCTCAAATTCTACAATAACGTATAAGCATAGAACAACAAGAAACATGCAAAATCATGCATTTCGTCACTCACTTTGATTGTGACTTTGACTTTGTCCCCTTTTCTTTTTTTCCTGGCATCTTAGTTGTAAACTTGTTAACTGAAGCGCTCCAAATAATAAAAGCGATGATATAGCTAGCAATATGGCGATTATGAACCAGAGGGGTTTTCCCTTGGCCTTGCATAGATAATGAGGCTCATAACAAAGAGACTTGCCGAAATTTTACGGGATTTTAACTTATTATAATTAAAAAGAATAGTATGACAAAATGATGTGAAATATATATCCTGACAATTCATAATATTTTAAGAGATAGAGCAAGAGTTTGCATGTAAACATTATCACACACGATCTTAAACTAAACATAAACACAATCCAAACAATTATCAACTTGATAACATTAAAGTGGAAGTCAAGTCCGTTCTGCGCATAGGTTCTGCTCATAACAAGTGTGGGCCCTCTGATGTGGAAATTGCCTAAATTTCGCATGTTTTTTATTTTTTCTTAACATTAATTCTAGTTCATATTAATTTAGAAGCGTAACAAACCTAAATAGGGTTATTCAGACAGGATATCGTATTTTAAAAAATATTGAAGTTTGAAATGTAAACAAGCCGTTTGTTTACTTACAGACTTGACTTCCACTTTACGTATTTCATTAAAAAAAAAGAAGTTTATAAGTATATTGACTTACTACAAAGCATGCATGAAAACTAAAAAGTTATTCAAAAAGAAAAGAGTGTAGCTACTAATTTGCTGTGCATGAGAAGTGATTGTCAGGCGTAGAATATCATTCTTTCGTTAACGGCAGAAACCTGGCCCACTTGTATCCTCTTCGTCAACACGGGCAGCAATTGTGCCTTCATTGACAGATTGCCATTCATCTTTGTGAGGATTGTTGTGATGGGAACACATTGGTATAATATACACACCAGGTCTTCCATCAATTCTTACATGACCCCCACCGTCAGCAGAATTTCCACAAGACTTTATACGACAGCTAGATGGCCAGGGATGTCTCCTTTCATAAAACCGCTTCCACGTACCTGCAGTTGCCTCGCAAGCACTTGTTCCTTTGATGTTTTGAACTTTTGTTCCACTTTTCAATTTTAAATCACTAAAATCAAGAAATATTTATCATTGTTTAGATGTAGCAGGTTTTGTGATATGTAAACTTGCAAGTCAAGCTAGCTTTTGTTCGATGGCATGCATGGCCTGTGTTTTGTGGTATTACGTATATAAGTTTTGGTAGGTAAAATTTGGTCTTCGTTTCCAATTACTGGATTTTATTATAAGAATGATACCATATTCGGTATATAGAATAAATAGACCGATTAATTTGTATGTTGAATTTATGAATTTGTAAATCAGAAAGCGAAACCAAAAAAACAGCTCGATCAGCAATATTAAATTCGTATGGATGACACGATAGATAAGCGTAACCATTATGAATAAATACAAATTTTTAGCGTATATCTGAGTTTCACGAGGCCATCAACTAATGGCAAATACAAATAAAGTTTCAAGTCCGGACGAACGCTTGACTGCAGCCCAGAATTAAACATATCCGTTTCATAAACGTGGATTGTGAATCGAAGGCGAATGCCAAGTCCAAGTGAAACAATTCGGAACAAATAGATGTTTCTAGATCAGCAGAATTTCTGCATGCATTGCAACTATGAGATTGTATGTTAATACAGCTATACACGAAGCAGGCGCGGATCCAGCCAAAAATCTGACCGTGTCATATAGGACTAAAAATTTCCGGGTGGGTGGGGGAGGGGGTCGGCGAAGGGGCTATGGACCCTGGAAAATTTCCAAATTTTAAACATTTTCTGAGCTTTGGTTCTACAATATTCTTCAGCGAACGTTTAAAAGCGAATATTGTAAATCTCTGTACTTTTATAAAACCACAAACCAATTTTTCGTGAGGTATTTACCGATATTTCATTCACACTCAACATAACGTGAAATTAGCATACACAAATTATTCACAGACTACAGCGTAAATGCAAATTTGTATCATAGTTCGATTTAAAACTTAAAAGTCTTACCTTACAAGGACATTAACTAAGTAAAGATTTTCAGTATTTGTCTCACTCTGGCTTGGGAAATAGCAGTTTAAAAATTGTCGTTGCGATTCTATATTAAACGCGAACGAGCGAAGCCTTTCTTTAGTAATAATTCCATCATGTTGTAGCCTGAAGAGCCATATATTTCCCCTGAAATATGCTCGCTTAGATTTGCTTTTGAGAAATTTCGACGGATTCATGTATTAATGCATTCGATTCAGCCAGGATGCAGCGAACAGACCAATTTAACGTGTTATTTATACACTGTATCCGAGTTCGAAGTCGAGAAGTATCGAACTTTATTGTTTATCATGCTTATTGCGCAATCAAAAACAGGCCACCGTGTCGCACCGTGTCGCACCGTGGCTCACGTGACAAAAGCTTGCCCTGTGATTGGTTTGCTACACTGCACCGTGTCCGAACGTTACTATATTTAGTAACAATTGCGCAATAATGTGCACGCTGACCGTGTCAACTAGTTGCTGTGATCGCAGCTTCGAATGTACGACTAGCTTCCGAACATACTCGGCACAATTCGGCAAGCTTTCGGCGATTTTTATAGTTCAGTGTTAACTGAACAATCATACTATGAAACAAGGAATAATAATTGGGAATTTGTTCCCACTTTTAGCAAGAATTGGTAATAATATGACAACGATAACGAAAGATATTACTGTTATTATTGTTTTAGACATATAGCTGCTTAATTTTGGTGTGATTCAAAGAATTAATATGTACTTCTAAATAATGTGTGAATATTAGATTGCAGATGGGAAATTCTAGATGGGAAAATCTGACCGTGGCTCGAGCCACGTTCGATACGGTCTAGATCCGCGCCTGCGAAGGTTTAACTGGTTTAGCTATATATTTTTTCATATGTATCACAGCCAACATTCCGTAAGTTGTATATTGCATGATTCTCCATACACCACATTGGCGCCAATAAAACAAATAAAAGCGCTGACAAGCAAAACTGTGAAATGATATTCTTATGACCCGTTTTTAAAGATATGCATGTTCTTTAGATAAATAACTAATTTGAATCTTGTGTCACGCAAAGCGTGTAATCCAGATACACGCTAAACACTTACCCGCTCATTTTTCTTCCTTTCCAAAATGAAGTACCTATAGAAATGAAAATAAGTTTGCAATGATTTCAGTGAGAATAACTTATTAATTAATTGCTACAAATCTTCTGACATTATAAGACAGGGTTCTAATGTCTTAGATTGGTTCTGTATTTCTTGGAAATAGCTCAACTGATTCTGTATTTCTTGGAAATTCGCGCTTATTGGGGAGTGGTTTCCGTGGATCAATATTCATGTTGCGGGATTTTCAACCAACTTCTGATGATATACCCACTAATGCATTCAATATTATATCATGAAAACAAAAGTATGAGGCAGAAATGTGACATTTACGAAATTATTGATATGATTCACTTAAGAATGGCTGACTAAACAGTTTCTTTCACAATATGTCCAATACAAAATGTTTAATTTGAAATTGAAAGTGAAAATGTTTTGATGAAACTATATGATTTGAGACTGTAGTATTTTTCTAAAATTTCAGCATGCCTCCATTCGGCTTTTAATGTAAAAATTTCAACATTATACTGCGGATTATGATATCATCTGTTTATATGATATCAACTTAAAATAACTGAAATACTAAAGCTGAAATACATGATCTATTGGGCCTGTACCATAAAGTGATAAATATGACTTGGAAACCAGAATAAACGTACCTGAAAATCGAGGTGAAAAAGATTCTAAATTCTCGTAGTCGTTCCTCCAAGGAGCATAGGCGTTAAAATGTGGTTATCAAAGCTCCCGTTAGCTTAAATAAAAAAGCTAGGGAGTAGGGAGTTCCCTTTGTATGAGTAATGAGGTAAAAATATAGCGTCACAAAAGCCACATGGACAGGTTGTAGTCACATGATCATTATATCATCATGATGGTGCAAGATCTGATCTGATTGTGACACGATAGGACATGATAGGACATGATAGGACATGGTAAGGCATGATAGGACATGATAAGACATGATAGGACATGATAGGACATGTACGGATATAGCTTCTTTTATAGCAACTTAGTTTTAAACCAAGCTTTTTGAAAAGCATAATATAAACACTAGAACGCACAAATGTGACCAAAAAAGTCTTGGAACTTTCCAATTTCCGGCATTGAAGCAAGGAGCTTCCTATTTCTCTTTATTTATAACTGGCACCGTCTTGCAGATTGCATGCCTACATTATATCATCCATGCATAGTGTCGAAGACACAAAAAAGATTAAATATGTCCTATATTTCAGTATATTATAGCTTCTACTTTACTATAAATTAGCTTAAATTTTAAATTTCATTCACATCTTTCTGTCAAATCAGTTAGTTTATCAACTATAGACAGAATAAAAATATAAATTAGTCTTTACTTAACATAAATTGTTCCATCTTCATGCACGATAAAGCCCAAACAGTGTAGCACACAGGACTAGATCAAATATTCAGTTAAGCAAAGGCGGGTTGCAAAAAAACGTCCAGATGTATCTAGATGAAAGCGAGGCTATAATCGGACGCAAGAAGGAAAAAATGTGTGGATATATCTTCAGTATCATCAAAATCAGGAAATCGCACACCAGTTACTGTTATCTTCTATGATTGGGGCCTCCTCCACGTGATTGTCCACGTGCAATGCAATGGTGCCTTCCCTCACTGGCAACCATTCCATATTTTGAGCAGTATTGTGCAGTCTGTCGCACATGGGTACGATAAACGCACCACGTCTTCCTTGAATGTTCACGTGACCCCCACCATCAGCACGTTCCATACACTGGTCGATACAACAATACCGAGGCCATGTTCGTCCGTTGTGCCCGATGTAGAACTGTTTCCATGTCTTAAAACGACTTCCCCGCGGTCTCTCATCGCCCGAGCCTGAAATATTCTTCACCCAATTACCATCTTCCAAGTAAAACTCACTGTTGAGTGTTAAAAAGATTAGAAATTACCGTTTATCGGTAGATTATTGCTGTCTATGATTGATTATCGCTGTCTATATGATTGATTATCGCTGCCTATTATTGATTATCGCCGTCTATTATCGATTATCGTTGTCTATTATTGATTATTGCTGTATTTCCAATCACAGAAGTACTTTATTACTAATGGTTTTTGACTTTATTCAGTCATCATTCTTGGAAAATAAGGCGTCATTTCACATTACAGTAGTTTAGTTCCTTTTGATGCAATGAAATTTAAACCTGGTGATAGTTTGTTGATGAAGATAAAACTAGTTATATTTCAACATCTGTTTAGAATTGTGTAACTGTAAGACGCAATATCAGTATTTCTCATTTATAATCCATTTTAAAACCATGTAATATTACCCTTGCGTTGATAGGAGCCACGAGACACGAGTTATATAACTCACTGTGGATTGCAATTTATAGCCTGACTTGAATGATGGCGTAATTAGCTACACTCCTATGGTTAATAAGTTAAAACTAAAAGTACGGTTTAAACTGCAACAGTCACACTCAGCATCAAGGAAAAATGGTAAATATAATGAATCAGTCAACCTATCATCAAAGGACCTCCTGCTGCTCAGCACACCGGCTTGTGGACTATCACAATATTCTCAATTGAAAGGTCATGAGACGACGACTATATATAGAAACATTCTCCTTTGAGAATTCGAAAATATGCATTATAATCGAAGTCCTCTACGTTTTAATACAAATGCAATTTCAACTTATGTACATCGACATATTTTCATCGACAGGACATCTATAAGTATGAAATTAGATATTTATAAGGCGGTTTGCATACATTTCAGAAATCGAAAGTAAGTTTGAGCACTGCATCGAGAGCTGATATCGATGCTTTACGGTTGGTTTGCTCTACGGGAAACCATTCAATAGTAGTGTAAAATCATTCTCATTCTCAGTCGATTGAAAGAACTATTTCTAACGTGACATTGGCTACCACAATTCTTATAGAAACCTGTCCAACACAGCAGCTGTTTTATTGTAAATTATTTCAGAAAGATCCAAGTCAGCCAATTAAAGGTTTAGATATATCATTATATGCCTCGAGATTTTAAATATGGTTCAGTATTGAAAGGTCGTTTGCTAGAAGTGCATGTTACCTTGCATTCTATCCAATATATGTATACAGTCAAATCATTTATCAATTTATGTAGCTACATTTGTTTAAAAACTTCCTATAAAATATTATTAGAAATGTGTGCTACAGTAAGATATAACATCATAATGTTGAAAAACAATAAGCCTTACATAAACCTACGATACGTACCTCATGTTTAGACGAGAAATATCACGAGAATTTTCTAAACAGAGGCGCGAAGGAGCGTCATCTATTTCACAAATGTGCCAGAGTATTCAAAGTTGATATGATATTCAATATCCATTTTGAATGACGTGTACGTCTGTGAATTTTATATCAGGCAACACCGTATAAGGTGTGCGGTACTCAAATAACAACGGCTGATCATGAACTCGGCTTCCAGGAAGTTATAAACAAGTGCGATAATTGCTTTCAATGATGCTGTGAGTAAGAACACTATAGTGTTATTAAACATAAATTATATTTCACTGAGACATATCATGCACTGAATGAATGTAGAAATAAGAATTCTATAAGTGTAACATACATAAACTGCTCCGTCCCTTTGTTAAAACGACCTAGGTCGATCGAACAGTTTCAACCACGCTATCTTGCATGACTTCTGCTAACGATACTATCCTATTAATCCTAGTAGCATGCAGTCAATAAAATAACAACAATTTAAAGTAGTATGAACTAAGAAACGCATACATGCATTTCAGTCTATTCACTGAATCGTTACATGTAACAGGTTCGGCGTGATCCAGATGTCTCTGGTTCGTACACAGGCACAGCGAGAGTGCCTTCGCGAACTGCCAACAAATCTTCATTCTGAGAATTATTATGAAAAGTACACATCGGAACGATGTATACTTCGTTCAACAATGTATATGAAATTATATACTTCGTTGCCGTTATCTCGTTCACCCATACGTGGGCTCCGCCGTAAGGCATGTTTTCACAATCATACACGCAACAATACTCTGGCCAGACATCAACATGGCCGAGGTAGAACTGTTTCCATGAAGGGGATCCTATTGGAAAGCAAGTATGCGTTCCTTTGATATTTCGAATCAAATGACATCTGCTTTCGAGTTCCACTATATCTAACCTGTGAAACATTGAAAAATGAAGTTACACATGTCTTCACAGCACGTCTGACACACTTGCTGAACGTTTCGCTCGTTATTTCTTTATATCATAACTTGGATAAAGTATCTTACATTTTCAAACAGAAATAAAAGAAACAGGTCTTGGTCTAATAGCAGAAATATTCTTAATGGCGTTGGGTAGTTCAAAACTAAAAGTTACAGCTTGCATGACTGGTAGAGTTCGTTTAATAGATTTCTTCAAATTTGTAGTGAATAAAATCATATGAAGTAAACTAAGTTTATTGTAATCTATTCTCGTCTTATTATTAGCTCTATATACTTCAGTATATCGAGCACTCTACTCATATATGATTCTAAACAAATATTTGGTATATAATATACATTGATTGAAAACGCACTTACCCGTTCATCGTAAAATATACAATATTCTTTGCCAAGATAGTCTGTATAAATGCCAACGCGTCGATTCAAACGGTGAAATATTACCGCCAAGTTTCGGGAAAATCCCATGGAAAAATCCAGATGACGTAATAAACAACAACATCACACTAAAGGGTACATTAATGCACCACTTTGTATGTCCAATGGCTTGTTTATATGGATAAAGTAGTTGAATCCTCAGTTCCAGTCAAATTTGAAACAGAAATAATATGAAATGGGGAAAAACGATAAGAAACGTTTGAGGTAATTTATTGGAAAATATGATAATTATTAAAACTATGTAAAATTACCGCCAAATTTCATGTTCTGGGTCATATGACTTATATTGTCAGTTGCTTCATATTCAAATCGAATATAGTCCTCACTGATTGGCCAACGATTGCGATTTAGCAAACACGATTCTAATTACGTTGGACGGCAACTAATGAGAGCTCAGTATCCAAATACCCGAGTTTGAATAGTGGAACATGAAACCAGCGCCGTGATGACACTTTGGACTAATTCGCAGACGCGTAGCTATGTATGTGGTCCTCATTTACAATCGTACGCAGGATACCGTACAATAACAATTGGCAACAGACAATTCTGGTACGAGTTGTACGAAAGCTCGATCATAGCGCTATTCACCATATGATATATAGTGTATACACTTATGAAAAAATGGCACTCAACCAACGCGATTTCATAAAAGTAAACTTTCATTTGCCAATCGCCATTTTAAAAAGTAATAAAGATAAAATCTAGATAAGATTGCGTCTGTGAGGACCCATGCAGATTACAGATGCGATCTAAATTTAGATTTCAAGGCTCGCAAATCATTAAAATCATCCTTGCAAGCAACTCGCTGTATAAATTTTTGAATCATTGATCTTCTCGCCGCCGTGTTTTAACCGCGGTAACTCCATCGCAAACCGTTGGTTGGCAACGTTCTTGGTCATGTTTTACCTCGCTCAATACCAGGTAATTCCACCGCATCATTAGGGGTTCTTCAAATTTCTAATATTCGAATATTATGGGCCAACAACCGAGCAAAACAGAGGCGATGTTTGTTCATACCTGTTTGTTTAATTTCGCGATCAATTGAAGCGCTCCGTGACCAGTTTTCATAATGAAAACAAGCGTCAGAAGACACAATCTTTGGAGTATAATTCTGACAAAATAAAAGGAAAAAGGTTAGATGCTTTGAAATATTTCTATTCGCTCTCAACAACCGCGGTTTGTGTCTGATCCACCTGGAGGGTGATTGACAAGCGTTTCATCTCTGCTCAGCCGCTTGGAACGAAGGGAACTTGTCGCAAGAATAAAAAAATGCGCGAAATTTTGTAGTTATTGTGATTTTTCCCTCGAGTCGTTCAGAAACAAACCGCGGTTGTTTTCGCTGTCATACTATCACAAACGTATGGATATTTTGGCATATTGTCAGTTAATCCAACCAGAATGCACTCAGAGTTATGATGGCGCGTTTGTAAAATGGCGATTATCGAGCTGAGATAACTACAAGTGATAATTACTTTGTCTCTATACCCTACAGGCAGTTTGTTCGGGTAAGTATATTATAGCTAAGTATTGGCCCCTGAGATGATCAGAGTTTCTTATTCTTAAGCCCAGGACGTGTTTCTTAGTACATGCTCCAGGCGGTGTAGCAGGTCAGTGTATCAGGCTCCAGTCCTTGCATCCTAACAAATTTTCATTTTCTCAGCGTCAATGTATATCTTTTGTTTATTGATTTTTAGGACAAGGCAAGGGTTCCCGATGCGCAGCATCACATTGTTTCTCGTTCTTCTTTTGTGCCTTTCAATAAAAGGTACATTCCTCTTTAAAAACTGCCAGGTTTTCATGTCAAATACGACACGTTTTAGAAATGTTTTAAAGCGTCTGACTGCAAGAAACGGCGAGCGTTCTCTTCTGACAATGAAATCAAATATTAGATAGTAAAATATAACCTATTGCTTTTAAATAAAGGACCGTGCTACCTATAATAAATCACAAACAATGCAAGAGGTATAATTTACAAGTGTTTTGCATTGTTAAAGGTCGCACGATTAAGACCGTATTGGCGAAGAAGGATGAACGACTTGATAACAACTTTCAAGATGATGAAATGGGCAGCGACATGAATGAAAGTATTTCTGATGAGAAAGATGAAATGATGGAAGACGAAGACGATATGACAAAACGTACAATTTGAATATCAATTTTCTTTAAAGAAACAAAGAGGAGTGCGATATAAAAAAAAATGAAATTTGTTGTTTTTCAGCTGAAGAGAATCTTGGAATGCATTACTTTCAAGGAGACGTACTCACGACAAACGATCAAATGGCTAAACTCACAAAAATGCTAGATTCATCGACAGCTGACGATCAACCGCACTCCCGCGCCTTGGTTAAGAATGTTCGCAGAACATGGAGAAAGAAAGTTGTACCTTATGTCATCGCAAAAGGCGTTGGTAAGCGCTGTAACCTAACAACAACATAATTTTAAACCTGATTCACACTTCCAAGAATCCTAACTCTATAGAACTTTTCCAAAAGATGAAGAATCTTTCATGAACAACGGTCCTTTCTTGTGGACAAGGGTGAACAAGAGGTTCAATTTATGATGATTGAGATAACTCTTTTCAATTTAGATAAATTTCGAAGGGGGATTATTGCGGCTGCTATCAAACATTGGCAGAAGAAGACGTGCTTGAAATTCAAAGAAAGAGATGGCGAGAAAGATTACATCAAGTTTAAGCAAAAACCTGGGTTAGTTTATTTTAAATGACCAGAATGAATAGAAAGATAAAAACTAAAAGGAAGTGAAAACAAGAAGAAAGAATGATAAAAAGTAGAATAGAATACACTGAAATGGAATGAAAGATGAATAAATGGACTCGGAAGTAGAATAGGATACACTAAAAAGGGGCAGAGTTACAAAATAGGAGAAGTAAAAAACGGTAAAAATAGGAGAAGTAAAAAATGGAAATGAAAGGAAGGAATGAACTGCTAAATTTTTCCTCTAGATGTTCGTCTTATGTTGGGCGTATCGGAGGAGAGCAGGAACTTATTGTTGGCGAGAAAGGACATGCGTGTCGCGTTGGTAATATCATTCATGAAATCGGTCACGCTATGGGATTCTTCCATGAACAGTCAAGACCAGACCGAGATGAATTTGTCAAAATAAATTGGAAAAATGTTAAACCAGGTAACTAACATAAATTATGTTTGTTATTAGCTCGATTTTACCTGCAGCTGTACGAGATAAATTTGAACCAAAGTGTTGGTGTGAATGCACGAGGGTTTGTGACAGTTTATTTTCAGCTTGACTGTCAACAGAAATTGTCATCGAGCTTACTGGAACTATGAGTTTTAAACGGCTAGAATATATTTTTAATCATTTTATTCAGGTTACAAAGTAAATTTCATGAAGTTTTCCAAACGCATCATCGACTCGAGGGATGTTGTCTATGATTTCGGCTCTGTTATGCATTATCCCAAGCTCATCTTTGGCAAAAATCAAAAAACCCCGACGGTAATCCCAAAGAAACGCGCTAAGATTGGACAAAGAAAAGGGCTCAGCGTTTTAGATATTTTGCAAATCGGGAAACTATACGGTTGCCCTGTCAAGTCTGGTGAAAAGAAAGACGAAGATGAGATGGAAAATAGTTCAGACACTAATATTGATAACGAAATGAACACTATACCTTAGCCTAATCCTTAGCTAGATAGAAACCAGAATACACCTTCTCATAACGACGTCAAACGCGGAAAGGCCGACGTCATAGACGAAGTTTGATTGGCTCCGCAAAACTAACCAACCAATCATACGTAACCTCAAGCGTTCCGCGTTTGACGTCACAGTCAGAAAGGAATATTCTAATTTTGCTTCGGACAATATAATTTAATCCAAGACCTTAAGCGCCGTGTACATTACACTCAATTTATTGGCACGGCACGGCTGAAATAGGTTCCCGTGCCCAATTTTATTAGTGTTCAGGCTACCAAAACAAAGTTCGGGCACAATTAAATAAGAACGCGGGTACCCATTTTAGCCCTGCCCTGCCAATAAATCGAGTGTAGTGTAAACAGGTCTTTAGTTAGCAATTGTTTTACAAAAATCTGTTTGCACCAATTTTTTGCTACAACTTGCTTACAATGATGTTCAAAAGTATAGATTTGTTACAAAATGCTGGAATATAAGTCTTTGTGATAGTCTTGCAACTGTCACAGGGTTGAAAAATATAGACAGTTGATGAGTTGTTGACACTTAAAGACGTCGATGTATATGCAACAAACATGCATATATGAGACATATACACAATAATGTCGAACTATGGTTTCAACTGACAGCTGAAATTCTATGTTCCGCTTGCGTGTTCCACACTTGTAACCGCACTCGTTAAACGAATGTGAAACTTTGGGACACGTGTCAGCAACGGGTACTGATGTTTTGAAATGGAGTAATTACTACTTTTCATATGCAATTTTGAACACACAGACAATAAAACCGCTTTTGAAAACAAGTCAAAATCGTTTGATATATACCCGTTGGTATATACAAGAACAAGATAAGTTTCATAGAGCAGGTAGATTGTCTTGTTTTTGTTCGACCCGCGAGCTTCTTTGAAAAGATTATGAAAGAACTCACAGGCAAATACGCTCGTATATAAACTTGTCCGATACAATTAACATAATGATTACATAAGTCTGCATTTTCGTAGCATACGCTGGTTTCCAAGTGTTTGAATTTCTTAATTGAAAAGCAAGCGAATTATCCTTGAATAATGAATGAGAAAGGATTAAGATCGAATTGGATTGGTCGGATGAAGGAGATGTCAATATGTGTCTTCATATATTGCCAAGCGTCACGGACAGTCTTGCAAAGCGACAGACGCCAAAGGCATCATTTCATGATATTTTTCAGACCGATTTTGTTGCTTAAAACCTGGTTGTGAAAAGGATTTCATCCACCCAAAGTTAAAATATAAAAGATAAATCTACAAGTCCGTAAGGTCAGTGCAAAGAAGGAATAATAATAATATCTATATGTCAATTTTACATAAATATATAATTCACATCAACATCTGCTGTATATATATGGTTTTACAAGTTTTTATTTATTGGACGGATATAACAAGCTGCAATTTGATTCAAGGAAAGTTAAAATTCGTTTCTTAAAAGCATTTCCTAAGTATACCTCGAGGAGTTAAAAGGACACTCGCGTCGCTATAAACCACAAATCGAGTTAAAAATGTGGAGGAACATAAGATTATTGTTCGTAAAAGATCGCAGATGTTCTTCAAAGAATAATCGCAATTATCACAAAGAGACATGGCTCCCCAAAGAATGCATTGGGCCATTGCAATATTTTCCCGTCGATTGTGGTATTATCTTGCAGGCTTCGGTTAAAATGCGGTTGTTAGTTTTGAGAGATTAAGAGATTAATGAAATATTTGACTAAAACTACACAAGAAATCAGTCTCCTGTATGCAAACGTGCATGTTTGCAGGAGTTTCATCGAGAAAATAATTATATATGACTGAATCGCTTGCACCTCTCCCCTCCATGTAAATCGAGTCATTCAAATATTCTATTCTAAGCCGTCGGAAGTCACAAACGCGTGTGAGGGAGACGATTTTATGACGTCTGAGTGCTTCATTTAGAGCCAAATATAAGACTGAATTTGTCCCGAATTCAAGAGGTGAACATGCCCACAATTATTCTATAAAATAGTAGTCGTTCGTGACGTGAATCCTCGCAACGTTTGAAAGCTCTTTGTACAAAATTCTTTGATGGAAAAAAATCACGTAATTCCAAAAGCGTTTTCCAACGAATATTACGTTTGTCTAACAAACAATATCGTGGAGGATGGCCGACGTAGCTTTCAAGGCGAAATACACGCCTGGAAATGATAAATCAAATACAGTTTTCAGAGACTCCCTTTATTTAGCATATGATATACTAACAATTATCACAAGAATTAATATATGTTAAGTAAAGTCTCTTCAAAGCCTACTGATATATATATTAAAAGAGAATATAAACGATACAAAAGAGTTAAGATTCAATCACATCTGAAAAGATCACATTGCTGTTCAATTTAGGAATGTAATATATTTATATTTTATATACGTGATGTTACGAACACACTTCATATCTTCAACGCGCGTGGGAGGATATTTGTTCTGTATCGGGGAACTACTGAAGAATGCACGTTTCACTTGCCTACACAGATCACGTAGAGATATTCAGTAATTGCAAGTCAAGTATCATTAGGGCTTGCCTTCACATCATGTCTGGACATGCAACGATTTCTGTCGTGACTACGTCTTCGTGTACAAATTTACAAGTCTCAGAACACAATTACATAGATTTCATGTAATACACATTAGCACATATTAAGATTAACCCCGATAAGAAACTCGTGCATTTCAAATAGATGCATGGACATAATTCTAATCTACTCGACCATTTTCAACGGGGAAAATCTATTTGCAAGAAAATCTTCAATTTGTTACGTTAGATTATTTCGTTAATGTTTCTATGTTTTTTGGAGATCTTAATCTGACATTTGTACGGCAATTTCAAGAGCATGCAATTACAACAGGTAGACACAGGTAGAGCAAATCATTGCATCATATGACGCGAAGTGTTATGTCACCCCGGATGGGGACGGGCATTTAATATCACATGATTTTTTTTTAACTTTATCACATGATTTTTTTTCAACTTTGCGTTCAACCAATACGAAAGCCTACACGTTAATTTCCACTGAGGTAATGTTTCCATGCAGAAATACAAATGCACAATGGGTATAAATACCAACACAAAAATCATTCTGGCTTATTTGAGGCAGCCACACTTCCTCGGACAAGTCAAAAAAGTGTCATCTGACCTAACTTCATTGGAAAATTTCGGTAGGTTTCAAATATTGGTATACATGAATTCTTTTGATGTAGAAACGTACTCTCTCTGAGGACTGATATTATATTAGAGTACTGTGGTGTTTAATATGGATTAGAATAGATTAAGTTCTGAATCTTTTATTGAACGAAAGTGATTTACGATATCAATAAAAGTATATCAATTGAATATAATCTATTTTAAACTCCCGGGTTTCCTAAATATCTCACACTAATTTTAATATTTTTAATTATTGTTACTTATTCATGTCCATACATAAAAATATCTCTTAATTTTGCATGTTTCACCTTGGATATTTTAGCATTAATGAAACAAAACCTCTCCGCCGATTGGCCACAAGAAATGGCAGTTCTTGTCTACCAAACACGATGTCGGCTGGCAAAAAATATTGAAATATACTTGGAGTAAAATATATGATCTTTAAACCCGAGCTCTGGCAGTAAAAAAACAGACAAAACAAAAAAACTGACGCGATGATAAAAAAGTCAAATTATTTAAAAAAAAACAACAGAGGTGACATTATCGATCATTGCCTATATTCGCTCGTTTTAGATTCGTTGAAGAGCGAAAAAACGAAGCATAATCATCAGTATTTATCAAAATGGGTAAGTTTAAACAAAGTTTCTACCTATTTGCACTTAACTGATACCTTTTTCAAACAATATTTCAATTTTAGCTGTAATCCCTATTTCCTATACCATAATACTTGTAATCTTTATTAATCTTTAATAGTTATAGTCATGCATCATTTGATGTATGTGATTGAAATAAATAATATTTCATTCAAGCACTTATTCAATTCTATTCTGAAGGAATTCGATGATGGATGGATCCTAAGTGGATTACGACGCGACGCTGCTTTAAAACAATTGCAAAATAGAAAAAAAGCGCAATTATTTCGTAATACAAAGATTTTTCGATGAAAACAATACAGATTGGTCGTTTTTATTCCTCGCGTTAACCAGCCACACCAGCGCCAGTTAATTATTAGGGAATTCCGATCCACGACTATTTTGACAACGACGTGAGCTAATAATAATAAGTTCCCTTTCCTAAGCCCTGTTCAATTCACGATTGCGGAAATTGTAACTCCCCCATGCAAGTTCGTTCAAGGACAAACAAGAAGACTGGTTCTATTTTTTGTTCTGTTAAAACTGACGTTATAAGTTTCTCCTTTTCAGTCTGCCTGAATTCCGTTTTTGATTCATTTATTTTCCGCAGACGACTTCTCAAAGACAGCATTGAGTTGCCATAACGAATGTCGTAAGCTACACGAAGTACCTCCACTGGCATGGTCCGCTGAGCTCGCCCGCGAGGCGCAGCAATGGGTGAATAAGATCGCGAGGGCGAACACGCTACAGCACGCGAGTCAGGCTGAACGGAAAAACAATGGCGAGAATATTGCGATGTTTTCAGGAAGGTAAATGATGTGGGATGATATAAGATTTTCGTGAGGGTAACATTGGTACGAGTTCACCTTAACTTGAGTGTTTCCACTTGTTTAGGTTTGATACGGCTGCCGAACAAGCGACGGAAATGTGGTACAGCGAAGTGGAAAAGTTCAATTTCAGAAAGCCCAGTTTTCAATCTGGCACCGGACATTTCTCTCAGGTGAGAAATTTCAGAAAGTTGTGATGCACATTGAGCTGATTCTCACCACCTCTTTCTCAATAACTTCTGACGAAAATATGCCTCGCACTGCCTGCTCAAAGCTTGTTCTCTTCACTCTTCGCTTTCTGACACCCGCGATGACAAGCTTTGAGTGACAACATGTGAGATCTATCTGCCCTATGCATCGTGGAAATATTCCATGAAACGCGGTCAGATTTATGTTGAGTAATAACAGAAATATCTTCAGTCCTGCCAACTTCTATTACCCAAACTTTTCCCAAAATCTTTCGTACAAAAATCCATCTGGAAACTAGCACTTAAACTCTAAAGAGGGGTGCACTTTTATCAGAATTAATCTCAATAACCTGCATATCAACGCAGCTTCGTTGCCATAGAGATAGTCACGTACAAATCATCGAAGTTTTCACGAATAGACAATTAAGTGATTTTGCATACGACTATAACGTAATATCTAACTACAAACTTAAAATTTTTCCTGATTGAATTATGTACATTAATCGAGCGCGATCAGTTTAAGATCTATGTCAAAGATTTCTTTAATGTTCAATATTGAATGAATATTTTTTTACTAAGCCTGGTAGCACAAGGCTCATGGAATGACACACAGCCGTTCAAGGTTCACATTTCGTGCACGTCTCAATGCACCAATGATACGATTTTTTCTCTTAAAATTAACACAAAAAATTCTCACATGACTTTGCTCCTGAAGCGATACAATTAACGAATGCTTGAAGATGAATCAAAATTCATCAGAAATATACAGTTAAAATTAAATTTTTTATGTGTTTTGTAATATGAATTCTCCGGGATCAATATTCTTCTATATTTGCTAAATTGTCGGCTGGATTATCGAATTGTAAACACATTTATAAATACGCGCTGCAATACAAGACACGCGAATGATTGTATGTAAACTAAATTGGAGGATGTTGAACTGACAGGACACAAGCTACGATAGCGGCGGGCAGATGAAACACTTGATATAGACAAAACATTCAGGAAATAAGCGATTTGTTTTTGCCAACGTGGGGAAATTACCATATAAAAACCAGGTTGTAAATTTGAATTACAAAGGACTTGAAACGAGATATCATTTTACAACTGAATAATAAAATGTTGCACGCTGTTTGTTTAATAAAATATTAAAAAATAAATTCATATACTTCGGCGTTGGCTTAAAGACCACGGACGATTAAAGGTAAAGATATGCAATATTTCATGATTCTCAAATGCACAATATATTATATCTTATCATAGTTCATCTGAAGTGCTTATTTTAACCACCCATTTAGACAAGAAAACTCATAATAAATCATAAATAGTTTTTATTTAAATTATTGTGTTCATAAGTGGAATCGCCAGGAGTTAAGAGATCAATTTTCATTTTATGTATATAAAAAACGCTTTTCCGCCTTCATCAAGGTTCTTTACTGATTGATATATATTAAAAGATTACAACAGCCTAAACCACAAGGCTTGCTGACGATTAAATTCAAGCACAAAACGAGAATTAACTTATTATCTGCATGAGCAACAACGCAGTGGTCATTCAGTGAACACAATTGCTTGGATTGCAAAAAATCTTGTTGGAATTTCAAGAAACAACTACTGTATAAGGTTTCCGTGACGTTTGTTACAATCCTGACGTAATTAGTAACATTGATATATCTATATTTTTTAAATTAGTATCAATTATTTGACGTTCGTTAAAGATCTATTGTAAAGACTATATATAAATCTCTTTGTGAAAATGCAAATTACACGGAAAAGTATAAACCTTATGCAGCAAACTTTACGTGATGAGGCGTTATACATCAACGTGCATTTATTGAAAAATGTCGGTGAAGTATACTCCCTCGCGTTTTACGAAGAAAAATAGAAATATTCAAATAATATTTTACTAAAAGAATTGGTAATTTCATTGTGTTCACATGACTTTAATGCGAGGAAGCAATTTTTTTTTATTCAAAGGAAGCGCGTATATAATGTGACACAGGAGAACTTAACAGGAAATAAAACTTTTGAACTACCCCGAAAAAGAAATATATTGTCTTGAGTGTTCTTTGTAAAATGACATGAAATAAGATTTGACAAGAAAGATTGCTTGACGGGTTTCCGATATTCTCGAGAGGTTTTGGAAGCGATGCATAAAATCAAAGATGGACTTGAAAATTTTACTTTGAATGTATTGTGAACTATTGTCCTTAAAAGCTCACAGAGGTTTGCCGTGCTAAATACACGTATATATCCGTGTTGTTTTGGAATAAAGTACACTCAGGTTAACAGATAAACTGCAGCAAAATGAGCTGGCAAAGCAAAGCACAACAGCGTCAATATAAGCTTGTTTTGAACGGAAAAGATCTTAAAAAAATATCGACACAATCTGAGGTAAGCAAAGGCAATACCGCCGTTAAAACGAATATGAACATTTACTTACTTGATATCTTTATACAATTGATAACTCCATCTTTGGTTTTCATCTCAACGAATTCATCATCAAAATTTCAATTCAATCTTCGACAAGAGCCACTGACTCGGCAACAACAATGCGAACTAGACATAACACAAAATAAACGCTCAACGGTAATGCGGATAAATAAACGGCCTATCTATATCCATTGATTGTTTATAATCATTGATAATCAGATATCAATGATTATCTCAATTAGATAGAAAGATGATGACAAAGCATCCTTTGCTGGTGAGATCAGCAGTTATCTAACAATAACTGTCAACTTTATGCTAACAATTTACTTCAAGGTTTTTGACTATGGATAAACGGACTAGGGGTTGTCTCAAGATCTAACTAAACCTCTCCCTTCTTGTCAATGAAGTAATACAAACCTGAAAGCTGATTCAAGAATGCATTGAGAGGCGAATATGGCCTCCCCCCCCCGTCTTGCTTGCCGGAAAAAGGAACAATTACTACATGGAGTTGCGCATGCTATATAGTGCTGCTATTGTTTTGAGCCTATATGTATCCTGTAGGCGACCCACGATTGTCGTCAAGATGTCCCCACAGGATTTCCCCAAATGCCCCCACAGTTTATATTTGTTTATATATAAGCCCATTTCATAACTCGACAAGTTTAGTAAATCTTGTATCGAACGCATTTTGTTTAACTGGTGAATACTTTGCTTGTATATTCAGATTGTTTGGAAGGATTCAAAGGAGCTTGGAATGGCTAAAGCGACAACTCCTGATGGAAGGTACACTTACGTTGTTGGACGTTATCGTCCAGCGGGAAATATGATGGGAAATTTTGAAGGAAATGTCTTTAAAAGGTGAGTGGATATTTTTACGATAAAACCACCAGTGAATTCGAGATTGCACGAAACACAACTGTATTTCGAAGAGAATAGGAGTTGATGAGAGTTGATGAGAGTTGATGAGAGTTGATAGGAGTTGATGAGAGTTGATAGGAGTTGATGAGAGTTGATAGGAGTTGATGAGAGTTGATAGGAGTTGATGAGAGTTGATAGGAGTTGATGAGAGTTGATGAGAGTTGATGAGAGTTGATAGGAGTTGATGAGAGTTGATGAGAGTTGATGAGAGTTGATAGGAGTTGATGAGAGTTGATAGGAGTTGATGAGAGTTGATAGGAGTTGATGAGAGTTGATGAGAGTTGATAGGAGTTGATGAGAGTTGATAGGAGTTGATGAGAGTTGATAGGAGTTGATGAGAGTTAATAGGAGTTGATGAGAGTTGATAGGAGTTGATAGGAGTTGATGAGAGTTGATGGGAGTTGATGAGAGTTGATAGGAGTTGATGAGAGTTGATAGGAGTTGATGAGAGTTGATAGGAGTTGATGAGAGTTGATAGGAGTTGATGAGAGTTGATAGGAGTTGATGAGAGTTGATAGGAGTTGATGAGAGTTGATAGGAGTTGATGAGAGTTGATAGGAGTTGATGAGAGTTAGTGCTCACGAAACTCTAGGTCTTGTTTGAGCTGGGATAACGGTTTTGTCTTTCTGATTCCAGCAAATCAAATGATAAACCAACCTTTATCAAGAAGGCTGCGGAAAAGGCCAGTGAGGAGGGTGGGGAAGAGGAATCCTCCCGTGTTGTTGAGCGGACATGGGGAAACCCAGGGCAACAGCAGACGCGTGTTATCGTGAAAGAAACACGAACCACCACGCCAAGCGGTGGGGTAAAGACGGTTAAAAGTACCACAACTTGGACAACCTCATCCAACGTGAAGCAGACAAATCCGACGAGCGACGGAATGGACGATCCTTCACCTCGGTTCAAATCATTGAACATCTCAGACCACGAAAAGCCGGCAAAACGTCAGGAACCTGCAAGCAAGAAGGCTGACCAACCAGCAGGAGTTTTCCAGCAGCAAGCTCTGAGCTTTCATAACCAATATCGTCGCTTACATCAAGCACCTGACCTCCGCTGGAGCAATGAACTGGCACGAGACGCGCAAGCCTGGGCTCAGAAGATTGCCAGTCAGAATACATTGCGTCATTCGACCTCTCAAGAGAGAAAAGGAGATGGCGAAAACCTGGCTTACTTTGGCGGAAAGTAAGGACGATTATTAGTGCACTTGATTAGGCACAACAAGTTTTCACGCAGCTGGTAAAATGACCTGCTTTGATGGCTTTCTGAAACGTAATTAGAAAAAATTGATACAAAAGGGGAGCTTTTTACTATGCATTATTTGACCTTGATCATAGAAAACCTAGAAGCATTTGATATGCGTGTAGTGGGAAGAAACCTTAAGATTGATTCAAAACTGATCACATCAAACTGATTCAAAGACACGCGAGGCCTCTGATTTCTTAGCAAAGTTGGGATTAACTTAGTCGTCCCGTCATTAAGCGAAAAACTCGTTAGTCTAAAAATCTCTCATCACTCTGTGTTATTTTCAGGTTTGACGAGGTGGGAAAAGACTCAGTGAACATGTGGTATGACGAAGAAAAGAAATATCAATACAGAAATCCTGGTTTTAAGAGTGGGACTGGCCATTTTACACAGGTAAAAAAGAAGTAACGGGAAAACGTTTATCACGTGGATTTCATGTTAAATTGCAATCTAATTTTTCGTTTCAGGTTGTGTGGAAAGGATCGCAAGAGCTTGGTATGGGTTGGGCCAAGTCTGCTGATGGTCGCAGCGCGTTTATTGTAGCCCGTTATCGCCCAGCAGGCAATATGCAGGGCTCGTTTGATCAGAATGTTTCCCCTCCAAGGAAATGAAACGGACGCAATTTACTAACCACAAAATAAAGACATTAATAACTTTTCGTAGCACAGCTTAAACAATCATATAAACATTGCTAGAATGGGTCAAAGACACAGTGTAAATGTAGGTAAAATTCGTGGAATTTACGCTACGGGAATAAATAAATTATGCACCCTTTATGATACATATGCGTAGAGAATTTGTAAACGTTTTTAAACATGTTAGAAGTTTAATCGTAAACCTTTTATCTTAAACGATTACTCGACGAATTCCATACGGTTTTAATTGAGTTACTGTTTCTTTACTTGATTATAAATTTGTAAAGTGTATTTTTCGATTATTGTAGATAGGCCATAGTTTGTTTGCAAAGGTGATATTAAATATCATTGAATTCCAGGATTTGATTGCAAACAATCTATATAAATCTATACATCAAATCTCATTAAGTGCATGCAATCTTATATTTTTTTTGCCTTAATATATATTGGTATCACAGTAAGACAACTCTAATTTATTGTAGTAGTATTTAATAAATAAAAATTGTTTGATGAAAATTATTTGTTTGAATTAACCTGAAGCAAAATCTCAGCAAGCAACGTTGGAGAACGAGTCATATAACGGAAAAGATCAACCATAAGAATAAAATGGATTATTTTGCTATTTATCTGAAATTTAGCACGAAAATTCCTGCTGCGACAATCCTCGACCTCACAACGCAAGGAAAGACATCTTTCTCGCCCAAAATTGTTCGTCTAAAAACATCGAATGCATAGATAAACAGCGCAACTGTGAGGAATAAAAGTCTGTTTTTAGTTCAAGAATACGAGCATTCCAGGTTCTGCCAAGAGAATAAAAACTGCGACAACTTTACACCCATCTTAGACTAAGAAATTCCCGAGGCAAGCTTTGTAGACAAGTATAGGACACGCGTGCATGAGTTTGTTTTTACGCGCTACAGCGGGTACCAATGCAATGGCGTTCGTTCGCTTGACTTGATTTAATGAAAACAAGATATTAATCCCGTCTTGCGACCAAATATTGAAATTCAAACCATTTTATTTGAAATATTTTTGGTCTTTCGCCTCAAAATATAAACATAACCGTGGGAATATCTTATCTCGAAGCGCTGTCGGGAACTAGTGGACAACTACTGCTAAAATATGGCTTAATTCGTGAGTGCTATATGATGGGTTAGTTTGGTTAAATATTTTTGAAAGATTGAGCACGTTTGAAAAGTGTTGCTTTGAAATTCGTGATTAATCATGGGAGTTTGAATGATTTAAAAAGGTAGGTAAAAGTTAATTGTTGTTTTCTAAAGATATTTAGGGTTTATCGAGTAATTATTTCTCGATGATGAAACAAAATAGATCAAAGATAAGTTTTATATACGATCATGCTAATTGAAGCGTTTAATGAAATCAACATGTTACTTGAAGAAGTAAATATAAGTTTTTAAAAGCATTTTTAGTATTTGGAAAAAACTACGATCTCTGGAAACGGTTTTATGATAGACTCAGGACAAAACTAGTTTCATTATCTTTCCTTATAGATCAGATATATACAGTAATGATTTGATTAACTGCGGTAAAATTTGGTTAAAAAAATTATGCAATTTTGCTTCCATCCAATTCCAACATGCAGTTTACACAATTTTGCTTCCATCTTCTCTCAAATTGCACGATTAACAAACGGGAAGAAAGCGTGATTCTTACATGCATGCAGTTGCTAAATACGAAGTGCTAGATCTGAAACGTTCATGTGTAAAACATGACCACTCCCTGTCAACTATAATTGTAATATAATATCTAATCTAATCTTCTGAATTTGGCTTGAAAAATTCTAGACATAGCGTGTGGTACTCGCAAGTATGAGAGTTGAGTACATTATTTTGTGTGGTTTGGTAAACTTTTTAAACATACACACTAGAGGTAAGCATGACTCGTTATTAGGTTTTGTTTAGTTTAAAAAGACATATTTCCTCTGTATGCTTTGCAAAATCCATGGTGCTGGGGCACACGAGCTTCTTTTACATTTCTTCTACAGTTTTTTCTATGCTATTTCTTTCTGTTCTAAGAGGCTGATATATCTTCTCCGTCGAACTTGAACGAAGAAATCAAAGCCTAAATCTTCATTTTCTTCTCATCTAGTAAATGCCGGAATTTATTACGAAGAAAACTGGCCAAGAGCAGATGAATGGGCAGAACAACGTGGGGGCGGAAAGAGAGATGTAATGGAAAATTATTTAGGTAATTGCAGGATTTAAACCTGTTTTATCGAAACTCGCTCAGCCAATAAATATAGAAAGCTACTTCACGGATTCATTGAGCATGATTCACTGAAGCCTGGATAGGACAATGTTTAAACCTACACGTTAAGAGCATCATAAATGCATCATAGCAAGACCGATGGACGTATATTTCAGAAACAGCGCTTGAATGTTCATTGAATTTTCATATCTGCAGATAGTCCAGTGGAGAATACAAATACAGCGCTGGATTCAATGTCTTCTGAAGATAGTCCAGTGGTGAATACAAATACAGTATTGGATTCAATGTCTGACGACCTTCAAACAGATGATAATTTAGCAAACCAAGCAGAAAAGATCGGGACAAAACTATTCAATGTCGTAGACGATAAAGACAGCAAAGCAAGCTCTGGTTTGTGGCCAGATATGAAGGTTTACTACGCATTCAGTCCAAATGTTGGTAAGAAATGCTTTGTTTAGGTTCGTCGTATATTTATGTAAGCCAATATACCAACCCTCGCCCCAAAAATGACAGGCTGAACCAAACTTTCTTTTGATTCTTCAGATAGGGAAGGTCGTCAGGAAGTGAAATCTGTTTTACGAGAATGGGAGGGAAACTCGTGCTTGAAATTCTTCGCTCGAGGTTTACAACCACGATATATCGAGTTTTCATATCATGGAAAGTAAGTGTTACAAGACAACTGAATTGCTTACATCCTTGGGTCAGAAAAGGTTTAAAAAGATTAGGAAAAGGTTTATCAAAAGCGTCTTAAGGAGCCACCTATGACTGTGTCTAAATCTGATCAGGCCAAATGGGAACACATCCACCTTTAAAGATTTAATTTCAGCGTATCAGAATCCATCCATAGAAACGCGTATTTCACTCAGCCTATAGAGTGAATGACTCCTAGCAAAAAGATTATTGCAACTCGTTTTATTAACTGAAGACCATCGAGAATCAATTCAGTAACTTAGCTAGTTTCGTTTTAAGGAATGATGTGCATTTTCTTGCAGATGTTTTGTGGGAGAGGGAAAGTCTGACTCAAAACAAATTATTTCCATCGGAAGTAAAGGAAAGCTTTGTTCACGAGGAGCGCTTTTGAAAGGCATTGGACAAGCAATTGGTGTGAAGAACCTTCCTGATGTGTACAAAAGATATTTTGGACCACAAGAAACCAACGTTTTAGGAGCGGAAATAATTGGAAGAGCGAGAACCTTGTACAATTGCGACGGTGAGTGAGATGTAGTTAGCATTAGGTTTCTTGAAAGACGAAGGGTCTCCCAGCAAACGAAGAAGTCTTAGGCAGTTTGACCAGTAAAGCCTAAAATATCTAAACAGTGAGTCACTTGCGTTTCTTGTGATCACTAATCTCATTCTGTTTAGAAATGCCCGTTGGTCAACAAGACGAGGGAGGTAAGATGGATTATTTTACTACAACATTGACACAATTCACGTTCTAAAAGCCCGCCTTTCGTTTGCATTTTCACATCGAAAAGCTATGTTGTAAGCATTGGACTAATTAATAGATAGAAAACAAACAATTAAGAAACCTAAGTGCTTGATTTGATTTGGATAAACAATGTTTTTCATAAGATCTTACAACACTACCTTTCCAAGAACTTTTGCATTCTTCTGATCAAGGTGCTCAAAAATTAAGTTTTCAAAACCTTACAAATTCTAGTCAACTCGTTTGCACAGGGTCCATCAAACATGCCATATATTTCCTTATTTACAATTTAGACACCCCAGCTGACCTCTTCTATCAGACCTGTTTCAACGACATCAACGAAAAGCGAGCCAAAGCTGGTGTAGATCCGCTCAAATGGAGAAACGATCTCGCAGACCAAGCACAAAGATGGGCTCAACATCTCGCCGATACGAACAAGTTGGATAAAGACCCAATGGCGAAGAAATTCAATGAAGGAGAGACGCTAAGTTGGTCGAAACCAGGTTTAGATAAATGCGAGGAAGAGGAAGACGACATGTGTTATTCTTGCCGTCAGGCCATCAATACTTGGTACAAAGATGAAGATTTGGACAGTCCTGACGAGTCAGAGAGAACAAACGATGCATATTCTCAGGTATAACAAGCGTTTTCAACGCTTCTTTCTGTCGTCTTTGAGATTTCCTCTTTCCTTGAACACCCAAGCGTTTTCCTTGATTTTGCAAACGAATACTTCATTCAAGATGACCTCCAGTTTGGCAAAAGAAGTTGGATTCGGTAGCGCCGTTAGCAACAAGTATGGACGGATTGTGGTCGCGAGATACAGACCGCAAGACGAAGCTGGAGTGTCCGCGCCGGACGATGGGATGAAACAAGAGGAAACTTCGAATGAAAAAGCAGATCCTTCAATGGAACAATCAAACGAGGAAGTTTCTGACGAGCCAGGTAATGTGCTACACGAATCTTCCTTTGATGGATGCGAAAGAGTGAATCATTTATTGATGTTCAATAGGAGTTCGTTCACGACAGAGCATTCGTAACTTATAACTCGTTCACATCTATCAAAAGACGAAAATCGCATATAAAATCGCAGCAAAATTCGCATGTATAAACGAATCTTTAGGAAATCATGTAAAGAACAAGGATTAGCATGAAATTTTCTTGACAAAAGGTGGCAACCTTTTTTCTATCGAGAAACCATGTTTTAAATCTGAAGGCGTACGATCTTTTGAACAAAAAAAATACAACTATCTGCCAGAACATACACTAAGGATTTCTGAGCGTTTTTCTCTACGACTGTAAAGAGATGTCCTTCCCAGAAAAATTGCACATCTAATTGCTAATCTTAATCATTCTGCGAGTCTTGAAATTAACAAGATGGAAATTCTTAGATTTCTTCGGACAAGATTGTTTGCATCAACACAACGTTAAACGTGTGAAGCATGGATCACCGCCGCTGAAATGGAGCCCAAAATTGGAGAAACACGCGAAGGAGTGGGCGAAAAAACTTGCTGCAATCGATACAGTTGAACCGGATCCTGATGCAAAGATAAAGTTCAACGAAGGAGAGAATCTTGGTTGGATTGCTCCTGCGAAACCAAGGTGTTTGTTTGAAGGACAACAAGACTGCTACACATGTGAAAATATCGTCGATCATTGGTACGAGGAAATCAAGAATTATGATTTCGAAAAAGGGATGTCTTTCAATGAAAAACCCGTCCATCATTTTGTACAGGTAATTTGATGAGGCTGATGCTGCTGGTTTTCATAACAGCGATGAGTATAATTCATGGTTACAATGATAATGATGAATGACTTCCCCCACTCTTCCCAATAACCATAATGTAGTTTGTTGTAATGTATAAAGACGAATTTACTTTATCCACTATAGATGATATGGAAGAAGAGCAACGAGCTAGGCGTCGCCACGGCAGAAAGTCCCACACGTGGCATGATTCTCGTAGCGAGGTACAATCCTCGAGGTAATGTTGAATCGCTCAGCGATGACACAGATGCTGACGAGTACAAGGAGAATGTTAAAGCAGCAGGTATGTCAAACGTACTTCGTTACCTTACGTCAAGTAAGACCAAGCCACGTAAGCATAATATTGAAGACTGCCAGTAAGGTACTTGAAAACATATTGTGTCGAGCTGGAGTCTCAACAGCGCACTGCCAATGGCAGTAACATTACAATATCCAAGTATCTTTGCCAGAACTATTCTAATATCATTTTAATCTTCTATTCATTTTCTGTTTTCAAGATACGCCACTGATCAGTTCAGGAATTGTTGGTGGCCAGAAAATTGCTTCAAATTCAGTTGGTCTTAAACCACCTAGTGCGTCTACTGGTAGTCTTCTAACGCCCAAACTTGCTAGTACATCTGGCACACCGCCCACGAGTGGGGCTGCCCCTGCTACCACTGGTGTCCCCGCCACTGCTAGTGTTCCTGCCCCTAAACCTACTGCAGTCACATCTAGTACACCAACCACTAGTGGGGCTGCTTTCCTGCCCCTAAACCTACTGCAGTCACATCTAGTACACCAACCACCAGTGGGGCTGCCTCTACTACCACTGGTGTTCCTGCCCCTAAACCTGCTGCAGTCACATCTAGTACACCAACCACCAGTGGGGCTGCCTCTACTACCACTGGTGTCCCTGCTACCACTGGTGTTCCTGCCCCTAAACCTGCTGCAGTCACATCTAGTAAACCAACCACCAGTGCGGCTGCCCCTGCTACTACTGGTGGGGCTGCCCCTGCTACTACTAGTGGGGCTGCCTCTAAGCCTGCTGCAGCCACATCCAGTAAACCAACCACCAGTGGGTCTCCATCCCCTGTGACCAGCAATCCAGGTGTTGGAAACACACAACCTGGCATATCTCTACTGCTGAGACTCCGAACCGAAGATAATAGGTAACGATATATTTCATAAAGCCTTTTTTAACAACTAACTACTAACCTCACTAACATCACCAGCTGATTTCGAAAATCGCAAATACATGCATAGGAAAATATTGTTATGATCCATAAGCAATGGTGTATGTATGGGGAAGATATCAAAATTTAAATTAAGGTGGTCAACCTGATGGCTTCGTTCAGGGCTGTATTGCAGCCCACAACACTTATCGACAAAAACATGGGGCGCCACCTTTACAATGGAGCATGGACCTGCAGGTTCGGGCTCAAGCTTGGGCCAATCAAATGGCAGCAACGGGAATGCTCGATCACGACATGAACGGAATCAAACAATTTAAAGACGGCGAGAACATCGGCTTTTCTATCAATGCAAAACACAAACCACTTTGTCAAGGAAGTCCCAATCCAAACTGTTACCACTGCAGCGAAACAGTCCGTTCTTGGTACAAAGAAAGTCGAAATTATAATTTCCAGAAAGGAAACAGTGCTAATGGAAAAACCTATCTCCATTTCACGCAGGTGAGCATTCAAAACCAGTCTAAATGTAACTAACAACCATCTTATATAGAGGTACATTGAAGTAAACACGAAGAAGATACACCAGCAAAACTCATCGTTTTTCTTTGAACAAAGTCCAAAACACAGAGCTTATTCTACAGTATTTTCCTCCATTTCGTAGCTCGAATGGAGAAAGACAACCCATATGGGCGTTGGTGTTGGAATGCGAAAGAACTATGTTCCAAATAACATGGGCCAGCTGCTGCCAGTGTATGAAATTTACACAGTTGTAAAATACTCACCAAGAGGAAATTATGGCTATACAAAAGATTATTTAGAGAATGTTAAACCAGGTATGTTTCGTACTTCTTTTTAATTCAGTTTTTTAGTTTAGCTTTTTAGTTTCGTTTAGTTTATTACAAAACAACATCTCACAATCTTAAGACTGAATTACATGTGTTGGATAAATAATTTGGAATATAGTATAGAATATCAATTTATGTTTCATTTTTATTAACCAGAACTAACACCAAATGCTTGTGTCTCAAGATTTGCTTTCGTAAATTCCTATTGATATAAATCAACCAGCAAGGATTTAGAAGAAAATTAACAAATAGATTCAAATACCATTCAAATAATATAATATATTCTAAAAACAATATAATAAGATTATTTATGTTGCAGCATCTTCGGGTTCACCGGGAACAAAACCTTCGGGTAATACTCCGAGCACTAGTACATCAGGAGCCAAGCCTGCTGGTGTCACTGGAAGTCCTGAACCTAAACCTGCAGGCGTCACTGCAAGTCCTGGACCTAACCCTGCTGGTGCCACTGGAAGTCCTGGACCTAACCCTGCTGGTGCCACTGGAAGTCCTGGACCTAACCCTGCTGGTGCCACTGGAAGTCCTGGACCTAAACCTGCTGGTGCCACTGCAAGTCCTGGACCTAAACCTGCTGGTGTCACTGCAAGTCCTGCACCTAACCCTGCTGGTGCCACTGGAAGTCCTGGACCTAAACCTGCTGGTGCCACTGGAAGTCCTGGACCTAAACCTGCTGGTGCCACTGGAAGTCCTGGACCTAAACCTGCTGGTGTCACTGCAAGTCCTGGACCTAAACCTGCTGGTGTCACTGCAAGTCCTGGACCTAAACCTGCTGGTGCCACTGCAAGTCCTGGACCTAAACCTGCTGGTGTCACTGCAAGTCCCGGACCTAAACCTGCTGGTGTCACTGCAAGTCCTGCACCTAACCCTGCTGGTGTCACTGCAAGTCCTGGACCTAACCCTGCTGGTGCCACTGGAAGTCCTGGACCTAAACCTGCTGGTGCCACTGGAAGTCCTGGACCTAAACCTGCTGGTGCCGTTGCAAGTCCTGCAACTAAACCTGCTGGTGTCACTGCAAGTCCTGGACCTAAACCTGCTGGTGCCACTGCAAGTCCTGCAACTAAACCTGCTGGTGCCACTGCAAGTCCTGCAACTAAACCTGCTGGTGCCATTGCAAGTCCTGCAACTAAACCTGCTGGTACCACTGCAAGTCCTGCAACTAAACCTGCTGGCGTCACTGCAAGTCCTGCAACTAAACCTGCTGGTGCCATTGCAAGTCCTGCAACTAAACCTGCTGGTGCCACTGCAAGTCCTGCAACTAAACCTGCTGGTACCACTGCAAGTCCTGCAACTAAACCTGCTGGTGCCATTGCAAGTCCTGCAACTAAACCTGCTGGTGCCACTGCAAGTCCTGCAACTAAACCTGCTGGTGTCACTGCAAGTCCTGCCTCGCCCACTCCAAACACGCCTGCAGTGCAGCCGACGACACAGGGTCCAAACACTCCTGCAGTGAAGCCCACGACACAGAGTCCAAGCACTCCTGCAGTGAAACCTGCAACACAGAGTCCAAGCACTCCTGCAGTGAAGCCCACAACACAGGGTCCAGCCACTCCTGGAGTGAAGCCCGCAACACAGAGTCCAGCCACTCCTGCAGTGAAGCCCACAACACAGGGTCCAGCCACTCCTGGAGTGAAGCCCACAACACAGAGTCCAGCCACTCCTGCAGTGAAGCCCGCAACACAGGGTCCAGCCACTCCTGCAGTGAAGCCCACAACGCAGGGTCCAGCCACTCCTGCAGTGAAGCCCGCAACACAGAGTCCAGCCACTCCTGCAGTGAAGCCCACAACACAGGGTCCAGCCACTCCTGGAGTGAAGCCCGCAACACAAGGTCCAGCCATTCCTGGAGTGAAGCCTGCAACACAGGGTCCAGCTACTCCTGCAGTGAAGCCTGCAACACAGGGTCCAAGCACTACTGCAGTGAAGCCCACAACACAGGGTCCAGCCACTCCTGGAGTGAAGCCTGCAACACAGGGTCCAGCTACTCCTGCAGTGAAGCCCGCAACACAGGGTCCAAGCACTCCTGCAGTGAAGCCTGCAACACAGGGTCCAAGCACTACAGCAGTGAAGCCCGCAACACAGAGTCCAAGCACTCCTGCAGTGAAGCCCACAACGCAGGGTCCAGCCACTCCTGCAGTGAAGCCCGCAACACAGGGTCCAGCCACTCCTGGAGTGAAGCCTGCAACACAGGGTCCAGCCACTCCTGGAGTGAAGCCCGCAACACAGGGTCCAGCCACTCCTGGAGTGAAGCCCACAACGCAGGGTCCAGCCACTACTGCAGTGAAGCCCGCAACACAGGGTCCAGCCACTCCTGGAGTGAAGCCTGCAACACAGGGTCCAGCTACTCCTGGAGTGAAGCCTGCAACACAGAGTCCAGCCACTCCTGGAGTGAAGCCTGCAACACAGAGTCCAGCCACTCCTGGAGTGAAGCCTGCAACACAGGGTCCAGCCACTCCTGGAGTGAAGCCTGCAACACAGGGTCCAGCCACTCCTGGAGTGAAGCCTGCAACACAGGGTCCAGCCACTCCTGCAGTGAAGCCTGCAACACAGGGTCCAGCCACTCCTGGAGTGAAGCCTGCAACACAGGGTCCAGCTACTCCTGCAGTGAAGCCTGCAACACAGGGTCCAGCCACTCCTGCAGTGAAGCCTGCAACACAGGGTCCAGCCACTCCTGGAGTGAAGCCTGCAACACAGGGTCCAGTCACTCCTAAAGTGAAACCCGCAACACAGAGTCCAGCCACTCCTGCAGTAAAGCCCGCAACACTGGGTCCAGCCACTCCTGGAGTGAAGCCTGCAACACAGGGTCCAGCCACTTCTGCAGTGAAGCCCACAACACAGGGTCCAGCTACTCCTGCAGTGAAGCCTGCAACACAGGGTCCAAGCACTCCTGCAGTGAAGCCCGCAACACAGAGTCCAGCCATTCCTGCAGTGAAGCCCGCAACACAGGGTCCAGCCACTCCTGCAGCGAAGCCCACAACACAGAGTCCAAGCACTACTGCAGTGAAGCCCGCAACACAGAGCCCAAGCACTCCTGCGGTAAATCCCACAACTCCTGCAGCACCAGCCCAAGGTACACCAGCAGCACAAGCCAGCAATCAGCCATATGACTTCAACAAAGATTGTGTTACTTCACACAACAAGCTACGAGCAGTCCATGGTTCCCCAGCTCTGGCATGGAGCAAGGAACTTGAAGTTCACGCTCAAGAATGGGCAAACCACTTAGCAAACCGAGACATTTTCAAGCACGACATTGCTGGACTAACAAAATATCAAGAGGGTGAAAACATCGCATGGTTTATGGGAAAAGATAAGAAATGTGCTGGAAAGGTGACCAGTGACTGTTACACATGCGGTTCAGCTGTACAATCCTGGTACAATGAGGTCAAGGATTATGACTACCAAAAAGCCGATGCGAAGACTCCTGGCAAACAAGTACTTCATTTTACGCAGGTATGTTCGGTTCGATGATGATGTTCAATAATGGTTTTCGGTGCACACTAAAATTACAATTGGTAAATAATGATTTGAAAGATCTTGCTCTCGTAATTTCATTTCCTATTACCAGGTGGTTTGGAAAGCGACAACACAAATGGCGATTGCCACAGCAGTAAGTCCAACAAGGAAGGTCATCTTTGTTGCCAGATATAAACCGAGGGGAAATTTTGGCAACAAGCAAGCGTACATTGATAATGTTACGCCTCCTGGTAAGCTGTTCGCATAGTAGCAGACTCTTCAACGACTGAGAATGATATGAACTTCGAAAGTCGTCCAACGGTTATAAAAGCTTTCTAACATACTAACACACTAATCTGCCTACTTGTATAAAAAACCTTTTTCCGCAAATACATAAAGTTCTCGTTCAGATGCATGGTTTTACAGTAGTTCAGTTGGTTTTACAGTAGTTCAGTTGACAGTTTAGTGTTTAGTTACAGGTGTATAAATTTGATTTTGTCATTAACTAACTGTAACAGGAACCCCTCTTCCAAAACCACCACCAACTTCAAGTAAGCCGTACAACTTCAACCAAGACTGTGTTGACACTCACAATAAGCTACGAGCAAGCCACGGTTCACCGCAGCTGGTTTGGAGTCAAGCTCTGGCAGACCACGCTCAAGTATGGGTCAACGATCTCGCAAAACGCGATGCTTTTGAACACGATATCGCTGGCTTAAACAAATATCAGGAGGGTGAAAACATTGCCTGGTTTATGGGTAAAGGAAAAGTATGTACCACAGAATTGACAAACGATTGCTATCCGTGTAGCAAAGCCATATTCCCATGGTACAACGAAGTAAAAGATTATGATTTCGCAAAAGGAGGGCCAAAGACAAGTGGAGCACCTGTGTTACATTTCACTCAGGTATTTACGCCAAGTCATGCGCGCTGATGTTGCACGAACTTTTATTTTGGTTCGCAAAACCGCCAGTCAAACTTTGCGTCGAGTTTGACGTCATTATAAGGAAGGCTAGTACGTTTATCATTTGATAAAAAAGTAAATAATTCTACAGAAAGCTTCATAAAAAATCTTACCTCGTATTTGTTATAGGTCGTGTGGAGAGCTACGAAAGAATTGGGTGTAGCAACTGCCATTAGTCCAAGCAAAAAGATCATGTTTGTCGCGAGATACAAATCTCGGGGCAACTTTGGACATAAACAGGCGTACATTGACAACGTCAAGCCAAAGGGTGAGAAACTACCAAAACGTAAATTAAACAAGATTAACTACTTGTAGAAAGGTAAATACAAGATGCTAAACTTTGGAGATGCTTTTATTATGATTTCAGGCACACCAGTCTCAACAGGTGGAGGTACTACCCCTGCCCCTTCAGCTACCCCCACCACGGCGACAGGAACACCTGCAGTTACCCCTAAAACCCCTCCAACCACACCTGCGGCTGGTGCTTCTCTTCCAAAACCACCACCAACTTCAAGTAAGCCGTACAACTTCAACCAAGACTGTGTTGACACTCACAATAAGCTACGAGCAAGCCACGGTTCACCGCAGCTGGTTTGGAGTCAAGCTCTGGCAGACCACGCTCAAGTATGGGTCAACGATCTCGCAAAACGCGACGCTTTTGAACACGATATCGCTGGGTTAAACAAATTTCAGGAGGGTGAAAACATTGCCTGGTTTATGGGTAAAGGAAAAGTATGTACCACAGAATTGACAAACGATTGCTATCCGTGTAGCAAAGCCATATTCCCATGGTACAACGAAGTAAAAGATTATGATTTCGCAAAAGGAGGGCCAAAGACAAGTGGAGCACCTGTTTTACATTTCACTCAGGTATTTACGCCAAGTCATGCGCGCTGATGTTTCACGAAGTTTTAATTTGGTCAGCAAAACTAACGGCCAATGAAACTTGGCGCACCATCAGGCTTTCTGCGTTTGTCATAACCATAAGAAATATCTATCACGCTTTTCATTTGATAAAATAGTTGGATAATTCTACAGAAAGCTTCATGAATAATATTACCGCGTATTTGTTAATAGGTCGTGTGGAAAGCGACAAAAGAGTTGGGTGTAGCAGCAGCCATTAGTCCAAGCAAAAAGGTCATGTTTGTCGCGAGATACAAATCTCGGGGCAACTTTGGAAATCAACAGGCGTACATTGACAACGTCAAGCCAAAGGGTAAGACACCAACCAAAACGTAAATTAAACAAGATTAACTACTTGTAGACAAGTGTTAAACTTTTAATACAGTAACTTTCAATTAAACTTTTAAGGTACAACACCCGCGCCTTCAACCGCCACTGCAACTAAACCCACCTCTGCGGCGGCGGGGACATCTGTGGTTGCTTCCAAGCCCGCTACTGCTACCGGTGCCTCTGTTTCTACACCTGCTGCCAGTACACCTGCCGCTTCCACTTCACCTGCGGCCACCTCTGTTGCCCCTGGCACACCTGCTGTTTCCCCTAAACCCCCTGCAACCACACCTGCTGTTGCTCCTAAAATCCCTGCAACCAGTCCTCCTGCCACACGTGCTGGTACTCAGCAGACTGGCACCATTGCCTCAGATGCACCATCCACAACCGGTATTTATAAAACCATTCTCAAATCAAAATCACACCGAAGCAAAATCAGACAGTCGCTAGCTTTACGAATTACCATTTCTAGATCTGGACTACTTTTTGAATGATTGCTTGCAAAAGCACAACCTGCTTCGAGCGAAACACGGAGCAGCTCCGCTGACCTGGTCCACCAAGCTTGCCGCAGACGCAACAAACTGGGCGGAATATCTTGCCTCGTCCAACAAGATGGAACATGACTACAAAAAGCTTGGTGAGAAGGGAGAAGGGGAGAATCTCGCCTGGTTAACCCCTGTGCAACCCAAGTGCTCTCAATATGGTCAAACGAATTGCTACACGTGCAGCCAGATAATTGACACGTGGTACAAAGAGATAAAGAATTATGATTTTAACGCCGGGAAATCTACACAAGGATCAATCGAACATTTTGTTCAGGTATGGTTTGTGAGCTTCAAGTATTATATCCGCAAAAACCAATTGCAGAAAGACTGCACATTTGGATTGAAATGAATAACCTTGTCTGTGATCTAGATTGTATGGAAAGGGACCCGAGAGATCGGAGCTGGTACTGCAATTGGTGATAAATATGGTCTTATTATGGTGACAAGATACAAATCAAGAGGAGGGGAAAGCAAAAATCCCCAAGAATTCATTGATAATGTGAAGCCGATAGGTAAGAACGATATATCTTAAAGATTAACACAAGTTTTCTATTTGAATTACTGAACCACGACAGTGTTTAGGCGTCCGTTTGAACAAGTAAACAAAACCAACAGCAGGCTAAAAAAGCTTGCTGGAAACAAAGAGAAGGAACGTATTTTGATTAATTAAAATAAGCATTAGTTCAAAACAGCACGTACCAGAGCCTAAACTCATACAATACACCGCTAACATGGCCTTAAACCATTGTTTTCATTTTTACAGGCAGCCCTACTTCGCCAATAGGTAAGAGAGAAATCTGTGTTAAAATTTTTAAGGACTGAAATCTTTCTTTGCCATGAAACTTAACATTAATGTCTTGGTTTCTCTTAGTGATGGATTGTAAAGATGATCCTAAGAAGTTCGCAAATTGTACGGAATGGAAGCAGCAGGGATTTTGTGAAAACTTCAAAGAAAGCATGAGAATGTTGTGTCCTCTTACATGTGGAATGTGTATGTAATATACCGTAGTTCAAATTCTGACCTAAAATGCAGGAAACAAACGTGAATTTGACGTATATTTCTTCTCAAAACTAGACAGAATTTTCACATATTTCTGGTCATATTTAGGTATCAAAAAAAGCCCAGACAACCCGAAACTTAATGATCTTTCGAGCACAGGTACGATCCAGGAATTTTAGGGACAATTGTAACTAAGGCATAAAAATATTTCGTCAATAGTTCATTCAAACACTTTGCCCCAAAGCGCTGGCAAATTATCCTTGTCTTTGGACTAGCAATGATGAAATGGGATCCAGATAGAAAGCTTCAAGTCGATTTTTAGCTATAAACTGGAGTTAATGTTTTTGGCATTTTAGACGGAACAGATGCGTTCGAGCAAGATTGTCTGGATGCTCACAACATCTACCGCACCAAGCACGGAGTACCGCCGCTTCTGTGGTCACAGCAACTGAAGGAAGACGCACAAAGGTGGGCGAACCGTCTGGCAGAGATGGGAGACGAGCTGCAACACGATGACATGAAACCCTTGAACGAGGGAGAAAACCTGGCTCATTTCAGTCCACCGTCGGAAAAATGTTACGGCGCTAAGGGTCCTGGATGCGTCCAATGTCGCGAAATCGTGAAAGACTGGTACGACGAAGAAGCAGATTATGATTTCACCCAGGGACACAGGAAGCCTGGGGCAGTTGTCTTACATTTCACCCAGGTAAAACAAATAGATTATGCAATCTTAACTATACTTGGGGTTGAAGACCTTCAATTTACAAAATTCTGGACAATCCATACTTTCGTGCACGTAGGTTGTGTGGAAAAGTACGCGACACGTAGGCGTAGCCACAGCAAAGAATAAAAACTGGTTTATAACTGTGGCAAGGTATTCTCCACGAGGAAACGTTATTGGACAATTCCGAGACAACGTACACGCAATTGGTGAGAAACGAATGGTACAAAACACAATTGAATTTGAATTGCTGAAGTTAACCAAGTCTTATTTGTGTATTCTAGGAGGCACAGCTACGATTGATCCAGTGAAAATTGTTGATGGTGAGTAAAATTGACCCCCTTCAGCGTCAGGTTTAAACGACTTATTACCAAACGATGAATGTTACTTAGTTTAATATGTTTTTTACAAGCTGATTCTGAACAGAGACAATTCAAGATTCCACCTCGAAAAATGTATGCGACACCCTCAGAACCAAAATACGACGAAAGAGTCTATCCCGAAGACGCTGGTAGGTTATCGTGAAAGTGTTAAACACTTCGTTAACGAAGATTTCCAAGAATTTAGAGAGCAATGATCAATGTTAACTCAACATCTCAATCAGCAAATCACAAGAGGTCGCGAATTCGACAACTATCTGGAATCAAGCCTGCAATGACACTCTGATCTCAAGAGCGTTGAGAGAATAGATTAACTTTTCTAATTCTAATAATTTAATACCATCTTATAACCACAGTACCAATATTAATCTTTTAATCCGAGTATTAACCTCTACAGTGCAAGAACACTAATCCTACTAACCAAAATCTAACCCGCTAATACTTTATCTAGTCTACAGTCCACGATTACCAAATAAGAATAACAAAGGACAAGGTTAAGATCTGCCATTGAAATTTGACTAATCATTTGGGCACAAACGTTAAAAACAATATTATTGAAATTTTCATCCCAATTCTGATTTTAGAAGTCAAGTACTTCGCCACAAACTCGCCATACGGAAATGGCGAGTTGACCGCGATTGTTGACGATAAACCGCCACGTGAGTGATGGAAATTACTGCTGCAGTGAAAGAACGCGTAGTTACAAGTTTGAAGTGATTATTGGCGTTATTTTCTTCATCATTTTTAGCAAACTATGCAGCCACTTATTCAAATGAGCAGGAACTTGGGAGAGATCCTTACATCGCATCCTATAGCAATGATAATAGCTTTTCTAGTAAGTACAGTGGATATATAGTATTGTCCACATCGTATTACCTGGAACAATGGTCGTTGATCCTTTAACTATTAGGCACTGATTTTTATAAACGAAGATTGACTGAAAGGCCCACCAAAGTCCTATCCACGAGGCTTGATTCGAAGCATGTATTGATAGACTTAGTTCAATGGAAAAGTAGATGGAAAAGTTTGAAGCACAATTTAATTCAACATGTATGATCAGGATCTCAGGCAGACAACTTTTTCTAAATACCTTATACATCCGTGCTGTTATTTGACTAAATAACTTATCCTTTAATCAAAATCCTATCTCTTCTTCAGATAATCATTTGATGCGTGATATGAACGTGGAAAACGACCTGGCTGCAAACGTTGAACAAAACGAAGGTATAGACATATGTTTTCGTACAAAATATATGAAATGTGATACAGAGACTAGTAAAACTACAATTAACGCCTCCAGAAAGAACTACGGGAGTGAATAAGCTTCACAATTTATGTTTTCACATTGAAAAAGCTTTGATTCGTAGGCTCTCTACAACAATAATTACTGAAAATTTGGGGATTAACCACCCGTTATAATTCGCGCTATTTTAGGTATGCTGCTGATGGATGGAAAGCGGAAAAAATCCATCGTTAAAAATACAAAAGCGTAGACACGCCTGAACGAAAACGCCTACGATAAGAGTTCCTGGATTGGAAACACGACAACTGCAAAATATGATGGTGTATGTGCGTTGTTACAGCGGAAATCGACAAATATGATCGATGAAATCTAGGAAATGCCTTGAACTATGGTATCACGGCAAGATATTATATATATAAGGCAACATATATACTTCTTTTTTAAGCCAGATGTCCATGTAACAATTTCTGTTGCCGATCAAAGTGTAGCTACAACATCGTAGCTTTGGTAATACGCAACTGACTTCACTAGAATGCTGGACGTACCATTTGGACAAATCAATTTTCATCCCAGGGATATCAAGCTCCTGTCGAGCCACATTACCAGATAAGACTGAGAAATATTTATATATATTTATTTATATATATATAAGATTAAGCTTAGCTATTATAATAAGAGAATAAGAAATCATATATTCATCATTGATGTTATTTCCATACATTCCCCTGCAAAAAATCATCTTGACCACTCAAATGAAATGACCAGCTGCGCAAAGAACTTGCCTCGTGTAACAATTTTCAGTAATTTCGTAAATCAAAACACAAAAACGGATCTTGTTGGGGGAGTTAATACAAGCCAGGGTCCACAGGAGAGGCCGGATAAGGATAACAACTGGTGAGATATTATTGAAGATTTCCTTTGCTGGCTGACGATAAAAATGGCAGCAAAAAATGTCGAAATGATATTGGTTGCACAGACAATAGCGCATAGTAGCTGGGAAAATCTGAGGGCACCATTGAAATCAGCTTGGAGATTTGCATCTTTTTTATACCGAAGACTTTTGTTGGTTTTCAAGCGGTAAGAAGTTTTGAGGGTGGGTCTGAGGAATACCGCATAATGGCTTGGTTGCATGATAGCGGAAACTAAAAGAGGCGAGGTGGCGTGTAAGAATCATCAAACGACCTGAAAATCTCCCACCCCAAGCATGAATGAAATCATCCTTATCCTGAAGGAATATAAATTTGTTCTTTGTTCCTATGTTTATAAATAAAAAACACCAAACGCCGATTAACAAAATTAACAAACAGCGCGCACTTGACTTATGTAATATAAACAGATCAATAACCCGTCTGTGATTGCCTCGTTCCTAAAAGACAATATTTCACCAGCTTGTGTGTACTGTTTCTCATGAATGTCAGCACGACCATTAAGTTGTCATTTTAATTACATTTGCTTGAGTTCCAAGCGAATATTCTCGTGCTTGCATGACTATACATAGGCCATGATGTCGTCGGAAGGAAATTGTATATCTCGGATTACACGCATACAAGAGCTCTCTTGTTTCAAAACTGAGTATCTTGTTCACATATCTTGCCATATAAACAACTCTGTGGCATCATCATACAAGGTTTGTCTACGAAACTATCGAGGTTCTTCAAACCATCATCAAACATGGCGCGCTTTTTCATGGTATGCGTGTGCGTGGTGTTGTTTGCCGTGTGCTTCCGACCCTCCTACGAAAACCGAAGAAGACGAGTGTGTTTGAACCCGTACGGCGATCCAAGATGTCTACGAAAGAATCAAATTTGTTGTAATTTTGCGTGTAACTCGACGTGCGTCGGGAAACGCTGCAACTGGGACTTTCAATGTAGCACGAATCGCATTGGACACAAATGCTGCTCCGGATACTGCCAGCCGAGTTGTGAAGGTTAGTAGACAAATGAAACGCTATTTAAACTGGTCAGCTTCTCGAACGGCACTTCTGAACTTGATTCCTAAGACGCGTGAAAATGTAGCTGTGTAGTGGCTGTGCTTTGTCGTGAGAAATACGGAAATTCCCGTGTGAAAAGAGCACGAAATATCATCTTTTATATCGAAGATAAAATAATTCAAGTATAAAACGTTTTGTAAACATATTACTGCCATCTCAAACCCCTTTAGAACAACACAAAATTCTCGACAAACCACTTATGGTAATTGTCGAGCGCGAGTCTGATTAAGTTGTCACTTGTTAGAAACTGAAAGGACAGTTGAAAATTGCATTCGCCTGATTTTCATCTGCCTCTCTAAGTTGGAGTAATATAGTTTCTGTAATTCACGCCACTGACTGAATATATTCTACCCGTTTCAAGGTCATAGTTGTAGATCAGCCAGATCTTGCAAAGACAGGTCATTAAAATGTTGTAATGGGTTATGCCGCAAAGAATCTTGTCTCGGTGCTGCTTGTAGCAACAGCTTGAGCCCGTATAAATCGTGTGGGATACACGGAAGAAGACGACTCGATTGTTGCAGTGGAAAATGTGAGCTCACTTGCAAAGACAAACCCTGCTACGATAACAAGGACTGCGGTGGACGAAGTAACAAGAGAATGAAATGCTGCAATGGCGTTTGTAGGAAAAACTGTCTTGGTTCGCCCTGCTACGATTATCGCGACTGTCAGTCAAACTATTTGGATTGCTGTGGTTTCTTTGGTAACAAAATCTGTGCGAGTTCTTGCCGCAATCACCAATGCTCTCTGCAAGAGAAATACGAATGTGGCAGACGAAGGAACCCAAAGCTCTTCTGTTGTGGTGACGGGACTTGTCGCCCGACATGTTTCAACTCAATATGCTTCACAGAGACGTTCAGGTATAACTTTATATCCGTTTTAGCCAGATAAGAACATCAAACCTGTTTCACTGTCCACGATTTTAACTATATTTTTACCATACTGTGATCACTCTTATTGCGCTAGATTATGGCGCTATTGTTGAGGACATTTCAAATCCATTATCATTGAGGCAATCAGTCAACATGATTCAACAATTCAGGGTCTAAAAATTGTACTTTTGTGCTTGTTACTTCTTTTCCCTGGTGTTTCAAAACTGCCTCGAGCAACCATTGTTATTTCATCATTCCTGAACCATTTCACCATTCCTTTGTAACAACCGCCAACAACAATTTTGATTGGCATGCTGATATAAATGTTGTTAATCTTGATGACTTGTATGCTGATAAGCCCCCAGTGAGTGTTTCGTCAGAATGTGATCAGAAGAGCGAGTTCACGAGTGCATATGTCTTCAACTTTCTACCAACAAAACAATGCTGCGAGATCCCGTAATTTATTTATCTCAAGGAGTCATGATTGTTGCGGTTCAGTCGAGAAGTTCAGGTTTTCTTGTATATTTAATGCAGGCAAATAAACCACCATTTTACTGTTGATATGTAAAGACGTTTTAACGCTAGAACATGATTGTGTATTTAGTCTTTCAAAACACAGCTAATCTTATATACACACGGTAGTACAGTCGTTCTCTATCAAAGTTAACCCCTTCCGTTTATTTCAAGGTACGATTGCAAAGCGCCAGGAAAACTTTTCTACTGCTGTGGCATGGGACAGAAGAGGTGCCGCAGCAGCTGTAGTCATGTACGCTGCGAGAAACACGACGATTGTGGCGAGTCGAAGTACTATTGTGGACGACCAGATAGGCATAACATCTCCACATGTAGATTCACGTATTTATCAGACATAATCTCCCGTCATGATGTGCGTTTAGATGAACTGGAATTTAACTAAACACGGACCTGCTTTCCTCCCATGACCGATCGTTATTAATAGTGGAGAGTGAGACCAGAGAGAAACTCTCAAAACTCTACCTATCTAACTTTTTATAAGTTCCATGTTTTTCACATCCAGTCAACTCTCAAAACTCTATCTATCTAACTTTTTATAAGTTCCATGTTTTTCACATCCAGTCAACTGTCAAACTCTACCTATATCTAACTTTTTATAAGTTCCATGTTTTTCACATCCAGCCAGATAATGTACAGAAACGTTTTCCTCCAATGGGCCGTCATATTTTACAGCAAAAGATGAATAGTATAATATGAACAGCAAACAGGGTAAAATATATAAGCAATGAATTCTTTCAACAGACGTGCTATAATCACACTAGTTTATGCCCATTGCGAATTAAGTAGGTTTAATTTTAGAATGATTGTATAAGTTGGAATAAGTTACAATGTCCAAAAAGGTTTCCACCTACCTCGCTCTTCTTCTTGGCCCAAACTGGTCAACCAGCATCTTTTCTTGGCCACACCCTCGAATTATTAATAATAATCGGTCCCTATGGATAAATATATACATAACCAATATTTAACGTTACAATGAACTTGAGTCGTGTAGAAGCTGGTATCAGCTATATTGGCTATCAGCCTTATATAACAAGCAAATAGATCAGCCATATTACCAATAGGACGAGCGAATTTTTATAATAAATAATGTCAGATTTTGACTAATTTCTCATTACAGATTCTGAACTGAACTTTTGAACTGAACTTTATTACTTCACTACACTTGACCAGCATAAGACGATAGCATGGTATTTTATCAGCCTATGAACCTGCAGTGTAAACACTCTACAACTGATTTTCAGCTACAATTGTCACCTATCTTTACGCGTCTGATGGCCCACAGCATTAGACCACCGCTATGGAGCATTATAAAACCAAACATACCCTATAAGCAAATTAGCTTGTAGGTACACCACGTAGGTATTTAAAGTGCCCATGTCATAAAATTGGAATTTAGATTTTTAGAATCTTTGTTTGAAATGAGTTAGTAAGTTCTAAATCAAAACTGAAATTGGATTTTTATTTTTCGAGTTATTGCCATCTAAACATTGATTTTGTTGGAATGAAAACTCTGAAAACCGCGCAAATGAGACTGGTGCGAAACAAGGTGTTTGACGTCACAATAGGAACTCGTTCGACGCGACAACTTAGTAACTCTATTGCATGGAGTAATAAGTAGAAGCTAACCGCGCAAAAAAGTGATTGTTCTTACTTAACAGACAATTCTGTATAAAGTGACTCATATATTATCAAAATCTGTTGTGAAATGGCTTTAATAATTGTACATTCCTGGCAACAGTCGTGCAATAATTGCAAATACGCCATGAGTCTGACCAATTGAGTCACTGTGTTGTAAACACGTTAGGCAGTGTTTCAGTTAACAGATAAAGGTTCGGTGAATAACGTCTCAAAAGATGCGAGTGCGCACATTTTAGTAAAGACAGCTAAAGAATGTTGGTAAAAAAGATGCCATAATAAAAGCGAAATGTACTGGGTTATATTTATATACACATGATTTGATGTTTTTTTTGCGCGAGACGTGTTAGATTTCTCAGTTAATATTGATAGTTCTATGTCTCTCTTTGAACTATTTTTTTTTGAAAGCACATGGGAACTCCACTCATACTCTAGCTCAGTTGATTTGTAATGAAGATAAACCAGATAATCATGCGTGACTTACATACACATAAACACATTGTAGAAATACCGGCACTCATGAGCCACAGGAAAACCTCAATCGTAATGCTATTAATATAATATTTATATAGGGCAGTAAAATGTATTAGGGTTCCGCGTCCGCCTTATATCTACACCCGGGTGTATTGTATGTATGTGCGCGATTACGAATGACGATCAACTAAGACGACACTTTAGAATTAAGTTAAGTACAATTGCCAGATTACTAACATAGAATCTGTTTGTAATTTGAATACTGTATATCTAGCGTAATGATATTATGTTCTGGGGTCACGGAAAGCAAGTCGCGCAATCAAGATCATAAGAAAACATTTGCTATTTACTGACGCCTACGATCAAGTCTTCGTTGTAGCGTCGATGCCATGATCGTTGCACGATTGCTCCATTTCGCGATACCTTTTCAGCTTATCATCGGCATCTGGTTTGTTAATGGACCCTTAATGTATGGTCCGAAGTGTTCTTACTGCCTGACAAGGCTGATATTGACCCGCGTTCATGGTCTTAACTTTTGTTCTTTCTTAGTATTGCATTGGCAGGAAAACATTTTAATCGGTGTTATTTCTTTGGTAACTTCTCAATAGCTAAACTTGATGAAGACATATTTCTGCCACGTTTAATAACCGAATTTAGCTGGCATAAAGTCGCTTCTCTTGTACTACATACTATTATTTATCTAAAGGCGCAATATGCGAGTTCCTATTGTGACGTATTAGTTACCAGTTTCCGACTGTCGCGGATTTCAAAAACTTTTGCCGTTAAAATTTGAAATTTTCAAACTTTATCGCTTTATTTCTCCGCGAAAACAAACTCAATTTCAAATGTGATTACTATTTTCGTAATCTACGTTTCACGGCGATTCTAATGAGATAAATTCCAATTTTATGACATGGGCACTTTAATGCCGCAAAGCCTTCGGTTCGTTAACCCGGGCCTTCATCAATGCAATCACAAGAAAACAAGATATTTAGGTGACGAGTAAAATGCGTTTTCAAGTACTGTAATTGCACTGATGAAGGCCCGGGTTAACGGAGCGAAAGCTTTGCAGTATTAAATACTTACGTGTTGTACCTACAAGCTAAATTACTTATTTGATGTCAGCATGCAAACTTTTATGAGTATTTCGAAATCTGCAGGAATGTTTCTTCAAATAGAATTTATTTGTGTTGCTGCGCCACAGACTGGCCGAGTGTGAATGCTAGGGGCACATTTTTAAACTTTTGAATACATTATTCTCATTTTTTCGTCAGTGCATCGTTTTTGAAAAAAATATAAAAACTGCAAGGACACTGTTTTATTCGGGACACGCGTCTTTTGTAATTAATACGTACTGTACATTTATATTCTGTCTACAGTATCTATATATTTCGTCTTCATGTTAATAAAACAACAGGTGCCATTCACGGTTCATTCAAGCCAAGCGGCGGTTGCGTTGGCACGTGGCTGTCGCCATGGCGACCGACCGGTACGCCATTCAAGCATGGGGAAAATGCCGTGTTCTTTCACGGTTTCGCGAGCGCGCGCGACGCGAGAGCAGGTAGCACGATTTTTTGCCAAGACATAACATTGATTGCTCTTTGTTCTCCTGATCGATTGTTTGAACTTCAAACACAGGAGAGAACACTGCAGAGTGTTTAGTTGACAAAACCGGATCAAAACAATTTCCCCCGAAGAATAGAATCCCGGCTCGTGAAGAATAACAAATTGTGAGGTTAGTGACAGTCATATTGGCTCGTTAATCGCTTTAATCGGACAGCCTGTTTCAAAATCAAGTCTTCCTAATCGCGTCTTCGAACCGGCAGCGTAGGAACTGCTAATGGACGCTGTTTGCTTTATATAAAGGGCTTTGATTTTGAACCCGCTGCTAACTCGTGTAACATAATTCTTAACATCTCGCTCCAAAGCTGCAAAGGCGATTTGCAACAAGCAGAAGGGAAAATCATCGCAAATTTTCGCGTCGAATGTCGAATGTGCCTTGAAGGAAGCCGTTAAGCTTGGTCGATGCTTGTGGGATGCGAGGGAAAGAAATTAAATTGAATTGTATTTTTTATACCCACTTTTTATCTGCGACCATTTTAATAAATTTGCCGTCTTTTTATCTGGCACAATAACAGCTCTTAATCCTTCTTTTTGCATGGATATTTTATTATGTGATTCATTTAACAAGTCTTCACACTTCTTAAAACGGCTTAGTATACAGTCCAACTCACGGAAATGCAACGGTTTAGTCTTTGCAGAAGTGAACATTTAATTTAGAGAGAAACTTTTTGCATGCTATATAAGTATTTCTAAATTTCATTCCTGGAGCAAAATTGTATACTCCAGTTCTATTCGCACAGGAACTATATCTTTTACCAACATATGTTAAACTTGTTGACCCAGGACAAACTATCAGCAGTTGACTGGTTATAAACACTGAGACGTAGCGATTTATAGGAAAATATTTATCAATTTGACCAATAAAATAAAAAAGGAAAAGTGCATGAAGAGAATATGGGAAATGTGTGGAACATGAAAATAAAAGGGGAGTTATCATCGATTCGCATGCAGCACAGACGTTGCAGGAAAGTTCGTTTCATGTACTTTTAGCACTTTTAGTTGAATTAAATCTAGTTTTCAACTGACTGACGTCTTTTAGATGGCAACCAGTACAGAAAGTCACATCAAGCGGCCGATGAACGCGTATATGGTTTGGTCTCGGAAGGAACGCCGAAGGATTGCCGAAGAATGCCCGAGGATGCTCAATTCCGAGATCAGTAAGAGACTGGGAACGGAATGGAACTTACTACCGCCTGAAAAGAAAAAACCGTACATCGAAGAAGCGAAACGACTTCGCGTCGAGCACAAGAAAGACCATCCAGAATACAAATATCAGCCGAAACGAAAACAAAAGGGGGGGAATAAGCTCACGAGAGTCTTGGAAAATCCATTCCTTGAGACACTAAACGGTTATCCTCCAATAAGTTTTCCAAATAAATTCGGTATTTCCTCACCCCCCGTGCTGTTCTCGTTGACCCCATTTCCCACGGATCCCGCACAAAGAAGATCCCCCGTTCTTCACCCATATCCCAACGCGTCCCCCTCGTTCCCCCACAACCGCCCTGGGAATAACAGCGATACACATTTTCCTTTCGAGAACGGCATTGCTAAACAAGACATGATAGAAAATTCTGCAGGCGTATTTCAATCGCCATTCCCGACGCCCGTTTCACCCGACAAAGATTACGTTTTCCCAAATAGCGGAACACTGTCGTCGAAGGAATATCACATGGGTGGTCAAAAGATACGAATTACCGAGGACATAGCCATGGATAATTCAGACATTCCAACAAAGATTTCGAACGAGCATTCTAACAACACGATCATGCGTGAGAACGGGCAACATTTTCGCGTGTTTGAACACGAAGCACGCAACAACTGTCGTGGAAACATTCATGACGTTCGCATGGAGATTCCTGCGATTTATGCAAACGAAACGCACGCGAGTCCAGACGATCACGTGGGTGCGGCTAAGCTGCACGTGAACAGTCGCGAGCTCCACGCAAGTCTGCCGGGTTTGATGCGTGCAGACGCCGCCAACGAGGTGCACGCAAACGGGCAAGTTGTCCACGCAAAAGGCGATGGTCTTATTGGCGAGATTTGGCGACCTAACGGTCAGGAAGACAGGCGCTTTGAACATAACCTACATGTTGACTACATGAAGTACAAGGAAGTTGGCATAAACAGCGATGGTCGAACACGTGCTGATTTTCAGGGTAAACTTCACGATCAAGATTTCAATAACGTGCGCACGAACGGTCCGCCCGAGATTCGCGCAAACGGTCACGAATTTTCTCCCAGCAATGGCTACGATTTTTATGCAAATAGCCACGAATGGCGCGCAAACAGTCAAGACTTTCGACTCGGCGCCCAGGATTATCGTGGTAACGAACACGAGTTTGGTACGAATGCTCACGATTTCCGAGCGAGTTATCAAGAAATTCGTGCGCATAACCAAGAAAGCGAACCGCTGTACTCAAAAATAAACGCAGCAGAAAGCGGGGATAGCTTGACCTTTGGGGTACCGAATGGTTTCCTCCACTACATCAATCAAGAATCTGCCCAGGTTTATCATTGACAGAATTATATCCTGTTACAAAATATCAGAGGTGTTGTTTTAGGATGTAACAAGAGGGTACTCCAAATTAATGTGGGCCAGGGTGCAGGAAGAGGGAAGTTTTGGAAAACAAGGGGTCACTTCCAATGTGGGTAATTGTGTGGGTGGGTGCTTGAAGCCTTGAAACACCATTTCTGAAAATTGAACATTTTTTTTGTTTTCTTTATCAATATTGTTAATATTTATAGCTGCTTTAATATTAATAGTTGCCTCTTTTATTTGAACTGCCTTGTAAAATTTAGGAGCCTCAGTCCCCAAAAATTAACATGAAATTTAACAACTTCAGTAGAACTTGGCAGTGATTTAATCTATCTAGATTTTAATCTAATGCACCACAATCTGGGTTGATAATGAATTGATTTAATTCTTGTTGATTGTAATCTGATATTGATTTCAGTAACTAATTGATTCAGAACACATTGAGCTTACCTTTTCCATGAACTCATCTGATCTACCTTCATCCATGAACTCATCTGATCTTCTCCTAATCCAATCTAATACTGAATTGATACAATCCTATCCTCCCTAATTTATCTGACCAAAGATTACTTGATATTTCTGTTTACCTGCTGAGGCACACAGCTCACTGGATGGAGTCATAGAGAAACCAGAATACCTTCGACAGGGTGGCTGTGATGAATGGTTATGATACTAGAAGGCCATGATTGTCCCACATCTCCACAGTGTTTTCATACAAAACTATATAACAATTATATAACAATTTATACAAATATATTATTTTTGTTGAGCAGAACTTATGTTAGAAAAAATCATTGCAATTTGCACAATTCTACATGTTTATACAAATAATAAATAATATTCAAAACAATTCATCACAAACCTGGAAACCAAATATCTTTGCTTCATATTTTTAAAGATGGGGTGCAAATATAATTTTATACACGATAAACTGGATAAAGGAATAATGCAAAAATTATCATTGTACTATCACTAAAATATACATATTTCATCAATTCTACTCAATATTTTTATCAGCTAAAGGTCAAACCAAAATTCACATAGGTTTTTGACTCAGTCATATTGAATACCTTATGTAATGCTCTGTTGCCTTAAATATCTCCTTTTTTTCCGTCAAATCCCATATTTTGTTATCAAATTCGAGGCTTTTATTCACCAATATTCTTTGAACCTGAAGTAATTATTTCAATGATAATATTTCGCAAAATAAAGTTTAACAGCGTTCCAAAACATAGCTTTTTACCTCGAAATAACTTTACGCTTATCAATTTCACTTCTTTTCTGCTTTCAGGTACGCCGTTTTTATTAAAATAACTTTTTTATATTCCTTCTTTAATATTTTAAAAACAACTCGCAGCCATTTTGAAAAACTGGCGCGAAATCCGTAGACACAAAGTCCGAAGTCCAACATGGCCGCGGGAAAATTGGCCGCGGGTCAAAAATTCGGTTACAAAATTTGTCGCATACTTTTGCCGTTTTATAGCGTTTTTTCATACAAAAAACACTGAAAATGAATATATTTGGAACGGATATGGTTCGAATAAAAATCAGTTTGTATCGGCTAACAACCTCAAAATATACGGTGTTTTGATATTCTTTCAGAAATTTTAGTGTTTTGAAACATTCCTTGTTGGTTTTTAACTTCAAAATAGTCATCATTCTCGAAAGGAAACTCAATATAAATGACTGAACGGCTTAGTTTACTAAAATGTTTTGTTAATTTTGTGTTTAGTATACGCCAACCATGGTCGAGTTCGCCAGAAAATGGTATTGTTTAATTCAGAGACACAGCCATGCAGAGACTGGGGAGAGTATTCAGGGGTTAATTAAGGTGGTTTTAAGTCGATATAATTTTTTTTCGAGCCATATCCGTTCCATATATTTTTATTAACAGTGTTTTTTGTATGTAAAAGAGAAATTTGGAAAGAAAAAAAAATTTTGGAAATAACCTAAAAACACCCAAAAGAGATCATCCAGCCTATGCCACAATCTAACCTAGTTATACAACCGGCTGCAATATTCAGCATAGTTACAACTACGAAAGGTGCAAGGACAGTTGCTATAGGAAGAACTCCCCCCCATAACTCACATCTTTACGGCCGTCTAAGGGGGAGATGCACTACGGCCCCCAGACCATGATGTATGTGCACCTAACCGTAACGTCTCAGTGAGAAACAGAGTATGCATCGCCACAAGCCTAGCGTCATAGACGAATCAGCTACAGTGGCTAGCCCTGAGAGCGTAGATAAATTTAACGTATTTAAGCTTTTCCTGGTCTTGGGGGGCGGTCCCTAACAAGTATATGCATAGAAAACGACTAATAAGGCACATGCTTGAAAATGACAAGATTTAAACGCCTAAACGTTTTTTAAGTGTTTTTAGCGAGAAATTTTAGTGTTTTGATATTCTTTTAGTGTTTTGAAACAACCCTTGTTGGTTTTTAACGTCAAAATAATCGTTATTCTCGAAAGGAAACTCTCAATATAAATGACTGAACAGCTTAGCTTGCTAAAATCGGTTTTGTTAATTTTGTGTTTTACTTTAGTATATCCGCTATTTCACAAGTTTTTATTTCACAAGTTTTTCAATCGAAGTAAAGCTACAGACATGCACTTAGCCGTTAAAGCCACAACCAATTTTGATGATTTGTTAGCCTTGAATCTATATTTGCTTTGGCGAGCTTTAGAAACGGAGGAGCATTTAAGATCATGTCAGGAATTGAAGTTGTCGTTTTGTGGAATACTTGAGCAAGAACCGAGCTCAATGAGCAGGGGAACAGGGTCAACAGTAAACATCGATAGTAGATCTGAACGATTGATCTTTAATCGGTTTTGTTTGCGCTCTTTTAATATATCTTCTTAAATTAATGTAAACACAAGTTCCCGTAATGGATCTGAGCGTGAAAGATCAACAAATCCTCAAGACTGTTATCCAGTTTATTGTAGCCTTGGATATTTGTCCCACCCTTTTTGAAGGAGTAGGTGCAGCCTTTAAACAAAGAACTGGTTTTGGTGATGCATTGTGTGTTGAGCAAGACATCAAGTGTCCAAAATGTTTGTATAAGTGTGTAATGGTCTTGGTTAATTGTCTTGACGAGCCTTCGTTGAGCGGAGAGATGTTGAAAAGCACCCCCTGTGCTGATGTTAAGTTTGGCTATAACTCTGGGTTCAGCTTATGTTACCTGCGTGGTTCGATTCATTGTGGCGAGGATTCGAATGGTCGCAGTAGGAGTTTGTCCACTTTCTCTACATGTGCCGTTCCAAACGTCGAAATTACGTATTTGAAATTAAATCAAAGTTGGATTTTATATGCAATCAATTGGGAATAACAATTGAAAGTGCTCTTAAAATGGCCATAAACATGCCGTGTTTCTTGTTGTGGAATGAAAATTAATCTCACGGATCAGTATTAATATAATTAAATAAATCAAGTCCACAATTAGTAGAAAATCTCGATGTCAGATATTTTGAAATATGAATTTGAAAACTCGCAGGGAAAGCCAGGTGATTTATCCAGACTTTTGATCGACAGTTCTCGGACTGAAGGCACTAACGAGAATGCAGATTTGACTGTCCGAATGTCTTTGTTGCTGTTTTACTGCTGTAAGGTTGATCAAAATGCTGATAATACAGTAAATGTTTGATGTTTATGAATGAACTCTGCTATTGTTTAATTCATTGCCTCCTATAACATGCAGAAACTGGGGAGAGTATTCAGGGGTTAATCAAGGTGGTTTTAGTCGATATATTTTTTTTTCGAACCATATCCGTTCCATATATGTTTAATAACAGTGTTTTTTGTAAGTAAAAGAAAAATTTGGAAAGAAAAAAATTTTTGGAAATAACCTAAAAACACCCAAAAGAGATCATCCAGCCTATGCCACAATCTAACCTAGTTATACAACCGGCTGCAATATTCAGCATAGTTACAACTACGAAAGGTGCAAGGACAGTTGCTATAGGAAGAACTCCCCCCCATAACTCACATCTTTACGGCCGTCTAAGGGGGAGATGCACTACGGCCCCCAGACCATGATGTATGTGCACCTAACCGTAACGTCTCAGTGAGAAACAGAGTATGCATCGCCACAAGCCTAGCGTCATAGACGAATCAGCTACAGTGGCTAGCCCTGAGAGCGTAGATAAATTTAACGTATTTAAGCTTTTCCTGGTCTTGGGGGGCGGTCCCTAACAAGTATATGCATAGAAAACGACTAATAAGGCACATGCTTGAAAATGACAAGATTTAAACGCCTAAACGTTTTTTAAGTGTTTTTAGCGAGAAATGTTACTGTTTTGATATTTTTAGTGTTTTGAAACAACCCTTGTTGGTTTTTAACGTCAAAATAATCGTTATTCTCGAAAGGAAACTCTCAATATAAATGACTGAATAGCTAAAATCGGTTTTGTTAATTTTGTGTTTTACTTTAGTATATCCGCTATTTCACAAGTTTTTATTTCACAAGTTTTTCAATCGAAGTAAAGCTACAGACATGCACTTAGCCGTTAAAGCCACAACCAATTTTGATGAATTGTTAGCCTTGAATCTATATTTGCTTTGGCGAGCTTTAGAAACAGAGGAGCATTTAAGATCATGTCAGGAATTGAAGTTGTCGTTTTGTGGAATACTTGAGCAAGAACCGAGCTCAAAGAGCACGGGAACAGGGTCAACAGTAAACATCGATAGTAGATCTGAACGATTGATCTTTAATCGGTTTTGTTTGCGCTCTTTTAATATATCTTCTTAAATTAATATAAACACAAGTTCCCGTAATGGATCTGAGCGTGAAAGATCAACAAATCCTCAAGACTGTTATCCAGTTTATTGTAGCCTTGGATATTTGTCCCACCCTTTTTGAAGGAGTAGGTGCAGCCTTTAAACAAAGAACTGGTTTTGGTGATGCATTGTGTGCTGAGCAAGACATCAAGTGTCCAAAATGTTTGTATAAGTGTGTAACGGTCTTGGTTAATTGTCTTGACGAGCCTTCATTGAGCGAAGAGATGTTGAAAAGCACCCCCTGTGCTGATGTTAAGTTTGGCTATAACTCTGGTTCAGCTTATGTTACCTGCGTGGTTCGATTAACTGTGGCGAGGATTCGAATGGTCGCAGTAGGTTTGTCCGCCGTAAAAAAACCGTGTTTCTTGTTGTGGAATGAAAATTTATCTCACGGATCAGTATTAATGAATAAACCAAGTCCACAATTAGTAGAAAATCTCGAGTTGTTTTCAATGTCAGATATTTTGAAATATGAATTTGAAAACTCGCAGGGAATGCCAGGTGATTTATCCAGACTTTTGATCGACAGTTCTCGGACTGAAGGCACTAACGAGAATGCAGATTTGACCGTCCGAATGTCTTTGTTGCTGTTTTACTGCTGTAAGGTTGATCAAAATGCTGATAATACAGTAAATGTTTGATGTTTATGAATGAACTCTGCTATTGTTTAATTCATTGCCTCCTATAACATGCAGAGACTGGGGAGAGTATTCAGGGGTTAATCAAGGTGGTTTTAGTCGATATAATTTTTTTTTCGAACCATATCCGTTCCATATATGTTTAATAACAGTGTTTTTTGTAAGTAGAAGAAAAATTTGGAAAGAAAAAAATTTTTGGAAATAACCTAAAAACACCCAAAAGAGATCATCCAGCCTATGCCACAATCTAACCTAGTTATACAACCGGCTGCAATATTCAGCATAGTTACAACTACGAAAGGTGCAAGGACAGTTGCTATAGGAAGAACTCCCCCCATAACTCACATCTTTACGGCCGTCTAAGGGGGAGATGCACTACGGCCCCCAGACCATGATGTATGTGCACCTAACCGTAACGTCTCAGTGAGAAACAGAGTATGCATCGCCACAAGCCTAGCGTCATAGACGAATCAGCTACAGTGGCTAGCCCTGAGAGCGTAGATAAATTTAACGTATTTAAGCTTTTCCTGGTCTTGGGGGGCGGTCCCTAACAAGTATATGCATAGAAAACGACTAATAAGGCACATGCTTGAAAATGACAAGATTTAAACGCCTAAACGTTTTTTAAGTGTTTTTAGCGAGAAATGTTACTGTTTTGATATTCTTTTAGTGTTTTGAAACAACCCTTGTTGGTTTTTAACGTCAAAATAATCGTTATTCTCGAAAGGAAACTCTCAATATAAATGACTGAACAGCTAAAATCGGTTTTGTTAATTTTGTGTTTTACTTTAGTATATCCGCTATTTCACAAGTTTTTATTTCACAAGTTTTTCAATCGAAGTAAAGCTACAGACATGCACTTAGCCGTTAAAGCCACAACCAATTTTGATGAATTGTTAGCCTTGAATCTATATTTGCTTTGGCGAGCTTTAGAAACAGAGGAGCATTTAAGATCATGTCAGGAATTGAAGTTGTCGTTTTGTGGAATACTTGAGCAAGAACCGAGCTCAAAGAGCACGGGAACAGGGTCAACAGTAAACATCGATAGTAGATCTGAACGATTGATCTTTAATCGGTTTTGTTTGCGCTCTTTTAATATATCTTCTTAAGGTGGCTCCCTACAGTTTTAAGAATATTGAAAACTAATGATTTAGATTGAAATTTTTGGCAGGAAATTTCTTGCTAAACGAAATGAAATTTTCCAGATATATTAACCAACATTCTAACAGTCGAAAATTGTCTTTGAGTATCACGTCATTAGCGTTGTTATGGTAACAATGGCGATTCAATATGGCCGACATTTTACCTATTCACGCATTTTACTCGAAAACAAGTTCGGTTACCCCAATTTTTTATTTCATAAAAAGTTTTCTTACAAAAAAATGGAAAATTTGAACGAGTTAAAAAAAATTCTGTGGAGCCAAAATTATTAAAAATTAAAAAACGTGATTTTTCGTTATAGAAATTTTTTGGCTCCATAGAATTTTTTTTAACTCGTTCAAATTTTCCATTTTTTTGTAAGAAAACTTTTTATAAAATAAAAAATTGGGGTAACCGAACTTGTTTTCGAGTAAAATGCGTGAATAAGTAAAATGTCGGCCATATTGAATCGCCATTGTTACCATAACAACGATAATGACGTCATGCTTATGGGCAATTTCTGACTGTTAGAGTGTTGGTTAATATATCTGGGAAATTTCTTTTCCTTAGCAAGAAATCTCGTGCTAAAATTTTAAATCAAAACCACAAGTTTTCAATATTTTTAAAAATTGTAGGGAGCCACCTTAAAATTAATATAAACACAAGTTCCCGTAATGGATCTGAGCGTGAAAGATCAACAAATCCTCAAGACTGTTATCCAGTTTATTGTAGCCTTGGATATTTGTCCCACCCTTTTTGAAGGAGTAGGTGCAGCCTTTAAACAAAGAACTGGTTTTGGTGATGCATTGTGTGCTGAGCAAGACATCAAGTGTCCAAAATGTTTGTATAAGTGTGTAACGGTCTTGGTTAATTGTCTTGACGAGCCTTCATTGAGCGAAGAGATGTTGAAAAGCACCCCCTGTGCTGATGTTAAGTTTGGCTATAACTCTGGTTCAGCTTATGTTACCTGCGTGGTTCGATTCACTGTGGCGAGGATTCGAATGGTCGCAGTAGGTTTGTCCGCCATAAAAAAACCGTGTTTCTTGTTGTGGAATGAAAATTTATCTCACGGATCAGTATTAATGAATAAACCAAGTCCACAATTAGTAGAAAATCTCGAGTTGTTTTCAATGTCAGATATTTTGAAATATGAATTTGAAAACTCGCAGGGAATGCCAGGTGATTTATCCAGACTTTTGATCGACAGTTCTCGGACTGAAGGCACTAACGAGAATGCAGATTTGACCGTCCGAATGTCTTTGTTGCTGTTTTACTGCTGTAAGGTTGATCAAAATGCTGATAATACAGTAAATGTTTGATGTTTATGAATGAACTCTGCTATTGTTTAATTCATTGCCTCCTATAACATGCAGAGACTGGGGAGAGTATTCAGGGGTTAATCAAGGTGGTTTTAGTCGATATAATTTTTTTTTCGAACCATATCCGTTCCATATATGTTTAATAACAGTGTTTTTTGTAAGTAAAAGAAAAATTTGGAAAGAAAAAAATTTTTGGAAATAACCTAAAAACACCCAAAAGAGATCATCCAGCCTATGCCACAATCTAACCTAGTTATACAACCGGCTGCAATATTCAGCATAGTTACAACTACGAAAGGTGCAAGGACAGTTGCTATAGGAAGAACTCCCCCCCATAACTCACATCTTTACGGCCGTCTAAGGGGGAGATGCACTACGGCCCCCAGACCATGATGTATGTGCACCTAACCGTAACGTCTCAGTGAGAAACAGAGTATGCATCGCCACAAGCCTAGCGTCATAGACGAATCAGCTACAGTGGCTAGCCCTGAGAGCGTAGATAAATTTAACGTATTTAAGCTTTTCCTGGTCTTGGGGGGCGGTCCCTAACAAGTATATGCATAGAAAACGACTAATAAGGCACATGCTTGGAAATGACAAGATTTAAACGCCTAAACGTTTTTTAAGTGTTTTTAGCGAGAAATGTTACTGTATTGATATTCTTTTAGTGTTTTGAAACAACCCTTGTTGGTTTTTAACGTCAAAATAATCGTTATTCTCGAAAGGAAACTCTCAATATAAATGACTGAACAGCTTAGCTTGCTAAAATGTTTTGTTAATTTTGTGTTTTACTTTAGTATATCCGCTATTTCACAAGTTTTTATTTCACAAGTTTTTCAATCGAAGTAAAGCTACAGACATGCACTTAGGCGTTAAAGCCACAACCAATTTTGATGATTTGTTAGCCTTGAATCTATATTTGCTTTGGCGAGCTTTAGAAACGGAGGAGCATTTAAGATCATGTCAGGAATTGAAGTTGTCGTTTTGTGGAATACTTGAGCAAGAACCGAGCTCAATGAGCAGGGGAACAGGGTCAACAGTAAACATCGATAGTAGATCTGAACGATTGATCTTTAATCGGTTTTGTTTGCGCTCTTTTAATATATCTTCTTAAATTAATATAAACACAAGTTCCCGTAATAGATCTGAGCGTGAAAGATCAACAAATCCTCAAGACTGTTATCCAGTTTATTGTAGCCTTGGATATTTGTCCCACCCTTTTTGAAGGAGTAGGTGCAGCCTTTAAACAAAGAACTGGTTTTGGTGATGCGTTGTGTGCTGAACAAGACATCAAGTGTCCAAAATGTTTGTATAAGTGTGTAATGGTCTTGGTTAATTGTCTTGACGAGCCTTCGTTGAGCGGAGAGATGTTGAAAAGCACCCCCTGTGCTGATGTTAAGTTTGGCTATAACTCTGGGTTCAGCTTATGTTACCTGCGTGGTTCGATTCATTGTGGCGAGGATTCGAATGGTCGCAGTAGGAGTTTGTCCACTTTCTCTACATGTGCCGTTCCAAACGTCGAAGTTATGTATTTGAAATTAAATCAAAGTTGGATTTTATATGCAATCAATTGGGAATAACAATTGAAAGTGCTCTTAAAATGGCCATAAACATGCCGTGTTTCTTGTTGTGGAATGAAAATTAATCTCACGGATCAGTATTAATATAATTAAATAAATCAAGTCCACAATTAGTAGAAAATCTCGATGTCAGATATTTTGAAATATGAATTTGAAAACTCGCAGGGAAAGCCAGGTGATTTATCCAGACTTTTGATCGACAGTTCTCGGACTGAAGGCACTAACGAGAATGCAGATTTGACCGTCCGAATGTCTTTGTTGCTGTTTTACTGCTGTAAGGTTGATCAAAATGCTGATAATACAGTAAATGTTTGATGTTTATGAATGAACTCTGCTATTGTTTAATTCATTGCCTCCTATAACATGCAGAGACTGGGGAGAGTATTCAGGGGTTAATCAAGGTGGTTTTAGTCGATATAATTTTTTTTTCGAACCATATCCGTTCCATATATGTTTAATAACAGTGTTTTTTGTAAGTAAAAGAAAAATTTGGAAAGAAAAAAATTTTTGGGGGAAATAACCTAAAAACACCCAAAAGAGATCATCCAGCTCTATGCCACAATCTAACCGGTGATATTACAACCAGCTGCGATATACCAGCATAGATTACAACTACGAAAGGTGCAAGGACAGTTGCTATAGGAAGAACTCCCCCCCATAACTCACATCTTAACGGCCGCCTAAGGGGGAGATGCACTACGGCCCCCAGACCATGATGTATGTGCACCTAACCGTTACGTCTCAGTGAGAAACAGAGTGGGCTGTATGCCACACGCCTAGCGCGTCATAGACGAATCAGCTACAGTGGCAAGCCTTGAGAGCGATGATAAATTTAACGTATTTAAGCTTTTCCTGGTCTTGGGAGGCGGTCCCTAACAAGTATATTCATAGAAAACGACTAATAAGGCACACGCTTGGAAATATCAAGATTTAAACGCCTAAACGTTTTTTAAGTGTTTTTAGCGAGAAATTTTAGTGTTTAAAAATACCCTGAAACTGAAACAGAAGTCCAAAGCCTGAAGGCCGAATACTCTTGCCGTTTTATAGCGAACGGTTTCACGAATTCTTTCGAAAGTTTTACAATTTAAATAAATTATTTTTCTGTAATTTCCCTGCAAGTTCCGCCGATCGGACTTTTAAATATGCCAACTTCAAGAACGTTTTCTTTTTTCTGTCTGAGAAAATCGAGGGGGGAGCAGGGGCAATAAATTGTAACTTTTTCATAATCATTCATAGTTTTATTGTAAAAATCAATATTAATCAATTGATAATAAAAAATATATATTAGTTAATTTACAATTTATGGATACTTATTAATCAGTAATGTTCAATGTACAGGTTTTCCGTTCGTTGTTGTACCAATGAGGCTGTTTGTGTATCTTGGTAACCATTTGCGTCTAGCCGCAAACCCTCTTAGGGACACGTAACTATGTCATTAATTTCACCCAAGGTCCCTCTACCCGACTGCCTGAAGGGAACGGACTTCTCTGTCTCATGGGCGTCTCTGTATCAAGCCGTCTGCCACGACCTATGCACTTTCCTGCCTCTGTTTAAACATGGCTTTCTTTGCGGACTCTGAACTTGACGGGCTTTTCCGAACCGTCCACGAGCAAGATCGAATTCTCGTCCTCGACTTTCGTGCCTTCTTCGGAATTGCCTTCGGATTCCACGAGGCCGCTATCGCTGCTTTTTTCTTCAAATATTTTGTCTGACTCGCAATCTTCGCTCAAAAGTCCCTCCTCGTCGTCATCAGCATCGTTTTCGTCGCTTGCGAAGACTTCGTTTCCGAAATATGTTCGTACAGAGTTCAGACCGTGATTAGGCCCAGACTCCGAGAGCGTGCGAGGTGTCATGGGACTCAATAGCGGAGCTTCTATATCGACGTATTCCTGAAGAAAAAACACATCAAACATGTCCAACCTTCGACTTCAATTTTCTCCTCTAATTTCAAGTTTTTCAACTATGGATTACCAGCATACCTCGGTAGTCATGCCTTCCAACACCTCATTCAACTCTCTGACTATTTCTGTGAAGTTTGGTCGACATCCAGGTTCCTCTAACCAACAACGTAACAACAAGTCATATCTGGCAAGAAAAATAAGGCGCGTGTTAACTTTCCTGAATGCCAAAGCACAGCTGTTTGGGTAAAAACGTAAAAGAAAATCTCATTCAAGCCAAAGGTCAATTTCTGTGCAAATATGGCAATAGAAACTTGGGTCACTTACAGTTCTGGTGGGCAATTGACAGGTCTTTCCATTCGATAACCAGATTTCAGAAGTTCGAATAATTTTTCCAAAGGAACGCTGGGATATGGCGTTCCACCTTAAGAAAGAATGGGAAAAGTTGTAAAAGAGACGGCCTATACTACATTATAGTGTTTAAAGTAGGTGTTTTATGAATGTAGACATTGTCGTAAGATGTAACAAGTAACCTACCAAATGTAAAAATTTCCCATGCCAGAACACCAAAGGCCCAACTGTTGGGACAAAAAATAAACAAAAAATTAGACAGGAGTTCAAAAGACTGTGTTTGCTATCGCTTAACAAGAAAGAAATTATTGGTCCCGCAGGTGTTGTGGTCGTGATTTATGGCCTATTTTGAAACGTTTTGCATTTCGTGTGTTGAACGCTTAAACAACAATAGGTAATGAGAAATCTCAGTCATTACATGTCCATCGAAGCAAAGGATGACTTTGAGGCATTGAAACGAGTATATAACATAAACATGCAGTCGTGTAGTCATTCCGACAATAGCAAGTTCTTATTCGTTTTATAAAGGACGTATTTCGGCTGATGTAAACAGCCCTTAATGTGTTCAGCGTATGAGAAACACGATGATTGAAACAGGAATTATTAACAACAATATAGCACCAATTTTTACCAAATCATCCTGTGTGTTAGTTTAAACAGAGGTTTATGTATACAATATACTACAAGTTTTGCTTGAAATATTTCAACGGCTTTTGCTCTTCTCGTCAGAGTGAGCTTGAAGTGTTCAGCAAAGATACAGACGTGTGCTATAATGTCGGTAAGTACAGTAAACACTATGCTTCTTGAATATACCGTTAAATTAATTACCAAAGCTTTTACAAGCAGTTCTGGTACTTACACGTCGCTTTGCGTGGTATAAACACGATCAAATAAAGCTTCAAGCGCCATCCATTTTACTGGCAAACGACCCTGCAGAATAAATTGAGATTGATAAACAAAATGTCTCGTTCAATAGGGCGCCATCCCATCCACTGAGGCAATTTGCAAGGACATGCAGAGTTGAGGTAATAAGAGCTAATGATAGTTTGCTGTAGCTTACGGCTACGGGTTGTAATATCCAGATAAATATAATGCAATTTGTGCTCTCTGGAAAGAAACCTGGACAGAAAATGTATATTTGAGTTAATTTCATACATCTGTGGTCTTTCTGTAATAGTCAATCTTGTGAATATCTCTTGCCAAACCAAAGTCAGCGATTTTCATTATTTTATCGTCGCCGACCAAAACATTTCTCGCTGCGAGATCTCGGTGAATGCACTAAAAGACATGTACCGTTAGTAAAATAACCACAAGTTTAAATTGTACGTTTAAATTGCAAGTTTAGTTTAGTTCTAAACTGTTCTTCCTATAGGACCAGTAAGGATCATCTTGCTTGGAATTATGAAAGATGAAAATATAGTCGGTCCACATTGAAGTAAGTACACTGTAGCTAAACGTTAAATAATTATTTCAGCTCTGCGAATTTCTACCGTTTTATTGCAGTAATGTTAGTAACAGCGAAGCGATTAATGAGTTTAATTAGTTTTAAAAACCAGCTTCAAATATTTCCTTCTTACCCTCATCGAAGCTAGATACTCCATTCCTCGCGCGACCTGATATGAGAACGATATAAAATCACGCAGTGACAGGATGTCCTCCGCCTGAGGTGCTGGAATCATTTCCTCTCGCTGTGGTCTGCGTTCCCGCAAATACTCACGAAGGTTTCCATGTGGGGCGTACTCCACAATCACTAACAATGGACCTGAATGATAGAGAGATGACTAGGTCAGATACATCGTTCATTCCAACTTATCTACACAGATAATCTCCAAAAAAAGCACATTTTTATACATTTAAAACCCGGAAAAGGATAGATATCATGGATGTAAACAACACAAGCAAGAGTTTTGTGTATGAAACTGACCATTTTGCGTACAACATCCAATAAGGTTAATGATGTTTTTATGGGGTCCAATTTTCTTCATCACCTCCAGTTCTGAAACAAGATCTGCAAACTCCACGTCTGTTGCATCGTCTGTGAGAAAAATGTGTTTTTTACGACCTAACAACACTTTACTTACAAGCTACTAAGGGAACAGTTCGCATTTCCCAAGAAAAGAGCATGTGAATACAGAATTGTGGTATTAACAAAAACATTATATGAATTTGACTTTAATCATTGATAAAAACATTAAAATCGCTCGACTTGGTAAAAAATGTTCCATGTTTAATGCTTTGAAACGGAATTAAACATTTGGGGCGATAGACAGTATTTAAATAACCTTCACGTACCTTTCAAGGTTTTTACAGCTACTGTGAGACGTGCAGCTCCCAATCTTTGAATATATGCTTCAGCTTTTAAAACTGTTCCAAACGCACCTTCTCCTATTGTCCCAAGAAGACGAACATTTTCCCGAGAAATATCCCAGTCATCATCATACGGAATTTCACTTGCCTAAAGAAACAAACTTTGAACTTCAGAGAAAGCCATTTTTAAACACGTAAGAAATTTGTATAACTTGTTTGAACTTCAAAATGAAATTGGAAATCGATTGCCTAAGTGCATTCAAATGATTGAGTGATACTGTAAGTGTCCAGATGTACCACAACACAGGCTATGTTACAGACCATTAGTTTTGGAGGAAACAGCTTCCTTCAATTTTTATTGTGAGTTTATTTACCTGGGAAAGATTTGAGCTAAAACGCGTTCGAAATTTCCTAACAATTGGATGGTTGTTTACTTCAGGAACATCATCAACGATATAAATGTCGTCTTTACTCGGAACGAACCGTGCGCCCCTCGTTCGTCGACGCCTTCTCAGACACATCGCACATACGACTATCACAAGTACAATGGCAAACCCTAAGCTGCTGACTACGGCGATTATTGTAATATCGACCGCCCTTTCTTGGCCACGATTGACGCGGTAATCGGTTGTTGAGTCGCTCGTGGGATATTCTGTTAAAAAAAAACAAATTTATGTCAACGCTTTTGCAAGGACAGTCGAGTTGCAACAAAACACGACGCAGACCTTGTCCTGTATGAACTTTTTATATGAAAGGCAGGGTGTGTTGGGGATGCACAGAACTCTTTCTGTGGACAATTTTACAAAGGTAATTGTCTTTAGTCAGGTGTCTGAGAACGAAAGGCATCCGTGTGAAAAGAGTCGATGAAAAATCCCTATAAAAAGTCCATGGTTTTCTGAATTCCTTATTCAGAGAAAAGTTGAGAGGATAGTTCGTCTTGTGATTCAACTAAGCCCTGCAAAAGTGTATTGGTACCTTTACGTTTGACTGTGAGGGAAAAATACTCTCTTTTCTCCTTGATAAAATTTTCTGCTGTGCAGGCATAGGTCTTCTGGTCCGAGAATGAGACATTCTCGAATGTCCACGTGACAGAATACCAGTGCACATCAGTGCCCTAAAAGAGAAAAAGAAAGAGTTAGCTGAATTGCACGTGCAAAGAGTGGTAATAACACGTGAAAAGAATGGCGATGTCAAATAAAAAAAGCGGTGATGCGATGTCAGGTCAAGAGGGCATGGATTCCGCGGCTGATTTGTGTACGACTTTCCTCATAGACAAGAGCAATAAGCAAAAAACTTTCGAAAACAATGCATAATATATTTTCTCATGGCCCAGGGTGGTCATATAATATATACGGTACATACCGTTGCATTAACTATTGGTCCCATCTTGATCCTTCCTCCAATCTTTACGGGAACAACGCTACCATTGGATGAAATGTGCTGTAATTTAAAACGAGGTTGTTGGTGTGCCAACGCATCGCATCTGACTTTGAATTGGGTTCCCACCACGGCTGTTTGGTTACCAATCTGCTGGATAATTGGCGCCGAGCGTATTTTCGTTTCTGAAACAAATAATGAGTGCAGATGCGGTGAAGATGATCTTTTGTAAACAGTAATCAATTCATTGGTCAACTCATGTCAAAACTATGTACAGATTGCGAGATTATATTTATACAGGCTCTGGACTTAGTTGGCCGACAAAGACATCACAGTAAGGGTCGCATTAATCTGGTCCTATTGAATTCGATTCCCCTATACACAGTCACACATGCATACCGCCTTTTTGAACAGAAGAACAGAAGTGTCTGACATAGTTCCTTACTTGGCACTTTCAAAGTGAATTCAAAACTAATGTTTCCAACTTTATTCCACACAAGGCACTTGTACTTGATTGGGTCACCGACATCTGGTGATTTTACTTTATAAACGAAGTTTTTCGATGATATTTCGCCCGACTTGTGCTGAACGATCTCGTCGTTTTTGAACCACATTACGTCAGGCATGGGAGAACCACGAGCCTTGCAAGAAAATGTTGGTTTATTCTGCTCATCGTATTCTACCTCCCTTTTCTTTTCCATTTCATCGAGATTGGTGAAATATGGCTCTGAGATGATATGAAAAAACAGGTTTATCAGATTAATAGAACAATAAGGGCAAATTTGGAGCAAGAGGGGTGAAATGTCAACTACACTACAGTACTCCTGAGCGACCCTAAAACTAGAGTCCGATTTTGATTGACTTCACAACACTGACGTCATATACTGACGTCATATGACGTCATCGGAGCAAAATAATTAATGGAGGAAATAAAGTAAATCCAGGAATGAATGTTTAATATTTTAACAAATAACCCCGATATTATCGTGTTTGTACTTTTAACCAAAATCAAACAGTTTAAGCTGAATATAATTTACAAATTTAAAATTGAAATTGTCACTTACTAATTCCAGTTCCCGATGAGTTTTCTAAAAATGAAGTAGAAATATTAGATAAAATTGTTGTGACATTCGTTGTGAACAGAAAGACTGTTAAAAGGCCGGTCTCCACTTGCACCTGTACAATCAGTGCGGCCGATTTGTAATTCTACTTTCGCTGTAGACTGTATTCCACTTTCAAGACGGCCGTCAATGCACAAGCCGTACGTGCGATTTCGGTGCGTTGTAAGAACGTGCAAGTGGAGTCTGTCCTTTAAACCGATGTTAAACGATAAGAATGTTTAGTTAAGCTAGCACTAGAAACATAAACGTTTTATTCGTACCGATAACATCCAAATAAATCGTTTTATTTTCAAATTCTTTGTCTAAGAAAGCCTGACAAACGTAAATTCCTTGGTCACTTTTTGTGATGTTCGCAATCTTCAAATATTTGTTTTTCTTGACCCAATATTTCTTCAGCTGGGCTTTGATCAACTGGCCATCTTTATACCAACGATTTTTGGCAGAATCGAGTTTCACAGAGCACGTTAGTCTGATGTAGCGAGCGCCTTCTACGGCGTAAACTATTTCTGGTTCTTGATCGTTGTCCTTGAAGAATTTCCCGGTACCTGTTTGATGGAGAGAAGAAAGGAAATGTAAAGTCTAGGATTTGCCACTGTTTAGGTTTAAAGGAGCTTTATAAAAGTCTGTTGACACGATCCAATTTTGTTGGATCCAATTCACTTCTGATGGATGTTTTACAGGCTGTTATCTTGTAATGTATATGAGTAGCAAATTCACTAAAGCCAATGCACTACGGCTTCATCAAAAGCCGACTATATTTTGTTGGTAAGTGTTGTACTCGTAAACACAACGACTACGAGTTTCGTCAGATGGCGTAAGCTAAAAGCACAGAGTTTGGCGCGAAAACGACGAATCTTGTACTGGTAGTCGTACTCGTAGTCTCTGCTATAAAACTCCCTACTATAACTCTCTCGTGGAAAGTTACTGCATTTAAATCAACCTTGGAAGAAAGTTCAACGTAGAACAGTGTGGCATGCAGTGTCCTATAGGATAAGAAGTTAAATACACGCCATTTCATAGTTCATCTATTGCATTTGATAAACACTTCTAAACAAAACTAAACAATGCAACTATGTATCTTTCACAAACTCAGTCATGAATTTAAAACTCTTTTAACTGTAGTTAACGAGACCGCCAATTGATTCGAAAACTGATCAATGATAGGAAATTGTTGGATAGAAATGCGATGAATGCCTTTTGTAGTAACATAATAATGATCTTATGCCAAAGATGTTTCCTTAAGATTAGAAACCACAAATTCTATGCTTAAAAGAATTGATATTAGATATCAACTCTTGTCTACTTTGAGGATTTCCTGATTAAAAACCAATTATTATAAGGACATAACTTTTTCCAAATAAGGCTGTGGGAAATTATCACTTTTGAATCCTATTATGCACTGGTATTTTACAATAAAATGCTTGATGCACTATATTTACAAACTGACGACCCTCGTGTGTCTACTAAACTGTGATATCATTCGTGCTGACAAGTGCTTTCATAGATCTCTATCATGGGCCTTCACAGCGTAAGCGCAGAGGCTACTATAGATCAGGTTCCCGTCCATTATCACACCCTTTTCCCCTGCGGAGAGCAGGTGAAATAATGGTCATGTTTAGTTCGAAACGCAGTTGGATTGTCCGTGTTTGCTGTGGGATCCTACTGGGTTAATCCGCTTTGAAAATGCGCTTATTTCGAGACGATAAGGAATGCTGGATACAGCTGTGGTCTACTTTGCAACGTCAACGCGTAGGCGCGCATTATCAGCGTTTAAACGCAAAGGTTAACTATTTTTTTAACTGTTCCCATTTACGATTGCAAGATTTTTTCGAAAATGAGCTCAATATTCGATAAGCATTGAGCCATTAAGAGCAATAATTGGAGCATTAACGTCCAAACAGCCTTCCAAAACAATTTGGGCTATGTAGAGATGTGTTTAACATTTAATAACCATATGGATATTGCATGCAGACATCGCAATACCGACTCAGTTGAACAGCAGGAATTATGGGGTGCTTCAATTGGATTTAGTGCAGTGTGCTTGTTAGTTCATGCAGAGTTATTGAAAAACTTGTTTGTTATTGAAGTATAATAGATTTTACCATCAGCCATCTACAATGGTATTATACACTTCATAACGTCACAAGGCTTGCGTATAACGGGTTTTACCGCGATACACATTTGAATGTTCCGTGGACATGTTTTTTACGCCAAGATCCAACCTAAACTTTATCATTTATTCTGTATAACATCGGCGAATTTTGTTCACGAAGGGTATCCATAGCCGATGGTATATATAACCTAAATATTCTTCATTCGTTTTCATAAGTAAATATTCATCGTAATCTTTACATGTAACTTGAGAGAAAAGTCGCATAATCACAAATTTAAGTTTTCGTATTTCATTGACAAAAACAGCTGTTCAACCGTTATTTGTTTAAACTAAAGTTAAAAGCAATATACAATTCAACAAATGCGCTATCGGCTTTTTGAACAACCGACTACAAATATAATCGAGCATTACTGATGCTAACGTGATACGTTTCCGACAAAAAAAGACGGACATCTTGTGGTTTCCGACAAGGTGAAGGATTTTATAGAAAGCGCATTAACGTTTTAAAGATTAGAGCCATTTGGTCTACAGAGTAAAACGGTTTTAAAAAAAGGACATTTTGCCTTGGGTGCTTTCAAAAAGATCGTATTTCTTTGCACGCGTATCAAAATAATCATTCATCAAAATATTTTTAATAGAAACCCTCGCTTCAGATGAATTGCTAGTCAAAATTATAAACATCGCTAAGTTTAAACTAAAATGCATAGCATTTTTAAAGATGTTTGCAATATTTTGCTGGTATGGACGAATTTTTGTTTGCGTTACAAGCTTTCTTGATTCAGTTGAATTAAAGTTGATAGGGGACGAATGAAGAAAAACAAGTACAGTTTAAAGCGATTAAAACCGAACAAGAAGCTTTAGAGATATTTAAAATCAAAATCTCTGGCCTTTAGACTCTGTTCTTGGTAAACATTTTTCATAAACACTGTTTAAAAGGATGTTCTTTTAATTATGTAGTAATCATTACAGGAATTAACCCCGGATACACGTTTTAGGAGAAATTTTCTGCATGTAACCATAAGTCCAAAGTTTCCTTCAGGAAATTTTGTTTTGCAAAAGTGTGGTGTTTAAACACTTTCGGCGCTTATTGTCCACGTTATTTAAACATTGCATCTTATTGTTTCCCGTCTATGACAAATTAAAAACACAATGAAAGGCTACTTATGCGCAACTTCAAATCTAATTTCTAAGCCTGATGTGGGAATTTAATTTAGGAATGTACCAAACATTGCATTAACTTATTTGGTAGCAATCTGTGATACTTTGCAGCCGGAGTTGACTCGTTCGAGTTTTCCTTGTTTAAATCCACTCCAAAATCGCATTGTGATCGATGATGCATGATTTTAACTCGAATCGCGTGTTGAAAAAAAACGATTTTTTTCAAGAAAGTTCTATTCTTATATATTTTCACCTGTTTTAAGTTCGCATTTAGGTTGTCGAAAGGTTATCAATGTAATCAAATTTTATATTGGTAGAGAGTGACGCGGAATTGTTGCTATGTAGAGAAATACTTCTAGCCGAGAGTCTATTGAAAATTACAGCCGACAGGGGACCTGGCTTTTAGACAAAAACAGGATCTTATCTACAAGGTATGTAAAAAGTTGACCACAATACCTTCACAAACAAACCAACAAGTCAGATACAAAAGAATCAGGATAAATTGGTCGCATCTTGCCAACGGAAACCACATCTTGCCGACGTGATTGAATCAATCCAAAGTGATAATTGAAACGATATATACAATATCAGAGCACTTCACATGTCCACGACTGCAGGAGTTTCATTATAGTCCGCCCGACAACCTGTGCTATTCAAATCGAAAACATGTGTTCGTTGATTAGTTGAAGACCAGCAAAATATGAACAAGACAAATAAATACGGTGTTCGTCCCCATAAATGCATAAACGTTTTTAAGTGCCTCTTAGAAACAGTATCGCTCTTACTATTAATAAACACTCAATGTTACCCAGCGTTTAATAATCTGTGCCTATCGTGTACAATTATATGTTAAGATTCCGGTTACCTTTACGAAATCATTCCCAAAGCTCATCTAAGCTCGAGTAAACTTCGCCAAATGTAAACAGGCAAATATGACGACGCGTTTGGCAGGCCGTTTGCGAATATTTATTATATAGTATTACACACATACCATTGCTCGGATAATCACCTAGGCTAATAATCTCACTTAAGCATACCTTTGTATGAATATACCCTGTCGAAATTTAGACATAACCCAGCGAGCGACTGTTTTAACGTCTCTGTATTCAATATAAACGTTTGAACATGAAAATGCCTTCAACTTTGGTTTTATTCACAGTTTTTACACTCAAGGTCAAACCAACCCTGAGCAAAGCAATCAACAATTAAGCCGCTCCAACGTCATACATAAATGATCTCGCGGACAAAGGGTATATTTGAGATTTCCGGTCTTTTTAAAGTGTCTTTTATTCTGACCAATCCTTGCCTGAAGGACACACGCTGTGTTGCGAATATAATACTCATGTTGCGCTGCGCGGACTAAATTACAACAAAAACGTCGAGGGTTGCGTCTCGAGTAACGAGGGATTGGAAAACTCAACATCCAGTTGCGGCTGAGTGTCGTAGAGATCATCTGCTCAATCTTATACCCAAAGGAATGGGAACGAGATTGTAGAGGATTGCGAGTTTGTCCTTTGGAAGGAGTTTGTTTCTCTCTATTTTTTTTAAAACCGCGGATATGTAACATGAAAATTTGTCTTTACTGAATTTGATTATTATTATCTTCTATTTCTTTTTCTGAACTAACTATCTACACGCCTACAATCATGTCAATTTATTTCACATATTATAAACATTGTCTAGATTAGAAGATCTATATACTTCATTTAGACGCATTTCAAGAACTTTAATGGAATCACTCTTTAAAAATTTGCTCAAGAATGGCGCTTGTACGAAGTAAAATAATCCAAATGTTCAATACTGCATTAAACATTGCAGGCATTGCATTCAGAGACTGCAATCAGAATGTAGTGAGAATTTTTATACCACATTTGATGTAGAGAGGTCTAAGATCCATAGTTTTACCATATTTCGCTGTTTTTTTTTAATTTTTATGAAAATAGCGACGTTAATCAGTCATTTGCATTGACTGATTGCATGTTTATACTACTTCAGGGTTTGGACATACCAGGAATTTGCCCGGTAAAATTAGTTTTAATTCCGTGGACCTGTGGCACATTCTGTGGCAATTGAAAAGGGAAGGCTGGGGGAACATTTATGTTCTGTGGCCTCTTAAAAAGGTTTTCACCCAGCTCCTCTCGTAATCCCAAATAATCCACCAGATTCCAATAATTACCCTTCTCGTCCCCAGGTGGAGTTGGCTTCTTCGCTTTACTCTGTGGCGTCTCGATTTTCTTCGCTCGAAGATAATTTAAGATCAACTTAAAACACTCTGGGTTAAAATCCAAGAAGACGTTGTCGTGTTTATCTTTCTTCAAACTATCTTCCCATCTGCCGCTAAACATTGAAGCAAGAAGCGATCCTTCAACTTGACATAATGTTGATCTCGAAGCGGCCATGATTTTACCTCCGATGTTAAGACTGACAACATCGTCGTCTTCGACTTTAATTTTCATCATCTTTTTCTTTTCATCTTTTTTCTCTTCGCTGGGCTTCTATACGTTCAACTTCGTTTTTCAAAGCTGAATTAAAACTCTGAAACTTTCCTTGCATATCATTCGCTTTCGACATTTTGAAAGACTTGTTGTTAAATGTTGTTATCTAAACCAAATAGTACGGTGGCCGATACGTGTCACTGCATTATTATTTATTAATATTTACAAGAACACATTACAAAGTCAGAAAACACATTTAATTTGAAAACTCTCGATCACTACACATTTCAAAATTCTCACTACACATTTCAAAATTCTCACTATACACATTTGAAAACTCTCACTACACATGTGTTCAAACTCTTGAAATCGACAGGTGCTTCATGTTATTTATAATAGTTTGAAATATTACTTTTATCGTTCCTGCCTTGGTATGTCGCGATCCAGAAATATTCTTTTAATCTTTTATAGTTAACACTCAGACATTATTGAATTCATTTCTACATGAAAATATTTAATACTATTTCGTTTGATCTCCTTTTACGACGTTAAATATACTAGAACACATCGAAGCGGATGCGGAAACTTTAATATTCATGAATTCTGAATTCCTCAAAGCGAAAGTAAAAGTATGCTCGACTTCTTCTTAGTATAAATAATTCCTGGAATAAATTATTCTTCGACCACATGCGGTTTTGTTTGTTAAAACGCTTTGCAAAGTTACTAACCACGTTTTACTATCATCATCCTCATGGCGAAATACAATTTATTGCAAGAAGGCTTCACCAACGACACATTCGCTGTAGCATTTGACGTCTACACGCCAAGACCTCACTTCATTATTCTACCTAAAAGCGACAAGTCTGTCGATCCAGAATTTAGCCGGATAACAAACGAACAAACACAGCATCTCATCGAAACGGGAAAGTCCGCGTTAGCATGCTTCAAGATAGACCGTGCAGTTTTGTCCATACATCGTGGATCATGGCGAACGACAAGAGATAAATTTCACGTCCACATTTGTGTCGACGTCGATAGCTATTTGCGGATCTACGAAAGCCGAAAGAAAGCCATTCCTAACTGGCCGAGTCGTGATTATGTTACGAAGCAATGGCGATGGAGGAGAGATCCTCGTTTCTATCCAGAAAACGTACGAGGTTATCCATACCGTAGCTATTTGGACGACGAAGTTGCAGGGATCAGAACCATCAGAAAAGAAACGTCACGTAAAAGAGACAGCAAAGTTGATAAACTCGATGAAGATGGTCCTCTTGAAGGTTGTATCACTAAAGTAGTCTATCATTCAAGTCAACCAAAGATTGGCTTCGTTAGTGCAAAGCCCGAGTCGACTCAGGATTTCCAAAACTTGCTCTCGGCTATAGAAAAGTTCGCTGAAGAACGCAATTTAGTTAATACGGAATCAAAAGACGAGAACCATGGCTGCCATGTTTGCTTGTATTTAGGATCAGGTATGTGCATGTATTGATTGTTCAAAACCTTGGTTATTGCAACAGCATTAACTTCGCATAGCGTATAAATATGAAGCCTTGAAGATTTGCTAGAAATGGCGAGGGGATAAGTTTTATCTACTATCGAATTTAAGCCAGCAAAGAGCTATCCAAAATTTGTTGACATAACACAAAATATTTATGTTTCACTAAATGTGAAGTGCCTCTGTGTATTTGAGTACAAATTTTCATCTAAATCAGAACTCGTTACACAAAATTAATGTCGATGCAGGTTTTGGACAAATTGTGATTATTTTCCTTCATTTATCTTCAGCTAAAACCGATGATTGGAATTACAGCGAGGAAGATAGCGAGGATATTCGAGGATACATTGTGACAACCGGAGTTCGTTTCTATCAACTATGTCCCGAGGACCTCCGGGATGATTGGTTTTATGCTTACAAACAATCTGATTTTAAATGTCTGACCTGAACAGCAACAGAAACGGTTTCACAAATGCTTCATACAGGCCGAAGAAGCAAAAGATAAACGCATGATGCCTTTCTATCGACTTTCTTCAACATATAAACCTGATGTAGTATATGGTTTTGTTGTCATCACACTTGTCAAATTATAATACATCAGTAAATAAATATAGTCTATATACTGTTTTATCATAAAATCCCCTTGGTTTTTATATCAATTTAGTCTCTAGAACCTTTTCTTAAACGTATGGTCATGAAAATATGCTCTTTGAGTGCAACTGTTGATCAGGTTCCTGAAAATGAAACCAAAGTCGCAACTTCAATTCCAAGAAAACGAAATTCCAAGAAGGAAGGTCAATTGAATATCAAGCAATATTGCATATCAAAATTCATGCACCAATTCACAATTCCTTATGAAAATGTACAATCTCAGATTGTGTAGAATAGGCGTTATAGTCATCTTCTAAGATGATAGAAGCTACAGTTTACCAAAACACAAAGGAACAAATGTTTCTGTGTTTCCTAAAAACATACATTTCTAGGCGTAGAGATGCTTCATGCAAACCTGCATGCTTCGCTTAGTCTTAGACCAAATACTTGGGCAAAAATTTAAATTCACGATATTTAAGAATTTAATTCATCAAACTGAAAGTGAAAGTGCGCCTGTATTGGGTCGTATAACGTGAACCACCAACTGTTTTGTTTGTGAAATAAATAATAAGCTGTACATTCATCATGGCTTGCTACAATCTATTGCGAGGTGATTCCGACAATCCTTTATTTGATGTTACATTTGATTTTTATTCCCCGAGACCTCACTTCATTATTTTAACCAAAGCTGGCGTTCCTATGAAACATGAGTTTGGTCTCATCTCAAGCGAACAGATACAACAACTCATCAAAGCTGGGAATTCTGTATTGGAAATCTTTAAGATAGCTGGAGGTACTCTATCAATACATCGCGGAGCTTGGAGGAGCGAAGCAAATAAGGTCCACGTTCATTTTCCCGTTGATCTTGAAAGTTATTTACGAGTTTTTGAAAGCCTGAAAGGAGATATCCCCAACTGGCCGAGCAAGAAATATGTTACAAAAGAATGGAAGAAGAGTAAAAATCCTCGTTCATATGTTGAGAATGTGCGTGGTTATCCCTACCGTTGTTATCTTGCTGATGATGTGAAGAGCGTTACAGCAATTTTATCTTGTGAACAAGACGTTGCCCTCGCTGAGTTGCCTCTTGAAGGCGGTATCAAAAAGATAGTGTACCATTCGAGCCATCCAAAGATTGGCTTCGTTGGCAAAAAACCTGCCTCGATTGAAGAGTTTCAACAAGTGCTTTCCGCGATGGAGAATATCGCTAAAGATCTCCGTTTGACAGACATGAAATCTAAAAACGCCGAGAAACACGGCTGCCATGTTTGTTTGTACTTGGGTTCAGGTATGTTTATCTATAGATACTGATAAATGCATATGTAAGCTTAATAACCGAGTTTTACAGTAAGTAACTCTGATTCTGTACCCTGATGCATTATGCCCTATCAATCGCTCTTTTCAAAGAAGGTTTAAACATGCAAAATGTATTCGTATAGACAACTATATATAGCTTGTTGTATAACCTTTGTACATGCAGGATAATTTACAAACTGAACCACTTTTCCGGTCTACCGGAGAGGGTAGAGCAACTATAGAATCTCTTGTTAAATCCACATTATTGTTTGTGAGTTTTCCTTCGTTATCCTCGCCTTTCTAACAGGGCGAGCAGACATTGTAGAATCATTATGAGAAAGAATAAATCTTAAAGAGAAAAGAATGGATAATATAATGCATGCAAGAAGAAACATGTATTGCATTTGTCCTCTCCAAATTTGACCTTCTCAATGCATTGTCGTTCTATGTTTGTTTTTTTTCACGTAGTTAGCAGTGCTGGCTGGAATGGGCTCACCAAAGAAGATGATGAAGATGTTGTAGGTCATATCGTGATGTCAGGATTTCGTTTCTATCAACTGTGCCCTGTGGAACTTCGGGAGAACTGGTTTCACGCCTATGAGCAGTCAGGATTTCAGTGTCTAACGTGATAGATGAGCGAGAAATTCTTTAATAATAAATTCTGATATGAATAATGATACTAAATATACCCTTTTCACTTTGTATTGTACAGATTTTATACATTTAATTCATGAAGAAAGACTAAAATCTCTGCAGTAAAATCTTTTTCTCTGTGTAAATTACAATAGTTATACATGCATACATCTTAAAGCGATAATTGTTGAATTACATAAATTATTTCAATTAACTAAATATTGCCAGAATATTGAGGGAGAAAGAGATCGTGCCGTCTAAAATGACCCGTGGTGCGTTTAAGAGATGAACTAAACTATCAGAGGTACAAAATACCCGACCTTGTCAGTTGAAAATGAGTTATGAGACTAGGTGTAGCCGAAGACGAGACACTGCACCTGGAGATAAAGAAATAACCGTATCCATATAATTCGACCATTTTCGAGTCCGCCAGAAAACGGCGTGTTCGACGATAGTCGAGTCGAGTAAACTAAGTCGTTCAGTCATTTACATTGAGTTTCCTTTCGAGAAAATGACTATTTTAGACGTTAAAAACCGGTTAAAGACTGCTTAAAAACACTAAAATTTCTAAAAGAATATCACTGAAACACTAAAATTCTCGCTAAAATCACTTAAAAAACGTTTAGGCGTTTAAATCTTGACATTTCCAAGCGTGTGCCTTATTAGACATTTTCTATGGACATACTTGTTAGGGACCGCCCCCTGAGACCAGGAAAAGCTTAAATACGTTAAATTTATCTTCGCTCTCAAGGCTTACCACTGTAGCTGATTCGTCTATGACGCGCTAGGCGTGTGGTATACAGCCCACTCTGTTTCTCACTGAGACGTAACGGTTAGGTGCACATACATCATGGTCTGGGGGCCGTAGTGCATCTCCCCCTTAGACGGCCGTTAAGATGTGAGTTATGGGGGGGAGTTCTTCCTATAGCAACTGTCCTTGCACCTTTCGTAGTTGTAATCTATGCTGGTATATCGCAGCTGGTTGTAATATCACCGGTTAGATTGTGGCATAGAGCTGGATGATCTCTTTTGGGTGTTTTTACGTTCTTTCCAAAATTTTCTTTTTTAGGGTGCTTTCCAAATTTTTTCTTTTACATACAAAAAAATTCTGCTATTAAACATATATGGACCGGATATGGTTCGAAAAAAAATTTATATCGACTAAAAACCACCTTAATTAATCCTGAATACTCTCCCCAGTCTCTGCATGGCTGAATCTCTGAAATAAACAATAGCAGAGATCATTCATAAACATCAAACATTTATTAACAGCATTTTTATCAACCTTACAGCAGTAAAACAGCAACAAAGACATTCAGACAGTCAACTCTGCATTCTCGTTAGTGCCTTCTCGTTAGTGCCTATACGCTGTTTTTTCCGGCGTTTTTGGTCGAGTCGCCAGAAAACGGCTTATTCGACCATGGTCGAGTCCAACGGAAAACAGCTTATTCGACCATGGTGGAGTCCAACGGAAAACGGTGTATTCGACCATGGTCGAGTCGAGTAAACTAAGTCGTAATATTAAAACGTAATAACCTTTTTATGCGGAAGACTTCTGTGCAAATGTTTTTATTCCACGGGAGATTCGAGACAGGGGGGGGCGGTAGGTCAGTACTCTGGGATGCGTATATGTAGTTATTCGACTGGTATATAAGCTGGCAGAGTTTACTATCGTCGCTTGGTCGTTCTCGGCTATCATCAAGTCGTACACAAATAACATTGTGTCTAGTTTGATACAGTGTCTTTTAATAGTTATGCATCAAGTTTATTATTGCTGTATAGAAAATTTGTTGATAATTGATAGGAATAAATGAATCTTGTAAGCTTGCGACATCACTCTGGCTTTTTCTGCAGACCAAATATGGTTGAAAAGGTTGTGACCTTTTGTCACAAGACTGCTCTTGAAAGTTTGCAATTCCTTGAGGGAACTCGTTGCAAATTATAAACTTCACCTTCAAAGATCGTCTAAATATGTAACGATTACCAGTTTCTTGTTGTTGTATTCCAAGATGTGATTTGGATTGTGTCGGGAAGAATATGGCAGAGGGTTTCGACACAAATCGCTTTCAATCAACTGTTGATCAAAGCTTCATTTGCACTATCTGCCTTTGTGTTTTAAAAGATCCGATGCAATGTGAAAATAACGAACATTATTTTTGTTCATGTTGCATCAAGAAGCATCTGGAGAAGAACTCGCTCAGTTGTCCTGTCTGTCAAGAGAATCTGACCGTAGAGACGCTGCGTAAAGCACCGAGAATTATCTCAGATCTCGTTTCACGTTTGAAGATCAATTGTGACCACGCTGAGAGAGGCTGCGATGTGGTTCTCGAACTCGAAGCACTACCAAGACACGTTCAAGACTGCGAGTACACGCCAGTTCATTGCTCCAATGAAGGCTGCGATGATGTCGTCAATAGACGAGATGTTAAACAACACGAGACCGAACTCTGTCGCTTCAAAACAATAGCCTGTGACGACTGTGGAAAGAAGATGCTTTACAGTAAATATGAAACACACGGCTGTGTCTTACGACGTGATGTTGACGAAATGAAGAAAGATCTCGCAGGAATCAATGAAAGCATCCAACAAATGGCTATCGCCATTGACAATCTGGGAAATTCATTCGCCTCTATGAATCCTGATATTCTTGTCATCGGAGGAATTAATTCCAAAACAGGTCAGGCTGGTCAGACAGGTCAGCCCATTTCATTCGTCGAAAGATTCAATTTGATCAACCAAACGTGGACGCCGCTGTCTCAGTTAAAAACACCACGATATTGTTCTGCAGCTGTTGTGTTTCAAAATCAAATTATTGTTTGTGGCGGTTCTTCCGTTTCGAGTTTGGGCGCCTGTTTAGATAGTATTGAGGTATTCGATCTGAATAATCCTACTCCGGAATGGAAGCAGTTTTCTGTCAATCTCCCTGTCAAAGTGGCTGGTCATAAGTGCGTCGTCTATGGCAATCGTCTGCTGATTATTGGTGGGGCATCGAATAGCAATGCAATAGTGATTCACGATACGATATACGAGCTGCTTCTTGTCCCACCTTATTCATCCAAGTTGCTCTGTCGCATGAAGAAAAAACGAGCGTATCATGGAGTAGAGTTGTTTGATGATAAAGTTTTGATAGCAGGCGGTGCAGGTGGTAACGCAACAACTGATGTGGAACTATTTGACATCACAAGAAATGAATGTGTCGAAATGCCGCCATTACCATCACCTGTTAGGAACGTGGCAACAGTTCGTCGAGATGACACCATGTTGTTGATCGGAGGGGCGGATGACAAAAATAACGTTAGCGATAAAGTTATCCAGTATGATCATAAAACTGGCAAGAGCGAGGTTTTGTTGGACATGAAGAGCAAGCTAGTTGGTTGTGCTGCTGTATATCAAGGCAACACGCTTGTGATGATTGGTGGTGCGAATGAAATACCTATGTCCAAGAACGCTGTCGATGAAGTGAATTGTTATAACTTTTCGTCGCGTTCCTGGAAGAAACTTCCTTCGATAAAGGAGAAAAGATACCTTGCTGCAGTAGTGATCGTGCAGAAGCAGAATTTTTAATTTTGCTTGATAATTGGCAATGGATAACACATAATATCTGTAAAATTAGGTTCCGTCGTTCAGTTAAAATAGGCCTAGTGCATTAATAATACTGTCATTATTATTTTTAGTAAAATAGTTGTGTTGTAGGACAAGAGGAATTCGAAGAACATGGATTGTCTAACCTCGCTAGAATAGAACTTCACTTATAATAAGTCAATATATAATCAATAGGATGTACTTTTTAAAAGAAATCCTTTGAATATGATATTTTTTAATAATCAAGATGCAATATTTTCTGTACTATACAGTGATTTAGATTTGACTGCAAACAATAGTCTCCCATTGCTGTTAGCTTTGAAAGCCTGGTTCTCACCTAAACATATCGTGGATGTAGTTTTTACAAGTTGAATTAAGTCCTCGGCTTGGTTGAGCAAATAAGGTTAGGGTAGCCCAACTCTGGATTAACACAACTTGTTTATAAAGTTTATTTATGTAGAAATAAACCGTTTCTAATGCACTCCCTCGACCCTCAACCCACTTTACAAACGCTCTTCAAAACAACGCGTTCAACCATATCACCATGCAGCCGTTGTTCGCGCCGTTTCCCGACCACAAAGCGATTGTTTCCGATCGAGAAGCAGAGAGAAATGACGACATTGTCAAGAGACATCTTAATCAGCAACTTGGATGAGGCAAGGTATTCATGACGTGTGTCCTTTTTTGGGGACTGCGGGGTAAAGATTTCAAAAGTAAACAAACTGTTATGCATACGTGAGACGCCTTCGCCTGTATCAAAGCTTTCCTCTCCTAAAAATAGACAAGCGCTCGAACAAACGGACATTTATCGTGTTTTGATGGCGTTTAAAAAATATCCCTACGCTAAATACAGACATGTTTAAGTGCTGTCATATGCGCTTCGCTTCTTCGGCCCTTTTGAGCCCGCTATTCCCATTTGTTTTAATAGTGTTAAATATGTTTACTTTACTAACTTCATCCGGATAAAGTACACAATGATCCGGTCACAATAAGGTTTATTTTTAAGAAGCAGGGATATCATATCGTCTTGTATATAAGCTCGTCAGTTGTCTGACGTGATTTTAGTATTAAAGAAAGGCGAAGAGGTGTTTGTCATTCCTGTTGGAACTAGCGGTTAGTATCTCAACAAAGCGTTAGCGATAACGGTAAAACTCTGCTCGCATTTTAAAAGGAAAACGTATTTATCAAAGATGCTCTCGTAAATTAAGATGAAACTTTTTCTATGCCCATTCATCGTCAAAAAATGCGTCTGCCTGAATCAAGTTATTACCTTCAAGAATTCCTTTATCGATTTTACTTTATGTTAATATACTATTTTGCAATGATTGGGTACAAGGTTATGTCTGCTTTTGTGTTTGTGCGTTCGATGTATATCAAAATATATGACACTATCTTCTCTTCATTTAGCAAAGAACAGATTCGAAACGACAGGAGATTTGATACTCTACTAAACCAACTTATCAAGATACGAACCTTTCGTAAGTGTTACATTCCAAAATTTTGAATTATGTATATGTTTGTTGGCTGGGCAAATTAGCGTAAACTGCGGCGCTGCATGCATATACGAAATTAATTACACTCTGTCTTCGTGATCTCGGCTTGAACAACGGCACGGAATGAAATAAAAATATCCAGAAACGAATTGTGAGTGAGGTTATAAGTCATGAAGCTCTATTTTCGAGATCTTATCTTTTTGTTAAGTCTGACCGGAATGCAAAAAAATGGACAAAAATAATCGAAAAATCTAAATTTCCGTGTTTACACTACGATGCCTTGGCAATGTACTGTCTGTGCATAAATCAAGCTGCAAATTTATCTCTAAATTGCCGTTTTCTCATCTGTGAAATCGTGTTAGTTAGTTATGTTATCAACGGAGCTGTTGCCTTAAATTACAATCTTAAGTCGGTCGCTTTTTATACCAGAATCCCTCTTTCCAGGAACACACGAAATCCGTCCATAAATTCTCCCCTGCGTAGTCTATATTTCCGGCTGTTCAACAAACCATCTTTTATACATATCGAATCGAATGTTTCTTTTACCTCGAGTTATTTTCAATCTAACTTGCCGATACTTATTAATCCGATTATCCGTTTAAATGCTCTCGTTAAAACCGCTTATGCGATAAACAGTGTTGTTACTATAATAAACTTTTTCAACTGATCTATATTTTGCGCAATTTTGCGCAAGTTGCAACGGCGATTTCAGACATAAAGCAAACGAAGAATGCGTTGTTTGTAGAGATGATAATATCTTGTTTTTATTGCATCAAGTTTATGTTTAAAACGATGGAGTAAGTTATCGTTTAATAGCGTGAAAGCCGCCTTTGATTCGTATTTGAGCTGTTCAAAACAATATCCCTAGCGCGTTTTGCTTCAGCGCTTTGCCCTTGGCTGGCCTGAAGCAACTGAATTGAACGAAATTCTCCTGTTTTGACCAGAAACACCAGCGGCGAATTTCCGAAACAACAAAGTAAGCACGATTTTTTCTGATTGCTCTACCGAATGGAGAAGTTAACGTGCGCAAGAAAATGTTCAGGAAGTTCCCTGGCCTAAGGGCAGGTTGATCCTCGCGTGCGGCAGAACAGTCGAATTTGAGTGGCTTTTCCACAGGCATCATTAGATTTTGCGTTTTCCTAAACGGATTTACCCCTAAAGGATCTCCTTTAGCTTATGGGCAATTCAGATCAATTGATTGCCTCCAAATGCTGCACAAGAACTTAGGTAAGGTGCAAGCGTAAACCATCTTGATAGAAAGAAATTCTAGCGCAAAGTTTTGAACCACAATCATGGTCCACGATTCAATTGTTCGAACTACTTTAGCGACCTTATTTCTTCAAATAAACGTCTATCAATCCAGCCAATATTTACGTTGAAAATACCTTTGTGATTATAAAGTTAATCTAATTACAGTATTCACAATATCATCTCAAAGCAAGACGCTGAGTGTTTGCTGAAGACCTCGGTGTTGGAAGTAATATGTGACGTAGTATTTTGAGAAAGAAACTTTATTTTGCGTTGTCTTCCTATGCGGTTCTTTCTATATGTCTCGACCCCATGCAGTTAGATACTGGACAATCTAAACAAGCTCGTTGCGTTTCCCACGAAATACGCTGCGTCTTAACCATTAGCAAAACAATCGGGATATTTCGAAACATTTTTAACATTTTTATCGAAGGCTTGTCTAAATAAGCTTTTCTCGTTTGATTTATAGCCAGGGCGTTATCGCGATGGAAAAGATGCCAAACCTAATTGCATCACCACGTCGGCTTCGCAAATTAAAGAGTCCTGACCTCTTAAAAAAGTTAGAAATTCAAATAATGTGAATAGTTTTAAAGCAAAGCTTTAAAAGCTTCGAAGCTAGCGCAGAGAAGATAGAGATCAGCACAGATTACATTGAGCCCGCCCCGCTCATGAGAGCTATTTGCAGAGCTAAACGGACCTCGCGTGACTGTTAGCACAGTAAGTTTCTCTCGTGTGCGGATAGTTTTTGTCAGGAATTCGCCTCGAAAGGCAAGTTTCTCTCGTGTGCGGATAGTTTTCGGGCTAAGCTAACTGCCTCGCGAGGTCGTTAGCTCAGCTGATAACTTTCGTGTGCGGCGGGCTTTAGATCAAGAGCATTAAACTTTAAACTTTATTAGTGCATGCATGTATAGGGCTTGAGTTTTACATTGAAGAAATTCCACAGTCTATAGTCGAAGCTTATGGCCGTATGTGATGTTTACATTGTTTGGCGTAGACAAGAGCGTTTGACTGCACAACGTCACAAACCAAGCGAGCGTTTCACAAACAAATCACGATGGAATTCAGCTTAAGACCACGCGTGTCAACTCAGCAAAAACCTCACCGCAAACGTGAGCCATCAGCTGCATGACAGCCTGAGCCAAGCGTGGTCAACCAAATGCTCACGTCTGTTCTTATTATTCCTGGGAAGAGGAAGGCTAGACTACCATTCTCTTCCTGGAGTATCAGCTAAGATGTTAATTCAGATCGAATCCTTTCCCCCCAAAAGCCAAAAATCACCCCTGCCCACAGGGCCGTAGCTAGAAGCTTAATTGGGGGGGTGCATATTCATATATTCGTCATATGCCCGAATGATTTCTTTTGTATGCTATTGTTCCTATGGTATATAAACATGAATATATGAATATACACCCCCCCCCAATTAAGCGGTCTAGCTACGGCCCTGCCTGCCCAGTAAAATGTGCTTGGTTGTATAACCCTCTTTAATCTCTTTATCACTTAGCATCAAATGTGGTATAACAACTGCCTAAAATAGACAAAACACTTCTCGACTTTTCGACCCAAGGGCCTTCTTTAGTAGGGTTCGTTTGAAAATGAAAGTGTTCAATATCATTTTCATACTAACTCTCCTGACGAAGGCCCTCAGGTCGAAACGTCGAGAAGTGTTTTGTCTATTTAGGCAGTTGTTACACCACACTGATTTGATGCTAAGTTGTTTGAAGACGCTGCCACGCTGCTCCCTGGTTATATTGGTCTTTATCACTTACGTAGCTATTTCAAACATTTAATTCTGTAGGTGGAATGTCTTCCGCAACAATCTCTTCGATTTTTCTTCTCTTCATTCTCTTCTCCTTGAACGCAATCCTCGTTTCGTGCAAGAACTCGCGATCATGCAGAATGAAATCGCAAAATGAGACGATCCGACACAGTAACCCAGCCTGTCAACCAGCAAATGTTGTTACAAATAGTTGCGATGGTTTGTGTCCTTCGGAGAGCACGCCAAGCGCTTCGCTTGGTAAATTCAAAAGAAAATGTAAATGCTGTTCAATCGAACGACATGTTGAAGAATATGTTATTTTCAAGGGTTGTACGGAAGTCTTGAAACGTAAAGTCATTAAAGCATGCAAGTGTGCCACTTGCAAACATCATGGCACTTTCGGGTAAACTGCATCAAAGAAAATGATGAACTAAACTTGCTATAGAAATAGTATATTTGAACAGTCTTATTTTGTACAGACTCTAATATTTTGACAGTTATCTTTATCCTCTGACGATGAACACTTTTATTGATACAAATTACGTAGTAAATATATTGATTTTTTGGCGAAACTGCATGGAATCGGTAGATCGTTTATATTTGATGACTTTGATGGATACAACTGAATTAGATAAGCAGTCTCGTTCTAAACGTGTTCTTTGATAGACTTAATAGTTACATAGTTTTATAGTAAAATACCTAATCACGTAGCATGTCCTCAGAGCGGGTGGCAAAACATTTATTTTGGCTACTAACAGTTTGAACACGCGTACGTAGCCTTTTTTCAGCGGCGACAAGCGAAACCAGTTATTTAAACAATGAAGCACCATTGTTCGCCACATGACCTTATGAACGAAAGAAGCTCTTTCTGACGATCTATTTCATCAATCATTGAATTCTCTTCGAAAAAATATCAACTTTGGGTAAGTGAAGATACAATATATACATTAAAGTTTTGGGGTGTTAATAATCACGATATATTGAGCCGTAATTTACAGCCAGGGATGGCAATAATTGCATCTTCAGGGAATCAATGTATATAATAGTAAACAAGGAATAAACTTCGGCGATTATAAGGCGTGAAATATTTTCATTATATGTTATGTAAATTCGCATTGATTGTTCCTATAGTTTACCATGATGTTTGATCAATAGTTGATCATTGAGGACTTTGAGGCGTGTAAACGTATGTCTTTACATCAGTAGTTTTAAGAACACGTTCATTTATAGCCGTAAGATCTATGTCGACATGCTGTCAGCTTGAATCTATATTTCATGCAGGGGTCGGTTGTATCAAGCCCGTTTAGCTTAAACGGTGGATACGTCAAAATTAAATAACACCCTTACACCTCTCTTGAATGAGTCAACTTGAATTCTATGCACTGAATATGTAGTTGTAAACACTATCTTTGTATTAAGGTAAAAAAAATTTAGTTCGCTTGTTGAATCAAACGATAGACTTGCTTTCTATTTTGAACTTATCCACCGTTTAAGCTAAACGGGCTTGATACAACCGGCCCCAGTTAAATGAATGAGAGAAGCATTTAACCTTGCATGGGCTAATTAATGTACAGTCAAACCCTATGCAACTAGCTCTTTATTATATATATAGTTTTATTCACAGACACCTGGACGCGGTTTATGAATTCCTTGTTCGAACCGTAACTCTCATCAACTCTGGTTTGTTTGGTAAAAAAACTCTTCTTGGAAAACCTAAATTGCTGCGTGTGAAAAAGAGCTCTAACACTCGGTATTTTGTTTTTATATAGTCAACATTTGCAAAATGAAGGCGATCTATATTCTTGTTATCATAGTGCTTCTCTCTGAAGTAGAGGGTAAGATTTTAATCTGATTATTCGTCCTTTGGATAAATAACGCCTCGAGTAACATTAGCATTTTAAAACTGTTCCTTTTAGGAGGTAAATTAATGAAAAAGATCTTCGCTTGCAAAGCTAAAAACAAGGACGTCTCGTCGAGGAAACGAAGGGAGACTACAAGAGCTGAGAAGGAAGTTCAAGATATGTATGGTAATTCTCATAAAGTTATGGACGAAGAGACGAAATCCAGGGAGACCCTCGCTAAAGGTTAGGAATAATTTGGTAAATACATTTAGGAAATTGAAAACATTTCCTGAATTTCTATTTTGAAAAACGGAAGTAAGTTTATGACTTAATCGGTGATAATCTGCACCTTATTCAGTCCGGATTAAATCTTAATTTTGTTGTTGTTTTGATTATTGTTGTTAGGACATAAATGATAATATTGGATCAGTATCGTTTTGAAGTTGTTCAATGAGAAAGATAGAATGTAATACAAGGAGTTTCATGTCGTTTTAGCTGAGGAAAACCTGAAAACTCACTACTTCCAAGGAGACATGATGTTGACTCATCATCAGCAGACAGTGATGACCAATGCATTCAAATTTGCTTCTCAAAGAAGCGATATTGAAAACCGTGCTATGATAAAAGATGTTGCTCGACTGTGGCCTGACGGAAAAGTCCCGTATGCTTTTGCTGCGGACATAGGTGAGGATGATACTGACCGTTGTGTCGGCATGTGATTGGCTGTTTCGCTGCGTCAAATTACATTTCATTGCTGTGATTGGCTGTTTCAATGCTCTAAACGTATTTGTATTGTTATGATTGGCTGTTTCAATGTTCTAAACGGTATTGTGATTGGCTTTTCAGCGCGCTTAATTGTATTGTATTGCATTGGTTCTGTCACTGTATTCTAGATGATGAGGGAAAGAGCGTTGCCAAAAGTGCAATGGACCATTGGATGGAACACACGTGTGTCAAGTTCGCCCCCAGGACAACAGAAAAAGACTTCGTAGAATTCCAATTTGCTGATGCGTAAGTGCGAAGGATCGCTAACCAGTTGCATATACAGCTCAGGGGGCCATTGATCTCTATTAAATTAACTGGATATTGTTATTTCCAGGTGTGCATCTCGCGTTGGTCGTCTACAAGGAAAACAAGAGATTCTCATTGGTTCGCCCCAGGCCAAATGCAAGGTCGGAAATCTTATCCACGAGTTAGGTCATACACTTGGATTTTTCCACGAACATTCCCGACCGGACAGAGACTCCTATGTCCGAGTGGCTTTCGACCGTGTCCGACCAGGTGAGGCCAATCAGAACCTTTCTTTATCCGGAAACTACGTCATAACACAGACTTTGTATAAAGGTCTATGTTCGTGTACTGTTCATCTCTCAACGCCTTCCGTGTATCCGGCATACAAGAATTTATCAGCAATCTTTGATTATTAGGTTTTGAAATCAACTTCAAAAAGCTGCCAGCTGATTGGATAGACTCGCGTGACGTCGCATACGATTACGGCTCAATCATGCACTATCCTCGCACCATATTTGGCAAGACACCATGGGATGAAACCGTAGTACCGCTGGACGCTGCGGCTCAAGTAGGACAGAGGATCAAGCTTAGTGACCCGGATATACTTCAGGCAAAGAAGCTCTATAGATGCCCAGGTTAGTGAAGCAAGAAAAATATAACGAAAATGCTTAAAGGTTTTGCAACGAAGTGAGCAGCATCAGAGCATAATACAAGCTGTAAGAAACGCTTGTAGATCATTTGCTTAATGCATTAACTGGCAGTTTTTTTAACGGGTAAAATCATTTGGCATTGATGGGAGTAAATACTAAAGTAGGGCTCATTTGGTCGCAATAAAAACTAGCGAATCAACAAAGAACAACAGCATACGGTTTTGTTAACCCATTTACTAACGGTACTCATCCACTGACGAATAAAATCATCTGGTAGTAGACAGAGTAAAATCGTTAGTAACGGTTTCACGAAGGTCACATCTTCACCTGGCGAACTACTGAGAAAGACAAAGGCAGATTTGTCAAAACATTCATATATTTTGGTGAATTCTTTTCTTCTCAGGTGTAACAAAGAAGGAAAAGAAATCAAAACGAAAACATTAGTAATTAATTTACAATTACATGATCGATTATCGATTGTGAATAAGTAGTTAATTCATTGCCATTCTATTACTTTATTAAAGAAATGAATAGCATTTTGCCAAACGGTCAGAAAATCTCTGATTTGTAATCATTGAATAAAACTATAAAGAGAATGGCAACAACATACTACATTTCGTAACTAGAATTTTCAAGTTTGATTTTTCAATTTTCAGTTAAATATTTAATTTTGCAGGATAAATATTTATTTGATCCATGCAGTAGTTAAATTTTGAAGTGATTCAGTAACAAATTAGAGAATTAAAAAACCTTTAATTTTATGTTTATTTTTTTAATCTTTGTTTATTTATTTAATTTATTGTAAATAATGCATTTAGCTATCAAAACTTTTACATGTAAACTGCATTAATCTGGAGACCTCGGGTCGAATTTAGCAATAGATCCAACAGCGATGAGAACTGCTTCTATATAAAACTTTCCATTATTTTGAATTGATCTTCCCAATTCCCCGAAGCATGACTCTTGTCTACAACAAAAACTTGAAACATTCGTGCCAAGTCTTCCAGTTCGTCGTTTTTTGTTTAACCTTTGGGAAACTGACCACCTGTGATATTTTTAAAACACAGATCAAGAGTTTAAAATGGATCTAAAATCTTACTGAGTACACTGTTAGGTTAGTATCTTACTTTATACGGCAGTAGTAATGCATCTGAATCTGGTTTTATCACACGAGTTAATTCGCTTTCAAAATGCCGCCTGATACGATATTGAATTAGGTCTCCCCGTATATTTATCATTTGGTTATAAACGGCCACTTTGAATTCCAATCTTTCCCAGTGTAACAACAACAGCAATCATTTTATAGACCGCATTACCTATTTCGATGATTAGCTATATATACGATTTATAAGGGTGATAAATTTCAGTTGAGTGCATCATTCATGAACTAATAACCGTTTTTTGTCCATGCAGACAACTGTTGTAAAAATGGCTGTCGATAAGAAGTATTTCCTTTTTGTCTTCTTGTTTTTAAATGGTAAGGCTTTCTTCTTGCAGTGTCAAGTCTCAACTTTTTATTGCAAACTATCGCGTTAAGTTATAAATGTCATTTTTAAGGCTCAATGTCGTATGATCTCAATCATAAAAGGCAAATAGATGAAATGGTGGAAGGGAATGAAATGCTTCTGGAAGGCGAAGACTTGGCCAAAGGTTTGTTAAAAATTCTTGACCTAACTAGATCTATTTGTGACAAATTTGTGAACCATTATTACAGAGAGACCACTGAATATATAGCTTGAACAATGCAGGGGACCGCTAACAGCAAGCGGCTAGTTTTAAGTTTTATTTGAAGGTAGATTTTTGGCACTTTATCGGCCATATTTTGTCTGAGTAGCTATTTTATGTTTCAATGTAAGACATCGATTTTCTAGCCTTTAGAAACCAAGCATTTTTTTCAAAATTCAAAATGATTTTTGCCGTTTGGCACGTACAAATCTACTGCAAATTTTCACGGATGAATGACTTGTAGGTATATAGAATTTCCCCATAATAATCCACTTTCTTTTAGCTGAGGAGAATTTAAACAGCGACTTTTTCGAGGGCGATATCCTAACTACGCCAGAGCAGATGAGGAAGATCAACAAGCTTTTGTTACATCATCACGACACAACCGACGCAGCCGACACTGACGTCTCCGACACCAACTCAGCTGAAAGACCGGATACTCGTGGGCTAATAAGAAACCTTCGCAGGACCTGGCCTAGTGGGATGGTTTATTATGAAATTGGTGGTGATCTTGGTAAGGTGCATGGACGGTAGCTTTATGCAGGCCACTGGTAACCGGGTGATTTTAACAGCTTCATATCTCTTGAAATATACTTTATTTCTTATAGTTCTTGTAACCAAATATAATCACAAAGTTTCGACTAATTTCGCCGATTAACTTGAGACATTCACTTTTCTGAAATCATGAAGTTATTTACTGAATGCTGCATGATTTCCATTTGCATAAACTCTGGGTTTGAATTATGTGTTAACTGTTTATTTCATAAGTAGCTAGCCTTTTTTCAACACAATTTATAAACTGTAGTATTTTCTATCTCTTTAAAAAAGATCCTCGAAGAGAACAAATAATAGAGGAGGCCATGGACCATTGGAGACAACGAACGTGTCTTAAATTTGCAAGGAGGACGAATCAGAAAGACTACGTACATTTTCAATCTGGAGCAGGGTTAGGTTTATACATTCTCTTACAGTAAAAACATTGCAGGACGTTTCATGAACAATTTATGCCAATTGTTTGGAGGGGGGAGATCCAGATACGGCGATTCCCGACAGGAAGGATTCCTGAATCCTGATTGAAGATAAGAATGTTGCTCTGAAAGTCTGCTCATAGATAAGTTCTGATATTTTATACATTTTATTTCAGTTGTGCATCGTTTGTCGGTCGTATCGGAGGATCTCAAAGACTCGTCTTTGGTAAACAGTGCAAGTTGGGTAATATAATTCACGAAATCGGCCACGCAATTGGTTTCTTCCACGAAATGGCGAGACCTGACAGAGACAAATTTGTTAAGATCAACTGGAAATATATTCTACCAGGCATGTAAACGATTTTCGCAACATTTTGCGCCGTCATAGATTTGTATTCATCAGGTATATCATTCAATATGACTTCGCCATTTCTTCCCCAGGTCGCCAGAGAAATTTCCTCAAATTTACAGAGGCAACAATTAACTCCCGCGGAGTCGATTACGACTATCGCTCCATAATGCACTACAGTCGACTGCATTTCACAAAAAGTCGCGCGGGAAATCTGGAAACGATTGTTCCGAGGATTAAAGGTGCGCCGTTCATTGGCCAGAGAATTGGGTTGAGTGTTCTGGATATAAAACAAGCCAAGCTACTCTATAATTGTGACGGTAATGTTGCCGGACAAGGAACGATCCCCATGGATGACATGGGTGATAGTGCGATGCAGTGATTGGCTGTTGATGCTCGCTGCTGACTGCTGATTGGCTGAAACACCGTTTATGGCGGTCATTGCTGATTTTGTGGATTGGGTGGAAAGGACGTCAGAAAGCTGCCAGTTCCTCCAGCGACGGTTTTGATGTGACAAAGCATGCTTTTCAACAGCCCCAAATTCAATTTCCAAGTTTAGATTTGTGTCAGACTTGGTTATATAGTTAAAGATGATATTGTACAATTTATAATCCTAGTACCCCACCGAAAAACACTTCGGTGATGTGGGAAACATACTGATGAATGATAATGTCTCTATGTGTTTTCTAACCACACTGAATTAGATAAAACCCTAGCTAACCTTACTGCTTTTTGATAAAAGTTAAATAGTACTTTTTAAATATCATTTCACAAAACATTCTATAACACTTCACAACTCACAAATACATATTCAAATACATACCCGCTGTGCTTATATTTCGGACTAAGTGTGCGCTTTCTGATCAAAATGCATTTTATGCTAATCACTTGGTAATATACATACTCGGGGGAAAGCGCCCCCTACGGGAACAAAGAACCTAAAACATTTCGATGGGAAGAAAATATTTTCGAGTGTTTTGAAATTTTGTGAGTAATTTCCCTTCCAAGAAATGCCAAATCGTCCAGGAGAATATCTCGAAGCGAATAAGGAGTATTGTACTTTGATAAGGAGTGTTTAGACCGGATGGATTTCTACGATACTCACAACACATATATTCTTCGCAAAGGCAAAACAAGTCTTTGGTGTAACCGTGTGAATGGCAATCTTCAAGTCAGACCTGGTATAAAAACGTACCTTTGGCACAATCAATAATGTTGATCTGTGATTTTTTTAGCTCTGTTGTCTTTGATTTTACTTGGGGTTAAAATGATCAAGGTGTCTTGCTTGTAAACAAATAAATCATTGTAAAATACGTACATATATTTCAGCATGTTTGCTCAATTTTATATTTCGAGTATTTCTGAATAAGTTAAATATTTAATCTATTTTAGATTCTGACATCGATTTGCTTGAGGTGAAGCCAAACTGTCTGGGAAGAGTTTATGGTGTTGTTGGAAAGATACAATTTTTGCCAGGTCTGCGTACTTTTATGTAATTTTCTGGTAATATGCCACGACTGCCCACTTCAATATTTTGATTTGTGCCTTTGTCCAAATATCAGACGATTTGAAGTCGTGAAGAATATTGCCTATTTGTGAACAAAAATCTCCCAGTGTCTCATATTAACCCATTCGTTTGCTAATGCACCCAGACATGCCCTATATTAAGTAATATTAATTTTACTCTGAATTAAATGAAAGACGATTTGAGTTGTCATTGAAGAAAGTACGTCCTGGGAAAATGGATTAATTAATTTTTGATACTTTTCAGTGATTTTAACTGTAGTCTTTTGATTTTCAGATTCTGATGAAAAGCTAGTGCTGATAACAAAACATTACAAAGTTGGAGAGATTGCAGATAAATGTCCAATTTATAGAATCGAGAAAATTGCTGTTGTTCCACTTTCTTCTGAAGAGTGTCCGGACATTGACTTTGATGTAGGTTTGGTTTAATTATATAAATGTTCAATGAAACCCAAGCAATTAAATAAATTGGTTTTCACAATCATTTTAACAATCATTCACATGATCAGGTTTGTGGGATCTAATTAATCAAACCTGAATTTCATATAAACTATTCGGTTTGATTTGTTCAGCAATGATTCATCTATCTGGATCTGACAAATGCATTGTGTGATAAAGCCTATATTGACTAGGCAACAACAAACTATGAAACCTAATCTATTTGTCTACCCTATATTGTTTTATTGGCCTTTGAACTTTCTTAATCGCATTCAACAGTAATGCTCATTAGCAAGTGATGAATATATCTTTTGTGTACAGTTATGTGAGGAACATGGTGATCAGTCCGCATCGAGACAAGCTCCACAGCCCAAGGTGGCTCAAACCTTGACGAATTTGAGAACATCTCTGACAAACTGGCAGTTTAATAAGACAACTGCAAATAAAATGAATTCTCAGGTTGGTAAATACGTAACAACTTGAGAAATTAAGTGGTAGAATTTCAAGTGTAGGTACTGTGACTATTCTTGTTGACTGGTCTTATGAAATGTTCATATTTGTATATTCTTGTTATTAAAGCTGATAAGTATTATTACTGCAGTCATGATAGTGGAATTTACTATGGAAAATCATTTGATATTTGTAATTTATTTAATTGTATAGAAAACAGTTGACAAGGAGAAATTGGAAAGAAGATTACAAGAGGTAATTCTTCATCTATTAATTATCTAAAATTATCATCTAATATCACAACAGATTCTGTAAAAGTTTACCTGGATAATTTTAATGAATCTTTGAAAGTGAATAATTTTGTTTCTTTTTTACCTCAAGGAGTTTATCAAGATGTTTAATGATTCTCAGTCATTTTATTATTCCGAAAATGCTGATCTCACAAATTCTGTGCAGAGGAATGTCAAGAAAGATGATAAGAGAAAAAACGAGCCTGTTTGGAAAACGGTAGGATTTGTTGAGTTTATTTTCTTGTGAAATGCTGTAATATGATTGCATGTGATCTGATATATTTTATTGCAGGCAGACAATCGATTCTTTTGGAATAAGGCAATGCTGGAAGAAATCATGGCTCTCTCAGAAACGGTAAGATCACCTTTTGCTAACAATATACATCATTATACATTATTATACATCACTATACTGTACTATACACCAGTATAAGGCACTACCTCAACTCTATAATGCCATCTGTGTATTTACCATACTATACAAAGTACTCTAAACTCGGTGAATGAAATATTTGTCAGGATGCTAGTGCACATGGTTGGATTGTCCCGGTTATTCAAGGTTATGTACAAACAGCACTCTGTGAAGTGGATTATTCAGAATCTGGAATGAATGAAGAAATCTTGAGGCAAACAGCTGCAGAAAAATTTGATTTAATACTGATATCTCGTAGGAGCGTTTCCCGCGCAGGTAAAAATACACCCTCGTCTAGTTTGAAACCTTGAACTTTGAGATTTCACGTTAGACCACAGCCGCTGTGTTCTTGAATATTCAGTCGAGTCGTAGATTGAGTTTCTACGGGGGTTTTTTGTATCTACTTTTGTGCCATAAAAGCCATATTTTTTTAGTTTACGATCTTGCCTATTCCTGCTAAAAGATCCAACGTTTGTTGTTTAATTTGTTAACAGGAACGAGATACAAGAGAAGAGGAGTCGACGAAGAGGGAAACGTTGCAAACTATGTCGAAACTGAACAGGTATTTGAGGATGTGTGTTGCACGTACGGTGCCATCTTTCTTGCAACTTGCAAAACAAGTTTCTTTTAAAAGATGCATAAAGGTCAATTGATTGGGAGTATTTTATTTAACGTTTAAATATTAGTATTCTGTAAGGAATATACCTTTATTTTATTAATAGTAGTTTAATTGGGGCTGTTTTTTAGATTGTTCGCGCTGGAGCACATTTTCTATCATTTGTTCAATTGCGGGGTTCCATACCATTGTACTGGAGTCAGGCTGGAATAAAATACAGACCTCCGCCAAAATTGGAGAGAAGTATGTCCAATATTGTTGTTGTAAAGTTTGGAGAGATAGGAATTAGCAAGTTGCATAGAGAGTTCCATCAACATACATGAATAGTGCGGCATCAACTCGTTTAATGAAAGATAAACTGAACATTCTTGCCGGGAATAGTGAGTTGGAAATATCATGTTTTCTGCAGATAAGGAGGAAAGTCAGGATGCGATGAAAAAACATCTTGAAAAAGAACTTGCTTTGTTTAAAAATGTGGTAAGCTCACAATGGTACATCACTTATTCTACTACGTTTTGCTACTCACGTTTTGAAAGTCTTTTTTGCTATGCGTGAATAATGTAAAGATGTTTTAAAAATTCTAAAATAAAGCAAACAAAATCTTTGTATAGACAATTATCAATTTGGTTGAACAGAGTGGTCGAGAGCAGGTTCGTTCTTCTCTTCGTAGATGAACTGTTTTTAAGATTGTCGTAAGCGATATATTCATAATCAGTTATAGCACTGAGCAATATTGTTGATTATTTTCATTGCTGAAGGTTCTTTACGATGCGTTTATGGAACACATTATCACGTATAATAACAATTTTTTGGCGTACGTAACCTTTGATTTTCACGAGTATTGGTAAGTAAAGATGAAAAGACTTTGAACAAAATATTTTCCCATAAAACAGTATTAATGTTTGTGTAATATTACAGTCGTGGTATGAAATTTGAAAACGTATCTAAGCTTGTGGAAGCAGTCGCCAAAATAACGGATAATATGCGCTTTTCCTGGTAAGTAAAATATGGTTTATTATCGGTTTTGTTACATGTATTTAGGAATTGTTGAAAAGCATTAACATTGAGATGTTGTACTTGGGAAAAGGACAACTCGTGTTCGGCTAAGTCTAGTTGAAAGATGTAGAAAAGTTTATTACAATAGGTCGTTTTGTTTAAATATGTTTCAGGGTGGACCATCAGGGGATGATCTGGGAACAACAAGGGGTATTTCGGGTCAATTGCATGGACTGCTTAGATCGTACAAATGTGGTTCAAGCAGCCTTAGCGAGATACGTCTTGGAGACGCAGGTACCAACATTTACCAACATAAGAGTGCTTTAATTTCGAAAATATGACTGTAATAAGTTCAAATATGCTTCAGAATATTGTCAGATATTGCAAGTTTAGTAACTAAGCGAGCTTTGATACGCTGTTGAGTGATTTGAGGCTATGAAGTTGAAGCATGTTGCGATTTACCGTGTATTTAATGTGGATATATTTTAGTTATCAAGGCTGGGTCGTTTAATGCCTGAAAACAGCCTACCAGCGGACATCAGAGACGTCTATCAGGATATGTGGGCTAATAATGGTGACGCCATCAGCAGACAGTACGCTGGGACAGCGGCAATGAAGGTACAATTTCAGAGTAGGGTCATTGTGTATTACACTGTACGTATTAGTGATTTACCTTTTTTCAATTTCCAATGTTCCAGGGTGATTTTACTCGGACAGGCGAGCGAAAGTTTACTGGAGTAATGAAAGATGGCTACCATTCTGCGAATCGGTAAGAATATTATGTATTTCAGCATGCGTTTAATAGTTTTATCACAAGTCTCTATCATTCGTTTGTTTCCAATAGCTACATTTATCTTAGTAATTGTTACTGTTTTTCAGATATTTGAATCGATTCACCGCAGCTTACAGACAGACAGTCATAGGTAATCATAATTCTAAGGACGCTTTTCTTTATACGGTAAAAACGGCCAGACCTGTCGTGTTAGTTTCAGTAGAGACAGATTACTGATATTTTACGGTGTTAAAGTACTTTGCATTCAGAGATATATCGTTATATACGTACAATAACAACGATGCAGTTTCACCGCTATATTCTTATTCTAACGTAACCTAATACTCTTGCATTTCAATTCAAAATATGACCAATCTGACCATTTTGGCCGCTTCCTGTCTTCCGTAATCGATTATACTCCCAGAACGTAGCTATATAGTTTTTATACTCAATATTGTCAGGTCACACAAGTATGAAACTGTTTTCTTTTCTCTTCCTATTCAGACATAATGCTTGGTATTTCACCCACGGAAGACATAAAGTCTCTGATCGACGCGATGAAACAACCCGAGGAGACTGGGGAGGAGTGGACATTACAGCGAGAGGAATGGGTTGCACAACTCGTGGAGCGGTGTCATCAACTGTTGGTCCAGGAAGGCGAGATTTATCTGGGAGGATGGGCATTGATTGAGCCAATTGTGAGGTATACACAGACTACCATCCTTCATGAAATGTTGATCTTGATTAAACTAAATTTGTGACTGGGTACAGTGAGTGAAGTCCTGTGCACAAGTATACATTTATATCTTTCTAAACGCGGTATTCAACACAAACTTCTTAGAAAGCTCGTACACAGCAGAAGTTTGTTCCCAAGTTTCTCACTCAAAAAACGTTGTGGCAATTTGCCAACAGGCTGGAAACAAACTTCTTCAACAATTTCTAACAGAAGCCTTCATTTTGTTATAAATCTTTCTGTCCATCTTTTAACTTGTTTTGGTCTTTCTTCACCAGCAATTCAGAAGAGGAAGGCTCTGTATTTGAACAGGAAATTGTTCTGTTGTTAACTGAGAAAGCATTTTACATCGCCTGGTACGAATTGTACAAGATATCGCTCGGTGTTTCTCTCATTTTCTTCCAGGCCAGCGTTTGAACGAAACGAGAATGTGTTTTCCTTTTAGTTACGACGAAGAAGAAGCATATGTGAATCAATACGAGTGTATACCATTGGAAAATTTAGAGAAAATCGAAATGGGTAAATTGATGAAGCGATTCAATTGAAGCTAGACTAGTTCATACTGCTGTGCAATGTTTTAGTCAGTGTTTCACTTTCAACCTTCCTCAAAGTCTGTTGAGCTAGTCTACTATAATTGCTGCTTTTCAACCAAACTAACCTTTAGCTAAGTTTAAAAATTTTTTTTTATGGTGTTTCAGGACCAAATATGTCTCAAAGGTCTCAAATTTCATGTCTTCGTTTGCACTACCGAAGCAACGAAGATGGCGGATATTTTCACACGTTTAAAGCTCTTCGAAATCGGACTGTTGACGAAGATAAAGGTATGTCGTGCGTTTGTATTTTAAAGGAAAATAAGACATTAGTTTTGTATTCATTGTCAAGATTAATTGATCGGTATTTCCTCCCATCGTTTAGATGTTTTGCACGGCATTGCTGACGAGTTTCAAAAGGCAATGTTGGCGAAGAATCTGAAGGCGAAGGTGATTGAATGTCGACTTAGCAAGTAAGTCCATCCACATCATCAACTCTGAACAACATTTATCAACACATGTCACCTGTTATCAATTGTCGTCAACTGTTATATCTCTTCAACCTCTCGCCATCTCTCGTCCACACGAATCTTCATTAACCTACTAATAGTCAAATATAATTTAATTAGAAAAAAGACCAAACCCCATGAAGTCATACAACTCTCTTGCAAAACCCGGCCATGCAGTGCTGACAATCATTACCGCTGCAAAAATGTATTGTGTGCTCCTAAAGAAGGCTCAATGGTTCACTCGTGTTCAGCCCCCGCAAAACTCGACAAAATGGCCGCTCGTCTGGTGAGTTTAGAAACGAACGATAGCTCGAAGCCAGACATCTTGGACCAAGGTACCAGTAGCATTAGTAATGGCAGCAGAGATGACTCTGCTTTATACAAAAGAGTTTTATCGGCTGGTTCCTCGAATATGGAAGGCACTACGTTTATAAAAGATCTTGAAAGTAACTTAGAATGGGAAAATGGTAATGATACTTCTTGCTCGGCTGTTGAAAACAAAAATATGGGCAGTCAAGAAGTGCATTTACACGGAAAAGCTAAACAAAGCAAACATGATGATTTTATGGCGGGAAATGAGCCTTCATTGAGCTCTTTGTGTAAGAATAACACTGACCAAGACACTGACTGTGTAATAACTGGACAAAAAATGTCAGGAAGTGCATTTTCGACTAACGAGAATGAACTTTACAAAGCGAGAGTTTTGCCAAGCAATGATAACCAGAACGTTTCAGAAGAATTGAATATTGCCGCGATAGCCGGGCAATCTGATTTAAGGGAAAAAGAAAAACAAGCGGAATGTTGTGAGAACGATAAGGAAGCTTTTGAGACGAAAGATACGACTGATAAACAAAACGTGATATCTTCAGAGAAAAACATTGATACGCGGGAAAATTTTGGTCAAACAACAGCGGTTGATATGTCAAAAACATCAGACAAAAACGACAAAAACTGGGGCGAGAAAAGTCTAATGAGCAAATTTTTTGAAACCGGGAAAAAATTGTCGAGTGCAAATAATTCACCAAAAATGGCGAGAAAGTCGGAAAGTTCCGGTAAAACTTCGGATCCTGAATCGAGTTTAGCAGCAAATTTCAAAAAGAACTTGAAAAATCGTTTCGCTGATGCTCAAATTAGATTCCGTAAAAACGAGGATTCCGTTAACGCTTCGGAGGTCGAATGGAAGGCGGAGGATTCCGAAGGCGTGCCGGAACCAGCACGACCCGCTGTCGGGAAAAGGAATATTTTAGCCGCCGCACAAGAGCGAGGCAGAGCTTTCATTCCTGAGTTGAAGAATAAATTTTCTGGATTGTCGAATCGCTCTCCTCGGATGGCACGTAAAACGGACTGGAAGACAGTGATTGAAAATAGTGAATGTAGAACAAACATTATTCTAGTTTAAGTTTTTATTTTTCTAATGCATAGAATGTAATAGCAATGATGGTTTTAAAATGGAAAATGGTTTTAAAATGGAAACCTCTGGAAATGAGAGCACTAAAAGTACTCACTTTTTGATCTCATTTTCGAGTTGTTTTAATACGAGAGCCTCAGTGTCAGGCATTTCTTAACAACTTATAACACATTTGGAGCTGAATTTTGGGGAAAACCATATGTTTCACAGTGTAAATAACATGCATGCTAATATGCCAACGTTTTATCATCTTATGCAAGATGTCATCCCTCATCTTATGATGTCAACACGAAGAATATAATTAATTTTAACCACCCTGTTTAAAATACTTTACATCTTTTTTTTTTCACAAAGTATATGTACATATCTAGCTGTTATTTCCCCATGGGTAACTGAGCATATGTTTTTAAACCACGCAACATTTATTTACATTATTTCACACAGTTTCCTAAGGTAAACGTCTTGAGGCTTTTCTGTGGACATTGTCCATCATATCTTCTCAAACAGCCCGCATATGACATCACCCACATTGATAAATATGTACATTCAGGCATCGGCGTATTTTCATTTGACAAACTAATGATGAATTATTTAATTTGATAATATCATTTTGTTTCTCGAAGCTATTGACGTGTCTTATAGGTCTTAGGTCGGTTTTATTTTGGCAAAACATGCTCAAATCTTGCTATTAAATAAAATGTACATTCAAAATATCTTCAACCTTTTTGAGAAAAACCTTTCGTGCAAAAGACAGAGAAATATTGACAAGCTACGCAAAGCAAATATGTGTCTTGTGGGATGCATAAAACATGAAATAAAATTCTTTTTTCTTCTAATGCAAGAACGTGAAAGGAAAGAATCCATAACATGCCCTAAAAGAGGCCACATTTTGAATCTTTTAGGCAACTTAAAATCCAAACCACGCGACAGCTGCTTCAAAAATACAATTATTTTCTAATATTTTTCATTAACTAGTTTAGTATGTAAACGCTTCATTTGCAAACAGTTGTGTCATATTGCATTACGTAAAGAATTGTGAGTTATTTCAGAAACGTTTCGAAGCTTTTATGCATGAAATGTGACATTATATGTCCACAAATCTGCAAATATTCCGTTTGAAACTCAAATATTTTTTTAAGTTTCCCTAATTTTGCTTGAGAAATGTATTATTTCATGCAAAATTCCTAATTTAGCCACACGCAACGGCCATATTGATCCAAAAGCTGGTTTATATCAGACATTGCATGCTAGAGCGAAGTTAAAACTGGTTATCAATGAGGGCCTACACTTACGACAGTATATATTCATGACGTAATATGTCAGAAATTTGGCGCGATTTTCAGAGATAATCCTGGCTTGACAAATAGATTTCTGTTCGTTTCAAGTATGGGAAGCTTGTAATTTATAGTTCCGTTTCCCTTAGGAAGTTGTCCTCCGTAATTTTCGGACAAAAATATACATCCCGCGAACTATACTAAACCTTAATACGATTTCTGAAACTCGCGCGTTTTTTAAGTTTCAACCTTGACCAGTTCCATTGCAGTAAGCTGCTGCACTTGCAGTTCCCCCGGTGGACACCGCTGAAACTTTTCGCAAAACAAAGTCCGTCGATTGTGTTAAATCGTTTGTGGTATCGTTAGAATACCTTTCTCTACGAGGCAGGGCACGTTTTAGTAATTTCAGAGCGCTACGTCGAAACTCCCTGTTAATACGTACATAAATAAAGGGATTTGCCAGGCCGTTGAGGTATCTCACAACATGTATAACATAATTCAATATGTTTGAAGGAACTCCGGCATTATACACGCTGTAAACCCAAATATAAACGAAAAATGGCAGCCAGCACACGACGAATGCCCCGATAATCAAGGTTAGAGTTTTGGCTGCTTTGAATTCGCGTTTGACGCGATTTGTTCCGCGAGGTAAGCTACTGTTGATTTGATCGGATTGATACTTGGCGACTTTGTAAATATATCCGTATGTTACGAGCATTGTAAACAAGGGCAGAACGAAGCTAGCAAAGGTTGTGAATATTATATAGATGTCTGTGAAAAACACACAGTGATTCATGTGGAATTCGCCAACGGGAATCCAAGACGCAAGCGAGAACGCTATGGAGTAAATCCACACCAGAGATAGTACGAAGAGACAACGTTTTCGCGAAATTATCGTGGGATAACGCAACGGATAGTTCACGGCAACGAAACGCTCAGCGCTTATCACAGTGAAGCTGATTATAGAACTTGTGCAAGCAAGCACGTCCACCATCGATCCAATTTGACATAACCTTTTGGATTTCTGGTTAACGTACTGTGTCAGAAAGAATGGAATTCCCAGGACAGCTATGAGGATATCTGCGATGCCCAAGTTAAACATAAAATAATGTTTAGCTGTTCCCGGATTTCTTTTGAAAGCGCGTAAACCAGGCACACAAATCCATTTGCTAGAAAACTCGATACGGCGATTAGGATGAATATAACCAGAAGAGCTGTTGGTAGTTCTGCATAAGGCAACTCTGAGCTTTCGTCATTCAGTCCCAGACAGTCGCTGGTATTCTTAAGACGAGGACACTGGCATATAAAATCGTGGCAAAATTGGTTGTCGTAGGACAGATTTTTTGTACCATTTTCTGTGCAATTCAGGTATAATCTGAAACAAAGCGCAACCCCCTTGGTCCTCATCGCCAGACAACTGATCTTCTTTATACCTGGATGCTTATTTATCTCAGACGAAAGATTTTTCCCAAATGTCGTTATGTTGCAACTGACAGTTAATGCCTAATCCAACAGACTTCGAAGCTTTCAAAGACCTTTGAGCGGAAGACGAATCGATTCACCGAATGTGACACTCTCAGAGGAAGTTTCAGGATTAGTGAATACAACAAAAGTTCTTGGATTGAATCTGTGATTGAATAATTCAAGCCAATAGTCCAGATAAATCTCGTCGAAAACAAGTTATATAACTATTGATTCAAATATAGTAAATGTATATTCTATAGTCTTTGTCTGAACTTCCTTTTGCACACGTATATTTTACATTTTCAAGGAGTTCCGCTTTGTTTCGTATCTCTTCTTAAATATCGATAAAATATGTAGATTCACTTGTGCTGATGTCAGAGAATGTGTTTGTCACGTCGGCCTTTTGTTAACACATCGAGCTATGAGCCAACATATCACAGTACCATATTTATACTCGCTGCTGACCCCATAAATCTCAAGTAGTCCTCTTATTTCAGCGATGAAATCAATCTGGCCGATATACCAAGTGTTGATAAGACCTCCGTGCCGGGTACAAAATACCACTGCCTGCTTTCTTATATTTTGATAAAAAATGACGTATTCTTCGTACACGAAATACCTTGCTATAGTTAGATTGCAAGGCTGTAGTTTGTCTGCCCAGGTATATATAAAGCGAATCAAATCTTCGTTTGACTTCCCAGCTGCGAGCTTGCATGTAAAAGCCAATGATAGCAGCCTTAACTATAACAAAACAGAATATGTATTTAAGATTGCTCTCCGATGGCACAGACAAACAGCAGATATTAAGAGAATTCGTTTTAAATTCACATTATCTATGTGTTTTACCTACAAATTTTCGCCAGCGCACGGCTCAATCTTCCAGCTGAAACTAAGACTTGTTTTAAATACCGTCAAATGACAGGAAGACTTAGTCAACAGTACGATATCAAGCCCGGAACAATGATTTGCTAACCAACTGCAAATGAGCGCTGTTTTTGAAACGCAAACAAGCACTTGAATCTACTTCCGATCCGTCATTGTCTTTTTTCTTCAAATGCCCACACCATCACCTGACTCTCTCAAGCACAATACACACACGAATTCCTGGCGCGAAAATTTTTTTTGCACTATTTAAGAATCGTACGAATTTCGACCGCTTTTCATAACTGATCTCTGTTTATTTTTAACTCATTTCGCCCTAATCCATGTAAAGCCGCTCTCATATATTTGGACAAAAGATATTAATTTTTGAAATGGATTATGTTTGCTTAGTGTCGTCTTGTATCCATAACTCATAAGTCATTTAAACGAATTTGCACCTGACAGTGACTTGATCTAAATTGACAAGAGGGGGTCTCTTAACGTATAGCGTATAATTTGCCGGTTTTTATCCATGCTTTCTCGGTGTTTCCCCATCCTCGTTGAAAGGTAAAACCCGGGCCACATCGCCCTTGAAGATATTTGGACAAAACTACTACCAGACTATATAGCCAAAGGTCATTACATTTACGCAGACCGTGTTTGCTGTATCTGATATATGATGCTCAACTGAAGAAACAAATGAAAACATTGCTTCATACCATAGAATTTAATTTAGAAAATCGTGGCATATTGTGGTATTACCACAGAATACATCAATTTCGCCGCAACCAAATGATGTCCCAAAATCGTGAAAGAAGTTTTGTTGATTTATCTATAGGTCTTGTAAACGGATATTAAATTCATAGATAGTCGATTGATAAAATTTATTATGCATAAAGCGATAAAGTTTGGTCAACTAATGCGTTTTTAAATAGAGAATTTTTTAATTACTAAGCTAAGAACTATTTTTTTTTGTAAGATTTTCTTACCGTTTGCAAAGCAGCATACTACTTTCACAAGACCAACCACCAGGTTATACAAAATAGCAGAAAAAGACTGGAATTAGTTGTTGAATAAAAACCATTTCACGGTTGAAACTTGAAACATATTTCAAGTCTTGGTAGTGCAGTTTACCGCAGTATCAGTACCACAAGTATTTTGTAGGATACTATCATATATACTCGTATATAGACTGCCCGATTTTTGTTATTTCACCAATCCAGTCAATTGTCAACTCAGTGCTCGGTCTGCATTTTATGTTAATTGCGGAGGGACGATTTTAACTCTTGAGATATGTGAATTTATGAGGTAATCTGCATAAAGTTGTTTATCGCATTGTAGAGTCACATTTTATTTGAAAATTAAAAGGAATGGAATTACATTCCTTCATGAAGACACGTCGCAATGTTTGGAAACAATGCAAATTGTTGAAATAACATACCACGGCAATAAACAGGAAAAAAACTGAGATTGTCGGTTGTCTAAATTGGGTGAAAAACTATCCAGACATCCTCATTAGCGCCGTCAGAAAACAAAAGGCCAAAGCGCAGGATTTTCATTCACACTGTTGTTGACCTTTGGTGAGATCGCGCGAGGTAATTGGTCCAATTGGACCAATGAAAGACGTCATTACTCATGCATGCGCCAGGCGGGGCATTTTGAACTGGTTATAAAGGCTGAGCTTTTAGGGAGGCGCTTTGTTGAGATGAAGACATCCTCGAGAAGGAATGGATCATGGGCGGAAAATTATTATCACAAGATTCAAAGATATGTGAAAGGACAGAAGACCGAAACGAACTGTTTGGAAGAATCTTGCTAGAGGAATATACGGAAAGGTGGTTTGTAGATTCCTTATAACATGAATTTACACATTAGTTTATTGTATTTCAAAATCAATTAAGGAGTGCCGATAGTTGTTCAGTTCGGCTGACTCTAGTCGAATTTTTGGCGCTTAATCTTGCTAATTTTGCTTTTTGTATTTCATAAAGGTTTGATGCTACCAGTGTTGATGTTCCTCGCTGTTTTTGAACTCAAACCGTCAAGAAAGAAAGGCGAACTTTGAACAACTTTTGTCTCCCGTCGACCTTCCATTGTAGTAAATTGAACAAAAGGTATTCAAATTTCTTGTCTTGTTGATTTCTCACTTTCTGCTCTCATGAATTTCGAAATATACTTGGTCTTTCGTTAACAATCATCCCTGATAAAACTCGATCCTATATATACTCTAGAAGACTCAATAAACCTTAAGAAACATACGGTATTCATATAACCCAGATTTCTAATGAACTTAATTTCTTTTACAGATGGAGAAATCGCTGTACAAGCCGTAAATGTGCGTAAATGTGAAATACCTTTTTTCAAAAATACTCATCACGATGCATGTGGACTCGCGCTCATAAATCCTGCTATCTTGAGCCTCGAGTACTATTTCATTCAGTTTACTTCATATTTTGCTCTATAAACACCAAAATTATTCATGAAATCATTGACGTGTCGACCGCAATACACTCTCTTGTTTCAATCCTTATATTTTAATTTTTCGGTTCACGATTAGTTTGCACCAACCCTTGATTGAGAACTTGTGTTTTGGGCACGGAAAATACAAATGATTGGGGCCCCTCATTTGTATTCGCTGTGCTTGATTCGATAAGCGGAAAATAGGCAAAATTCTGTCGCTTTAAAAAATGCACGAGAAATTAGAAGGAACGAACAGTTGAGTGTTGTTGTTGTCGACACGATTATTTAAAAAAAAAAATCAAAAATGCACGAAGCAAAACACAATCTTAGTAAAACACAGCTAATTTTGCTGCATGCATGCATGATCAAAAGTTATTTAAGTTGCCATAAATTGATTCAATTTCAAATTTCGATCCGATATTTTCGTCTAAGAAGCAACACATTAAGAGCTTTTAAAAGAAACAGGAAAAATTATGTCGCTTTGAAGTGTTTTAATTCCATTTATTTATTTATTTGTCTATGAGCCTGGATTACTGGAGGGTAATGGGAGAATGCAAACCATTTGAAATGATGACTGGCGATGACTGTTATCAACTGGACTGCTTGAGGATATACGTCGGCGTGAATACTGGAGCCTAATCTACGCATGTGTGGACATTGGGTTGCGAAGATATAATCGGAGAGATGCGTAGATAATCAAGCGGCCCCGTCAAATGAAGAGGAAGCTCTCACAGGTTTATACTATAGGATACTATAAGTATTGTAGTTGGATATCGACTTCAGAACTTTCGTGGAAATCAATCGCATGGATGATATATTTCGTTGTTCTGAAGTCGAGATCCTCGTTTAGGATGCATGATGCGTAACTTGTACAGCGGAATGCCAGCAGTCACGCGTTGGAAAATAGGCGCGATGCGCATGAGCAATAAGTCGGATCTGATGCAGTATCCGGTGCAAGTTGAAAATGTGCGAGTATATATTTTATAAAAGCGCTCTGAAGAAAATATGGCGGATATCTCGAAGAACAAGTAGCATTGATTGCTCAAAATATAGAATTATATGAATCACATTTCCACAGCTAGCACATGATTTAGCACACCAGTAGCACATGACCTCAACACAATTATTGATATAAGATAAATTTAAGCTTTCAAATAACTCTAGTTGCAAAACAAGCATACTTTGATTTCAAGACTTAAAAGCCGTTTGGCTGTAGTTGTGTTTGGCTTTTTTTCACATATGAACGAAAATTATTCTTGAATTGTTTGACGCATGGACTCGAACACTCTTGCATGACAATCTCCTCTTCGATATTCGGTTAACTTTTTCCGTTGTTCGTTCCACCCTGCATGTCATTTCAACTGGTTGCTTCGAGCATTGAGTAAGATGGTAAGTACTGGTATAATTCGGGGTCTCTCGATTTTTGGGTGTAGACTGTTGGGAAAAGGGGGCCCTCTGCTTTTGTCATAAGACAACTTGACTGTATAAAGAAAGATTGAGACGACAATAACCAACATTACCTGACTAAGTCCATGATATGGAACAACACAAACAACTGACTGGCTCTCGAAACATTGCATGCATCAGATTGAACGTACTAAACTTTTTTTTTTGAATGATTTAGTTCTAAATCTTCGAAAGGTTCTCAGGGTTCTATGGTGAATGGCGTGTCATCAGGGTTGTCACCTCCGATGAGTGATCTTTTCACACAGCACATGTCAAACGAGACTGGCTTTTTTCTTTATCCGCGGTGTTTGAGAATGGAGGAAGACGAAGAACTGCCGGTTGGCGAGTGATTCTACTGAAAAATATTGTTCAAGTATTTAAGTTAAGTATTGGAGAACTGAATCCTCGTATATTAATATTTTAGATATATTTTGATAACTTTAAAGCCCCGTCTATATTGCCGGGTATTTTCCCTTCTGTGTTTACTCAATGTTCGAAGCAACCTAACCCGGGGTAGAATTGCCAGTCACTTGAGGATCGTAAAAAAAAAATTTTCCGGAAATGATTTTTTACGAGGAGATTCGGAGTGATCTTGTCCATACGTCTCTGTTTGAAATGAAAAATAACATGATTCATGATGTTCTAAACAAGCTTTCTAGTAAAACCACACACAACAAACTTTCACTAGTGTTTGTTTCAAATAACAAACAGTTGATTTGAGATTACAATGATTCTTTCAAGTATTATCCTGAAAAAATTCACAAAACAAGTTGCAATTTTGCTCATGATAGCGAATAACAGTGATGCATAATTGATTACATTAATTGCTTACATAATTGCATGATTACATGAATTGATTACATAATTGATTACATTAATTGTTACATAATTAATACATAATCGAGTCGCACATAATCGATAAGCAAGTCGCACGCAATATGGCGAAAAAGCAATATGGCGAGTCAAATAATGGCGAATCTATAATAGCGGATACGATAAGGAGACTTAAACTAACGCGTTTGACTGCTGGCTAAAAATGAAGCGCGGAAACCTGTGTTGAGGGGGTTACCTGTCACACTCCGTCTGGCGATTGCAGAAATAACAGAATTTCAAAATCAAAAATGTCAAATTCGGACCGCCGTATGGTAGTCTGTTTTACAGCCTTGGCTATACCTCAGACTACCAGGAGGGTTTTTCACCGGGCACTCCGGTTTCCCTCCTTTTCGTTTGGCTTTAAAAAACAGTGTCCATGTCTGGGGCCAAACAAAATGAAACAATCGTATGTGAAAATTGCTTTCCTTTTACATTATACGCAAGTCTTCAGTTCTGGCGCTTGAAAAATTGTCTTTTATCGACTTCATAGGTCATGACGAAGACCATGTAAGGTCCTATCTTTTAACTGAAAATTACAGTTGAATTCATTTGTTTGGTTTCTGGGTTAAAATCCCGGAACACTGTTCTAGTTTTCTGCAATGAAAAATATCTCTCTAGTTTGATACCGTCAAAAAATTGTAGTTGGTTCGTTTAATTTTGTACCGCTGTAGTGCAAAAGCCTGTGCGGGCGTTTACATAACTTACATGGTATATTTTTTGGAGATTAAAGAACTTTTAGAGTAAACCAAATGTGAAGTTCTTCGCTATGCACGGGCGTGAAATTATTGAATAAATTGCATTACCTGAACTATAATGAACCTAAGACAAATATTTTTTATCTCCCCCCCCTATGCAACCTCGTACCCAGGTTGCTTTAGAGCGGCCTGTAAAAAAACGGCGTTTTTTGCTTCATCTTTCGGGGGGGGAGCTTCGTTGTGGGGTCGAAGCACTGAGCTATATATAGTCATTAGATAGTATATAGTTCAGTGGATGAAGGTTTCATTCATGATCAATTCTTGTTCTTTTAAATGGCCTGGATTGTGTAAAATTTTCTCATTTACTCTGTAAATCTCAGTGGTTTTAAGCTTCTAGACAAGATCAAAAATGGAAACTAATGCTGATCGCTACTGGGGAGAAGTTTCCGATGAAATTCCCAGCTCAAACGATGCAAATTTTGAAGAACTGTTCAAACCAAAGCCTGCAGAATGTGGCGAAGTAAAACTCTATCAAATATCCTGCAAAGAAACAGCTTTAAAGGAGTAAGTTTACTTTTCTCTTTGGTGTGATTCAGTGGATTTTTACATAGATTGTTCTTTTTTTAACAGATGTTCAAATCAAGCGCTGCCATCCATTCAACCACCATTAGACTCTCATGGTCAAAACTTGCTGTTGCATGCCATAGAACTAAAGCACCACATTAGAAAGATGTTGTTGATGAAGATGGCAGCACAACATCAACAAGCAGGTGGAAATGTAAGGAATTAAAGTGACACTCCTGAATAATATGTACAAATATAGTGTGAGCTAGTATGTTCAATAACATGTTCTGATCATTGTTGAAACTGATTTCCAGTAAATGTTTCCTAGAAAAATGATAATCTTCCACAACTACCAGCTGCCCCTTTACCACCCAAGAAATATTGTTGGAAAAATGGAATATATACACGTCCACATTTTCCAGGAATTGTACCCAACCCTGTTGAGTTTGAAATAAAAAGGTATGAGAATTGACAACTAGTTTTATTCAAGACAAAACACTTCCTTTACAGGCCCTCAGGTCGAAACGTTGAGAAGTGTTTTGTCTAATTTAGGCAGTTTTATACCACATTTGATGCTAAGTTGTTTGAAGATGCTGCCACACTGCTCCCTGGTTATATTAGTTTTATTCAACCTTTAACTTGCTGTGGCTAGCATTGAAATGTAAAATTGATTTGGCATAATAGAGTCAATTAGGTCTCTTATATATCTGAATGTATTGTACGGGCTAAAAATCACACTGACTGATAGATTTGTTACCAGGTGATGCTTTGGTGAATAATTTCAATACATCCTAAAGCAAAGCTTGAAGAGATCTGTTCTCTTTTTAGTCAATTCACCACTGGCCATGGTGTCAGTCCTGTTCAACTAGATAATGATTCACTAAGATGTCTTACATACAAAGCTATTGCAGCAATCTGTTGTCATTGTGGCTATGAAAGTAAGTCCAGTGAAAAATCTGCTGTAGGTGGGGTAACTTGTGGGTTGGAATAAGTTGAAAGTCGAATAACTTGGAAGGCTTGGGACAACTTGACAGTTACAGGCTTTCAAAATTTTTACAGGCTCTTTTTTTGTTCAGGTGCTCATGATTTGACTCTAGATGTGTTAAGCGATGTTTTGGCAGATTTTCTTAAACGCTTCACAAAGTTATTACGAATTGCCTTGGATGCTGAAGCCTCGCAGAGAGAAACAAGATTTCCTGTGAGTATTCCCATAGAATGTTGAGTAATATGATCACCATGTAGTTAGTTCCATGATCTTAGTTTGATTAGAGCGACTGCCTGAGCAGTATGTGAGTGTTTTGACATTTTGGGCAAAGATTTTTGCCAATTGCCTGAATCTAGGCTTTGAAATGATCATGAAAATCAATGGCAAATTTGACTTTGAAAAGTAAAAGCTTCCTTGAATTAAGAACATGGGTGTGTACATATATTTTTCAGAATGTCTTGGAGTATGTACTTCAGGAAACAGGAATTGGTGGTTTAAATGCATTACGGCAATATTGGTGCACCAATATCCGTGAATATGCCCTGACGTTAGAACAAGAGGATGAGAGGCTCATGAGTCAGTATTACAAATTGACACATCCCGAGTGCAAGTTGGTAGTCGCTAATTTATGGTATGTGTCAGAAACCAGTGGAACACATCATGGCTTACTCTGACAAATCTCGTGGCTCTTTTGGCAAGCAACGCCTTTTGTTGTTCTGAAATTATTTTGTGGCTTCAAAAACTATCAACTTTAAAAAATGGTGAAGCCACTAGTCTGATATAAACTTGTTGACAATTCGCGTTAACAGCTGACGAAAAACTTAAATTGAATTCTGGCAAGCTGAAAGTTTATAGTGGAAAATTGAGCTGCAATTGTAACGAAAGTATACAGAAAGCTTGCAAATGTTCATGTTAATTGTGACATTACTCTAAAACGTTCGTGTTGATTGTGGAAAGAATCACGAACACTCCCTCTTTATCACTTCATGTATATAAGCCCGGACTCGCAAAAACATTAAAAAAGTGCATTTTTTGAATATGAAGTACTCTAGGTTTTTCAACGGAAACGTTCCAAGTGCAAGTTCCTAAAACACTCGACCACTAGCCATTGACAAACGCGTATTTTTGTATCTTCAAAGAAACTCGCTTCTAAGTGATTTTTGCCTGAAGGTTGAATCTAAAGCATGTCCAAACCTGCAGCTTCGCATGAGTAATTTTCACAATGAATTAAAAGTTTTTTTAAAACACGTGAAGATTTCATTTTGAAGTAGTTTTTTAAACGAAAGCAAATCCATGAGTTCAAGACATTTTTATGATTTGTAAAGAATGCTTAATTGTTTGAGAACTTTCTACAAGGAATCCGGTATCTACGACTGTTATCTTTAAGTAGAAGAAGATATTTTACACAATAATCTCTTTCTAACGGTAAGATTATTTTGTTATGCATGTGAACTATGGACTGAGTAAAGGCTGTTTACTAGTATAGTGCATGATACAGCGCGCGTTTTTTGCGAAGTACATGAATCAGTGGTTATAACGATACTGTCGCTTGAAAATTCAAAGTGCCAGTATTGTTGTCAATTAGGTAGTAACTAATCTGGTTCACCAAAGAATATGTCGTTCCTCTTAAGAATACATCACTCATGTTTGAAATTTTTGTAAACTGTATTCCATATCAAGCCTTTTATTTGACAGTCTTGACAGACATATTAAATTGTTGGATATATTGCAACAAGTGTGTACATAGATTTGTAAAGTACAACGTTTAGTTCATGTTTGGTCCTGGACTTGATGTGGATTTTCAGGGAATATATTCAATCTCGTAACTTGGACATAAAGGGATAACATCGTTCTCAAAAGTTATTGTAATTAATGAATATTAAACTACCTTATTTTCGATGAAGATTTGCTCAACAAGGGAAACGTATTACAAATGCAAAAAATGGTAGTTTTAACCAAGAGAAGAACGTAGTGAAATGTAAACAGGTTTCACTGAAAAAACGAAGTATTAATGAAGTGATAGCTACTATAATATGTTACTATATTTGCCGTTTTGTATGTATGGACCAAACATTGAATACACTGAGAGATCAAGAAATATACATCGAGCTATTACAATTATTTACATTTTGCTAATGTTTTCTAGACACTTCCACTTTCCGGAAGCGCCCAAGTTCCGCATTTTAACTTTTCTCGAGGAGAATTATGCATTGTCCATGACACGGACTTGACCGAACAATTTTTTACCCGTTGCTGTCAAACACTGCTCCATATAAAGCTCTGATGAAGCTCTTATCAGCTTTCGCCCAGCGAATTCACATAGAAAAAATAATTTATTTTGGGATAGGATATATTCTTATCTACTACAAAATTTCCCGTTTTGCACCAGTAACTATGGAAACCAGTCTAAGAACTCCTCGAAATACCAGCACGAGCTATTTCTGGTCAATCCAGTACACTCGTCATTCGGTTAGTTCAGTGACTTGCTTGTAAGCAGGTCAGTGCCACAAACCTCGGTTAGTTCAGTGACTTGCTTGTAAGCAGGTCAGTGCCACAAACTTCGGTACAGTTGAATGAGATCAACAGTTAGTGAAAAGCGATCCTTTCAACGTAGGTCTGCGCAGACCCTGTCCTCATTGAGACGTAGGAGGGGTGGGTGGGTAAGGCACACCACAGGACCCATTTTTGTAAAAGTTTCTCACTCTGCGTTGAGCAGGTTACGACACCTTGTGATTGCTCCCTCGTGTAAATCCCCCCCCCCGTACCCCAATGTCCCACTTCTCTGCATTGTCCTAGAGTCCGTCCCCCCCCCTCGTCACCTCTTGTCATATCTCCCTACCCCTCCCACGACAGGAAGAGCGGGTCGTATTCCTCATAACTACATTGCCATACGTGCACAGGTCGTGTTTTTTAATTCAATGCATTTGCAACTATGTCGTGGTGTTTATTACATTCCCATTCACTCGGTCATTCATTCATTCATTGGGCTATTTAACATGTTATCAATAGAGTCAACGACTTGTCTACAAAGGAAATAGCGCTGTGGTCCGTTTTATTATCATTGTATGGCCTGGAAATGATAACAACCGGCTGAATGCGAGTAAAAAGCTGAATAAACTTTGCGTTGGTGGCGCGCCTAAACATCAGGCGAGATTTCATACACCGGTAACTTCAACTGGAAAGTTCCCTCTTTATTATTTATCTCAGCTGGAGATGCCGGAAATAATAAAACACATTTATTTTTAAAGCTAGTTTATATTTATAGCAAAATGCTTCCTTTTTTGGGCCATTGTTGAAATAGCGATGACTAAAAGGTGTCTCAGGAACTAAAATTACATCAATCTTGAATGGTTTCCAATCTGATATATTGTGTTTGATACGATTTTTAATGTGTTTTTTTGATTCGAGACTAAAACCGAACTAAAGTATTCCGTTGTGGTTTTCAACACTCAATTCAACGTTTCATTATTGGAGTATTCAGTATTGTACTTAAATAGTACAGTAAGACGAATATATTTCGTCATAGTACTCTTACTGTACAGGTTGAAAAGATGTCAGTTCTCTAAGGAAAACAATACAGTAAGACGAATATCTTCCGTCATAGTACTCTTACTGTACAGGTTGAAAAGATGTCTGTTCTCTAAGGAAAACAGAAACGGGTTTATTTATTTTGCAAGCACCGGTGTCTCTGTAACCATCAAACACAGACGTGATTCCACTGTAAAAAACGGCTGCTAGACGTTCATCACAGTTGCACTATCGAGTATGTCAATATTTACAGATCCTCGTGTCTTGACGTCAACCATCGTCAGTTTCCTTGGTCACGTATCATCCACGTGTTTTCACACGGTAGTATCAGTCCCACAACCCTTGTCGGCTCCTCATTGAGAAACTGCATTCGATAACAATTTACCCGATGGTCAGTGTCTGGAAGAAATTAATAAACTGTAACATTAACTCTCTTATTTGCTATTTAAATAAATCTCCTCCTATTTTTAACGAAAAATACACTTTTATTCTGAGAAAATTTGGCAACATTTTGCAATGATGTAGTTACATTAAATACTTTCATATATTCTTGAAATTGCGCGCTTCCGAGTTCCGTGGGGAAATCCGTTAAAGGCGTTATTTTGAGGAACATTCGGCAACGTTTGCACCAATTTTAGGCTTATTTCTAAGCAGTTTTTCCGAGTAAAATGGCCTGAATTCAATCCCAAAAAGGCGATATACTTTATAGCTTTGTTTTAATTATAGTGATTTAGGATTCAATCAATATGAATTCTTTGAAACTTAGGGCATCAAATATACTATATATTCCTGCGTAATCTCACAGTTAGACGGATTTAATCTTAGCACATCTGGCCTATAATTTCAAAACAAAGTTGACAATGATTTGAATTATCATAACGAATGAATCTTCATAAATCGTTTGCTGCTGCCGTTACTTATTAAAGTTGACTTTTCAAAACATGTCCACAAAGTGTATTTTTCGTTGTTGCTGTATTTGAAACGAGCACTTTCAAACTGCTACTGACACGATAGATTTTGTGAGCAGGCCCAAAAAATTTGTTGTTTTTGAAAAAGCGGAGGTAAATTATTTGTACGGTTGAACCAAGTCGGCGCCTGGGAAACTATGACGTCATATTTAGCGAGAAGTACTTCATTAAATTATTGCTTAATTCCTTTCGTTATATTTCATGAAATATCATCAGAATTGGTTAAAATAGGAACCAGCGTTGAGCCAACGAGGACCTCAACACAGAAGGACAAATAGGGGCATTTTTTGAGATTTTTCCTAACTTGTGTTTCGTAAATTGAATACCAGAGATATTCAGGAAAAGTATTAGGTATCATTTACAAACACGAATGACCTCTGACAGACTCCCAAATTAAATTCGTGCCAAAGCGCTTGAGCCGTGGCGTAAAGGTTACCAGCTGTCCAAATGCCACAATTCTGATGCATTCCGATAACTTCGAACCTTATCTTGTGCGCAAGATTTAACAAGGCGTGCGTCTCAGATTTGGTTTACAAATAGTTTTGCGCAAAAATCCACTTCGAGTGTCCTGGTCTGAGAAAAGCCTATTAACTGGACCCCGAAAACGGGAAAGAGATATCGTTGTGTACATACCTGAGCTTTTTGCGGGACAGTTCAATAGGACGTAAGTCGGTCTAATCTAAGTAAAACAACACGTGAATGAAAGTTGTTTGTGTTGACGTTAATAACACATTTCTATTGTTTTTTTGATCTAGTAAGCTCGTCGCGAACGGTCAAAAGAATCGATTTCCCGTCGAAGCCATTCTTCATAACTAACGTAAGTAGCACGCTATGCTATAAAGTGCTTTCTAAAGTAGAATTGCGAACTTCTTGATTGGAAAATAACAGTCATGCTTTGAGTTTAATACCGTGCTTAGCTGTATACGTCATGAAACGTACATTGAATATATTTTGAATTCCGGGATTAAAAATCCAAGCAATCTTCTTACTGCTAATACTTAGCGATAAAGTATTGCTTGAATGTGGAACCTTATACTACAAGCTAAAAGTACGTCTGAAGTGTTTGAAGCAGATGTTGAATATTCGTGCAGACAAGTATTTAACATGTCCAACACAAACACATCGTTTCGTGGAGAATGTTTTATTTATGTGTGGGTCTGTTGCCAAAGTGTTACATTTCAGCGGTTTGATTAATCTTTCCAACATGATACAAAGATTGATTCGTTGTAGGAAATATGTTTGAAGCATTTAATTGTACTCATTGCGTTCAGCACCAAACTACTTGTGTGTTTTTGTCAGTTAACAAATTGCTATTTCAAGCCTTCTTTTAAATTCTTGTTAAAAGAATATGTATGCAGATACGTTGATATAAAAACGTCAAACGTGCTTGAAAATACTCAGACAGTTTTGTCGTTGTTATTGTATAGAAGTAGAGTTGAAGTGAGAGCGTATATGACCCATCATAGCATCAATCGTTCATTGTATAATTTATAAATATAAATACAATTGATCCAATCATATTTTCCCCAAAAAATGTTCTCTTGTTGGGGGATATCTAAGGCAGACATTTGCGCGTTTCCATCAACGGAAAGCCTGTTATTAAAAGCTTTTTAGTTCATCTATGTATTTGAGATTTCTTTCGAATGCGTCTCCAAGTGTACAAGTTCTTACAGGTATATGCGGGTATTCCACTTCAGCGACTTCACAGGCGAAGATTTCATTTGTGTTTGCTGATAGGATTTTAAAAATCAAAGTCGCGATTCCCAGCAGCGCTCAATGAGAATCAGCCTCTCACGGCGCGACATCAAGCTGCTGCCTTGCGCTAGTTAACATTACGATTTGTGCGTCGGAAAGCTTCTATTTTCGCGTGCGCGCACCTGTTCACGATTAGCATAAAATGTGAAACTCCATATTCCCGTTGCTGCGCGTGTTCATGCGTTTGGGAGTGATGTGACACGTTCTTGCGTCGACTGTCCGTATACCCATGCGCGCAAATCATCAAGCCAATCTCCTTTGCGCGCTGGATAAAATGGATTTTTAACGCAAAACAGATGCGCGCGAGGTATACACGGGTTAGGACATGTAAACATGGTCCTCAGTAAGCTGATAGTTGGCGTCAAGGAGAGACCTTAACAGCCCTACCACAGGCAACTAGCGAGAAACCACTGCATTCGTTTGACCTGAAGAACAATTTGCCTGACGGAAGCTCTGCTATCTTGAAAAGAAGGTATGTAGGTCTTAGAAGCATCGAAAAAGCTTGTGAATATCATGTTTACTGTATTAAACTCCCGTGCGCAAATCGAGAAAGCTTTGCGTTGACGAATGATACATAATCATTATGGTTCTTGAAGAAAGTGCGGATTGTGTCTTCATCGTTTTGTAGGGGAAAAAATGAGTCGAAACCAACGCGCAATAATCATGTTTACGTTACAGCGTTTTTAGCGAGTACAGTACATTGTCACGCGTGACAAATGATGTACAAGATTTCCTAATCTTAATCCGGGGACACTTATGCTACAGGATTTTACAGTCATTCCGGGAGCGCAAGGCATATTTCGAGAACGTTTTATATCCGGCAATTACAGATCGTCTGTGTTGTGGTGTTGCACCCAAATACTTTGAATATTTTCCGTTCATTTCGCTGGGTACTGTAGCACTCCATTAAGTGGGATTAGGAAGGATTTTTTTCTCAAAGACACGCGGTGTAACGACTTGCTTTCAAATTATCAGTCTGCAAGCCCATCGCGAGATCGCAGCTCGGACGGAAGCTCAACAATAATCAATCAATTTGAGTAACTAAGATTTTCTCAGCTGATAAGAATCTTAAAGACGGTTGCGTGTTTGTGAGATTTTTCCCAAGCTACGCAATCACTATTACAAGAGGCAATCATAAACTCGTCTATTAAGGATTTTTCTAGGCCTAATATATGTTATGATCGTTTCATTATCCGTTACAGTTCTTATCTTGAAAGCACAAGCGCTATTGGCCTTAAAAGTTCATATCTAAGGTCCACTTGATGGTAGACTAAGTTTAAACAACTAATATTTTCCTGCTATCGTGACCGCTGGTTACCACCTTGGTTAGATTACCAATAACCTCGCTTGTTAGAACAACTCAGACTCGCGCAAAATGCTTATTATTTTAATATACACATGAATTACCAGCTGTGTTCATAAATACAGCAAATATACTGACCACCACCGTCGCAGAATACTACTTAAGTCGGACAACGAAATGAGATTATTCCTGATGTTTTTGACATCAGAACAATTGACAATTGCTAACCTTAGCCTGAATTAGCCTTACGCCGATTGGGTTTACAATACAATTAATGGTGAATGCATAATTAATCGCTTATGGCACCCATATGGGAAAAGAATGGTAGATAGACATATATGGGGTGATATAATTTGTAATTCTGGAAGTGAATAGTGCGTATTATAGGTGTGTATAAGGATTTGCTGTAAAATGTGTTTAACTAACAGGAATTTCCCTCAAGATTGAATTGAAGATAACCATCCAACATCTGTTATCATATCTGGAAATTGATTTTATCTAAAATGCAATTTATGAGATCTTCACGCTTGTGACATTGTCAGTCAATCGATTAGTTATACGACAGAGTGGATGAGAAAGCATATGAGCATTTTCTTAGCAATTTTTTGTAAACTCTTGTTTCGAAGTTGCAATGATGAATGTTTGTTATAAATGTAATTCAAAAGTTCTAGTACAAATCCGCTTAAATCGAAACCTCGGCATTGACCAGAATTAGCAAGGGAGTTATTCAAACGATTTTCTAGCGTGGAATTCTAGTATAAATGATAAAATAGATGAGTTTCTTAATAAGAATGAACGTTAAACGCTTCGACAGCCTTCGTCAGAGATCCGTTAGTTCTACTGAATAAGGCATGCAAGTGATGGAGCAATTTGTCGTGAAGGAACTGCCGCTGGATCATATGTAGATATCTGCAAATTGTATTTTAGAATGCGCTTTGCCTATATTCTGCGCGGACTTTTACGTTGACGCGTTAGTTTAGCGGTGTTTTCAGGAACTAAGTGACCTCATAGTGACACAGTGTGCGCTGAACTACCAGACCACTGTGCAATAATAGGACGAGTTTATATTTGCCACCAACGTTTGTTTTCTTATGAAACAGTGTTCGACGGCGGCTTTTCATGAATTTTTTGTGCCTTGAAATGTTCCCGAAATAGAATTATTTTTCATGATGGAAAATCCCGCTTCGCGTGAGTAATGACGTGGCCGTAATGGAGACATCGATGCCTCGATTGTTTCAAAGTTTCTATTGTTCACAAATTCAATATCATTACAGCATTTAAAGATTATTATGCTATTAAAACAGACTACTTGAACATTAACACTTTATCAGACAAATGAAATTTCCTATTCCGTTTGAAGTTTATACTGACGTAGCGAGGGACCAAATGCTCCTTGATTCTTTCGAAAACACATTCAAACATTTTAAATATAACCAGTTTGCTATTTAAGTCTATCCTATCAAGACTCAAAAAGACATTTTAAGCAACGAGTTTCTTGCTTGAGTATATTTTATCAGCTGGTCATAACGATTCACTTCCGGTGTTCAACAAAAGTTGTTGGATTAACTCCCATTTCCCAGATTTACGGAGCTCAGGGATTTGCATACGGGAGGTCGGTACTGCCTGCATGGCGTTTAACATCAATGCCAAAAACACTTCACTTGTGCTATAAATTTATAATCTCTCAAACTAATACGTCGCAAGCGTTCCTGTCACGTGATACACATAGCGTATTAAGGTCAAGGACAAACCATTGGGACAAACATTCCTCAATATTAGAAAAAACTGTGAATTTCCTGCGTGCAGGAGCCTGGGACTATATACATACGTGTTCTTCTGATTTAAATGATTATGGGCACTTTGGCGACTATATTTAAAGACTTTTGGGATATTGTCTTATTCATTGATATGCCAATTGATGTGGGATCCTAATTTTTAGCTTGGCAACGGCTTGAGATGCTTAAATTGTCTATTATAGCGAGATCTATATGCTTTCGTAATGCTTCAATCATTAGTTTTGTGCTCACGAACGCGTACATCGCGTGTTCCCGGCACACAGTCGGAACTGAGTCTAGTGTTAAAACAGGATATCCAATTGTATTAAGCTAAGTAACTGTGGATCAGCGCACGCTGGAAGTCTTGTAATCCCATCTACGTCCCGTAGCTCTCAACTAACTTAGTTTAAATTGTGGTAAGGACGCCTGCTGATTAGAAGGTGGGATAAGGCCCGCGCCTGCCCGTTGCTATCGCTATTTGTACCAGTCAAACAAGAATAAGAGAAAGAACATGTCCGTTAAATTTGAGCGAGATTTCGATAAACGTTTTGATTTGATTGCGTAGCAACATCCAGTCAACTTTCCTGCAACTCTAGTTCTCGTTCAACCAGAGCATGTATGCATAAGAGTTGATTAAACCACGTTTAAACCCTCGAGCAAAACCATACGATGTATATGAATATCTGTGTTTACACAGGAATCCTGCCAGAAATTGAACTAAAATGTGTTCAGTTGTTACAATACCACGCAACACACGCGAACATGACGAGGCGACTTGCCAAATCGGAAGTTGTCCTCAAAAATATTGTCTCTTTTAAAGTAGACAAGAGTTCCTCTTCATTCCAAAAGGCTGTTGAACAAATATTGATTGAGAAGAATAACCTTTACCGCAAGGTTAGATTTGAAACCTTCTCAATTAACGATATACGAATTCTACCGATTTCAACCTTGCTTTTCCATGGCATGTGTCGAGGGTGCTGGAAAAAACAGGACAGATGATATATATGCCTTGTTATGCCTCGTCTTAAATGCATTCGACATAGCAAAATGCCACATTTTAAACGAGCTTAACTCGGCTGATAATTGAATTATATTTAAGAAAGCACTCGATATCAAAATGAATTTACCTTCGCAATATTTTTCAAAACATCAATTATGCTGGATGATATGAGATGAATTCAAGTCATTGGTGATATATTGCTAATTGTTTTCGAAGTTCCAATTCTTTAATTTTGTTTGCCAATCTGTTGTAAACCTATGGAAATTGCTCTATATCCGGCGATGAAATTTTCTTTAGGTTCTACATGCAGCACCTAAAAGTAGTTCCAAGTAATAGATTGAGTCTATTTTAATTTATATCACTGATGAACAACAAAGTTTTTTACTAAACTAAATAACAATTGATTGCTGTTGAAACATTGGAAAAAGCCACGCGCTGACATACAGGACTTTTTGCATTTTTCACCTGTTTTTGCGTGCTAACCATTTGACCTTAAGGATAATTTTAAATGAGCCGAAGAAATATATACTTGTCAACGATTTACCCCCCAGAATTAAACTTTTTTGGCCTGAGAGGAATTGGTCACGAAACGACAATCAAAGATCCAATAAATATCGTAGCTGCGTTGTAGTTTTCAAAAAAACTTGATCATCAGTTTGTCAGTTTTGCCTTCTTCAAAAATTCCCCATTTTTTTGTAAAAGGTTGTCGTATACGGTGCTCTAATCAAGCCAGTTAATTTAATACATTAGTAAATACCACATCTAAATTGTTATTGTAAATAGTGGGCGTTTTCTTGATTGATTTTTACTATTTCTGGTAAAATATCTTAAAACTATGTAGAAATTTAGCAACTATATGAGCCACTGACAATCGCCATTGACAGAGTACATTGTCATCTCTCAAGTACCTGTTTATGAATCACGCTTTGAGAAAGCTTGGAGGGTATTTATGTGAACCGTTTAGCTACCATTAATTTATGTAGCCGCGCATGCACGGAGATCATTTGCGGGCAAGCTCTGAGTCATCAGCAAGTCTTTCATTCCTTAAACTCCCTCTTCTCATTCGCAAGGCGATGTGTTTTATGCACTTTCAGGAATTACGTATATGAATGTTTATACGCTAATGTATATTTTTTATTGAACTGAAAACCCAAACATTTGTACTTAAGCCTAAAATTTACGTAATTATGCATGTCAGAATGAAAACGACTTGTGCAAAACTTGTTTACAAAACGTGACCCTCCAACAATTGATCAGGGAGTTTATTACCATGTTTTTGTCGAGAAAAGCGAACACGTCATAGGCAGTCTTTCAATGGCAGTTTCTCGCGTTATTTATTTTTGGTTGTTTTTCATTTCGAGACATCATTTCAAAGCCTTTCACTTCGATTCAATCGTTTATACAATGCGTTGATCTCATTTTCAAGGAAACAGCTTTTCATGCATAATACATGGATGTCTGTTCATCTCCTCTTTCAACCTGTCAAAAACTGCCAGACCCTTGTCAACGGGTTCAGCTAATTCACAGTTACGCCATAGAAATAGTTGGACCATTCTAGTCGCCAATGGTTATTACGTTCCCACACGCAAATTTTAATTTCGTTAGATAAAATCTGAACTGTACCGATTGATAGGCCTGAAGAGACAACATTGCGTTCTTCATTTTGATGATAAAGTCACGCAACATGCAATTTATAAAGTTCATTATCAAATGTCAATTCACAGGCGAAAAGTTTAAGATGTTTCATAAAAGTGAAGCCATCTTTTCATTTGAGTGAATTTTTATGTCAAATCTACCTGCCAATCTATTGCGCTTCGTGTAGAAATTCTGCTTTAAAATCTTCATCGTTTTGCAGCAAGGTTTCATTAAAACAGTGAAAGAGTTTTTGACCGGAAAGGTATATTTGCATGAATTGACGATTTGACATCCATCCTACGTCTGAAACTTCAGGGGAAATTGCCCGGTGCTTGCTTGATTTGATGCAGGCATTTTGGGAATTCTGATATGATTCTAGTGCTAGATATCTTCATAGGTAAATAAGAACTCGTTTCATTCGAGTATTTGTTTAAAAAAAATAATGAAACTGTTCAACGTATCTTGGGTATTTTGTGCTTCAGGCCACTTGAATAACACCCGCAGTGTTTTTAAATACGAGGGAGCACAGCAAGAATGTATTATGTATAGCTAGGGTAAAAAAACTTCATGCCGCAATATAGCTACTGCCACATCGAAACTTTTATGGTAAAAAAAAATCTAAAGCATTAACAGATTAAACTTGATACCTGAGATCAAAATTTCGTAGTTTTTTAATTCAGTGGGCGAAGCAGTGCATGAGCTCAGTGTTTATAGTTTGATTCGCTTATAAAGAACTTTTGATAAAGAGCAATGCCGTGTGATTTCCTAGCTCTAAAGACAGCTTTTAGCGCTAATGACAGTCGTTTTATCGGTTCTCTTTCTCATATTGTCATCCAGTTTCGCTCCGAAAAAAGGCGGCATCTCTTGTGAAACTGTTTCAAGGTAATATTTCGTCTGTAAAATTGCATTCCTTGATGTCGAGTGATAACAGTTTGATGGTTGTTGTGAGATTAAACGATGGCAGACAATTCAATGAAATTAAATACATCATAATATAAACGGAAAATCAAAACATACTCTACAACGAAACCCAAGATCAGCCGAAATGTGAGAGACTGAGAGGTTCAACATTTAAATCGACTAGGAACTTATCAAAATTTGATCTCAAAGAGCTTGTTTATCATTTATTACATGAACTTTTTGTACATGAAATATATCAATGTGCTTCATTGCTTTAAAAGCTTTCTCACAGAAAGCTAATCCTTTCTTATGTTTTTCAATACAGTTAGAAAGTTTCATTTATTCCAAAGCAATGTAACATGGCTATGAATTCGATCCAAAAATACGAAACATGCATTAACTATATTAAACGTCGATGTATATATATATTACATATATACGCGTATTCTGCACTTATGTTCTCTAAAAACAACTTGCTTACATTCCTAACACAACAAGGTGCCGTGGAAAAACAATACGTTGATATAAAACTGGAGCTCATTGCCTCGGCGTAAACCAATCATTTCGCCGTTGCTCGTCTTACGGAAGTTGCAATAATGCAAGATGACACTTCATTGTTGAACAACCCACTGTGCCTGATTGAACGAAGGCGGAGACAATATCCAGCACAAATAGTTAATTGCTATTAATGTATTAGGTTTCGAATTGACTTTCATGTGCTTCAATTCACCTTGGCGATTGTATTTACGGCGTAAACTACAGCTTTTTGGCTCGGACACAATTCACAAGTACTATAACGTTACCAAGCTATCTATCATTCCGTTTAAAAAGGCCATGTCAGTGAGTATTTGCCGAGTTTCTTAGCGTTGGTAGGATTGTCTCAAACAATACCAAGGCGATGGATCTATTGTGTGTTATTTAATTTACACATTAGCCAAAGAAAGCTATCCTTTGACATTATTTACTCACGTTTTTGGGGCACACGGATGTTGCGATTTAATGAATTGCACCTTATATATGTTATTTACTTTCTGGATACTCGACGAATTGGTTAAATACCATATTGTTTGTTCACGTTTAGTGGTAATCGATCAAATTTGAAGAATCTCCACTATATGGCCCTTGGATTATAACCGTAATGGTGTACCAACGTTTGGTGAATGATTGGCGTGTTTTACTGGTGCTTGCCACATCAGCATCGCTTGCGCTTGCTATCGTTGGTAAGTGTTGTCTGTTTATAATGAGAAAGCATTTTGGTCAGACGTGCTAAACTTCAAATTCCGTTCCTTTCACGGCGGACACGCTTCAGGAAACATCGAATTGATTCTCAAATTGCCTTTCAAATTCCTAACACTCGACGTTTCAAAAGCCACTCTCGATTAAATGTTTTCAACTTCGTCAGAATCGAAGTTTCAAACGCATTATTTCGCAAAACGAACCCTTGCCTTTGTATCTCAAATGTTTTATAATAAAACAGCGTCGTTTAGTGTCATACGAACACAATTGTTAGCCAAATTTCTCATGTGTATAATTGGATATTGAAATTCCTTGTCTGTTTCTCCTTCAAGCAAATGAGTGATTTATGTTCAGACAAACCTAAGTATTGCAATAACAGCAAAACCCTTGCGAGAACTCTGTGCATTATTTATCGCTGTAATCCTCCAGCGCAAGACTGTATCAAGAACATTAACAATGTTGACTAACTTGAATTCAAAATAACAGCGCTGTAATCTTTAATGTACATTCCCTTTGATTGAACTCTATATTGAATTCATTACAAGAGGAATGTTTTATATGTGTTGTGGAAATGTTTAACTTTAGATAGAGCAATAAGATGAAGGTCGCTTGCTCTATTGACGTTAATGTTTTCAATTATAGACAAAAGTGTCGCTGCCCAAACTATTAATCTGTTTGTTCTCTGACTCAAAAGTCCGCATTCCTAAGCAATGATTTTTTGGCTGAGTGTTTTTATCCCTCTGCGAGCGTCAAATTTTGCCGAAAATAGCTGGTCAGCCTCCTTAATATGAACGACGCCGTAATGTCGGGAGAATGTCATTGAACATTTAGCAAAGTTCGTCACAAGTTTATCTACAATCTGTCGCAACCCCGCGCAACCCAGTATGATGCTTACGTGTTTGGCACATTTTCTAAGGCAATTTGTGACCATCAAAGACGCTTGTGTTCGGCTCATTTTCGCTGGGTTGCCTTCAAATGCCGTACAAAATTCAGAGCGAACGGACGTTTTCTGTGAAGCGGGTAAAACTCGCCTGCCGTGAGGGCGTTTTGATCACATTGCGCGCATGCGGTGAACTAAATAATGGTTTAAAACAATGCATGTTCGCGGGAACATTGCGCTAAACCTTAGTTATTATTATAGACACAGCGAGCTTCTTTATTGACTGAATGGGTGGCAATATTGTATTGTGAAATATACGCCTTTACTCACGTTTCCAGCGCAAAGTTGACCCGCAACATTAATCACACTTAAAACAAGACGAAAAATGTCGCTTTGTCTCTGAGTAAAATGCAAGCAATATCGCTACGATTTGTGGTTTCAACGTATCTCCTCCCTTGTATATTTCACACAATTTCGATTCTAAAAATGGCAGAGATACAACAGCTTCATATTTTCGGTTTATTGACATATGCGTACCGAGGCTGTAGTCATCTGAAGCTTTTACAAAACGCTTTTAAAAACTTCTTAATTGCTTCATGAAATTACATTGTGTTATACCCTAAATTGTGTACATTCAAGTGAAGCCCTCGTTTATATTTGCTGTTTAAAACGAAAAACTGAGGCATATATTTATATCATATGCATGTAGCATTATATGGTTTCTTACAAAACAATATAATCTTGCAAATAAACTATCGTTTGACTAGGAAAATAGACGGTGATACTATATAGCTTCAGAAATTCTGTTCAATTATATTTATATACCGTTGACTGTCTCGTGTACGTCATAGCTCTTGAAATCGTATACGGTTGATATGAGGAATGAGTGTCTTATAAGTCGTTGTCTGAACAATCGCTCCTGTCACTGAGAAATGTTTAATTTGAGTGTCTCAAGTGAACGCGGTTGAACATCGTGAATATCCATGCATATCAGATCACGTTGACAAAAAATGGTTTTAATTAAGAAGAAAGTCTGTGATTAGATCGACTATAAACGAAAAAATGTGACAGGAACTTCTCGATAGAATGGGGTTTTTTACCCCATCGAGCTCCTTGTTCATTTTTTTCCTTATTTCATCTAATAACGCCCATCAGTGATTCCAAAAAAACAATCAACGCACACGTTCTTAGCATTAAAAAGAAGAGTAAATTTGATTTCTTCTTTTCGTGTTTAGTACCTTCAAGTTGTAAATAAAGAAAGCTTTGTGAAGTATAATGAATCGCAAAATTAAGGCACTTCAACTATTGTATATTTTCATGATATCTCATTCTGCAATCTGCATTTGAATTGACCAAAAGATTTACATATGGCATCTTATTGAATGCATATAAAACGTTTGTTTTAAATCTATCTTAGTTTTGTAGAATCATAGCATGTTTTGCAAAAGTTTTCAGCTCGAAAAGACTATTAATTTGTTTAAAAAAGATCTCAGTGTTATCCATTTCTTCCCCGAGGTAAATTTGCAAGTGCAAAACTCTTTCATTTGCCTGAAGTCAACTTGTTATATTCAACATGGCCGCTTTTCAATCGCTAACTTGTGGTCCTTAAAGTTCAAGGTCTTCTTCAATGCTTCAAACTTGATAGACTTGTTGAACGAGGGTCGTATACGTTGCTCTTGAGCCATAGGATTTAAGGATTATAAGCAAAAGGTCAATCCTGTGAATTTAGGAAGTGTTAAATTATACCCGATTTCACATTTAATATAGCTATATAGATTTTACTAATTGGTTTTAATTCGTGTCCATGCACCATGGATAATTTTCGCCCACCGGTGTATAATTATGAGGCAATACAGCACCCTTCTTTTGAAAAGCTGTAGCCAGATATAACGTTTTATCCAAATTATCTGTAGTCAATATGGTGCATGTCTGTACACAATTATGCGGAAATATCAGCTTTATACATCTCATTTTCAAACAGGTTCTCAAAAACACACGCATGCATGATCGATAAAATCGCCTGTTTTTAACGCTGCTTTTCAACGGGTTCAGAGTTCAGCAATGAGATTTCGCATGATATAAAATACTTTGAACATTTCTTTAATGAAAATATCACCTGCGCACGCAAGTTTTCGTCAATTATTTACACGACAAATACAAATACGAGATTCATGTTTTGTTTGTTCAAGCGATTCCTACTCTGATAAAATGGAAACATGGCAATGTATACACGCGAAATTAGTTTGAAGGTCAACTTCAATTCAAGTGTGTGACAGTCAGTTTCTTCCCATCAATTTGCACACAATAGCTCATAAGATTATAAAAATGGCTTTAATATAAAAATGCTTAAAGAATTAGTTTGCGTGTGTGCGGCTAGAATGTTTCAAAATTACAGAGGAGGTTTATTTAGTTTAATTGCTTCTTTTGTTTTGGCTAAGGCTAAAAGGAGCGCTAATGGAAACGCTCAAGGCCTTTTTAATACTATACTTGGCAACAACAATCGTTTGTGAGCAGTTCTACGCCAACATTTACGTCGTGAAAGAGCTTTTATTCGACAATTGTTGTTTCAAAAACATATCCATATTTACACGTTGTCGCCTTTTTTTGGAAAGCCAACCATTTTCCGATGTCAATCTCGCGAAAGCAAGCATGCAAAGGTCAAATCTTAGGGTCATAGATTCCTGTGAGACACGAAGTATATTCGTGTCTGTTTGGGGATAGTTCCTCTAGCGATCTGGGCCTTATGTGGTGAATGATTCACCCAAGCCATGTTTTCGTAGGTAAATTTCTGAAACACTAAATCTCGGGTTCTGGTTCTACCAAAGACAGTTCTCTGTCGGCTCTTTGCGTCATTCAACGACGACGTGCAGCTGGGAGCATTCACAATTTCGAAATATTTTCACGTCAAACCTTTGACAAGCATCAAAGCAATTATTATTAATCAAAAACTCTCTGCATCGTTCGGATATTTTTGCTGTTTGTTTCAAGTTATATATATTTATCATTCAACGCGCCTAAAATGACGGGGCGTTTATTGGACTGCAATGACGTCGAAAATCTCGTGATGTTTTATTTATTCCTTTGAAATTCAAACGTCCACCAATCCACTATAATGCAAATGAAATGACGTATCGCATGCCATCTTACATGTTATTTCAAAGGGATTTTTTCCCTCATATATTCTATAGAATATATGCATATATCTACCAACAATCCCTCGTGCTGATGTCGATCGACAGTCGAGGAAATTGATTCCAATCACAGTAAACAGCAAGTCTTAGTTTTCAGAAATTACGAAAACTGAGTGCATTGTAAAATACTCTGAAATATTAGTGCAAAATTATAAAAAAAGTCTTTTTGAAACATATATTGTTGGTTCTTCGACATTTCTATGCCATTTTGTACATATCAGTTCTCCTTCATAGCATCTAGACGTTCTTCTTCATTGCATGAATTTCATTTAAATTTACATCAACTTTAAATATTTCAAAACTTTTATTTACGATGGTTAAATCACTGATTTTAATACGTCCTGAGCGATTCGTCTTTCGCACGTCGTTAGACGTTTAAATCTTAAGTCCGGAAACGTTTGATTAACGAAGGGAATGGGGCTTTCTTTTCAATTTATCTCATGAACTAATTTCAGCTTTTGTTTACTCCAGGCCAGAAACCCAGGTTGGTCGACACAGCAACTGCCAGTTTTGTGGCCGAAGTTGGTAAAATCGTTCGTTTAAAATGCGATTTCTACACTTGGGAAAAGGAATGGACGATGACGTGGTACAAAGATGGTGCGATTATTCCGGTGAAAAGAAAGTCGAGATTTCGAAGTCGTACCGGAGAGGCGTGTATGCTGCGAATAAAAAACGTGCGAAAAGAGGACGTCGGCACGTACCGTTGTCTTGCTCAAAACAAATACGGCACAGCAAGCAAACTAATGAACCTAACAGTTTCAGGTAAGAAACTTCACTTCATATCTTCAAAACATGCAGATAGATAGAAGGTATTATCAAATATATTCGAACAATGTTGACCTATATTGACTCAGGTAGAGCACTGGACTAGCGCACCTAAGGTCGCGACATAAATTCACCTCGTTTGACCTTGCATGAATTGTGACAAAGCGTTGCTTACGCAGTCGTCGACGCGAACTCGTGAGATTTTATGTAAAAAGTGCAATCCAGCTATATCAAAATTCGTGATGGGGGGTTTCCCGAGTACTCCGGTTTCCTCCCACAGGCGTTGTTGACGTGATAGGGGGGGGATGGACCCTAAACTACCCCCTCGGAGTTTCACGAGCGCATACGACGCAGCCAGAGCTTTTGACAACCATGCTTCTTGATCAAACCCTGCTACGGCTTCTTTAGCCCAGCCATTGTAAGAATACCACTTCTTTCAAATGCTTATTTGATTTTCTTTTGAACTTGAAGGTGTTTCCAAGCCACGTGGTATACACGGAAAAGGTATGTCCAATAGTACCAGTTAATGAACAATTCGAAATATTTGGGTAAAAAACACTGTAACAGAATAACAGTCGTTTCAAATTTATCATATTTTTGGCTGATAAATTGCTAGGAAATAATGATACGATAGTTTTCATTTCGATATCTCGTTTTTTTAGGTCCACCGTGGTTCATAAAACCCATGCCACCGAGGCAGTTCATCGCCTGGCCAGCGTCGAATGATCTGAAATTACGCTGTGCGGCTGATGGAGAACCTCCCTTGAAATATCAGTGGCTGAAAGACGGCAAAGTCCTGACATATCGTCGTTTAGATCCAAAGTAAGTACTGGATTTGTAACGTTTTTTAAACGTGGCTTCATTGATAGGAAAACAACGCTCTGTTGCGCTTGTTAACTCGTAAACTCGTCTATCGAAATGCCCAAGCTAGAGTTTGCATGAGAGTATTCTTTTGTTTATTTTTTCATCTTTTTTGCCAAAGGTTTAATGGTACGAAGTGGTATCTGAGGATCAAAACAGCCGTTCCATCAGACAATGGTCTGTACACATGCATCGTATCAAATAGACTGGGGAATTTATCACATGACTACAAACTGTCTGTAATAGGTAAGCAGATTTCTTGGAGTGTGAACTAAATCGAATAATTTCAATCTGAAATGCTGAGAAATGTTTGTGAAAGTTGTCCAGGATAGTTTAATTGTTAAAACGACTGAGCTACTGTATGAATTGTGATTGAATTTTTTTATCAACTTTCACAAACATTTTTTGGCATATTCAGAGCTTGGTCTACGACCATTTTCTTTTAATCCAACTAACATATATTCCATAAGAAGTATTCAGTTGTATCTGAAGCGTCTAGCCTATTAGATCAGCAGTATCTTCACAATACAACATGACTATGTTGCTGTGGATTTTTTTTAGAAAAGGGACCAATACGTCCAGTGTTATCAACTCATTTCCCCGTCAACAAAACTGTTCGTGTTGGCGACAACGTGACATTTCAATGTATAGAGCTCTTTAGTCCGATGTTGACCGACTATCGTTGGCTTCACTGGAAGAAACTGCCTCCTAGTTACCCGGAGTTGGACCTTGCAAAAATACCCTCCACCAATTCGTCGTATTATACATTGATTAATCCTCGACATTATAAGGCGTTTGACGTCGAAAAAAATAACGGAAAATACGGGGGGAGAGTTTATATAAATAATGTTACAAAAGACGACGAAGGAATGTACACTTGTTTGATCACAAATCATGTTGGCCAAGGTTCAAGGAATGCGTTCTTAAGAGTTATTGGACGAGGTTGGTATTTTGACAACCGAACGACTTGTTAACAATTAACGATCAGGCTCAGCTGCCTTTAGTCTCGCCCGCTATGCAGGCAAGCGTGTTCAACACGTGAACAAGTTCTCACAATGTATTATTATAGTGTCCTAAATTGCTGGATACAGGGTAGTCGATTTGAACTTGTGATATACGAGTGTGTTGAGTCGTTGCAGGTCTGTTAATTTTGTTTGATTCAATTCACTTCTGGCGTATGGAATGTAGTTTGGTATTGATACAGCAGTATTGTATTGGCTTTAGTTGATTAATTGCCCATATACATTTCAAGACAACAGACTATAAAACATCCATCAGAAGGAAATTGTATCCGACAAAATTCACTTTAACCTTTGCGTATGTTTCAATAAGAGCCGTTGACAATGTGTGTTTAAAAAAAGCGAGTCTGTACAAAAAAATTTTGAGCTTGAAAGATCTTTCTTTTTTGCAAAGACCCGATCTAGGAATTTTCTGATTTCACTGAACCCAAAGCTCTTATAATGCTGTCTTTTCTACCACACAACGTGGTTTTAAACTCTTAAATCTTTTCTTAGATGAAGTTTTTTCTACTCGTGATACGAGAAAAGGCATTCCAATTCCCCGGAGACAAACCTCCGACACTATTAGTCGTAACAGTATCATCGCTATCATCATGCTTGTTGTCGTCATCATCTTAATTGCTGTCTGCGTCATCGTCGGATTTTTATTCTACAAGAAGAAAATGTCGAAACGAATCGAGGGAAAAGTGCTGTACTCTCGTGGCTTAGAAACTTCCAAAGAAAGTTCGGGTGGAGTTTTTGATATGGGCAGACAAGACTCGATCAAGTTCTTTGGCATGAAACGAAACGGCCGTTTGGAGTCGAATAGTTCCACAAATTCAACCCTGCCATTGATGTTTAGCCGGCAAAATAGTTTTCGCACCAGGTTACCGTCAAATGGCCTGTCGAAAGTCGATTCGGATCTCTGCGAAGGTAGGTTGATTTGCCCTCACTTTAGTTCAGTTTAGTTTAGGTTTCCTCCTGTAGTAACACTGGATCAATAAGAGATGATCCTTACTGGACCTCTAGGAAGAACAGTTTAGAACTGATAGAGCTATCCAGTATAAATAAAGTTAGTTTAGTTTAGGTTTCCTCCTGTAGTAACACTGGATCAATAAGACATGATCCTTACTGGACCTCTAGGAAGAACAGTTTAGAACTGATAGAGCTATCCAGTATAAATAAAGTTAGTTTAGTTTAGGTTTCTTCCTGTAGTAACACTGGATCAATAAGAGATGATCCTTACTGGACCTCTAAGAAGAACAGTTTAGAACTGATAGAACTATATATGAAATGTATTTTTCCTTTCTAGGTGAATTTGAAATGCCTTACGACGAGGAATGGGAAATTGACGAGGGTCAATTGGTGATAAAAGACGAGCCGTTAGGAGAAGGAGCATTTGGTGTCGTGATGAAGGCAGAGGCTTATGACTTGCCTGGCTATCCAAAATGCCACACTGTCGCTGTAAAGATGTTGAAAAGTAAGTTAGGTTTTAAAGATATCATGGTCCAGCGTAATAACGAACACATCCAGGCTGCAAAAAAGACTTTTTTCTATTTCTTTTTGAATGAGACAACGTGGTTTATCCTCCTGCCTTTTTAGGTGACGCGACTGAAATAGAGCTTGCAGATCTCGTGTCAGAAATGGAAACCATGAAGAGAATAGGCTGCCATAAAAACATTATAAACCTCATCGGATGCTGCACCCAAAATGGTGAGATATTTAGCATAATCCAAGATTCGTCGTCTTCATAACTCGTGGTCATAATAATCTTGTATTTCTTTGTCCTCAAGGCGCGTGTTTTCCATACATGGTAGTTGAATACGCTCCGTATGGAAACCTGCGAGAGTTCTTACGGAGCAGAAGGCCTTCGGTGATCAACAGAAAATCTTCCGGCGAGTCAGAGCATAATAATTTACCTCCTGTGACGATCAGGGATTTTATATCTTTTGCATTTCAAATATCGCGAGGAATGGGACATCTTGTGTCCAAAAAGGTAAGACTACAGTACTTCATGTTCGCTAAGCAAATGCTTTGAGCTTATATATATCTGTCTTAATACTTGTTCAGTGCATCCACCGAGATTTGGCTGCAAGAAATATCCTTGTTGGCGAAGATTACGTTATGAAAATCGCTGATTTTGGTTTGGCTCGCCACACGCGAGACATGGATTACTACAGAAAAACCACAGACGTGAGTGGACGTCATGAAGGATCTCTCTTCCTCTTTCATGCATTGAAGTTTTAAGTACTAAATCATTGCATTTTCAACTGTGTTTAGGGCCGTCTTCCCGTGAAATGGCTCGCAATTGAAGCTTTGTTTGACAGAGTTTACACAATTCAAAGTGACGTGTAAGTTTACAACGTATAGAGTTTTTTATTTCACTTCAAAATAGTTCGTTGTATTTACACATAAAATCATAATAAAATATACTATATTTTTCGTTTATAGTTGGGCATTTGGTGTACTTTTGTGGGAGATATTCACATTGGGTAGGTATATTTTGAAAGCGATCTCATAGCTTTAAAACATTTCGCTCAAAACGACACATAAGCACTAACGTCTTCATCATCATTTGTCATCCAGGCGGATCACCATACCCAGGTATCCCCGTTGAAAAACTATTTGAACTGTTAAAAAGTGGCTACAGAATGGAAAAGCCTCAAAATTGTCCTCTTCAAATGTAAGTCTTGATAATATCTTTCCGATCTATTCAAATAAAAAAACATAGCACCTTTATCTAAGGAATGCAGATTCAATTCTTTTACCTTCACTACTTCTAAAGGAAAATTATTCGCTTGGAACTTCCGTCTTGTTTTTTGATCAATGATAGCAATGTATTGTAGAGATTTTTTCACGACTTTCTCGTGTGTTTTTTTCCAGAACTTTACGCCTAGTTTGAAGTTGGAAAGTAACGTTTTGTTTTTATTTCTAGATACGAAATGATGCTGAAAACTTGGAGCGAGAACCCGTCGTATCGTCCTTGCTTTTCACAACTGGAACAAGAACTTGAAAAGATGCTGTCCAGTCTTACTAGTCAGGTAAGACACATTTTAACCATCTTTTCAAGTACCGTTACATTCTGACGACAATCAAGGCCTTATTGATAATCAATCTCTTTCAGGAATATTTGGATATTTTGGCCGAATCCATGACGAACATAACCGAGTCGATCTCGTCAGATTCCGGTTGTAGTGTTGTTGAAAACAACAGCCAATCAAGTTCAAGTTGTAAAGATGCTACGGTCTAAGAATGCTCTTAGAAACACATCCATGAGAATTGTATTCTCGCCAGCGACTCCCGGGCGCCGTCGTAACCCGACGATGACCCGAACACCTCTCGTACGCAGTTTCGAATGTCCGAAAAACTCAGTCAGGCAACGTCCAAGACGACTCATTAACGATAACAGAGGCAAAACTTATGGAATTGTCATGACTGAGGAAAAGAACGCTAAAGCGTCCATCTTGTATGCCACGAAAACGACGTAAATTCTACCAGGTTCTCGTTCCAGGCCGGTCGCATAGTATGACTTGTATTACATGTACATAAATGGATTTTTAACGAGGATTTTTAAATGATGTAATTTTGTAAATAGGGAAGATTTATTATAAATAATTAGATTGAAAATTGGAATCATGTATACGGACGGTGAGCTGCATTTGTAACTAGAGTGATAAAGATATATACACGATATTTGTGGAACAAATATTCACAAAAACACTGCTTTGATGCTTGCTGTAAAGTAAGAGATAAATACCTAATAGGTGGGGAGGTATGGTACATAACCATCCCTCCCCCTGGGGCGCTGCGCGTCCTTATCTAAAGAAAGCCTGTGAGGTATTTATCTGAATTACAATAGTTTAGATCGAAAGAGGTTTTTAACAAGATTTTATTATTTTTTTACTTTGGGACTATCAAATTCAATCACGATCATACTTTCTGCCTTTGTATACAGTTCATGGTGTAGCTATGATTAGAAAGGTTATGACAGGGAGCCACAGCTTTGATACAACAAAATTATAGCGAACGGAATAAATAAATTAGTGTTTTATAGTATCCTTGCTTATATTGCTGTGAATAAAAAAAAAGTTGTTACTGGACGGTGCATATTACGTCACAAGCCGGTGTCTGTGTTTTGATATTCTTTCAGAAATTTTAGTGTTTTGAAACATTCCTTGTTGGTTTTTAACGTCAAAATAGTCATCATTCTCGAAAGGAAACTCAATATAAATGACTGAACGGCTTAGTTTACTAAAATGTTTTGTTAATTTTGTGTTTAGTATACGCCAACCATGGTCGAGTTCGCCGGAAAATGGTATTGTTTAATTCAGAGACACAGCCATGCAGAGACTGGGGAGAGTATTCAGGGGTCAATTAAGGTGGTTTTAAGTCGATATAATTTTTTTTTCGAACCATGTCCGTTCTATACATGTATAATAACAGTGTTTTTTGTATGTAAAAGAAAAATTTGGAAAGAAAAAAAGTTTGGAAAGAACGTAAAAACACCCAAAAGAGATCATCCAGCTCTATGCCACAATCTAACCGGTGATATTACAACCAGCTGCGATATACCAGCATAGATTACAACTACGAAAGGTGCAAGGACAGTTGCTATAGGAAGAACTCCCCCCCATAACTCACATCTTAACGGCCGCCTAAGGGGGAGATGCACTACGGCCCCCAGACCATGATGTATGTGCACCTAACCGTTACGTCTCAGTGGGAAACAGAGTGGGCTGTATGCCACACGCCTAGCGCGTCATAGACGAATCAGCTACAGTGGCAAGCCTTGAAAGCGAAGATAAATTTAACGTATATAAGCTTTTCCTGGTCTCGGGGGGCGGTCCCTAACAAGCATATGCATAGAAAACGACTAATAAGGCACACGCTTGGAAATGTCAAGATTTAAACGCCTAAACGTTTTTTAAGTGTTTTTAGCGAGAAATTTTAGTGTTTAATAATGGCTGTGTGTAAGCATAAGTTGTTTTGTGGTTGTGAAGAAGGTCCTTATGTTTCTAGATCCGTGTGTATTGGGTGGCGCCGTGGCGGGCGAGAGACTGAAGAATATGCCATTGGGCGATTTTCTGTTTTTTGCTTGCTTTTGATTGACATTGAATAACGGGGTAGAACCGATTTTAAACGTTTAACTTCGGTAAATGTCAACATTAATTGTGAAATGAAAATTCAGGCCGGGCAGTCTGGCACCCATTGGTTAAGTGTTATTGACATAATTCCTGTAAATATAGCGGAGTGATGGCAGATAATGCAGGGTAAATATCGAGATTTTGAACACTCCATCAACTTGCATGCTCAAGTTTTGTTCTTTCAAAAATTATTGATTATTAAAGATTACAATGTGACTTTCGGGGGCTTCGACACTCGTGCGCGATAATTAAGGTAAAGTCTTGTTCAACAAAGCTTTTTCCTTGCGAATTGCGATTTCACGATGGTATTTTTTTACTCTCGAGCTCTCGAAACATTTCTACTTGACAGCTCGCCATTGAAGAACTAAATCCTGGTAAGATTATTAGATTAATGCTAGACAAATGTTGATTTTTCCGGCTTACGTTGTGGTCAAACCTGGGCATTTTGTAATCGCCCATTGCTTGGATTCAAGGACCGCAATGAAAAGATGGACTTTAGATTTAAGGATTGGACTGATATGCATCTTGTAATCTGTGCGCCATCATCTAAACCTTGGTAGATTTAGACTAGATGGGTTAGTTCAAGGACTAACACCCATTTTTAAATAACCATGTGTTCATATAGGTTCTTTTTTGTGTGTTTTAATTCCCAGCAGAATCTAGGACATGCTGGAAGAGTATTAACGTTGATGTCGTTGATCGAGCCCAAACGGTCCACCAGCATCTTTATCAGTACCGACTTTTTGGGAGGGGGTTGTCATTGGAAAGCCTAATTCTGCTTATTAATACCACATAAACGCCTAAAATAATTCATGGAGAACTTGCTCGGAATGTTCAGAAATCAGTGTGTTGAATTGTGTTGAATTTTGCAAGAGTTACGACCTTGTGTTTCGCTTACTTGGGCAACTGATCCATACAAAAAGCCATAATCCTTCTATACCCTTCTTTTATAGGGGATTGTAGGGGATTTCAGGGTACTCAGATTGGCAGAAGCTCATTTAAATTCAAAGATGGCGAACGTAAACAACATCATATAACATATTATAAAGAGTTGAAGAGTTTTAAAAGGTACGACAGCTTTACTGCTTTGTATTTCATTTCCCGAGTTTGTTAAACCTGTAACTGGCATAGGAGCGTCTTGCTGTGCTAATTCGATATGCATCGGTTCGCAAATTTGTTTCAAATGAATGAATTTGAAACTCAGAGTCTCAGACTATACCTCAGTTCTAATTTGGAAACCGATTGCTTAAAATGAATACTACAGTCCTCAGTTTGAGAGATCGTTCGTGTTTCGTGCGTCGGCATCAAGCTTTCGCTTTTGTAGATAGATCGTACTGTTTGTTCAGTCTTGTGCAATCAAGTTTGACATCTTCCCGCGTCATATTATGTCACTTCCGTCAAAACATCTAGGTCACAATAGCCTTTTCGGATGCGTAAATAAAAACAAGTTTGAAATTCGATCTTCGTCGCGATCGCGGCAGGATAATTGAGCAATAGAACACCATTGCAACTGCAACTGCATAAATCAAGCTCAAAGAAAGGACACGATAGTTTCAGCAGTTTCAAAGCGTCTTTGGTGGGCTCGTAATGGAAAGACAAAGGCATTCCTCTGAGCCCGGCATTGTAATAAATGGATCTGGAAAGGTTGGTTGTGATTTACACTGACATTTGTCCTAATTTTTGTCGAAATTATGGCTTGTGTTATCAATTTATATAATCTTTCGTTGAATTCTTGCTACACGAGTTATTCCGTGATCGCGTCGTAAAATGGACAACACATTAGAAACACTCGAGTCGTTTCTTTTAGATCTAAATTGTGTTCGCACTGTACTGCGATTTTGTTTCTATCGTTTTAAAATCATTTGCCTTTTTTACCTTCCATTCAATTGCTTTAATATTTTAATACTTTTAAATGGTTATTTATTGAATTTATTCATTATCAACCTCATTTGAAAATTGCGTTCGTGTCAAATTTACATAACAAATGCTGTGTTGCAATCAATTCAACGCATTTATTATTCTTTTATATGGCAATTTACTGAAATATTTTTGGCATTCAAGGCCCGAAATTTAGCGAATATTCTAGCCTAGTTCGTGTGGAATTGTATCGTCAATATTGACTGTTATTTTAAAGGAATTTTTCAAATAATTGTCGCATATTCGTAGGTATGTTTATACTCCATTTACGGTTTAAATCCCACTCTTAAGTAGATTATATTACATTATTACTTACTAACTTAGGTGTAATTGAACCAAATCTTTAGAGATTTGTCGTAAAATATGAGTGCATAGCTTATATTTGACTTAGTTTTCAGAAAAGAAAGAAATCCTGGTGATTAATGGCCATTTTAGCACGTTTAATATTGTGAACGAAATCTCCTGTCTTCAGCCTGACTACCATAAAATTATAATGGCAAAAGTGAACGTGTTATTATGGCAGGGACTTGGATAATGCAAATATTTAACAAAAAACCACAATTAGAATACAACTTTAAGGCTTAGCGGCAACCTAAGACCTTTGTAGATAGGTTTTGTTGCTGTGAACATCACTTATATCAATGCAATGTCTGCAGTGATTATAATTGTGATATAATTAAAAGCAGGTTTTACTTGATTCATCAGACCATTCAGACAAAGTAGCCATAACCTTATTTGATAGGTTAATATATTGTCATGCATGTGTAGTATATATTTCTTATCATAACAAAGCATATAAGGATTAGGACTTTGTGAATAACAAAAAATTGCATGCAAAGGTACTGTTTCAACAAACTTGAAACTTGCACCAACTGGCTTTGCTTGTAAGTTCTAAATTCTCTTTATTGTTCCCAGATATTCACTCTGTGCTTTTTTTAATTTAGCCTCTATTTGACCTATATATGCATGCTGGTGATTATATACCTAGAACTAATAGATGAGGGGAGCATGTGTCCCACAATAATCCTCTTCAACCTTTAGTCTCGGCTACACAGATTTTTTACGGTGATTTTCTCATTATGGTGTATAATACTGAGTGAATTGAACACAGTGTATGGCTGAAGATTACTTTGCTAAGCTTATATAGACACAACTGTGTAAATAATTCACTCAGTAGCATATGCAAGAAAGAGAAAAACCCTGACTTGTGTATCTACAGCTTTAAGGCTTGTCAAACGATAGCATATTTTTTTCCCATGTTGTAAACTTGTGGTGTCATTTACTGTTAAACTTCTTGTCGTATCAATATCAAAGGTTGGTGGGAGCTACAGCTAGCTAAGACTCATACAGTATATTCATTGTATACCTGACTGATCTCTTTTGAAAGTTATTGTTTTTTATGTAAACAAGATTATAGGAATATGAACACTCAGTTAGGTATGGCTCTGGTTTGGTCTTGTGACATTTGGTTTAACATATGTTTTGAAATTCATATAAGTAGTAATTCCATTCAAGTCAATATCCCAACTATATTCTATTGATAATGGTGTATTGGAAGAACTATTATCAATAGATAATATTATGAAGTATATTGAAACTCTTAGCATTCTGTTAGGTCAAGGTCAACTGGGTCTTGTGATCTCACAAGGTTGTAAAATGAATGAAATTGTAAATTAATTATGTTAATTACGGTCTAGAAATTATCCGTAATGTGGATTCGAATTTCTCAAACAAGAAAGATTGCTCTTCTTCAAAATGAACGCGTTTTCATTTTTGGCGTATTGTTGAGTGTTTACAAGACGAGGAATTGCCTTGAAAATGAAACTGCGTTTCGTTTTGTGCTTTTCCAAAATAATGTAATTACAATATGCCATCAATCTTTCCCAGCAGGGTCTCAAGTGAAAATGTTTTTTTTTCAAAACACAGCCCACCTCTTGCATAAACTCATAACCGTTCAAGCATTAAGTTGAACTTTTACTCGCTTGTTAAAGATGCGAGTAATTTTCAAGCATCACTGCTAGAAAAACGAGTCAATATAAAGCCTTTATTAAAGCCGCTAGTTTCGTTAGCGGTCAGGTCAAAGACAGGTTCTTTTTTGAGCCTGAGGGTTTTAATGGGTCACTCGATGGCTCAACGAAAAGTATGTGAATATTGTGAGACTATGGGTTTAGATAAGCACCAAACTAGCTCTTTCAACATATCCCCGTCTCCTTACTCTTTAGAAAAAGCTAAATCTCTTATTTTTCTTTCATTTTTAAACTTTCAGCCACGAAGGCATAGCTGTGATAAGTGTTTTTACCACAACATGCCTCTTCCTGGAAGTCCAATGTTGAAGCGAGGGGCTAGTGAGAAGTCTGATATTGTGAAACAGTATCGTAGAGAGCGAGCTAAGAGGTAATGACTTGCTTGGGACTCTTATACTTACGTCGTTTTTCGTCTTGTGATAGATGCGAATGAGTGAGGAAGTTATGCATGTTCAGATATAGGCATCTTTACCTGAAATCATTCGTAATAATTCTCTCATTTGCATCTATCAGAAGACGAAAAAGTGTCACCATTTTTGAATGCTCAACTGTCGTTTTACAGAATCTTTGTGAACAGAAGTTTAAATCTTAGCAAGATTAAGTTTTTCGGATTTGATATGGACTATACTTTAGCAGGTATACACTCGCATTTAACCAGATTGTTTTAGGATTAATTCATCGTTAACTTAACCTTTGTTAACTTGAAATTCAGCTTACAAGTCCCCAGAATATGAAGAGATGACATTTCATCTTCTTGTGAAAAGACTTATTGAAATTGGTTATCCAAAGGTAACTAAGTAAATACAATCTTTCGTTCCACTTCGCTTTGAATTTCAATGATTTGTGTACAGCATTGCTTTAGCAGAAATAATCTAACATATTTTGTCTTATCCTCAAACCTTTTAGGAACTAGACGACATAAGATACGATGGTTCATTTCCTGTAAGGTAAGAACAGTTTTTCTAAGTTTGACTGAGAGAGGACAGTCAAAGAAACGCTAGGATTTTCATCCTGGTTTGACCAAATCATTGTTGTTTTTGTAAAAGTCTACATCATCTTCTTAGGGGCTTGTTGTTCGATAATGAACTTGGTAACTTATTGAAGGTGAGTGTTTTGATCTTCCCGCTCCCGATCTTTTTACTCTTATTTACAACGATGAAGCCTCGGTCACAAAGGTGACTTTCTCCTCCTAGTGCATGCTAGTTAATATATTTAACAAAGTAGATTACTTTACCAAACAAAGCTTATACAACTGCCTACATTATAGACTCAATAACATACGTGAGAAAGAGAAACAATCGCCCGGTTATTTTATCATTATTTTCTTTTGTCGTGTTTAGGTCGACACTTACGGAAATATTTTGATCTGTGTTCATGGCTTCGACTTTTGTCCAAGGTTTGCTACACAACATGCAATTCGTGTTTTGTTCTCTTCTTAAATCTGGTTTCATTTTTATGTTTGTTCTTTTCCTAGTTCGTACATCAGAAAATCCTACCAGAATAAATTTGTCAATGTAAGTTTAATTTCTCGTGTCAACTTTCGTGTTTCAAAATAACACAAGCTATACTTCAAAATCTTGCAAGGAGGTAATCTTGCTTTTTTCATTTTCAATTTTCAGCCAGACAGCGAGCGTTATTTCATATTGAATTCAATCTATAGCCTGCCAGAAATCTATCTTTTGGCATGTCTAGTGGATCATTTTGACCATAGTTCAAATTTCAAAAGGTATGTGACATTCTTCCTTCAGTAATGATAAGCTAGTTTCAAGCATTTGTTCTACATAGCCATGATAGTGACACTGCAACAGTCTATCATTTTGGTCGCTCAGATTTAGTTAAAATGCCGGACGATATCAAGTTCTGAGCGCCCAAACAATGTTCTTAAAAAGCGCGGTAATATTTTGTTATATTTTGATCTTAGGATAAACACTGGAGTGAAATGTGATCAGGTTGTTTTGTCCTACCGAAGTATGCATCAGGATGTAAGAGCTGCCATGGATTACCTTCATGATTGCGTACGTGAAGTATTTCTCAATATACATACACTTTGTCTCTCCAGAATCAGTAGCGTAGCCAGCCTGTCGATTTGTCCCGCTATGCTAATATTTTAGTGTTCACTGACTGTGAAAACAATAGATTTCTAAAGACATGGGTGATTATTATAACTTGAAATTTACATAGCGGGACAAAATCGTCAGGCTGGCTATGCCACTGTCCAGAATCACAAGATACTTAAACGATTCTGGTGAAAATTTTTCTTTTGTTATTCTTCGTCTCTGCCTTCGAGGTGTCTGGGAATTGCATGTGTTTTCAGTGGCTAGAAACTCGCCCTAACACTTAAGACTCAATCTTCAATGACTGTGGTGGTTTTGGAAAGAAAAACCGCTTGAAAATCGTCCTACGGTGTTTTGAAAATGGGAAGTCTATATTTCTAGATATATTTCTTTAGGAAACACTTAAAAACGAAACCTTAGGAAATATTGAGAAATATGTCATCAAAGACGTAAGTATTTCCTCAATATTTTACATTTTATGATGAAGCATAAACATGATCTCATGAGAATTTCATTCTTCCGTTTTAACGAGAAATTTTGCTTCTTTTCAGCCGAGACTCCCGAAGCTGCTTCACAGGTATAATTCTCTTTAAAATGACACTTTTTATGATCTTTATTAAAACTGTTCGCATTCCTGTAGCAAAGTGTGTAAAATCCTTGCATTTCCCCTCCAGAATGAAAGAGCACAATCGTAAAACTTTTGTCCTTACCAACAGCGATTATAACTACACAGAGGTGAAAATATACTCGAGATTTTTTATTCGTTTCGTTGCCCAGTTCGTATTGTCTGAAGCATAAGTTTTTCTTTAGAAAATCATGACCTATCTCTTCGATTTTCCTCACGGACCAGAGGTAATCACTTTTCTCCAAGCACTCCTAACCGGAATTAGAAGAGTATTTTGATAAACATCTGTGTGTATATTTTTCTCAAAAGCCAAACACTCCTCACCGGAATTGGAAGACTTATTTTGATTATGTTGTTGTTGATGCACGGAAACCTTTATTCTTTGGAAAAGGTTCGCTGATTTTAACGGGTGATTTTTCAAATTCTTATGAATGGTCTTGATAATTTCAAATCATTCTTTTTCCAGGAACGCTGATTAGGGAAGTCGACAAGGTAATAAAAACATCGTCCAGATAAAGAATGCCTGTCGTTTTTCAACCTTATTTTCGTTTGTTTAAAACTCGTTTCACACCAGTGTAGACACTAAGAACAGTTCTCCCATTCTCAAAAATAACATGACGTCTTACCATTCTAATTTTTTGTTAATGTAGACAACTGGAACTCTGAAGATTGGTTCTTATTCTGGTGCATTAATGAAGGAGCAGATTTATTCTGGAGGTAAACCAATTTCCATCGTGAAGAATTAACGTTTTCTTTTTATATGGCGATGTGATTATAATTTTCTTGTAGAAAAATATTGTTTCAATTAAGGTTATTGAACTGATCTTTGACAGGCTCGTCGGAGGTGTTCTGTCAACTGATTGGTGCTGATGGAAAGGTTCGTATTGATTGTAACAAATATATGTGTTGGTAGCTGACATTCATTTCCTTCAAAACCTGCAATTTCTCTTATCATAGGACATTCTTTATGTTGGTGATCATATTTTTGGTGATATTCTTAAATCGAAGAAGACCAGCGGCTGGAGGTATGGCAGACAACGTCTTCGCTTTTTTTCTGATATTTATTTGACATTTGTTCTGATGTTATTTTTCTTTACTTAAGAACATACCTCGTTGTTCCAGAACTGTCAAAAGAATTAGATATTTGGACAGCTAGACAAGGTGCGTCATTGCGTAAGAAACACTGGAACATGCTTCCTTATCATTTTCTCATCAAATGAGATAGAACAACTGACTGCTCGAGAACAGTTTTTGTCTATTTTAGGAAGTTGTTATAACCCATTTGATGTGAAGTTATTTGAACACGCTGCCACCCTGTTCCCTGGTTGAATTGGTTGTATAACGCTTTTTCATCATTGTTTATCTTTTAGATTTGTTCGAGGGTTTGAAGGAATTAGACGTAGAAATGGCCGAAGCATATCGGTAAGATCTTAAAATAACTTCTCTAAGACTTGGAACTGAGCTAAGAGAGCATACACCTGTTCATTCTTTGAATTATCGCAGTGAAAGGTGTCCAATGTTTTTCGCGTTTTTTTCAGAAACCTTGATGCGTACAGCACTCGTGATCCTGATGTCGAGAACATTAAAAGAAGCATTAAGGTCAGTCTCCTGTGAAATCACGATCTGATAATTTCTTTGAGGATTCTACCATATAATATACATAATATCTACATACATTTAGTTCAACTGTTCAACTTTCTATTTCAAATTTCTCAGGAGACAACACATCACATGGAAATGTGCTACGGCAAGTTAGGAAGTCTTTTCCGAAGCGGTAAGTTTTTTTGTTTATTTCGTGTGGTGATTTGGATAACAGAAACTCCAAAGTTCAAGCGAACCAGAACAAAATCACAAAACGATAGTCTGGTTTGAATTAAGTTTATTGTAATCATCGCAGCAACTCATCGTATTGCTATTCTTGAACATCAGTTCAATATTATTTCGTTCAGGTTCACGTCAAACGTTTTTCGCCAGCCAAGCCACTCGTTATGCTGACGTGTATGCGGCTTCTCCCATGAATTTACTGTATTATCCATTCACATACCTCTTTCGATCTCCAGCGCAACTGGTGAGTGTGTACGACTTGTAGACAGGGAACATTATTAGAGAGAGGAAGTCCTATTAGAGAGAGGAGGTCCTATTAGAGAGAGCAGGTCCTATTAGAGGTGGAGGTCGAATTAGAGAGAGGAGGTCGAATTAGAGAGAGGAGGTCGAATTAGAGAGAGCAGGTCCTATTAGAGAGAGGAGGTCTTATTAGAGAGAGAAGGTCCTATTAGAGAAAGGAGGTCGTATTAGAGAGAGGATACCGTATTAGAGAGAGGATACCTTATTAGATAGAGGAGGCCTTATTAGGGAGAGGAGGTCTTATTAGAGAGAGGAGACTTTATTAGAGAGAGGAGTCCTTATTAGAGAGAGAAGGTTTTATTAGAGGAGGTCTTATTAAAGAGAGGAGACCTTACTAGTCATACGTGTACGAGAATACACCTTGTTATTCGTATACGAGAAATAGTAAAGTTTTTTAGAGAGATTAGAAAATAGAGAGAAGGAGCGATCCCATAAAGATTTTCAAAATTTTTTGCAGATGCCTCATGAATCGACGGTGGATCACTCCGAGGCACCTTGCGTCCACATGGACCCGCCCAGCATGCATTACCACTGGGAGAGTTTCGTTGTGGAGGATGACGATCTTGAGAGTAAGAACCCCTTGGCGTTTGATCTGGATGAAGAAGATGAAGATTCCTCAGGTAGCGATGAACAACGAAAACAGAGTCTCGCTGGGGAAGGAAACTCATGATTGCTTTCCTTAACAGAACTAAACAAAATGGTGGCTTCTAATTGCTCTTACAATAAGTGTTTAACATCGTGCTGGACATGATGGTCCACTTGCAACAGACGGCAATCATTTAGAGACCTTAAACACAGGTATCAAGCACTGGTATGTGCGTTTTGAGATGACGTTTTGACTGATTTCAACAATTTAGTTGCATTTGGATTTGTCTCCATCACGATGTTAACCACTTTACTGGTAATGAGCAAGCACTATACTATTTTAGGGTTGAGCGGGTGGAATATCTTATTGATAGCCGTTCTCCGATGCTGCGCATCTTCAATCTTTATAGTTTAGATCATAGAGCTGAACTTTTGACATTATTATCTCTTACTTAGTTCGCGATCAATGGTTCTTTCTTAAGTTGTTTTGTTGGAGGACAAATTCTCGAATTGATTCGATCGTAAACTAAAACCATTTAGGAATTAGCAATACATTCACAGATGATTCATTTCAATATTTTAAGAATTCACTCACTTATTTCTTCGTTCGTTGTACAAGTAATATCATACACACTATAAACGAATGGCTAAATTGTTACAGAGTAGTTTTAAATTTGAAAAGAAAAATGTTTTACATGTAGAAATATGTATTGCATAAGACGGTTTTAATGTTCAATATAATAAATTTATGAATTCAATGTTGGTTATTACGCACCCAGTTTCGCATCGTTTGGAATCAATGCCAGCAGCATTATGAATATTTTATTTTAAAAGAGTTCAGTTTCTTGATACGCCCTGTAGGCATCATTTGGCTGGGCCAACTTGTTTACTCCTTTGTTCTTTAAATGCCCAAGTGGAACGAATGACTTGAATGACTTGTTGAATTTGTTCAAGTAATTTACATTTGATTTTAATGTTTGTCGAAGACGGGAGAAGAACTACGTCCACGAGGCAATGATTTTAACACAAATAGTGCCTTGTTTGTACATTCATTCATTCAATGGCTGCCAAATAAACAGCTGTATATGTATCAATGTGTTTGATACGCTGTTCCCTGGATTTTAATCGAAGTTTGTGCGGATTAAACGTCGCTTCAAAGCTGAACTTGTTTGCTCTGCACGACACCGCGCCCGTCGTTCAAAGAAGAACCGTTTGGCGTTTAAAACCAAGTAAACGCTGAGGTGAGTTTTATATCAATACTTCTTTAGACAGATCAACGCTATGGGCGATTAATCCTTGCTTACAGAAGAATATAACGTCCGTTTCAGACGTCTAACTCTTCATTTGTTCAGCGAAGGCGGACTCTATTTAATGGCATTAGAATTAGGTTCGGCACATTAGGCGACGCCTAAAACTTGCCAAAGCCCAAAATTTCTAGCAATGGATTTTGGCCTTGCAGCTTGCGTTTTCTCAAAGTGAAAACTCGATAAACTCCCGTTTGAATTGCCTCCCATTCTCGTGTAAACAGGTTTTAACAACTGAAGTTAATCGTATTAAAACATTGATTTAGGAAAACGTATTTTGTAGTGAAACGTATTTTGTACGAGGTTGTTTACTTGCAAAACTTTGAGTAATTTAAGCGCAATTGCTGACTCTATTTTGTGCCGGTTGCTGTAAAGATTCGTTCACATGAAGAGCCTGACATTCGACATTGTTGTCAATTGGTTTCGTTTTAAAGCGACTCGCTGGAACTCTTTTGACGGCTGTGTCGTTCAGCCGATTTCAACAGGCTCTCATGCCGGCCAGAAACGCTCAACCCAAAACAATTTCTACCACAAAACACCAAGTCTCATCTTTTCATAATCATTGAAGAATTCAGCGTATTTTTTACTATATTATCTCTAAATTACAAGTACAATTATTTTCAGTAGTTACAGTGTTTCATGCATTTTATCTCAATTACATATGTTAGATTCTCACATGGTGATTATTGACACTTAAAAATGTCCTTATACAAACGTCTACCTTGTTTGGAAAGGAGGGCATTGAAAGTAATCGAAAGTAAAACTTGTATTTTTGCTGTCTGCTCGAGTCTTTGTAGACTTTGCAGCTTGAAACAAGCTTGTCGTTTTCGCTTTTTAAGCTCTGATCTTTGCCTAATGTTTTGTAAACATTCAAACTCAGAACAGCTAGTTGTTTGCGTTTGTACCTTCGGATAACGTGAAAGCCAACTGCATGTAAATAGAGTTCAAATGGCTACAAAAAGTACTATTTCAATACAAGATAATGATGTGAGCTGTATGAATGCTTTCAATGGGAAAAATGGTAGGAACGCGTTAAAAACACTCAAAAGATTACGAATCTTTCATACATTTGCTGCATTCAATATGTTTTTATGTTTTTTTTCCGATCAGAACAATGGCAACTAGGCTTGTGGGTATCCGAAAATTGAAATTTGAGGTCAATGGCGCAATATATGCAAATTACTGTAAACGTTACGATTTGTGACGGCGCCATCCGATCACGATGTTGCAAAATCGTTTGAGACAATCACTTTTTTACTTTCAACACCCTTCCCAGAGGACTAAATACTAAACATGCCATGAGAATTTTTTTGCTTAAATATTACTTTTTCGATAAATACGCATGTTAAAAAGCTACACTATATATGATATTATCTGTGGTAATGGTTATATATAGTTAATATAACTAGTTGTACAATATTGTTCTGAGACAGATTCACTATAACTGGTATTTTAAACACATAAGATGAATGTCCATGAATTCAACGTCGTTTGACTTATTTTTCAAGAATAGGACTGGTATAAAAGTTTTATGAGTTCTGTACAATTAAACCACTGAGTGATACAAGTCCTGCTTGATTTCCTCAATTCATTTTGGCAAAATCAACGAATTGTGGGTCAGTTGTACGAAGGTTATGTAGACAGCACTGACTAATGGATAGTGATTCGTTTTAATCGTTGAAAAATCAAAAAACTAGCCTGACATTGAAAGGAAGTGTACTTCACGAATATAATCAATATATACACAACACTACAGGTGATTTAGAAAACCAGCATCCGCTAAATAACGCTGTCTATCAGAATAAATTGAGTCGAAAATCTTCAGTTTTTGTGTTGATTTAGCACGAAATGAGATCCTCTGCAAGACTTTCCTATATATTTTACTATGTTCAGCATTTTGCTGTCGATTTCAACGCTCGTATTTATAACTTTAATTATCATAAATATTAAAGAATTTAGTGGTTCATGATTTGATCTAAACATAATTTTAAAAGAATCTCGTGTATATTTAGACTAAAACTTATAATACATTCCATTCATATATTCTAACGGAAATATCCGTTTTTTCGTTTGCGTTCTTGTAAACCCATCGTTTTTTCGTATTGTTATGAATTATGGGAAGGACTAGACGCATGCTTTTACCCAGAATACACGTGTGGTTTGGTCCAGGTTTAAACGTAGCTACCCGCTAGCTTTAAGCTTCCACGTGGATTTGAAATTTCCTTTGGGATTTCCCAATTGAATTTCTCGCAACGCACGTGTAATTTCCGCTGTCTTTGCGAGTCGCATTCCTGATAACGTAGCTAAATTGATAAACACGTTTATCAAGTTTGACAAGTTTTGCTTTGCCCTTGAGACTCTCCTGGGCTCCCAGTTTAGTGTCCAGGTCCATGGTCAGACTTGGCGCAAGCGGCTCTCTGGAGACAATGGTACATTTGAGTTCGTATCTTTCGCCAGAATGAAGGACTTTCTTTCTCGATGGGAGAATAATTGGACGAGTAAAGAGCAATTCTGTTAATGGAATAAGACAACCCTTTAAACGTTTACCAATCGTGCCTGCTGCAAGCAAACAGCCATCATAATAAGAGATTGCCCGTGCGAGGGGCATCTCTAGTTTACAAATATCTCCACATGTTGAGCGAAAGTGTTCAGTTTTGTTCTGCAGGTACAGTCTGATTCGTAACACTGAACTGGGTTGAAACAAATTCAATTTCGTTTAAGAACCTTATGAGAAAACCAACGGGCAATTCAACAACGAATATTTCTAGTCCTCACAACCAAGTTCCGCCTCATTTTCGGTACAATGAGATTAATTGAAAAATGGTTTTTATTTCATTTCGTATTGAGACACAAGTTTATAATTTCTATAAAACATTGCTAACTATTTATATATATACTTAAAATGATAAAAAGAACGCGTAATCTTTAGCTCAAAAATTACAATTTACATGGTACATTAATACTCGCAAAGATTCACTAAATAAACCGTTCTTTTAGGCTACATTTACAAAGTTCAATCTTTAATCTTTTCTTCTTTTGAGATAAACGAAGCAATTACCAAATTCTTCCGTATCAAAATATCTTACCTTTGATCTGTACTTCAAAAGTGTGGCTGATATTTCCCCATGTGTTTTTCACGTGACATGTATAATTTCCGCTATGTCGAGGCAATATTTTGCGCAGTGTCAGCGTGTAGCTCGATAAAACCAAGTTTTGTGTTGGCGAAAGTAGCTCACCATTTCGAAACCACATAATGCTAGGTTTAGGGTCTCCCGTTGCATCACAATTCAGCTTTAATGGCGCTGTCTGCGGTATTTTAATCACAGTAGGACGAGCTTTCGAGGACACAAATTTCGGGCCTGCAATTAAAATACATTGACTTTAAATCCAGGTCACTACCTGTCGACCATTCTTAGTACGATTTTTTAGTTCATCTCTGATCGTTTCAATTTTTGTACAAAAGGAAACCTAAACTAAACTAATCAGTCCCCCCCCCCGCAGTGGTTCTGCAATATCCCTACTTAGAGATAAACTTTCGTATCACAACCCCCCTGCCTACCTTCGTTTGGTTTCCTGTGAAGAAATGCGCTTGAGTAATCCATTCCGAACTGATTCCGAAGAACACACGAGTACAATCCGAAGTCATCTTCGGTGATGTTTTTTAGCGTCAATTTTCCAGCATAGCGATTAGTATTGTGAACGTTCACTTGCATTGGTGTGTAGTGGATTGGGTCAATCTCCGTGAACTGTGACGTGTTGTCAAAATTCAAGCGAGGATACGTGTCAGGGACTGTGTGCCACTTGTACCATCTGTAGTCTGGCATAGGATTGCTTAGGAGTTCAATACACTCGAATGTGACATTTTTTCCCGGCGTCGAAGTGATGTTTTTCGGGTGGGTTTTCAGAAGAATTGGGGCTGAAAGAATGCGAGCTAATAAGAGATAAAAGCTGTTAGATTTATCAAGATGTAACACCATATTGGCCATGTACACAACGCCATATTAGTGACTTAAACCTGTACCACTAGTTAAAATCTGGGCTGGCATTCATACGTGTTTAAGGATGGATGTTTAGCCTTCGCTAAATTGCAGTGCGATTGTAAACCTTCACGTATCGAAGACAGTCTCAATCGTGCATCCAAAACCAAGCATATAATCAGAGATACTTACTCACAACCTCCAACTTGATATTGTGACTGTATTCGCCATACGGGTTTGATGCGCGGCAGGTGTAGCGACCTGAGTCCGAGGGTAGCAAGTTTCGCATGCGCAGAACCGAAGTCGTGGAATTCACCTTTCCGCCCAGTTTCCTATGCGTGAACTTTTTTCCATTTTTGAACCACTGGTAGGTCAGCGGCTGATCTCCCGTGACGTAGCAGTTCAGACGTGCAGGAGAGAATGTTGGGTAGACCATGTAGCGCCTGCGCTGTTTTTGATTTGTCGGGTAAGGAGCCACGCCTGTTGGTTAAAAGGTTAAAATGAAAACTATGGACGGTCTCATCTGGGCGAGACTAGTCTTAACATTGCAGTAAAGATATTTGGAAGCTGTAGGCAATACGTTTATGTTTGGTTTAGCTGTTAGTTTGAACGCTACAGTGTCGTATCGCTTCGTTAGTGTGTCCTTGTCTTAGTATTCCTGGTCTTTAGTTGGGTCTGTAAGGCTTACCTTTCATAGAGCTGACTTGGACATTCAACTTCCTCCAGTCGCTTCCATATTTATTTTTGACAAGACATAAATACAACCCCGAGTCTTCTATCTTCGCGTTTTCCAACGTGAGTATAAATTCGTATGATTTATTTTTTTGTCCATGTCTTACATTTGCACGCACCGTAGACGAAACAGCTTTCCCGCTCTGTTTTCGATTTATGATTTCATAATCTTTCCCAGGCTGTGTCAAGCTCAGGGTTTTTATAAAGTTTTTTGTTATCTCAGGTGTTTGTCCTTTCCTCCATTTCAGCCAAGTGATTTTCGGTCGATGACGTGTGTTTCCACTAACACATCGTATGTCCGTACTTTGGCCAACTCTTACAGAAATATTCCTCGATTCTGACTCTAGAATTGGTCGTCCACTTCCTAATGGCGCTGGTAAAAGAAATATATAATATATAAGCGTTTTGTTGTTATTTTACCCGACCATCCATCACGATCTTTGGTTGAAACATAACTGTAGGTATATCGAATGCACGTAACAATAGCTTGTTCAACTATATTCGGGTTAACTCTCGATGAATGAAAAGGACAACTTACTGGTAATTCGTAGGACAAAATTTCGGCTTCTGGTACGTCTAGGCATGGTGACCTTACACGTGTATTCCCCCGCATCTTCTAACTTCAAATCTTGTAATTTCATTGACCACGCCGATCTATGGTGCCTTATTGGCTTACCATCCTTGTACCATCTGTATCTGACCCCAAGTAAAGGTACCATCTGTAATTTAGCACGTTCCAGTTGTTTGCCGGTCTTAATGCGACTTAGGTAACGGTACATCCTCTGGACTGAGGGTCTGATTGGACATTCCAGTGTCACCGATGAACCGGCTTGTTCATGAAGGCGAATTGTTGGTAGCTTTTTCAACTTCGTTTTTCCTTTGTACAATGTTTCTTAAAATGAAGAAGCAACGTTTGTTGACAAAGTGACTGACATTTAACGGATTAATTTGATAATGATTGTGCATATAACTAAGGTGAATTAATATTGTTACGGTTGTACTCGAAGTACCAACCGAGAAAGTTTAAAAATTAGCTTGACAATGGCATGAAATTAGCCTCTCACCGCTGTCAAGCAATTTTCCCCGTAGGTTGGTACTCAAGAGGAGCACCGTCACAATAATAAAAAGCAATCTGATATTTCGTACTTCTTAAAACTGATGAAATAAATATCATTCTTCGACAATGGTGGAGCCCGCCGAAAAACTGCTTATTCGACCATGGTCGAATGGGCCGGAAAATGGCTGACTCGACCATCGTCGAATGCGCCGGAAAATGGCAGATTCAACAATGGTCGAATGTGCCAGAAAATGGTTTACTCGACCATGGTCGATAACGCCGTTTTCTGGCGACTAAAATTTCTAAAAGAATTTAATATCAAAACACTACAATTCTCGCTAAAATCACTTAAAAAACGTTTAGGCGTTTAAATCTTGACATTTCCAAGCGTGTGCATTATTAGTCGTTTTCTATGCATATACTTGTTAGGGACCGCCTCCCGAGACCAGGAAAAGCTTAAATACGTTAAATTTATCATCGCTCTCAAGGCTTGCCACTGTAGCTGATTCGTCTATGACGCGCTAGGCGTGTGGCATACAGCCCACTCTGTTTCTCACTGAGACGTAACGGTTAGGTGCACATACATCATGGTCTGGGGGCCGTAGTGCATCTCCCCCTTTGACGGCCGTTAAGATGTGAGTTATGGGGGGGAGTTCTTCCTATAGCAACTGTCCTTGCACCTTTCGTAGTTGTAATCTATGCTGGTATGTCGCAGCTGGTTGTAATATCACCGGTTAGATTGTGGCATAGAGCTGGATGATCTCTTTTGGGTGTTTTTACGTTCTTTCCAAAATTCTTTTTTTCTGCGTGCTTTCCAAATTTTTCTTTTACATACAAAAAAATGCTGGTATTAAATATATATGCACCGGATATGGTTGAAAAAAAAAATTATATCGACTAAAAACCACCTTGATTAACCCCTGAATACTCTCCCCAGTCTCTGCATGGCTGAGTCTCTGAATTAAACAATAGTACAATACCAGAAATCATTCATAAACATCAAACATCTTCATCAACCTTACAGCAGTAAAACAGCAACAAAGACATTCAGACAGTCAACTTTGCATTCTCGTTAGTGCCTTCTCGTTAGTGCCTATACGCCGTTTTCCGGCGGACTCGACCATGGTCGAATACTATTCCGGCGTATTCGACCATGGTCCAGTAAATATTCAGTTCACCTGATTTTTTTGGCGAAAACCAAACACTTGAGGTTTTTTCGAAGACTAATATTCATCAGGCAATCAATCAACTCTGTAATCTTACGCGAACTAAAAATCTTGAATCTTGATGTTTTTTAATATCATAAGAACGCAATCAGTCATTGTACGTTATGAGCTTCACAGGTGGTCAAAATACCTCAGAAAAAGAATGGAAATTTGAAAGGAATGTTAAAAAAAACCCAGAATTGAGCTACACCGGCGCGTATCTCATTGTTCGTCTCAACACAAACCAGGCAAAGGTGATTTATCAAAATAGACAGCTAGAATGTGTCTGATCTAACAGAAAAAACAATCATTAATGCAATTGGCCAGACAAACTGTCACAACGAAACAGTTATAACTTTTCAGACATTGTTGAACTCGTAAATCATGGCATAGTTTGTTCGTTAATGTGTTTTTCTGGCTTTCAATGGCGTCCACAAAAGCGTTACACTCGAGCCTAATTGGTTCAGCTTTCAGAGAGTAAGGAACTAAGGGGCACTGGGAGGATAACAGGGAACACAAAGGCTGATCACCACTTTTTCAGAGACGCCATTACTGAAGGATACGAGTCTTTTCCTCGCTAACTCTTCCCATTTAAAAATAACAATTCCCTATCGGCAATGAAGTTTCGAGAATTAATAGAGACATAAGAGAAATATACCATTTATCACGAGTTGGAAGAAATGAATTTCTGATAAATGATGTATGGATGAAAGATGCTTTCTGCATGCCTTGTATATCACACTTTCAGAAATGCTAGCTTCATGTGAATTAGGTCACGTCTCGAAATCTGTAATATGAATAGATGCTCCTTTATGCTGGAACATTTACATGAGCTACACTTCAACGTTGTATAAGGAACGACAAAGGTTGATTTTGTAAACAGATGCGAAATTATAGCGACACTTTTACACAATACTCCTTTTTTCTACCATGTCACAACAACTCGTATATCCAGACAAGATACAGGCTTTGTTCTAGGTGCCAAAATAAACCATGGATTTCAACAAAAAGTTTTTACTTTTTCATGTATTCTTGATTACACAACAGACAGGTCTCCTGTGTTGGCATCTTCGTATGCGTATGGACTTTCCGTCTCTGTCACTTGAGGACGTCACGATTTACGTCACCTGAGGTTTCCCTTCATTTTCAGATAATCAAAAGGGCGTATTAAAATGTCTTTCATTCTCTGGTATGCCTCAAGGCTCTTATACTTCATGTTTTTTCAGCAAAACTATTGCAGCAATCCGCGTGCCAAAAATACTTTCATGTTTACCACGAGCAAACCACGTCAATTTTTTCAAGCGACTGACCTTGAACTAACTTAGGAAATCTTAGATGAGGAGGATTGTTATGCCAAGTCGCTGTTTCCATCCTAATTCCAGTTCCTGAACGAACACAACCAACGTCCTTATTTGGTTATCGCGTTTAATTTGATAGACAGAGTTTGGGGTATTTCGATTAAGCAATTTATACGAATATGACCCATCGACTATCGAGTAAATCGTATTTTTTCACCACATCCTATTGTGGTGAAATGCACCAGAAATGCAGTTTTAATCTAACAATCCTATCTAACAGTTTCAGTGCAACTGATTCTAAGTATACTCACATCACCTTAGAATGCTAGGCACCCTGTGAAGATTTTCTACGTATGAACGACCAGCGTCAATTTCTTTTTACCAATTTTACGCAAGTATTTACTTTGCGCGTACAAATTTGGTGTCAATTTTATTAAAATGTTTGATGAATCTCCTGGCAATCACTCAGAAGCGAGGTGTGCTTTTGTTTCCCATTCTGTCGAACACAAACGGACGTTTCTCCAAAAAAGGGCATCAACTATGTTCGTGGTGCATTACTCCACCAGTTAAAAGCAGGAAGATTTTTTTTGCGAACGAGAGAAACGCACAATGGAATGTAAACTTGACTGCTTTATGAAAACAGTGGTTTTGGCAGTGCTTTTGTTTTTGACCACAAAGCTGTTATAAGAAGCTGAATTATGCAAGCCATATTCGCTAATGTACCTTTTATGAATAAATGTGTAAATTGAAATTTTGCGTTCCATAAATGGTGTCGATGATGTTTTGCGGTGGAGGAAATGATTTTCGACATAATCTCAATTCACACGTCCTTTCATAGTAATAGCTGTGTGATCTGTGAATTGGAACAGCGTCTATGATCATTTACTTTAATACCGCCGTTCAATATCGTCAGCGCCAACTATTTTGCAATTGACGAAACACAAATTCTCAATTTACACATCTATTCATAGCAAGCCATTTGATTTTGATATTATAATCTATAATTTACGCAGAAGGCGTCTGCGCTTATTGCAAGGGGGAAAACCTTTTCAAATCTGAAATCCAAGGCATTTCGTTCACTCATAAATACCGAATGAGCTGGTTACTTGTCCTCGTGCAAGAATTCAAAAAACCTGCTATTGGGGTCGTACGTTTTAGATGAACGCTCCCCCCCCCAAAAAATACATAACTGTGTTTCTCCTCTTAAACAAAAGTATATATACTTCTAAATGAGTCAGATCCGCTCTTAAGAAACTTTCGGAAATAAACGAGAATTTCAGATTGAGAAACTTCTACGCTGAGAAAATGGTGAACACAGTAGAATTGAGAGGGATGCAAGCGCACTCCCCCCTGCCCTGTGTGAAATGTAGCAAAGCCCCCCACCTCTTTCTCCTGAATGGAGCCATCGCTATAAGCTAAGGCTAACCATAAATGGATGGAAGCAGCTGGAAAGAAAGCAATTAAATACAGCCGAATATAAAATCAATATGATATGGTCCTATTCAAATTGTTTAAGCTCTGTAGAAAGATTGTCAGGAAATAACTGTTTATTCATTTGCACCGCATTCGCTTTTATGCTTTTTAAATTGAATTGTCGTCTGGTAGTTTGGAATTTAATACGCTGGCTTTGTTTCCTTTTCCTTGCGTTTTCATTGCTAATGAGTTTTGAAAAAGATACTCCATCCGCGATATGATAGAGCAATCAAAACACGGCAGCTTCTAAAATTAGCCACTTTCCTGTTTTTGCGAAGCTAAAGTAAACTAGTCAAGGAAAAGGATGCAAGCGCCCAGCGGTCTAAAGGCACACGGAGAGTTCTCATTTTGTTTGCAAACTCAGGTACTCGAGAGACGCAATTGATTTCTGTCACTATGGATCGCGTTCAGTGGCATCTCCTTGGGAGATCACTCAGCCGTACTTGAAATATTTTTGGGCAAAATTTCAAACGATTTCAGCGTCGTAATTAGGCTGGCTCCACCTCAACTCGCAAGTCGTTGTAGACACCTTCACTTTTGAGTAATTTCCAGGTCATATCCGAAATTAACAACTGCCGATGTCAAAACAGGTCATTTTCTGTTCAAAAAATTGATTTTAAAAAAGCCTACCGTTAAGTGACCGACTTCGTTATAAAAATATTCACAAGTCGCGGCACTTACTTTCAAGAGAAATATTGCTCATTTTCTCGATGGGAATTAAAGAAAAAAGATTTGCAATAAATCAAACGTGAAGGGTTGTGGAATTCACAATGACAATGTTACTCAATGTAAGAACATTTGTTTCACTTTCAGCTAATGAAATTGTTGCATTTAGTGGAGAATTGGACGAGAAAATTCGGGCATTATTTTTTACCAAATATGCTGCATCGATTTCATGAACTAAAATATTCTCTTAGCTTATTACCTAATTATTGATTATATTCATCGAATATTTGCTCGAATCAACCGTTCGCCGTCATTAATTCACTTGCAACATTATTTAGTTGTGATTCCGACGAAAGCTGATGCAATCCTGGCTAGTTTCTCCACTCGTTAATTTTGTTATTACAAGCGAGTGTTGAGGATAGGAAGAACAATGGGGTAGTCCGAATGTCTCATGTATCAAAATGCATTTGTCATGGTCGTTTAAAGTAAATACAATTTGACCCTACGCATGCCATAAACCTTTTAACATGAGATCGTGTCACAAGAGCGCATCTAACAACACCCAAAAGTCATAATGCAAGAATCAGATATTATCAAATTAGGCCGATTCTCACTTGCTCAAGTATCTCATAAGTGCTCTCGAACATTCTACGTTGCAATGAAAAACAATATTATCACGAATCGTAAAGTTCGGTGATGAGGCTTCGCCGTTCGCGTTTCAACGATTAAAAACATTGCATTTCTTGGAAGCAAATTTTGAAATCATGTAATACAGTTAAAAAAGTAGGGTTTTTTTAACAATCATTTTGGAAATGGCGAAGCAATTTTTAAAATGATCTATCATCACCGGGCAATGTACACATTCATCATGGCTGACAATTTTTTTAAACAAACGCCAATGCTTTGAGCGGTTTCAGATGGTAAAAATATGTTCACATTAACCTTAATTTGCACGGAAATCGAGCGAATGGTGAAAGGTGAAACGAAACATAATATAAATGTCGTGCTCGTGAAAATGGTGTTGATTTCTTCGTGGTAACATCACCATGAAATTGTAGTGCTTCTATTTATATTTCTATCTGCTTGCTAGAGAATGCAGTAAGGTTGTGATTCCATTCACTGAACTAAGATAAAAAAACACTGTCTCATTGCCGTAGATTAAAACTAGAAATATCACTTATATACTTTTACTCTATCGCCTGATAATTTTGCGTTGAGTTTGCGAAATTCCTGCTAAGCCTGAACTGCAATCTATATACAGATACGTTCTGCTTCGTATATCAAAGCTGCTTTTCAGCTTTTAAGGGGGGCTTGACACATGTAGAACTATTATCAATGATAATATATTGAGATTGTCTGTTTGTCACAGTGAAAGAAACCAGCTCCAATCTCAGCAGCTAATCCAACCTTAATAAGCTTGCTTCTTTCGACGATAAAAATCAAATCTCCCCATCTCAGGAGGATTTTCCAATTAAAGCTATACAAACAACGCTTCCTAATCCAATGTGACGAACATAAACTTTTGTGTAATCTTGTTTAAAAATGCATTCCTGTTAGCAATCACACAGGCTGAACAATGTCTTTGTTGCCATGAATAGTTCTGGTCTATTCTTAAGTAAAATACCTGGACAGGATGTTTAAAACTAGGACAGACGAAAACAATTATCTACGAGCAACGTCGGTTGAAATAACCCAGTAAGTTCTAGTAATAAAGATCGTATATAAGCTGATGTTAAATATCCTGGTTTGAGTAAAGAATCTTGAAAATTCCTAACATTTTTTCTTGAAACTCATATCAAAAGCTCTCCAACGAAGTAGAGCACCCCTTTATAGTTAAGTGGATTTAATGTCGTCTTAAATAGGATTTAAATGTTGTTTGAACATTGGTATTTACACGTGAATTTTGACTTTGGATTTATGTCCTTCAAGCGAGCAGAAAACATATTCTGTTTTATTTATTTTAATGGCTTTTCTTATAAGAATGATAATCTTTAATCCAAATATTTTCCTTCACAAAAACTCTCATCCTGAGAAGAACTACATTGGTATTATATACCATTTGATTCTTTTAATATGAAACGAAGAATATTTGAAGGTTTTCTGTCCAGGACCAACGAGCTTTTTTTAGAAAAAAAAACGATGTTTCAAAAGGAAAAGCTTTAAAAATTTGCAAATATTTCAGAAGTATTAAAACCCGCAAATTTGGCAATGGCAAATTCTTAATCAGATTACTGGACATAAGATGCTCAAAGGCTATATTGCATTGCAAGATCCTGACATGCACAAGAGAATAGTGTCAAATTCGCATTCACACATCAACGATGATGTTTTTTTTTTAATTCTAGGAGCGTTGGCACACTGTTCCCAAATTACAACAGCAAAATGGCTTGCCTCATTATCACGAGCGACGTTTCAAGTAAGCTAATTAATAGCATTTTTTCATTGCCAAAGGGGCTGGATAATCGCTGTACATGAACAATCTGATCTATGTTTAATATGTAATCCAGTTTTCCATTATTCCCCAAAAGAACTTCATTCAAACGTTACACGGTTTAACAGTCGACCACAAAATCCAGCAAGCCTGTCCTAGCCCACAAACTATAAATAATTATTCATCAAATATAATTCTTTCTCAATCGGGTAAATTATATTGCATTTCATAGCCATATTTCAATACTGTCCGCATATCGTTTTGCATGTGCACACTTGACCGTGGTCGTATTAAAATGCATCTTTTCTGGGGAATATTTTAACAGTTATTTAAAAAGACCCGTTTGCCCTCGAGCAAAATAGCCGGAGAGAATTAATTCGTCCCGCAAAACGGTTCGCGACTCGGCGTAGAAGAGTCTTGCTATAGTTGCACGTGAAAGTAAAGACGTTCGTCGCCGGAGTGACTTTGTTTTGAATATCAAATCCGTTTCGCGATTAACGTAATATTTGCTTGTTAAGGTAATACTTGCGAAGTTCAATAGTACTTAACGAATATTACACGGAATTTTTGCATTCTGTGTCAGACTAAAGGCTCCCTGTTAATTGCATGTCCATAAGCGGCCTACGCTTTTGGGTAACTACGATTAGATATGGCATATTCTGCTGCAGATATCATCACATTTATTGGTTTAGAAATTTGAGATGCAAATTCTGCTCAAGGTAAATGTTATATGTACAGTACAAAGTGTACACGGTTGACCTAAGCTGGCGTATTAGCTCAGAAATTTACCTGGGCTGCATCGTTTCAAATTGCCATTTTTATACGCGCTCATTTTTTGTGGTCGCTTCACACGACGTGTGCGCAAAATATGCTAATTAAGATAGGTAAGCTTTAGCATGTTCTTAGACCGATAATGTGACATTTGTAAAATGATCTACCATAAATATTAACTTCTGGCTTATGCTGTCAAAATGTGTTATATTCATATAGGCGATTGCACTTTCAGCAAGCTCCAAATATTTGTTAATTCCAATGTGGAGCTTTCTGATGTGAACGTGACCAATTTTTTAAACCCACATATTTTCCAGCAAAATAACATTACATGTCCGCCCTCGTATTTTTTATGTGAGGATAATATTGTGTCGTATTCTTCGTGTCTCGTAATTATATAATATACAAAATATACTACAATAGTTTATAGCAGTGATAAACGTGATCTATAATTTCTGCTTACAAGACCACAAGCAACGAAAGAATTACGAGAACAAATAGATTAGAAATTAAAACACACACCAACCTGATCGTTTTGCGTAACTCCACGAGAAGCAGAGTGTAAAGAGCACGATAATTCGCATTGTCTTTGACAAATAACACCCGTTTGAAGAACCTATAAAAATGTATGTGATAAAATCTTAACGAACAATCAATCAGTCCGCTGTAAATCTGTAACTTGTCTGTCTTTAAGACACTAGATAATTTTATTTACTTCCCGCCCTTGGGATGACCATTTACGTTAGCAAATGACACGTCGATCAGGCGAGGTAAAATATTTCAACGCGGACAGGAATTCCAGTGCGTTGGCTGTGAGGAAATTGCTGGACTTCTTTTATGTGCCGAAGTGCTTCGCTTTTTCAACCGTTTTACATCGGTGATTAACCAGCACGTATATCGCGCTACGGGTTTTGTTGCTATTCATAACCTTCGTATTGTTTTGCGAGCCTTGAGAAGTCCGGGCAAACTTTAATTCGGACCTCATGCGGTTGTAAAGTGGGACAAAACAGGAAACGAACTGTGTCAATGAGTGATCAAGTTATTGGGTGAGAAACGAACGAATGGTTTCATTTATTTTGCCCTAAAAAAGGTCGAAATTTTCGCGCGGAAGTTGGTACCGCTGCGAAGGATGCCCCACAGACAAACGTCAAAACCTTAATGCGTACCATCGTCTCCTCGGGTATTTGCGAGTATTTCGACACCATTTAACACGCAGTTTTTTTTACATTGTACAACCCGAAGGTTAAGACTCAAATTGGAAAAATACAATGAATAGAACATTGACGAATTACATGACTTGACCTGCGATAGTTTATCGGCTTCAATTACCGCGTTAACTAGCTTCAAGAAGATTGTAAATATATGAAGATGGAACGCGAACATTATAATACGCAGATTATAACGAACGAATAACATCTTGAAGGTAACTAAATCCGAATTAAGGGATCCGATAAAGAAATATCTAGTGCTTCGCTTTTTCTATTTCCGATGTTGCTAATATAAACACATGGTTTAAACAGGCGAGAATATTTGTAATCGCACGTTTACAAATGGTCTTTAACCAGTTTTTGCCGTAGAAAAATCTCTTCAAAACTCACTCGACTTTGTTCAGAACTCTATACAGTCACCCTTTTTTTAATTCCCTATCTTCGAAATTTTACGGAGAATAGTAGAACGCAAAACTATATCAAATGCACTCGATGTTTGAATTGAAAACCAAAGCATTCAGCCTTCATATTTTAACTGTAGTTACCACAAGAAACAAGACTCGGAAGAAGTTCGGTTGCATCTTTTGATGTCATGCGAACATCGTTGAAAACAGTCTTCAAAATGGTTGCCAGAAAAGGCAGTAGTTACTCCGAATGATATTCTTTGCTACATTTCCCGTGAAGGACATTCAAAAGTAAACTAGCACACGTTAACATTTCCGCACTATTTAAAAGCGAGACGATGAATGTGATGAACATAACGTAAACTACACACCTACCGTTTTGGAGCCTGACTTTAGCGAAACACCCGGACAGCAGATGGCCTTTCGTAACAGAATATTCTAACTACGTTTACGCCAAGAGCTCGCTCTATTTATACAGAATTGCCAGAGTAATGTTTGCGTATTAACAGGTGTTGACATGCGCTAACTAATCGAATAGTGCGTTTGCATACGGCCTTTTCCGGAACATGTTCCGGACTTGAAATACTTTCAATGGTTGCGTGCGTATGATTCGTTGCTAACTAAGCTCCTATTTCGAATTAAGATCCATAAACCATGCATACGCGCAGTTATGCTGATAGCCTCGCGCGATAACCCTCGACTTTTGATGAATTGATTGCGGTCGAAATCTGTTTTATATTTTCCGAGCCTGAAGTTTGCGTTTGCGAAAATCCTACTCGAATATCGATTTTTGAGAGGTAATCGATTTCTTTCTCTGTTCGTAAACACACTCTTAGCCATGGTTAAACCGTACTCACGTTAATGATTTAGTATTTTTGACGGTTGGTTACATCAAGAGGCAGTGGATGGCACTTGTGAAGGCTAAGCACTTGCCGTTTCGCGCCGCCATGGCGCCAGAGAAGGAGGAAATAGCCAATCTTTCTCGCTAACTGATGAAACAGGATTCAGGCTATATCTAAGCGATCGATCTTCACCACAAGTTCCCCTCTACTCACTCCACTACAAATCGATGAATGCTTATGATAAGAAAAGAGCAGACTATTTGTCCTACCCAGGCGATCCGCCTTTTCAAAGCGTATATCGATTTTAAATAGCCGAAATTGATCAAATCCCATTTGTGGTATACCTTTTTTAAACTGCTACCGCATGTTTCTGCCAAAATATAGTCTGTGAAACGGTTATCCTATAGTTACATGCAGTGGTGCTATGGAAGTGTTCTATAGGCCAAGACGAAATCATGTTTTAAAGTCTTTCTATAAGTTGCCTCTGAAAACCTTGAAAGACCTTCCCACTTGCGTTAAAAACCCCCATCATTTGGCAACAGAAGTTTCAGAAATTGGCGTCGTTGTTTTAGACATATTTAATAATTCTGCGGATGGCATTATTTTGCACATCTCAATGACTGAACAATTTGCCATTTAATTTCCACCTCTCAACTGAGAGGGTACATGTGTTTATGAAACCACATCTGGCTGCATGTCGAAAACTCGCACATTGGCCCGTATTCAACGGCCAAGAAGTGCAAAAAGAGCTTCAATGACAGAAAAGGGCTTAATTTCAGTCTGTGCGAATGATACAGTCGCATTTTAGGTGATTTACATAAATTTTTTCGTAATTTGGAACTGATTAACTCTCAGTCTTCCTGGCTTGAGTTTTCCATCAAAGAACCAGAAATATTATTTTTTTTAAATACTTCCCGAATTTACTTTATATAAATCCACACCGGCGAAGGAAGTTCAAAATTCGAAACTATTGTTGTTAAACAATACTGCCTAACTCCTAGCCTAGTAAGCCCGTAATTCCAGTTTAATTAAGTTTCCAGCTCAACATGAAATCTGCATGTATCATCAACATACAGTGGACATATTCCCTTCTCCTTGTGTATGCTGTTTTTAATTCTATTTCAAGCCAACTTTAATTTGAATTACCTGCACATAGATCTAATATTAGCGGAGAGTTCATTGGAATGATATGAAAGAACGAATAGTTCTCTTTAAGAAAGCCAACCGAGCTAGTGAAATACTTTTGTAACGTTTTTGACAAAATTCTGATCGCTTTAAATGCGTGTTGACGTTTCCCAGTTAAACAAAAGTGAGTTTAAAAACGTGAGTTAATTTACGAAGTCTTATTTGGTTTTAAATCAATATAACGATCGAGTTTCTTACTGAACGTTCTGGGCTATCTAATCCTGTAGTTTTATGATGAAGCTCTGAACCAGATTTATACAATAATGCTGATAATCTTGGATAATATTCTCGTATCTATAACTACAGTTGCCCAATGGATTCGAAGTATCTTTTAATACGGCTTTGTATTTCCCCGGAAAGGCTAAAAGAAGACGGGCGGAACCGATCAGAATTATGGGGAGAGAGATGATCCTCAGACACGATGAAAACCTTATGAATTATGAACAGTTTTATGGGCGTTCAGAAAGACTGCTTGTGTTCCATCTCATTCCGCTGCAAATTAACCAATTAAGATCATTTTGATTATCCCCAACTGCCGAACTGTTAACCTTCACAGAAAGTGCGTGGCTTATTTATCTCGCGCTTGCAGTTGTGGACTAGTTCCGGAGGGGGGGAGGGGACAGGGGGTATGCAGGGGGGGAACTTCATAGGAGTCGTATTCTTTGGTTATTCTATTTCTAGATATTATTTCTCTTCTACAGCATGAAAATTTAAAATCGGCATCTTTCTAATTACATTCTAACAACTGAATCCGGAGTCGCATTGGATATGCGGAAGCGTGGAAAACATGTGGTTAAAATAATCTTATCTACGCTGTTGGGATCACTGGATGTTTTATGTGCACCTAGTACAGACAAGGAATCTAAGTTCTTGCTTGCAAAACTTCATCATTGAACTGCAGTTACTGAGGAGTATTGGAAAGCTACCGGGTGCTTATATAAACCTCCAGATGGCAACAGTGGTTCAAATTCGTGATCGGGTAGGGGGTTTGTTTAAGTCCACACCTTACATTGGGAAAGGTTGCCTGAAGCACTAATTATGACCAGGATTGGTCGGCCAGGAAGCGAGCATCGCTCTTAAAATGCACTTCCAACATCCCAAATCATGTCGTGAAATAGCATTCACTTTAAACAGTCATTACCAATAATGATATATATAAGCCTCGGTCTGCGCGGGAAACCTCTACTGACACTGACGCATAGTTATTTAGGAGCAGGTCATGTAGTTTTGGACATCGTTCAATGTGACCTGATATTTTATTGCTTTGCAAATTCTGGGCAAATTATAGCCCGCAGAAAAAGCCAGAAGAAACATATTAGACAGATGTCTTTTAGTATTTCCAACAACGATATGACGTCGGAAATAAGATTAAATTGTTAATTTTGGAATACAGAACTCTTGATAAATATCCGAGTAGTTGCTTAATGTGTAAATCGTTTTGTGGATAGCAAGTCTATTTGTTTTGCTATTCCGCGTAATTTGCCAAAAGAAAGAATGCCAAAGCATTCCTTCTCGCTGAGAAAGTTTTTGAAGGATATCACGACGATTCTCGTTTTTTCTTCCATATCAACTTAGTGCATGTTTTCGTCGCGTGGCAAAGAACCTTAAGTTATAATTAAATAGTTTGTTTCCTGACGATAAAAATTGTAATGAAGATAACTGACTTTTGGAGTGGATCTAAGTTGAAAGATGTATTTCACGTTATCTTACGAAATAGCCGCCAGAATCTTCTAAAATCGAGCACATGCAGCGTTGACTCACGTGGAGTTTGGCTGAGATACGGTCGTTCTATTGTTATCTTAGCGCTGTGAAATGCTGTTCTTCTGCTTTTATCGCTGCTGTGTCAACTGCTGAGCAATAAAGGATTTTCACTGTTGGAAAACAAGCGTGACGAATTACTTAAACGTCTTGTTTGTCTTCGCCATTTGGCGATTATTTTTTCGACATTTAACCGGTTTTTCTCCGACCGTTTATCTCCGTAGGCGCGCGATTTCCACAGAGTTTTGCTGTGTTGTTTAAAAATGATCAATCTGTTTCTACACTCCCCTGGAAAGCTGGAGATTTTGCGTGTCATTCGTGACAAATAGTTGTTACAGGAAATTTAACTGAATTGACCAAAAATTGTACAACAGCTTAGCGCAGTGGTGTTTCACAACGTAGTCAGTGCACTAACTGCTGTGAAGGATGCAAGATATATCCAGTGTTTTAAGACGTGCGTATTTTAACGTAGGCTCAACCTACCATCGCGTGCTGCGGGACCTATGACGTGAAATGAAAGACAAGTGCTCATTTAAGGTCATATTTTCTTACTTAATTGACAATGCAAATGTTATTGAGAGCGGAGCATAACTTCAGCGCGTTTTCACATGAGAAAGTTTTAAAAAATTTTGCGGTTCTTGACCTAGAGTGAAAACTTTTGCTAGTGTTGAGCGAGCTTTGGACGTTAATGGTTTATAAAAGAACTTTTCAAATCTTGTTATTGAGACATTTTCCAAAACCAACGCCTACATACTGCTACAGGTTCACTAAAGGGGCAATAGCATTGCTTTATCAGTCGTTTTAAAACAATTTGATAGTGGAAATCTTGATCTGAAATGCTCGCGTGACAGCGATTAGCCACGGATGATTTTATAGTACTCTATTTTGATAGTTCTAAGTACTAGGAAATTCCATCCTCAGATCATCTCAGTGAAAATCTCTTCCCAAACAACTCGAAGATATTCGTATTATATAAGTATTTGAACTGATAAGACATTCTTAAGTTAAAAGCATTTAATGAGGTTTTTAAATCTATTTTATTCCCGCTCCTCGTGTGCGAATTACTGATGCTATCAGAAATAGTTCAGCTGTTCAACACGTTCCAAATGTTACGACTTACTTCAATCACATCATCCAATTCAATTTCAATTCCAACAAAGTGTAAAATCTGAATGTGTAGACGAGTAATTTAAACCTACAAATGGCCGTTTTGAAATATTTCATGCAGTCAATTAATGACCAAAATAAATCCGGACGCTGTCCTGCAGATTTTTGCAACTAGGGAGGCGATTACACAGAGTTACAAGAGCAGATAACAACGGCAGAAACAAGCGAGTCTGCCATATTTTATCGCCAATCTGTCAACGTTATTTACATCACTTGACATCGATGACAGAAAGTGTACGCGTTCAAAATATACACATCGAAAAGCAAAAATGTTTATACGATATTTTTGACACGTTGTGGTTTGGAGGTTATCGCATTTACGATATCCAAGCTGAAATGATCGACTTTTCATTGTCTCTTAAGTTGGCCAAAGGTCATTTTCGGATTTTCGGTAAACGCTATTTGTTTAGTACAATGAGTTACCCGGTTTAAAGACGATTGCTAAGGATATTCCCTTGCAATTTTACACAAACTCATGCAGGGTTAATACAACAGAAGGAAATCCAAATCGGTTTTTTCAACAGGATAGTTTTAGCGGTAAAAAAATATTCCCACTCGAAGCGTGGTTAGGGCCACCCTGTCGATGTTGCAATGCAGGAAAGAGTTTAACTAAGCGTGATTTTTTTAGACAAGATAGCTTTATCAGTAGAGAACTATTCTCCCTGAGGTCTTGTGTAGGCCACCCTTGTTGATAAACAGTACAAAGAAGCAAGTTGAAGCTAGCTTTAACGAGCGAATTCCATGACACTTCAGAAGAGCAGGAAACGTTATTATGTGAAGTGAAAAAAAAATATTCACGACGAATGTGATTGAGGCATTCTATATATATATTCCAATTCATTGAGTCTCGTCAGGCACGCCAAATTCCTATCAGAGAAAAGATAAGACTTTCACAAATACTTGAATATGAAAAGTATCTCGTGTTATATTTGGCATGAGGCTTTCTTTCAAATAAATATTATTTATCGATGGGGTGTTTTTGCATCATTCCCTAATTTCCCTGATAAGTCTCTCTTTCTGAATAATGCCAGATGATTTCCCCCCACCACAGTCATCGCTAATGGAGATAAAAAATTGTAGCTACAACACGTATTTTGTCAGGATAAATTTCATGTTTAAAAATTCTTTATAATTTGTTTTTCACTAAAACTATATACTCTGTTTGACCAATATTCGCACAAAAATAGTTTCTTCTCTGGCAAATGTACAAATGTACAGAGTTAGTCGTTCTATCTAACTTTAGTTTCACACTATAAAGGCTATAGCAGGCGGTTGTTGAACTTCTCGACTAATGACTTGATCAAAACATTATCTGGACTAATGATTTCACAGCATCAATCTTGTTGAATGCTTTCGCATTTCGAGGTGAAGATCTGGCCCAGATACCGTCAATTATATGAGAAAAGCTTTCGTCTCAGATAATTCTGAATATCCAAATGTTTATCGAGTGTGAAGACAGGCTGATCTCAACAGTATTTCATACAACAGAAGCACCAAAATGAACACGAGTCATTGTCATATCTGCCACAAGTTCCCATAAGTTAGCTCTCGGATCGTACATCTCCACAGATTGCAGAAACTGGCCGTTAAATCCACCAAGAACATAAAGACGACCTTTCATTGCTGCTAAACACGAAGAAGACCTAAAAAGATAAAATCTTTCTGTAAAACGTAAGAATGGTAATTATCTTACTCTGGTAAAAATGAATAAAAAACGCCAAAGATGAATGAATATTTACGAACTACAGTACCTCGCCTGGCTCATGTCTGCAATTTCCATCCATTTATCCAAACGTGGGTCATACATACAGGCATCTTTCAGATGAGAAGTTCCATCAAATCCCCCACAACAGTACATAATGTTATCCATTGAGGTAACACCAGCCACTGATCTTTCACTCTCTAAAGAAGAGAAAAAGACAAAGTATATTACTCTTGTTAGAGGTACAGTAACTTATAGCCAGCAAATGAGTTTTACTAACAACTAATTTTAAACTTAAATGATAATCTTACTTTGATATTTCTATTTATTCATTATCTTTATGAATGAACATCGTATTTGATGTAAACCAACCTAAAAATGGTGTTAACTTACCCATTGATCTAACTGGCAACCAACAATCATTAACCACATCATAGCACTCCACGCTTTTCAATCTCTTAACACCATCGTGACCACCAACCGCATATACCAGCCCACCAATGGTTGCTGTACCAACATACATTCGAGGTATTCCCATCGATGCACAGGGTGCCCATTCGTTTCTGTTAGGATCAAAATTCTCAACTGACTTTTGCTTTGTGTAGCCATCTGTTCCACCGATGGCAAAGATCCGGTTGTGAGATTGAGCAGCACCAAGGTACTTCCGTGGTCGGGACATGGATGCAATGGTTTGCCAGGAGTCAAGATCTATATCATAACATTCACATATATCCAAGAATATCCCAGATGTACACCCACCCAAACAGTAAACTAACCCATGTAACTTTGCCATGGCAACTCCATATCTGCTGGTCGGCATATCTGATACAACCTCCCACGAGTCGGTGTACATGTTGTACTTCTCAACAACATTAATTGCATCGTTACCATTCAAACCACCAACGGCAATCAACTGGTCTCCGTAACCATCAGCAATTCTGGATGCATTACAAGTTATCCCAGTAATCTTCTGTTTCTCAGAAAGCGGTGATAAGGTAAACTCCAAAGCATTCTCGACAATTTGGCAGCAAAGTAAGCTCTTCCTGACCAGATTGCTTTTCAAAATATTCTCCCTGAGATAGTCTGGTGTTAATGAACCTAAACGAACACAACTAACAATCTCTGGTAAATGCAATTCTCGTTTGCTTTCTGATTCAATCCATCTGATACCAGCTTCGAAAACCATTTCCTCAGAGTTTATGGATAAATTTGGATTATTCAGAAATATCTTAACATCCTTTAAAGACAGACAACAAAACTCTTCACTTTGAGACACAGATGGAAAATTCTTCAAGATAAACCTGAATGTAAAAGAGGACAGCTCTCTGCAATGATGGAGCTCAGCCAAGGCCCATATTCCGAGGCAATTTGATGGATGTAGCTGTCCCTGGAGGAAATCACAACACATTTTTTCGACCTCTTTGATTTGAAGTAAATTTGAAGCGGCCAAAAGTCCTTCGACGTTTGTGTTATTCACTTCAAGTTTCGATAAGTAAGCGAATCTGACAAGTGTAGCTAAGATCTCTCCTTCTACGTTCTCTATTTTCACGATCTTCTGTCGACTTTCACATAAATCGCCTGTGAACATGCTACGAAAGTACGGACTAATGGCAGACAAGACGAGACGATGAGCTTCGATCGAGCGACCATCGCAACCCTTAATCTCCACATCGCAAAGCTGCCTCGATTCCCACATTTCAGCAATGCTTTCATAAAGGCTTGCCAATAGTTTAGACGTAGAACACTGAATCATAGACATCGTTATTTACACGTAAACAAACATTGAAAAACGTAAACAAACTTTATGATCCACAACAACAAAGATGTACTGTTCATGGTGAATACCGCAGGCAAATATGACTGTCGTAAGCAATGCTCGAAGAGCTAAACATCCAGGTCTTAGGTTCCTGCATATAGATCTGTGCTTTTGTTCTAATCGAAAACTAAATGTTAACAAATATCTTAAAATAAAAGCCTGAATTACAAAAATGAGTTTAAGATATTTGAAGAGATTACTCGTTTAAGCAACACACAACATGCTTTGAATTCTACCAGCAACAATTCTATTATAATCGATCATAAAGGGGCTGTCTCACAGGGGAGAGGGGTATGCCCCAAGATTGTCCCTTTTGCGGTGTTGAGGAGTCTCATAGGTGGGCCTGGAGTTCTCTTTTATTAACGTTATGCCCCTGGCACGGCATGATTTTCCTGTCCTTTTAGTGATCGTGTGTTTAATTTCTCCGCAAAAACAGGACATATTTGTCCAGGGTGTTTCAGCTCTCCACTCAAAGGTCGGTGGGTTTTCTCTTAGTATAAGTCCGTACAACGCGGGTTTTCCGCCTCAGAAATGCTGACAGGATTTGTTTTGAACCCTAAACTAACCCTTCCATCGTGTCTTTTACTCCTAACCAGGCATGGGTTGTACGGAGCATCGCTGACAAACATCTTTAACAGACCTTTGTTTGAATCGAGTTGAGATAACCTAGTTAAACTTTTACAGCTGCAAACGAGCGTTAAATGCACCTGCATATGGATCATGGATGTGTTATTTTAAAGAACTGAGCTGCGTCTTAGCGACATGCGATTATTTTACGGGTCATCAGAGCAAATAATCCACCTGTTGCGTTGGACGAAACTATCCGTTCAACGGACCATGACTCAAACTATGAACTCTCAAAATTTCAATAAACATTAAACTTTTCTTCTCTTCATTGCTTAATGAGTAAGATTCACCGGTGATTCAACTTCACTTTGCGCAAAATAGCCTGGCAAAACAGTCTCGCAATCGCAACGAAAATGATGTAATGCTTCGAAAATTATATGCTACATGATGCTATGTGAAAATATCTCCCAAATCTTGCTGCCATTGGTTCATTTGGCAGGTGACCTTAACAAATCTTCATGCACTATCTATCATTGCAACACGCTCGAATAAGGATGATCTAGCAAGCAAGATATGCACATTCTGCAGTGCAAATGTCATTTTGGATAACTCTACATAAAACTCGAAGGAATGCACTTTTGAATCAGCTTTACTGCAGCGTCTGTCAAGAAAATCAGAGCTTAGAGACAGAAGATCCCAAGGTTGTATGAAGTTTTCATATTTTTGTGTAAAACCATGCTCGTATAATTCAATGCAATAAATTAGTTTCCATGAGTTTGGCCATCATATAGAGATCTCGTTATGACAGGAATAATGTGAATCGATAAAGTTCATATCACTTTGTCCAGTAGTCCTGTAGCATTACGCTTTTTATACATTTTGACTCTGATGAAAGAGGTGGAGTATTCTTGTGATTGTATAATGAAAATTAAGATCATTTCTTGCCATTTTAGAGCTTATGTCTTAAAAATTAACCAGAGCTATAGCTTGAATGAATCGTGATTAGCAGAGTATAAAATTCAGCTGGTTTCTTAAACTTTCTAGCTCTTGTGTATAAGACAAATTGACAAGATTTCCATAGTTGGGAAACATGTTTGCCTGACATTGGAATGTGTCGTATTCGGCCAATAGATCATGACAACTCAGCCTGTGAAATATTCAGACCTATTTTGAATCTTACGCTGACATTTTAATATGTGTTTTATTTAGTATGACCATCTGCTGAGGACTTTATTGATGAAACAACTACAGAATTATGCAGTTATGAGAGGAAGTGTACGATTATTGAACAAGACAAAAGTGTCTTGCAATTGGTTAACTCAATTGCTAGTTGCTTTTGTCCCGTTTATGTATCGTAATTCAGAACTCATATTTGGCTAGCTGATCAAGTATAAGCGCCGTTGGCTCACAAGTTAAAACCTCTTAAAAGCAGTGTGTGGGCTCCGGGAACCATTGTCCAATTACTCTTCGAGATCACTCATTTGGGATGAGCCGACATCACTCTATCTGGCCAAAGTATGATTGCAATATCTTTCGATAGAGATCAATGATTCAGTTCAACATCTTTACTACGAAATATCAGTTACCAAACTATCGAATTCTGCCACATATAATTAAGTATAGCTAGACGATTTAGTTCATATCATTGTAATGCAATTTAAGTGAACTTCTAAATAAATATATCTTTACAAATGGGGTCTGCTGTTTTATGTTGTGAGAAAGCATTTGCATGTGTCTTCTAAGGGATTCCAGGCCAAATATTTAAAAATGTTTGATCAGTTAGCCTACCTAGGCTAGGTTAGGCTTTTTTATCTAAACTGTTGTACTAACTCTTTTGATGTCGTTCTTTACAAACAACAAGTATATATCAGGCCCTCTTAGCCCACGCGCCTAAAAACGTGTAGAAAAACTTGGGAAATCCGTAGAAATATCAAGATAAAAAGAGAAAAAACACACACCACAATGAAACGTTTTGTTCTTTTAATTCTTGCTCAATTTATCAGTACAAAAGTGGTTTGAAATAAACTGGCATATATTGTCTGAAAGGTAATTTCTTATGAATGATAACGAGAGATAAAAAATACCTACAAGACCTTTTCGTCTCTCGTTATTATTGGAAGAAAAACCGTTTTGTCACCTTTCAGACAACATATTCCATAAACGATTACCATTTTATACAAATAAGTTAAGATTTGTTTGGATTTGTTTATAGGATATTCATTTAGGATTTGGTCGTATTTAATTCTTGCTCAGTTAAGTCCAACGAACACGCATGAAAGTGTTAGTCCGTGAAATCTCACGTGTATTCTGTAACTTGGTTTAAACCAGTACATATTCGTTCACCAAACTGCGGTATCCATGATATTTTACAAAATAGGAATCATTATAGTTTTTCATATCTTCGCATCTTCCCACTATAAGATCTTATATCTCATTCCTCAGGGGGCGAATCAGATCTCGTCGTAGAACAGTTTAATGATTACTAGCAAAAAAGTACTTTCCTATATCGTTATCTATCTATCTCCTTCAACTTCGTGCTTTTCCCCGTTCTTGAAATCTGATTTTAATTGTTTCTCGGAAACTTCAGGTCGTGGAATGTTGGATCTTGTGACCATGTCTAGGAAATCATCGTCCATCTCAACGTCGACCTTCTTCTCATCCTCGTGTTTCTCAGCTGCAAAAGAAAGCATTTAAAGGAATTACCTATGTGCATGCTATAATTTCAATACTACGTTTTGCCTAAGACGCTGTAAAAATATCGTTGGTTTGACGTGAGTAGAACCATTGGTCGATATATCACGCCTTTTTCAAGACGTCTTACGTACAAACTAAAGATCATATCGTGTTTGCTAAATTTATCTAATTTTAATATGCAAGCAGTAGTTGTCGGAAAATGATATTTGTGACAGAGTTCCAAGAAACTTGCTGGTATGCGGGTACTACCTGAAGAAAATTTCGCGAAAATCGAGAAAGGTCTGATATAGAAGGGGACACTCATGTGATAGTTAGAATAGATAGTTGCAAACATTCAAAGCAATAAAAGTGAAATCTATCGCATGGATACCTCAAGAATGACTTCAGAAGTGATTGCTTACCTTTTGCTGCTGTCTTGCTCGTCGCTGCCTTCTTCTTCTTCGCTGAGTGGCTGAGTTTCTTCGCTTTTTTCGATTTAAAAGTGCCATGAAAAGCCTTGTGATGATGTTTCCTTCTCAACTTCTTCTCATGATGAGTGGGTTTCTTTGGTTGTGGAACAGGCGCTACGACTGGGGATGGTGCCTCGACGTCGGCCAGTGGAGGAGCCGCATCAGATGCAGGCTGTGTGCCAACGGCAGGCTGTGTGCCAACGGCAGGCTGTGTGTTAACGACAGGTTTTGTTCCCGCAGCATCGGGCTGTGTGCCTGCAGCGGCTTGTGTGCCCGCATCGGGCTGTGCCTCCGCTGCTTGTTGTACGCCCGCTGCAGGCTGAGTGCCTGTTGCAGATTGTGGTACAGCACCACCCGCTGCTGGTTGGGTTCCTACGGCAGGCTGATCGGGTGCAGGAGTCTCAGACGCAGGTCCAACTTTTGACGCAATTGTCTTGGCAGTTTTAGATGCTGTATCAGCAGATTTCGCCTTACCTGATGGTTGTAAAATAATCCAAGTGATTAAGAAGGTGAAAAACTAAAGGAGACATTATTTCAATTCTCATAATATAATTGTTTACTTCTATCATTCCACAATTTAAATGTAATTTTTAATTGCTAATACTCCGTATAAGCGGTACAAGGCAAACGGTTGCCTCCAGTATTATCTACTGTCAATGTTATCAATTGGGATACCGGAATTTTTGTTAGTTTTGAGTGTTAGTTTGGTTAGTTTGATCAAAATGAGATGACCTCGATTTTTATGGTTAGTTTTTAATTCCAATTCGACTTGGTTAGTTTTGAAATAAAGCTAAAAAGGTTAGTTGCTATGATTAGTTTTGAATCAAAACTCCTCTTTTTTTCCGTCACCAAATGTCTAACCTTTCGGATGGAAAATCTTTTGAGCAATTTGGCCAAGGCCGAGATTTTTCAGCATTTGATGAAAGACTCCTTGTGCTGAAAAAACACGCGTTAGTTTTAAAGATGAATTTCAGTTCAGACTTCAGAGAACAAAAGCTTGCTGTTGTTATAAACGCTTTGACGAAATAAGAAGAAAGATTGTGATCACAAGGCAAGGATTCTCGATATGGTTTCAATCTTTATGCAACCGATATTACGGGCATTACACATGAGATATATTAGTGCGGTTAGGAAGGGTTTAAAGCTTCATATTACCTGATGATGGTTGTTTGGTGATTGGTGGGGTTTTTGTAGGGTATGCGTAGGGATATGGTGGAGGAGGTGGGGGAGTGACACCCGGGGGGTAGGCGACGTCCGGTGGGAGGGGTGTTTCCGGGGGAGGTACACCGTCCGGTAGTGTTTGATTGACATGCTCAGTTGCTCTGTGGACTGTGTTTGGTGGGACTATTTTGTCGTTGTCAGTCACTGCAGTGAAAAGAATCGATAAATCAGAGATCTAAAAGCTCTGAAGGACACAACTCGCCTTGTTCATTCAAAGGCTTTTCAAAGACGCCTTCGAAAGCCACGAGAATTCGTCACTTACTGATCCTCTTCTTGCAAAAGAAATAGAACTTGTTTTCACAATGGAAAGTCCTCCATTCCCCTTTCGTCTGCATTGCAACACAATCTTCATTATCGTTCATTCTATCGTCAGATTCGATATCGTTCGCCCAGTAAAAGAACGAACTGTTTGTACCGTCGCTATTCTTAAACACTCCTTCTTTCTCGCGGTCATTCATCCCCAACCAAGTAAAACTGAAGAAATAGATATTCAATATTGCTATGTTTTACAAAGTGTTTCACTTTCAACCTTCCTCAATGTCAGTTGATCATTGCAGTACTGACTGAGTGCTGACTGTTGCTACTAATACTAGCGTAACTGGTCTAGTACTTACTGCTTTGCAATGTTTTATTCAGTGTTTCACTTTCAACCTTCTCAATGTCAGTTGATTGCAGTACCGCTATAGTCTACTGAGTGTTGATGTTGCTACAATATAGGCCTGACTAGTCTAGTACTTACTGCTTTGCAATGTTTTATTTCAATATTTCACTTTCAACCTTCCTCAATGTCAGTTGATCATTGCAGTACTGCTAGTCTGACTGAGTGTCACTGTTTACTAACAGCCTGACTACTAGTACTTACTGCTTTGCAATGTTTTATTTCAATATTCACTTTCAACTTTGCAAGCAATACACACCAGAAAGCGTTCGTGATACTCACCCACAAGCAAGAAGCTCTTGCTGTACAAACACTTGTTCCTCATGAGTCGTAATACTGACAAGATCTCCGCCGTATGAACCACATTTATCCCTGGCTTCAGACCAACTAAGATATTCTGTGACGAGTTTATAGCAAAACGCATGTTTATCCGTCATGAAACGCTTCCAGAACAACGGGCATCCTTTGGAAAGACGAAAAGATCAAAATTATAAATTATGGGTTCGTTTAGACCACAATTGCAGACTGTTTGCACGGTTGCAAGGTTTCAAGGCTCCAAGGTTTCAGTGGAACTTTATTCTTTTCCCCTTATCAATTCAAAAGGGCTCAACTTTCCAGGAGAATGCCGACCATAATTCTGTTTTATAAAAGTGAATTCTGTCTCTTAAAAAGGCGAAACATGGAACAATACTTACTTGGATTAGTAAACCTCATGTCAGGTTTTCTGTCGGCGTTCATACTCATCCATTTTGTTTGAAATGGTCCAAAAGCAGTTGGACCTGCTTCAACGAGAATCTTTGCGGAAACATCCGACGAATCGTTGTAGTCTGAGATGATTCGCACGGCGTTGATATCAACTGGTGCTGGGAAATCATACCCGATCCAGTCCCCACCAGCTATGCGCTCCCACCAGCCATCAGGTAACCAAGCGGTGTCCCGGTTACCGTCGAACGCTTGGCTTGCTGGGAAGGATAGGTATGTGGAACTTGCTATAGCACTGGCTGGGTTGTTTGTAACCAGCGGTTTCTTGTCATGTTTGCTTTTGAAGAACTGGATTTCGCTTACGAACCAGGTTCTGTTTAGTGGTGCCCAGTTCACGACGCGCCAAAAGCGTTGGGCTGCAGAAATATCGAAGTAAAGAACACTGAGCTATATAACAAGTTCTGGAAGACTTGCTTAACAATCTCGCATATAAAGCATGCTTGAATGTTCATTCTGATACGGTGCTCTCTGTTTAAGAACCTGACTTGTCTTCAATCCCCCCTTCCTCACGTTAATTCCAGAAGTAAACACCCCCCGGCATTGACCAGCCTCTATCGATTTTTCCCACCAATAACCCAGTACTAATCGGTATGAATGGGCCATTCTAAAATTTCAAATCAATTCGTTGCGCTTTATCAAAGACTGACTTACGTAATCTTTCAACTCCGCAATACCCACAGGATCTTTTGCAATATGTGTACATTTCGTAACGGTTTTCTTCACAATGACAACGCTGACCAGCTTTGGCGCATCTATCTGTATTCTGACCACTGTCCGTGCAGGCGACTAGAGATAATTATAATATGACAAACGCTTGAAACTTAGCCAAAAATAATTACTTTTAAGCTTTGCGCACTGCTCAAAATCAATTCTTAAATTGAGTAAGTTTAAAATTTCAAATATCTCATATCCAATACCTGCAGAATTATAGCCTTCTGTCGTGTTATAAGCATCTGTATTAACGATAAAAATATTGCAGTTATTTTAACTGATATATGTCACTTTCGTGTTTCGCTATGAAATTACACGGTTGAAAATCATGTTGAGTTTAATCGCTTAAACAACTCAATTGAAAGAAAATCTCTCAGAAAAAAACAGAGCTAGTTATTGTCGAGTAAAATAGCATTATTATTCGTTGGTTAGAAATGCTATCATTGTTAATAATAATGTATCTAACTTTTATCTTCTGTACTTACATTGTCCTTGTTGTGCTTTTGTCTGCACTGTTGCTAAAATAGTTCCTATATAATTGAAAATTCAAATACTGTTTCATTGAAGAATGAAGAATGCTTTATCCCAAACGGGAAACATAGCGTTGCTTCAGTCAATAAGGCTGAAATTTATACTGTGTTTTGTAAAACGGGTATACATGCAACACAACAAAACTCAGTAATATATTTCAAAGCTCATCTGAATCTTTCTTTAGCATATATAGTCTCAGCCTACACTACAAATTAAGTTAAACTCTTTTAGTCTCATAGTAAAAGTTTTTATCTAGCTTTGGAACCGTTGGAAAAGCGATCATTGAGATAATTTAGATGATGTTGATAATTAGAGAGTAGATATTTACGTAAAACTCAAAGTTCAATTTCAAAAAACTAAATACGTGAATGTGACTTTGCTTTATTTGGCTGTTCTGAGAATAATGTTTCTCTTTATATCTTCAAATCCATTTAAAGTGAATAAGTGGTTGGTTTTAATATATCTCTTCTGTTTTTTAGTTTATAATCTGAAGAGTATAAATTGTTTTATGGCACGATATAAAGAACAAGCTTCAATGAATCATATCTTATAGATATCGATATCCGATATAGATATAGATATCGAGTTTATATTTTTCGATCTCTTTGGATAAGCCAACTTTAAATAAGCCGACCGTTTTATTATCTTATGTGTATCTTTAGCTCCCATTAAATACATTTCATCACCGTTAACTAGTAAAGTAATTTCACCATTTTCAGATCAATAGATCATCGTTTATCACACAAACCTGTCAAGTAGGAAAGCACACATAAAACCAGGCAAATTCCTTTCCTTTCACCCATGACAATTCTCACGTAGTTGTTATGCTAACAGATATTGATTTCTACATCACATTTATAAAAAAATCAAACTACAAGTACTTAGACAAAGCAGAATTCCTTTACTAAAGATTCTACTGAACAAAAGGCAACCTTATTAATTATAAATTCTGACCTGCTTCTTTTAACAGGCAAAAAAGAAAACAATAAACCTTACTTAGGGGCAGCGTTGCCGTTATTACGTAAATAACATTTCAACTATCTTTTGTTGAATACTCGAAGAATAATATGAATATTTCTTTTGCAGACTACAGCATTTGTAATTTAGAAAGTGTTGAGTTCATGAAGGTAGTTTGAATATTTCAATTATTTTTTATTGTGCGTAAACAATTTGAGTTTTGGGACAATATGGCCACATGCAAATACACGATTTTGTGTGAAAATAAATTAGAAAGGCAAAGAAGGGAGCGCAGTTTGAGACTGGAATCTATAGAAATGTAATTGGTCAACGGGTTCCACTGGCGATGAACTTGCACGAGCGGAGGAACGGGCACGAATGACTCACTCGTTCCAGGTCAGAAATTTTCAAGTGAACTTTTTAGCCACTTTTAGGCAACATCAAGATTTTATATGAGAACTTGAGAACTAGACTAGAGTTTCATGAACCAAAAAGAACAGGAGTTGCATGAGAATTGAGTGTATATTGTGATGCTTTGCAATTGCTGTCTGACAATCAGAGAAAACTCTCAGCAACTCAGTTATGAGAACCGGCGATGATTGTTGATTCCCAGTCTCTTGAAGTAGTAATCAAAGCGCGCCTAGTCTTAACTCCCTACGTTGAAACAATACGCCACATGTCAACCTTGTTTTTCATCAACGTTCGTCAATTCGTAATAATAACTGGTTGCAAGCGAAGATGAAGAAATTTGAGTGAAATAAAATGCGGCGACAAAATTAAACATCATCCTTGCTTAGCTTAGCTTGGAGTGAAACTATTCAGTTACGGAGAATGGAACAGACCAGTAAAAGATCAAATAAACATTCGAAAAGAAATAAACGAAAAAAGTGGCTGAACCTAGGTCCGTGGAAGCGCTCGAAGGTGACTCGATTGATTTATCTTCTACATATAGTCCTTGTTATTTTCATCTCAATGATCATTTTAACGCCACAAATTATTGGATTTTTACAAAGGATATTTTGCCACGGATTTGATCACCGTTTTTGCGATGTATTTGTCGGATATGACGCCGTTTATAGACTAGGTTTTGCCTTAGCGATATGGTTTATCATTCTAGCGTTTGCTACGCTCGGCATTACATCAAGTACTGAGGGGAGAGCGAGGGTTCAAAATCGCTGTTGGTCTCTCAAGACGGTCACGTTAATTTGTCTGACGCTCTTATTTGTGCTTATACCGCATACCGAGTACAACGGCGAGATTTGGCTATTCTTTGGACTTAACGCCGCGTTTTGCTTCATAATACTTCAATATGCCTTCATATTAGATGCGGCAAATTCATTTTGCATACTTTTTGACGTCATCGTCCAAAATAGACAAGGTTATTTTTCTTATCTGGCCATCACGATGTTTCGTATCGCTAAGGGTTTTACTACGGTGTTTCTATACAGCGTATCGTTGATATCCTCAGCAGGATTTTACTTCATGTATGCCTCGTATTACGAATGCGTGGATAACTTCGTCTTTCTGACATTTCATTTGCTAATGTGTCTAGCATCGTCTGTAATATCTCTGCTTCCCATAGTTCGTGAGGCGAGTCCTCAGATAGGATTGTTTCAATGTGCCGTGACATCGCTATATTGTACGTACATCGTCTGGCTGTCATTCTCAAGCGAGCCTCAGCATAAATGCAACCCATCAAATTTGTATAATTTCCCTGGCTCTCCCATGTCCAACACTCAAGTCTGGTCAACACTCTTCATAACATTTAGCACACTCTTTTATATCAGTGTCCGAGACCTGGTTACGCCACAGTTTGGTAAAGTTGAGAAGTCGGATAGTTCGTTAAACCGTTCTGAAAACACAGTGAACATTGAAGAGGTTTGCAATCTTAACGAAGATGTTGGCAACAAAGGTTCGTCTCGACCAGAAAAATGTCATTCAGACAATTGCGATGCCTTGAAGAAGAGGTATGATCTTGAAGGAGATGAAACTAGTTTCACAACGGGAATAAACGATTCACTTTCCCCAGTTAATGATCCTGTGCCGGGAGACGCCGTTTCCTTAAGACCGTCTTCTTTGGACAGATCGTCTGACTCGGTTGAATCAGAAAATAATTCTCTTGCTTGGGATAACACGCTTTTTCTACCTTTTTCAACAAACCAGACTTCTGCCGCTTCAAATACTCTAACAAACCATTCCAAAGTGTCTTCTATGAAGATGAAAGGTAAGAGTACCGTGACAGAAACGAAGGAATCATTAGCACCCACTACATCGAAAAACGAAGCCTCTTCCAGTACTGCTGAACAGACTAGGGGTAATATCACAGATGCTACATCAAGAACTAAAGCAAATTCCCCAGGATCAGTGGAACACGAGGGTGATGAAATGCCAACAAAAGTTGATTCATTGACCTGGGATGATGAAATTGATGGGATTGAATATAGTTATCCATTTTTTCACCTGACATTTTCCCTGGCAACACTTTATCTTATTATGTCAGTCACAAACTGGTACAGACTGGATGAAGGAGAGCATTTTACTGTGAGACTTGTGCAAAGTTGGAGCACGGTATGGCTGAGGATATCTGCGAGTATATTTTGCTCTTTTATTTTAATCTGGTCAATGGTTATACCGCTAGTGTTTCCAGACTCTTACAAAGACTTGCTGTTCTTCCAGTACTTGACAAGTCTACCGAGATGATAGACGTATTAAGCTTCTGGTTGTTTATACTATCAACAACTTGATGTTCAATAAATATATTATGTACCTGGCGATCGGAAATGGGGAAATGACCGTTACTAGTTGTCAAATCCATTTCTTGGTTATCACGAAACATTCACTAATTCCAATAAGAATAGCGAAAGTCAAAAGATTTAATCAAATTTGAGATGTTTGTAATTAATTGCGTTTTTCTTACAAAAATGACAATCGACCTCTGTGGCTGCTTCTATTGCAACTATAATTAAAATACGACTCACAATCAACAGTGATATTACATTTAAGCCTGGTTTACGCTTGTCCTAAGAATTAGGAGTTCATTTGCCCTCACTTCTGGTGTCAGCAAAATCCTTTGTCTATCGGGAAATAATACAATAGATCTCTTAAGAGCTAGCATAAACCAGGCCTAAATTTCACGGTGAAATTAGCTTACTACATTATTACGATCACTGCACTAATAACATCAATATGAAAATTGAGTTTTTTCTGTAATTTTTATTACATATATTTAACAAGCTGATATAAAGTCAGTATCTCATATACAGTGATATATATATAGCACATATACTATATCATAAAAATTGTATATTTTTGAAAAAGGAATCAATTACTCTTATACGTGTTTTTTTTTAAGTGTGCAGGCGTGCTTTTTATATATAGGCTATATAATGCATGACAATGGTTATATATTTTTAACTAAAGTTTTTTAGTTCATTTCAGTTGAATTGAACTATTGGTAATATTTCTTTGTGTTATGTTTTCGATCGCTTCAATGGACAATCAAAGCATCGCAGCCTAAAAATGAAAAAAAAGGTCAATTTCAAAAGCATAATTATAAAAGTCAGTATGTAAAAACCTACATTGGTATAGCTATTTTAAAAGTGAAATCATGTCTGAATGAAACAGGGGATATTTTTCACGTAATATGTACTCATAAAGCTATTGTCAGATTACTGCTGTTCTTGCAACTATAAACTTGACCGTTGATCCGGCATAGAAATAACCAGATATCGCCAGGTTGAAGCAAATGCTTTTCCATGTTGAACCAGTTGAACAAGGAACAAGTTTTGATATTATGTTTTCAATTGCTTCGAAATAATCGAAGCAATCGAAAACATAATTCAAACACTGCCCCAAGAAATCCGTTGATATACCGAGCCATGCTGGTCGTGCATCGGCATGGTCGACTGCATTTCCTTATGAATGTTGGATCAAGATACATATTTCACCTGCTTCCGAAACGTATAAGATATATAAACTATGTATTTTAATAGTGTATAATAAATATACCTTAAATTTTGCAAAGAATATCTGAAATCCTCAAAGCTTTTTCTCAGTTTCTATACATGCAAGCAATTACATAGAACCTTGAAGCTATATATATGCATGAAGCGCTAAGTCAAATTAATTGAGTCAGCAGAGGTACATAGCTGTATAATAATTAAAATAGGATTACCTGCAAGTTCTGTTGATCTTGGTATGGCTGCATAATTGGATAACCATTAGTGCTTGTTGCTATAAGTTTTCAAACGAGAAAAGAACATGTTACCCAAGGATAATAGCGCGCGTGATTCAAATAATGAACTCTTTTTAGCAAAGCCTAATGGTATAAATGCATAACATGAAGAAGGAAACTATTTGCATTAACCAAAGTGGATAAACAATAAACTGAGTTAAGGGTTTTAGCATACAGGCCCTAGCACTTCTGTTCGCTATAAATCTCAAATACTTCTCTTATACCAGTTTCGCGAGCTCGAGCTCGTCTGCGTCTTCTGTCTAATTCCATGATAAGCTGTTCGTCAGTACAATTTCCAAGATTTGTTGGAGTAGATCCGTTTTCTTGAGGAGCTCTAGTGTACTGAGCCCTGTTCTCTCTTGGCCTCCAAACTCTATTTGTATTCATTTCTAAAGATAAAATATAAACGCGGGCGGCAGTGTTTTGTTTACTGCTTAAAACCGGCGCTAACAGCCGATTTTGTCAATGATTTTTTCTTTCTACCGTATGTCATTGAGTGAATTATGTACACAGTTGTAAAAGCTTGGCTTGAGGAGAAAATCGCCGTTAAAAATCGCGCGAGTATAGCTGGAACTTTTAAAATAGCTTCAAAACCGTGATATTTGATTATTTGTTAAGTCAGCATTTTATTCCGACACAGAGGACTTCATTTGATTTTCAACGTGTAGTGGCAACTCCGAACTCGGCCAGATTGCCTGATGTTCGCCCGTATTAAAATGATAAATTGAATTATGCAGTTAAATATACTATATTATAATTTAAACATGATATGGCGCATTTTGTCACTTACTTTTTATGACCGTGATGATATGACAATTTCGTCCTACAAGCAAAGAAACGAACAGAAATATATTGGAATTTCTCCATCATAGGCAGAAATAATTGAAACGACGATATTCTCTCACCTAGTTTCTAGAAAAAAAAACGTATGAAACATTTTGCTTTAGTCCCCCTTTCCCGTTTTAAATGCAATAAAAATTTCAGCTTAACAAGAAAACTCTGGCAGCGGGTAAAATCTTGACGGGAATTTCCCTCTGGTTCTGAATACCACAATTTAGGATGGGAATTTCCCTTTAAAGAAACCTAATTATCTTCCTATATATTTTAAAGGCGTTTCAAAAGCATTCACAAGTAAAACACCTAAAATATAGTCCCCAATCGTACAAAAATCAACTAACGCTTCACGATCATAGACGCTATTTTTTAGAAGGTATAACTTCAAATAACACAACGCAGCATATTTTGCACGTACCGGCATGACGGTGCAAGAAAACTCAATAGGTGGCACAAAAAGAATATCAGATGTGATGTACAAAATGACTAAAATGCACCAAGAAACGTTTCGACGTTCGTCATGAGAAATTGCATAATTGTTGATTGTCTATGATTACCTTTATAGCTATCTCGTGGAACGTACTTTTGATACTTTAAGAATTAAGAAACGAAAATATTTAATTTAGGTGACCAATTAATAATAGTTTATAAATCTATCGCTAAATTAATTCATGAAGAGATACGTTTTTCTTTACAATTTTGAATGAAAGAACAGACTTTCTACCAGACTGCGTCATACTTTATTTCTGAATGTTAAGCATATAAAGAATAACCCTCGCTATAGCGTTCGGCTAATGGCGTCAATTCGTTTATATTTCGTTATTTGAAAGAATCTAGAAACGTACTTACCTGAATTAACTTGAAATAACTTTATTTCAAACCTGTGAAGTTCGTTAGAAGAAATTTAGCTTCAATATGCATCGACATGAAGGAGATTATTCATAATTTCCTCATGCACGGATACCTACCTAGCCTCCAAAGGACACAAGCCTTGAAGGAGTAGAGCTGCGCTTATATATACCACACGAGCTAGTTAATATTCATTATGAAATATAACGAATCACGACGCTCTATCACGATCACATGATTTCATCTTACAAACACCACATCCCAAATGACGAGGCAGAATGTCATCGTTTTGGCTTGGATGTTGCTGATGCAATAGTCATTTGTTCACGTGCCAAACAACTTGTTTGCTCATTGCGGTTGCATCACTGGAAAATAAACTTGCCTGGCTCAGCAAGAAGATCGTTGACCATTTATTATTGGTCACCTCTCATATGTACTGCTATTGCAGTTAATTGAATATTCGAGCATTAGGCAGTGATCGATCCAATCAACACGGAAAAACTTCGTTTGGCAAAAAAAATTCAATAACCTGTACCTACTAGCTAGCAACAGATGTTGGGAATTCCCTCTCCAGCTGGAATTTCCCTATAACTAAGTTTTAGCATTTTAACTAAGTAAAACACGAAATTTTTTTGTCTTTAGTTACATAAAATTACAAACACTTTAATTTCGTATTGAAAAGTATTGCAAACGCAGCTCAACCCATATAGAGATTCAACATATTTACGTATAATAATTAACATGCATAACTCTCAACCCACAATTGGCCTGAATGTTAAACAATGTTGCATTCAACACCTGTGTCGCAGGTTATTTCTGAATCTTAATGCGTGCTACAACGTGATACCACTGATCTGACAATGAACTGGATAATCCAACTTACAATTGCCAGACAATAAGAATCCGCATTCCCCTATCACTCAGGAGAAATAAAACGTGAGAAGTTTTTCCCAGCCTCTTGTTTGAAAACTTGACAGAATTTACCACAAAATCCACCTCGTCTCAGTATTGCGCGACCCAAAATCATACTGTCAATAACATATTTGAAACATGCCCCAGATCAACCAATAAGGAACGTAGTTCATCATTCCGTGTTTATACTTGCAAATTATCTCTCAAGGTGTCACAGTACATATATAACAGAGAGATGTGAGATTTAATTGACATCTGAATTTCATTTGTCGGAACTTCCTCGTTGTACAATATGAAGAATACTAGTCTAACTCTTCTCCTGGTCTTAATTTCAATATTTTGGGTGTTTGGTACTAATCCTGGGATTGAGATAAGAGTTACTAACCAGGGTCTGGCGTATGGTGAGTAGACTGACTTATATTATTGCGTATATCATATAATTCACGTCACTAGATTGGGTCTAGCTCGCATATAACCTTGTTGTGAAACTTTTGAACAAAGTCCCTGTATTTTTCCTTGTCGCTCAATTGATCTTCTTTATTTTTTAAAAATGGTTGTAGAGTGTCGTTCACTTCAGTTTTAAACTGCTTCTAAAGGTCTGATGTATTGAGAATAAATCTTCTAGAAATCGGTCAAGCCTTAAATCGACTTCCTTAGTGATATCCTTAGATACTTAGTTCATAGCATTCTGCAGTGAGATAATAATCAGAATGATATAAATTTAAATAAAACAACAGACTGCTGCGATGTATACATATTGCTCAATCTAACTTTGATGTTTGTCAATTGCTTTGGATATTATCGATGCAATGTGATATTTCTAATACGGTAACATCTTGAACTTCATGCCCATTTGCTAAAGAAAGTTCCCAAGATTAACGATAGTTTATAAATCTATCGCTGAAGTAGTTCAAAGTGAAAGAGATACGGTTTTTTTACAAAAGTGACACATGCAAATCCTGACGGGCCAAATTTCGTGCTAAGAAATGCTTCCCAGCTGTGAGATACAAAATCAAATACAAGACGGTTTTGTTTCGTGAGTTGTGACGGAACTGTAAGAACAAACCGTAATTTATTAGATCAGTGCAGAAGAAACTAAATTTCTTACTTGATATTAACTGATTTCACACAGAAAACGGAAGCTTATCGTTAATAATATTGGTTTACATAAGTGTTTGTTCTTCCTATCAAGAAAAATAAGGAAACTTGATGACTCATGCAACAGCCGGATGAAACCATAAGGAACCACACGACACTGCATTTTCATTTCAGCAATTCAACTTCCGTTGTTCCGCTAGCAACTTTCAGATTTCAAACCACAATTTCGTTGTAATCGTACAATTAATTTCTGCACCACACTTGTAATGACTTCCTAAGCTAGTTCAGACACAAACCACGAGAGCTTATTGTAGAATACTACCTACACTGGACCACCACGTTTGAGATATCTTTCTTAGCTAGTTCAGACACAAACCACGAGAGCTTATTGTAGAATACTACCTACACTGGATCACCACGTTTGAGATATCTTTCTCAGGTAGTTCAGACACAAACCACGAAAGCTTATTATAGAATACTACCTACACTAGACCACAACGTTTGAGATATCATTTCATCAGACCCAAACCAAGATAGATCATTGTTTAATCGACTCCTCAGTTTATACGTATAACCACTTCCTGTAAGATATCTAGTTCAGAGCTCAGACGCAAACTTCAACTTCTCTTACCTAATATATACTTGACCTCTTCCTTTGAGATATGTTTTTAAGTAATTAGACATTCACAATAATAATGTCTTACTCATTCTCTAGCGGATAATATTGCAATTCAAGTCTTGATTGAAAAGTTGAAAACGACGAAGATTAATGATCTTTCAGGAAGAGCGGATACACCTTTGGGGGACATTGATTACGAATTAACAAAGTAAGACACGTTCCTAAGTCGCTTCTTCAACACGAAGCAATGATTTGTCTTGTACACATATTTCTTTATCCAGTAACCCGCTCTGGGCAAACCATCTATCAGGTCCTATCTTCACCTTATCTTTGAAATCCTTGATTATACTCAAATATCAATTTCTATATCTCGTTAGCCTCCACAATACTGGGGCTTCAATCGCTACATCCTCTTTCAAGACAGTCCCTGGAGTTGGACTCGATCTCTCAGCTTCAGGAGTCTATGTCGCTTTCACGGGAGACTGGCATTATAGAAAAGTCCATTGGTGAGTCAGTGATCAACACAGTATCTCAGTTATGTCGAGATTTCAACTCGGTATAAACGAGTAAGATATGAACACGCATGGGCACAAGAAACATTTCCTCCCGTGCAGGACACATTTCTGTTCATCATCTTCTAACTCTGTCTCTGAAAGCCAAGGGCCAGTTGTTCTTTTTGTACATCGGTGGAAATGACTTGTGTTGATAATTTTGTAGGCCTCATGTTAGTGACAGTGGATCATTCGACATATCAGCAAGCGGCGTGTCTTTCAGTTTGACGGCAAAGATTGGTACGTGATCGTGACAGAATTTGTCCCATTTCAAACCTGGATTTAATTTTGCATTCTTGCGTTTTATACTTAAGGTGCTGACAAGGGCAGACCGTCCATTTCTACAGCATCATGTACAGATAATGTCGGTGATGTGAACGTGAAGTTTCATGGAGGGGCAAGGTAAAGCAGAAGTAAAGCAGAAATATTCTCATCTCCTAGTAGGAATAAGGTCAAAATATTACAACTATCTTTTCCCGGCCAAACACGAGAATATGCAATGATTTTGCTGTTTTCTTGACGACTATTCAAATTGCTAGCTTTGAGTAATGAGTGCAGAATTGCTAAGAACCATCTCTATTTTTCTACTGATCTTATCAGTTGGCTGTACAACTTGTTCAAAGGAAAGATTGCCGACTCCATAAAGTCTCAACTCAACAGTCTTGTAAGTTTAATAACTTCATCATGTTTCCTATCATTGCCCTATCTAAACAATTCACCATGAAATCTAATAATTTAGATTTGTGAAGAAGCGACGAAGGCGATCAATGAGGATGCTGAAAAGGAATTAGCAACATTTCCTGGTACTGATCTTGCGCACAACCTTTGAAGTTCATTCATGTAAACATCATAACTCATTTTTTCTAAACAATTGTTTTTCCAGTCCGAAAACAACTTGATAAATTCTCTCTCATTGATTACTCGCTTATTGAGCCTCCAGTCTTTGAAGAGGACTACATGGGCGTTGATCTAAAGGTTGGTATGGATACGTATGAACGAACTTAATTCGTTGTTCTGAATTAATGTGAAAATTTACTTTCAAAGCAATTGAAAATTTATAATTTCTTTTTCTCTTTCAGGGGGAGTTGATGTCAGCGACTCATCCGACGGAATCAACTCTAATACCTCCAGTGATCCCAGCCAATCAAACATGTACAAAAATGATTTGTTTTTATGTGACTGATTATGTTTTGAATACTGCTGGCCAAGTGTATTATAAAGGAAATTTCTTTAACACAACGGTCAGTTCTACACAGGTATGGAGTATGGACATTCATTCGAGATATTCTTGAGAAACGTCAGCATATCCTGGTTCTACATGTTTAAAATTATATTTCAAATTTTTATAACGTTCCACTCAATGTATTTCATATAGGTACCACCATCGTTTAAATATCAGCTTAATACGAATTTACTGAAAATACTTGGGTTGTCGAAGGTAAGTAAAACATTAAATTTTGAAGGTATATAATCCCATAATCAGATAGTCTATAATCCATAATTAATTTGTATATAATCATGCCTATCGACTAGCGATACATTCAGATAGCATTTTATCCTGTCTGGTTGAATTTTTAACAGGTTGGGTTATGAAAACTTGACAACGTTATTTTAGATTTGCGTTAAGCGAAGTTAAATTTAACAGCCACAAAAGAAACAAGCTCCTCCTGCCAGTTATTGAGGAAGCAAGCAAATAATCTGATACAATCTTTAATTGTTGACTCCAGGTCTATGATATGTATCCAGATCGTCCTTTGTTCCTTCATCTTTTCTGTACGGAGCCCCCGAGTATGAAAACTCTGCCGACTGGTATCAACATCGCAATCACTGGCAATGTTGAGGTCTATGTTGTGACCAAAGAAGAGAAACATGTGTTTCTGTTCACCTTGACAGCGGTAAGCGATGCTACCGATATACTGTCTGTCAGGGAGTAGGGAAGATACGATTATATGCAAATAATCAGTCGAATAAAAAGGAATCTTTACTACAATTGGGCAAATTGGAACTATGGGGGGAGGGGAGTTTTCAGGTCAATGAATAATAATCAAGTATTTGTGTTTTTAGAACCTGACAGGGAGTGGTAGTGCACGTGTCAATGGTACGATCTTGCAAGGTTCTGTTTCAAAGTTTAGGTAAGCAAAGTGTTTTATTTTAGTAACATTTCATGAATTTCAACGGTTAAACTGATATCTGGTGATACATTAACCCAGTCCAAGTCAGTCATCCACATATGGTATACCAATTTACATAAGTTAACAACACAACAATGGAGTATGGAATGGAACTAATCCAGTCATCTCTCTTTACAGCGTTGATTTCGGTGTTTTCAAATCTGCTGTTGGTGATATCAAGGTAGGACGATTTTTACGCATGGGTAAAAACGATCTCAGTGGATGTTATTGTATACTTACATCGTCTTTATTGACGTCATATTTCAGCCTAATATTGGTGTGATGAATTTGCTGCTTCATCTCTTGGCTGAGAATACTATCATTAAAGAACTCAATGGTATGTTTTCGCCCCTGTAGTGAAGTCTCATGCCCTGCCACTGAACTATACTAATATTTCGAGATATAATATTCATTATAGGCGTGAGTGCTTCCGAGATCTCAGCAGTATTTATAGGTGCAATGATTTTGCATTTATTTTTCTCTGCAGAGAAAGGAGAGAAAGGCATTCCTCTCCCAGTCCTGGACAATGTCCAGTTGGAAGATTCGGCCATCAAGTTTGGAAAGGTAAGTTCGTGTACACAGGCAATGCTGTTGGTTTTTCATGCTTGTTCACAGCAGAAGTTGATTGAGCTCTGGACAGTAGAAGAATGGTTGTTCCTCTATAGATTGGTCAGAATCAGCCACATAAAAAGGCGTTTTGTAATAGGTTTGTTTTATTTAGAATTTCTTCTCATTTGATACTGATCTCAAGTACACCGGACCGCGGAAGATTCCTAAAAGGATTCTCATCCTCGCGTGATACGAATTACAGAAGTTGCAGGTTATTTCAGGTCAGGCAGTTATTTTTCTATGTGTGAACATATCGCTCGGGAAATGGCGAAGATCTACGTAATGCAACGACTAAACAGAACCATTCACAAAATGGAAACAAATAATTATAAACGGATATAATTTTTAGGGTTTGATAAACATTTGGGTACATAACATATCTTTCTCTTAACGAAAACCTTCAGGCATTGCACGAATAATACAGAAATTATGAATATATTTTTCTACATACACAACAAACGATTTGAATTCAAGCATTTTTTTAATTATGTACATAATTTGAAGTTGGGTTTTGTGAACCATGCAATTGAATTAGACTGACAATGGCAAAGCCGTCTGACTGATAATGTAGCACTAAAGTGCACCGCCTACCCACACGTTTCAAACTAAGCCATCTCCCCAACACAACACAAGAAAGACAGACAGTTTCATATTGACAAATGGTCACCGCGGACTGTTATTCAAATTCTAGATTATACCTCCATTTCAAATACCTTAGAAACGGAACCTGATAAATCTTTTACTTGATTTATTTCCTGTATTCTTTCGCTGGTATACTCCCCCACATCTGCCCCGGAGTGAACTAGGAGGGCCACCATCGTGAAGTTCATCAGACGAAAGGCCAGGGCAAGCGGGGAAACACCTTCACTGTCAATAGCGTTCACGTCAACGCCATTCCGAATGAGAGTTCTGGCGCACTGCAACTGATCGTTCAGGATCGTCTTGTGAAGATAATTATTCCCTGTAGTTTCGATGAGAGAGTTCAGATCAATATTGTTAGTTTTAATAACTTTTTCTACTTCATCGTAATCACCCTCCTGTAGGGCAGCGCACAGCAAGACGTGCTCAGGAAAATGCACTTGGTTTGATCTCTTTTTCTCATCTTTAACAGCCAGGATTTCGTCTGTTTGAATATCACTTTCTACCAACTCTTCACCTCTTTCCATAGAGCCATTATCAGAACAGCCATTACTATTTTCACCTCTTAACTTCGCGAGAATGTCAATGAATTTCTCTGGCCCTTCGATCCAATCCTTGACTTCATTGTTGTCTAAACACTTTCTCGATTTCCTGCGAGACTTGATTCGCAATTTCTGTAATTTATCCAAATCCTTTCCCAAGTTTATTGCTTTGTGCATTTCGCTGTCATCTTCAATGCCAGGTTCGTCGCAACAGACGTTCAGCTTCGCGTTAGAACTTCGCCAAATCCTCGCATAGCAAGCGTTTACGATCTCATTGGCCGTGTAGGGCACTTTACCATCAGATAAAGAACCATTATTTGCCACTTGTATATGGTATCGTTCGCAAAAATTACGCTTTTTCGCCTCCGAACCAGGTTGATCTCTGAATGCCGGGGAATCGTACGTAATCACCCTAAGCTTTCGTCGATGGGCGAAGGCTGAATCCGTCTTTGTTAGAACTTCCATTTCAACAAAACTGTCGCCTTGAAAAGCGGTTGATTAAGCAATGTCAGTTCTTTACTTTTGATGTTCCTCAATCCACAGGTATCCTATATTTCATCAAACGCTTTTTAATCTCCACAACAATTCAGTCTCCCGACCTGTTGACTCCAATGGCTTTTTTATAACACAACTCTTTTAATGGCTTTCTATAAAGAGAATATAAACAAGTATATAGTTCTATGCAAATCACGAGCAATTAGGTTCTTCCTAGCCGCTAGCAGTGTCTGGTTTCCCATGTAATTTCCTTCACTGGTCAATGATTCAGAAATTCCTTAGTTTTATTCGCGTTTTAGATCATCTTTTCAGTGGACAATATTTCAGTAAACTATTAATCAAAAGCTGATTACACAAATACTGAACAAATATAGTAATCCTACTCGCATTACGACAATATACAATTCTGTATTAAATGATCACATTTGTAAACCAATGACTCCGCAACTATTCACAAAATCTGACTACATTAGTTTACTGACCTTGCGATATTTTTCAATGTTTATCAATTCCTTGCTCCGTCAGACTTGAAACTTCCTAAACCCAAAAGTGTTATTTTTGTAAACTCAGTCCGATTTCTCAAATGATTTGAATGTGTCGAAGATACGCAGTTTAATTCCAAATCGCCTCTTCCAAGGTCTGAACTCTTCGAAGGTCGCATGAGCTTTGAAAAGCTAGTTTAAAGTGCGTGTGTTTTGAAGCTCTGCTAACGGTCAGCCACGTGCAGGAATGTATCAAACTCGGTGGGAAAACCATTATTTCTCAATTGCTACTCAGCATGGCTTCCGAGAGCTGTGGCATGGTGACTTGAAGGACAATACGAGTGTGGTTCAGTAATCATCGTGGTCACTCGTGCGTCCCTTATGAAAATAGCTGAACGTTTACAGCAAGAGAAAATAACAATCTTTTGCAACAATTTTACTGTTTGACTTTTAAATATATCCAAGTTTTGGAGCGACTTTCTTTGAACAGTGTTTCATAAAAACGCGTCCTAGATTGGTCCAGAAATAAACGCTATAATATTCTTAAGAACCAGGCTGTTTTAGTCTTAAGAAGTAGATCTATCTGGTCTAAATTGAGATGAAATTAAGATGATCTAATATTGATTCAGGAGGGAACCTAAAATACACTCGTACTGCCCTGTCATTTTAGTTGTCAGAAAGACGTCGGGATTTGTGTTTTATTAAATATTGACAATAAAATAACATGTATTTTGTTTCCATGGTAATCACGCCATTAGAATGCGATAAAATTTATTTGAAAACTACCGAAATTTTTCACTCAAAGATCCCTTTTTCCATCAGCATACCTCCCAACTCCTCATAAGAGGACTGAAATTAAATTAATAGATAATCCTCTTTGACACTGAGCAGCCTATAATCTGTAAAACGAACAGTTGGGCCATTTTGAAGTGTTCCAGAGTGGACTAGGTTCTATTATCTTTCATTTTACTTTGCATAATTCAAAATTCGTTTCACATGGATAATTTAAGCCACGTGCTGAAAAGTTAATCAATGTTTTTAATGTTTTGATTTTGTTATTGTCCAGCGAATGTGATTGGTTCTTTAAACAACTTTATTTTTTTTGAAATAAGATTAAACACTTGATAACAATAGGTCAGACTTGTATATTGTAGCAGGATTGTATGAAATTTGCACGAATATTGTCTCAATACTTTTTGTGTTCACAATGCCTTGTTGACTTGCTATATCATTCGCTCAAAATATTTGTCACAAGTTGTTTCAAACTTGCAATCATTTGCAATCGTCCTGCAACTCAGTCAGAGGGAACTTCATAAAAACCATAAAATTGTAACAATTGTTTGAGAAGTTTGCTTTAAGTATATCAAGAGTAGATCGTGTTGTCGCCAGTTCTACACTCGTGTGTATGACAAAGACCGCAATAATCTCACACATTTTCTATCACTACGCTTTTTATTGTTCACAAATTGTCTCAAAACAATAATCTACAGTAATTTTGAGCTGTAGTTTTCTGCTTGTAAAAACTTGATCATAACGTCTTCATATTGGCTGCAGCATCGTGCAACGTCTTCACAAAGTCTGGAACAGCTGCAAATAAAATAATATTTCAGTAAACGGGTTTTAAATGTTTTTGTGAAACTTCATCGTAACAATGCAGCCAGGTTAGTGCTATTCTATTAACAGTTTTAGAGGAATAGGGAATTCTAGTCTGGTAACTCAATCTTACCTGATCCAGTAATCATATTGACACAGAACTTTGGAACATTCACCCGAGAGTCATCGTGATAAATGAGAACGTAATCAAATCCAGGCTGAAATAAATGAAAGCGGTTGTAAAACAAACTCTGAACTTTCTCTGAAAGTTTGTTAAACAAACTTTGAACTATCTCTGGAAGCGTTAGCGTAACTTGAATGAAATCCTCACCTGGTGAAAAGCTCCGTGAGGTCTGACCACCATTTGCGAAGCGTAATCTTTAACGCGAATATATTCTTCACTTTCAGGGCATTCTTCGTGGCTCGAAGCTCTGGAAACAACACAAAAATATCTGGTAAACACCGACCGAATATCGTTCGAGAAAACGAGTTAATAACTTGGCTAATTAAATAGGGCAATACACACCTGGAAACAAGAACCATCGTGTTCGATAAATCGTCAATCTGGTGAAGAAAGAAACGTTTTAATATTGCAGAAAATGCAATTCTTTTTTGCAGATATTTTTCATGTGAAATGCTGCAGCCACAAACCTGAGCTCTTCGAACGAAAACGTAATCTCGACTTTTCAAAGGATACTACAGAATTTTTGAAAAGATTCATGTTTTAAAAGGGTTCAGAAATGGAGTACTTGAATTGGGTTGGTTAATCTAATCTGATGGAGTGATGGTATGCACTGCAAAAAGAAACTAAAACGGGTAAAAATGAACTTGTAATTTGTAAACTTTGATGTTTATTTTTTCATCTAGATAAAACATCCTGAATTACACAATCAGGGAAAGTTTGCAATATTTCAATCAGAGGCAGATTGCACACTGTATTTTTCATGAAGGAATCTTCTTTAGATAGACCCAGATCACTTACTGGAAATTTTGTGACCCAGTGAACGACTTCGCTGCCACATTCTGACGACTTGTCAATGATATCCAGAGAGATTGCATATTTATCCCAGGACTTCCTGTACTGAAGGTCAATCTGAAATTGTATCAAGTGAATGAGGTTGGTCTATCTTTGGCAGTACAGGAGGAAATGATCATCTATTGATTATCTGATGATTATTTGATATATTTTTTGATTATCTAATGATTATCTGGTATAATTATCTGTTAACCTACTTGAGACTTGAAGAATGCCTCAGATGAAATATCAAAAAATGTGCCAAAAACTATAAAATTGAAGGAAACAGTTTTTGAATTCATTCAGAAGTCATAATTAGAAGTGAATAGTTGACACTGGTATCGATAATAAATTGTTCTACCTTTGTACTGATATAAACCATCTTTATTCAAAGGTCTTCTCCAAACCAACAAATCTTTCTGTTGTAGAAACTTCACCCAACCTTCCTCTGTTTTGTGTTCGTTTTGTTCCAGCAACCATCGATTCGTTTTCATATTCTTAATTTCCTTTGCACAGCTGCAACATAAATCAAGCCAATATCATCTTGTTCCATGCACCTCTTAACCATTAGCTTGCAATGCACCCAGATGTGATCTACTTTAGTATTTTACTCTGTCTAATACCAGATAATTTTACTCATCAGTGGAAGAGTAATATCAGTTAATAAGTTAGCAAAACTACCTGTCAGTGTCTCTTGTTAACCCATTAGCTTGCAATGCACCCAGATGTGACCTACTTTAGTATTTTACTGTGTCTCGGAGATCAACATATAAAGTAATTAGAACCGGTTTGAAGACAAATTATTCATGATCGTGACTTAACATATTTCAGTATTGGCACCTGTCAAACACCAGCCACTGCAAAGCAAGAATTTCAGGACATAATCACTGATCTAACCCCAACTTCTCACACTAATCTTAACTATGTTCTTCACATCTGTGACTACAAACGTCTACTCATTGCCCAAATCAAAACAGTTTTAAAACAGGTGCTGGTTTAGAGAGAAAACCAGTTTCACCAGTGTATTTGTTTTGGGGTAATAAATATTTTCAGCTTTCAACAACATGCTTTGGAAATTGAGTCTGATTGATGTTCCCCGAAGCAAAATTTTTTGTCTCGTTACAACAACAGACAACCAATAGTCAATTATATTTGGGGCTGCAATGCCTGCAAACATAACCTTTGAATAATAATATGCACCCAATATTTACAAACCTATGCAGTTCATCTTCTGAAATGCCGTATTGCGCAAAATATTTTTCCGTTTTCTCGCACAATATGTTCTTATTTTGCACGCTTAAGGAATCGTTGCAACCCGATGTGTCTTCGTTTAAAGAACCCTTTTCTTCAAAGTCAATATTATAATAAGTTTCGTGTACACTTCCTTCTGGAAACAAATCCAATAGTTTCTGCTCTTTGATCTGATGGCAAATATTGCTCGCGACGCCGCAGACATCCTTCAAAGACAACCTCGGCGGTCTAAAATATCCACTGCTTTCGATTTTCAATGTCTTTAGGTTCGTGCTAATTTTGGAAAGTTTTTGAACGATCATGTTCGATGTCAGCCCCTCTTTAAAGTGCTCATTTTGACTTGTAATTCGCGCTGCAGTCACGAGCTGCGAGGTCTTTGCAAGCATATACGGACACGTTGAAGACATCCTCAAACCATTGAGTACAAAAACGCGAACTTTAATCCTAGAAATTCATGGAAACGCGTAGAAAAAGAAGTAAATTTGTGGCCAAATGAAGTAAAAACACGATGGATCGACCAGAAAGAAAGACCCAGAAAAGACTGGGCACAAACAAGTGAAACAACATAATTAGCATAATTAGGTTATTGTTCGCAGGCTCAAGAATAGCTGCGCAAAGCCGCAAACACAGAACCATTTAAACCCTGAATGGTGCAGTATATCGGTTTTTCGGTACGTCCGATCGAGTCGAGCCCGTTGGAAAACGGCTTATTCTATTCGACCATGGTCGAGTCCGCCGGAAAACGGCTTATTCTATTCGACCATGGTCGAGTTCGCCGGAAAACGGCGTATTCGACCAAGGTCGAGTTCGCCGGAAAACGGCGTATTCGACCAAGGTCGAGTCCGCTGGAAAACGACTAACTCGACCATGGTCGAGTTCGGCGGAAAACGACTAACTCGACCATGGTCGAGTTCGCCGGAAAACGACTACCTCGACCATGGTCGAGTTCGCCGGAAAACGACTAACTCGACCATGGTCGAGTTCGCCCGAAAACGACTAACTCGACCATGGACGAGTTCGCCGGAAAACGACTAACTCGACCATGGTCGAGTTCGCCGGAAAACGGCTTATTCTATTCGACCATGGTCGAGTCCGCCGGAAAACGGCTTATTCTATTCGACCATGGTCGAGTTCGCCGGAAAACGGCTTATTCTATTCGACCATGGTCGAGTTCGCTGGAAAACGGCGTATAGGCACTAACGAGAAGGCAATAACGAGAATGCAGAGTTGACTGTCTGAATGTCTTTGTTGCCGTTTTACTGCTTCAAAGTTGATGAAAATGCTGATAATAAATGTTTGATGTTTATGAATGATCTCTGCTATTGTTTATTTCAGAGATTCAGCAATGCAGAGACTGGGGATAGTATTCAGGGTTAATTAAGGTGGTTTTTAGTCGATATAAATTTTTTTTCGAACCATATCCGGTCCATATATGTTTAATAGCAGTATTTTTTTGTATGTAAAAGAAAAATTTTGGAAGCACGGCAAAAAAGAAAATTTTGGAAAGAACGTAAAAACACCCAAAAGAGATCATCCAACTCTATGCCACAATCTAACCGGTGATATTACAACCAGCTGCGACATACCAGCATAGATTACAACTACGAAAGGTGCAAGGACAGTTGCTATAGGAAGAACTCCCCCCATAACTCACATCTTAACGGCCGCCTAAGGGGGAGATGCACTACGGCCCCCAGACCATAATGTATGTGCACCTAACCGTTACGTCTCAGTGAGAAACAGAGTGGGCTGTATGCCACACGCCTAGCGCGTCATAGACGAATCAGCTACAGTGGCAAGCCTTGAAAACGAAGATAAATTTAACGTATTTAAGCTTTTCTTGGTCTCGGGAGGCGGTCCCTGACAAGTACATGCAGAGAAAACGACAAATAATGCACACGCTTGGAAATGTGAAGATTTAAACGCCGAAACGTTTTTAAATGATTTTAGCGAGAATTTTAGTGTTTTGATATTCTTTTAATGTCAAAATAGTCATGATTCTAGTAAGGAAACTCACTATAAATACTGAACGATTTAGTTTACTAAAATCTTTTGTTAATTTCTCTTTAGTTATACGCCGACCATGGCCGAGTCCGCAGGAAAACAGCGTATTCGACCAAGGTCGAGTCCGCTGGAAAACGGCGTATTCGACCATGGTCGAGTTCGCTGGAAAACGGCGTATTCGACCAAGGTCGAGTCCGCTGGAAAACGGCGTATTCGACCATGGTCGAGTTCGACGGAAAATGACTAACTCGACCATGGTCTAGTTCGCCGGAAAACGACTAACTCGACCGTGGTCGAGTTCGCCGGAAAACGACTAACTCGACCATGGTCGAGTTCGCCGGAAAACGACTAACTCGACCATGGTCGAGTTCGCCGGAAAACGACTAACTCGACCATGGTCGAGTTCGCCGGAAAACGACTAACTCGACCATGGTCGAGTTCGCCGGAAAACGACTAACTCGACCATGGTCGAGTTCGCCGGAAAACGACTAACTCGACCATGGTCGAGTTCGCCGGAAAACGACTAACTCGACCATGGTCAAGTTCGCCGGAAAACGACTAATTCGACCATGGTCGAGTTCGCCGGAAAACGGCGTATAGGCACTAACGAGAAGGCACTAACGAGAATGCAGAGTTGACTGTCTGAATGTCTTTGTTGCCGTTTTACTGCTTCAAGGTTGATGAAAATGCTGATAATAAATGTTTGATGTTTATGAATGATCTCTGCTATTGTTTATTTCAGAGATTCAGCCATGCAGAGACTGGGGATAGTATTCAGGAATAATTAAGGTGGTTTTTAGTCGGTGGTTTTTAGTCGTTGAACCATATCCGGTCCATATATGTTTAATAGCAGTATTTTTTTTTATGTAAAAGAAAAATTTGGAAAGCACGACAAAAAAGAAAATTTTGGAAAGAACGTAAAAACACCCAAAAGAGATCATCCAACTCTATGCCACAATCTAACCGGTGATATTACAACCAGCTGCGACATACCAGCATAGATTACAACTACGAAAGGTGCAAGGACAGTTGCTATAGGAAGAACTCCCCCCCATAACTCACATCTTAACGGCCGCCTAAGGGGGAGATGCACTACGGCCCCCAGACCATGATGTATGTGCACCTAACCGTTACGTCTCAGTGAGAAACAGAGTGGGCTGTATGCCACACGCCTAGCGCGTCATAGACGAATCAGCTACAGTGGCAAGCCTTGAAAGCGAAGATAAATTTAACGTATTTAAGCTTTTCTTGGTCTCGGGAGGCGGTCCCTAACAAGTACATGCAGAGAAAACGACAAATAATGCACACGCTTGGAAATGTGAAGATTTAAACGCCTAAACGTTTTTAAATGATTTTAGCGAGAATTTTAGTGTTTTGATATTCTTTTAATGTCAAAATAGTCATGATTCTAGTAAGGAAACTCACTATAAATACTGAACGATTTAGTTTACTAAAATCTTTTGTTAATTTCTCTTTAGTTATACGCCGACCATGGCCAAGTCCGCAGGAAAACAGCGTATTCGACCAAGGTCGAGTCCGCTGGAAAACGGCGTATTCGACCATGGTCGAGTTCGCTGGAAAACGGCGTATTCGACCAAGGTCGAGTCCGCTGGAAAACGGCGTATTCGACCATGGTCGAGTTCGACGGAAAATGACTAACTCGACCATGGTCTAGTTCGCCGGAAAACGACTAACTCGACCGTGGTCGAGTTCGCCGGAAAACGACTAACTCGACCATGGTCGAGTTCGCCGGAAAACGACTAACTCGACCATGGTCGAGTTCGCCGGAAAACGACTAACTCGACCATGGTCGAGTTCGCCGGAAAACGACTAACTCGACCATGGTCGAGTTCGCCGGAAAACGACTAACTCGACCATGGTCGAGTTCGCCGGAAAACGACTAACTCGACCATGGTCGAGTTCGCCGGAAAACGACTAACTCGACCATGGTCAAGTTCGCCGGAAAACGACTAATTCGACCATGGTCGAGTTCGCCGGAAAACGACTAACTCGACCATGGTCGAGTTCGCCGGAAAACGACTAACTCGACCATGGTCGAGTTCGCCGGAAAACGACTAACTCGACCATGGTCGAGTTCGCCGGAAAACGACTAACTCGACTAACGACTAACTCGACCATGGTCGAGTTCGCCGGAGAACGACTAACTCGACCATGGTCGAGTCTGCTGGAAAACGGCGTATTCGACCATGGTCGAGTTCGCCGGAAAACGACTAACTCGACCATGGTCGAGTTCGCCGGAAAACGATTAACTCGACCATGGTCGAGTTCGGCGGAAAACGACGAACTCGACCATGGTCGAGTTCGCCGGAAAACAACTAACTCGACCATGGTCGAGTTCGCCGGAAAACGACTAATTCGACCATGGTCGAGTTCGCAGGAAAACGACTAATTCGACCATGGTCGAGTTCGCCGGAAAACGGCTAATTCGACCATGGTCGAGTTCGCCGGAAAACGACTAATTCGACCATGGTCGAGTTCGCCGGAAAACGACTAACTCGACCATGGTCGAGTTCGCCGGAAAACGACTAACTCGACCATGGTCGAGTTCGGCGCAAAACGACTAACTCGACCATGGTCGAGTTCGCCGGAAAACGACTAACTCGACCATGGTCGAGTTCGCCGGAAAACGACTAACTCGACCATGGTCAAGTTCGCCGGAAAACGACTAATTCGACCATGGTCGAGTTCGCCGGAAAACGACTAACTCGACCATGGTCGAGTTCGCCGGAAAACGACTAACTCGACCATGGTCGAGTTCGCCGGAAAACGACTAACTCGACCATGGTCGAGTTCGCCGGAAAACGACTAACTCGACTAACGACTAACTCGACCATGGTCGAGTTCGCCGGAGAACGACTAACTCGACCATGGTCGAGTCTGCTGGAAAACGGCGTATTCGACCATGGTCGAGTTCGCCGGAAAACGACTAACTCGACCATGGTCGAGTTCGCCGGAAAACGACTAACTCGACCATGGTCGAGTTCGCCGAAAAACGGCTTATTCTATTCGACCATGGTCGAGTCCGCCGGAAAACGGCTTATTCTATTCGACCATGGTCGAGTTCGCCAGAAAACGGCGTATAGGCACTAACGAGAAGGCACTAACGAGAATGCAGAGTTGACTGTCTGAATGTCTTTGTTGCCGTTTTACTGCTTCAAGGTTGATGAAAATGCTGATAATAAATGTTTGATGTTTATGAATGATCTCTGCTATTGTTTATTTCAGAGATTCAGCCATGCAGAGACTGGGGATAGTATTCAGGAATAATTAAGGTGGTTTTTAGTCGATATAAATTTTTTTTCGAACCATATCCGGTCCATATATGTTTAATAGCAGTATTTTTTTTTATGTAAAAGAAAAATTTGGAAAGCACGACAAAAAAGAAAATTTTGGAAAGAACGTAAAAACACCCAAAAGAGATCATCCAACTCTATGCCACAATCTAACCGGTGATATTACAACCAGCTGCGACATACCAGCATAGATTACAACTACGAAAGGTGCAAGGACAGTTGCTATAGGAAGAACTCCCCCCCATAACTCACATCTTAACGGCCGCCTAAGGGGGAGATGCACTACGGCCCCCAGACCATGATGTATGTGCACCTAACCGTTACGTCTCAGTGAGAAACAGAGTGGGCTGTATGCCACACGCCTAGCGCGTCATAGACGAATCAGCTACAGTGGCAAGCCTTGAAAGCGAAGATAAATTTAACGTATTTAAGCTTTTCTTGGTCTCGGGAGGCGGTCCCTAACAAGTACATGCAGAGAAAACGACAAATAATGCACACGCTTGGAAATGTGAAGATTTAAACGCCTAAACGTTTTTAAATGATTTTAGCGAGAATTTTAGTGTTTTGATATTCTTTTAAGGTCAAAATAGTCATGATTCTAGTAAGGAAACTCACTATAAATGACTGAACGATTTAGTTTACTAAAATCTTTTGTTAATTTCTCTTTAGTTATACGCCGACCATGGCTGAGTCCGCAGGAAAACGGCGTATTCGACCAAGGTCGAGTTCGCTGGAAAACGGCGTATTCGACCATGGTCGAGTTCGCCGGAAAACGACTAACTCGACCATGGTCGAGTTCGCCGGAAAACGACTAACTCGACCAAGGTCGATTTCGCCGGAAAACGACTAACTCGACCATGGTCGAGTTCGCCGGAAAACGACTAACTCGACCATGGTCGAGTTCGCCCGAAAACGACTAACTCGACCATGGTCGAGTTCGCCGGAAAACGACTAACTGGACCATGGTCGAGTTCGCCGGAAAACGACTAACTCGACCATGGTTGAGTTCGCCAGAAAACGACTAACTCGACCATGGTCGAGTTCAACGGAAAACGACTAACTCGACCATGGTCGAGTTCGCCGGAAAACGACTAACTCGACCATGGTCGAGTTCGCCGGAAAACGACTAACTCGACCATGGTCGAGTTCGCCGGAAAACGACTAATTCGACCATGGTCGAGTTCGCCTGAAAACGACTAACTCGACCATGGTCGAGTTTGCCGGAAAACGACTAACTCGACCATGGTCGAGTTCGCCGGCCGGAAATCGGCTTATTCTATTCGACCATGGTCGAGTCCGCCGTAAAACGGCTTATTCTATTCGACCATAGTCGAGTCCGCCGGAAAACGGCGTATAGGCACTAACGAGAAGGCACTAACGAGAATGCAGAGTTGACTGTCTGAATGTCTTTTTTGCCGTTTTACTGCTTCAAGGTTGATGAAAATGCTGATAATAAATGTTTGATGTTTATGAATGATCTCTGCTATTGTTTCTTTCAGAGATTCAGCGATGCAGAGACTGGGGAGAGTATTCAGGATTAATTAAGGTGGTTTTTAGTCGATATAAATTTTTTTTCGAACCATATCCGGTCCATATATGTTTAATAGCAGTATTTTTTTGTATGTAAAAGAAAAATTTGGAAAGCACGGCAAAAAAGAAAATTTTGGAAAGAACGTAAAAACACCCAAAAGAGATCATCCAACTCTATGCCACAATCTAACCGGTGATATTACAACCAGCTGCGACATACCAGCATAGATTACAACTACGAAAGGTGCAAGGACAGTTGCTATAGGAAGAACTCCCCCCCATAACTCACATCTTAACGGCCGTCTAAGGGGGAGATGCACTACGGCCCCAGACCATGATGTATGTGCACCTAACCGTTACGTCTCAGTGAGAAACAGAGTGGGCTGTATGCCACAAGCCTAGCGCGTCATAGACGAATCAGCTACAGTGGCAAGCCTTGAAAGCGAAGATAAATTTAACGTATTTAAGCTTTTCTTGGTCTCGGGAGGCGGTCCCTAACAAGTATATGCAGAGAAAACGACAAATAATGCACACGCTTGGAAATGTGAAGATTTAAACGCCTAAACGTTTTTAAATTATTTTCAGCGAGAATTTTAGTGTTTTGATATTCTTTTAAGGTCAAAATAGTCATGATTCTAGTAAGGAAACTCACTATAAATGACTGAACGATTTAGTTTACTAAAATCTTTTGTTAATTTCTCTTTAGTTATACGCCGACCATGGCCGAGTCCGCAGGAAAACGGCGTATTCGACCAAGGTCGAGTTCGCTGGAAAACGGCGTATTCGACCATGGTCGAGTTCGCCGGAAAACGACTAACTCGACCATGGTCGAGTTCGCCGGAAAACGACTAACTCGACCATGGTCGAGTTCGCCGGAAAACGACTAACTCGACCATGGTCGAGTTCGCCGGAAAACGACTTATTCGACCATGGTCGAGTTCGCCTGAAAACGACTAACTCGACCATGGTAGAGTTTGCCGGAAAACGACTAACTCGACCATGGTCGAGTTCGCCGGCCGGAAAACGGCTTATTCTATTCGACCATGGTCTAGTCCGCCGGAAAACGGCTTATTCTATTCGACCATGGTCGAGTCCGCCGGAAAAGGGTTTATTCTATTCGACTATGGTCGAGTCTGCCGGAAAACGGCTTATTCTATTCGACCATGGTCGAGTCTGCCGGAAAACGGCTTATTCTATTCGACCATGGTCGAGTCCGCCGTAAAACGGCTTATTCTATTCGACCATAGTCGAGTCCGCCGGAAAACGGCGTATAGGCACTAACGAGAAGGCACTAACGAGAATGCAGAGTTGACTGTCTGAATGTCTTTTTTGCCGTTTTACTGCTTCAAGGTTGATGAAAATGCTGATAATAAATGTTTGATGTTTATGAATGATCTCTGCTATTGTTTCTTTCAGAGATTCAGCGATGCAGAGACTGGGGAGAGTATTCAGGATTAATTAAGGTGGTTTTTAGTCGATATAAATTTTTTTTCGAACCATATCCGGTCCATATATGTTTAATAGCAGTATTTTTTTGAATGTAAAAGAAAAATTTGGAAAGCACGGCAAAAAAGAAAATTTTGGAAAGAACGTAAAAACACCCAGAAGAGATCATCCAACTCTATGCCACAATCTAACCGGTGATATTACAACCAGCTGCGACATACCAGCATAGATTACAACTACGAAAGGTGCAAGGACAGTTGCTATAGGAAGAACTCCCCCCCATAACTCACATCTTAACGGCCGTCTAAGGGGGAGATGCACTACGGCCCCCAGACCATGATGTATGTGCACCTAACCGTTACGTCTCAGTGAGAAACAGAGTGGGCTGTATGCCACAAGCCTAGCGCGTCATAGACGAATCAGCTACAGTGGCAAGCCTTGAAAGCGAAGATAAATTTAACGTATTTAAGCTTTTCTTGGTCTCGGGAGGCGGTCCCTAACAAGTACATGCAGAGAAAACGACAAATAATGCACACGCTTGGAAATGTGAAGATTTAAACGCCTAAACGTTTTTAAATGATTTTAGCGAGAATTTTAGTGTTTTGATATTCTTTTAAGGTCAAAATAGTCATGATTCTAGTAAGGAAACTCACTATAAATGACTGAACGATTTAGTTTACTAAAATCTTTTGTTAATTTCTCTTTAGTTATACGCCGACCATGGCCGAGTCCGCAGGAAAACGGCGTATTCGACAAAGGTCGAGTCCGCTGGAAAACGGCGTATTCGACCATGGTCGAGTTCGCCGGAAAACGACCAACTCGACCATGGTCGAGTTCGCCGGAAAACGACTAATTCGACCATGGTCGAGTTCGCCGAAAAACGACTAACTCGACCATGGTCGAGTTCGCCGGAAAACGACTAACTCGACCATGGTCGAGTTCGCCGGAAAACGACTAACTCGACCATGGTCGAGTTCGCCGGAAAACGACTAACTCGACCATGGTCGAGTTCGCCGGAAAACGACTAACTCGACCAAGGTTGAGTTCGCCGGAAAACGACTAACTCGACCATGGTCGAGTTCGCCGGAAAACGACTAACTCGACCATGGTCGAGTTCGCCGGAAAACGACTAACTCGACCATGGTCGAGTTCGCCGGAAAACGACTAATTCGACCATGGTCGAGTTCGCCGGATTCGTCATTTTTTCGACTAATTCGACCATGGTCATTTGCTAATTTTGTGTAGTATACGGCTATACGCGGACCATAGTCGAGTCCGGCGGAAAACGGCTTATTCCACCATGGTTGAGTCCGTTGGAAAACGACGTAATCGACCATGGTCGAGTAAGGCATTTTTTGGCACATTTGACCATGGTTGAATCTGCCATTTTCCGGCCCAGTCGACCATTTTCGTGTAGGCCATTTTTTGGCAAATTCGACCATTGTCGAATACGCCGTTTTCCGACCATGGTTGAGTCCGGCAGACTCGTCCAAGGGAAAAAAATATGGCAGTCCAGTTTTATTTGAGGTCAGTTTACCACGAAATTGTCACGTGAAAAGTGGTATTTGCATTCAAAACATTAAAGTTTGATGGTTTGATGGCCAAAACAAGTGCTTTATTGCGATTTTTTGAAAGATATTTTATAGTTTTTATTGTTTTTCTTATCTCTGGCATTCACTATGTAAATTGCTCACAAATCCGACCTCAATTAATCGCCGTTTATCCAAGTGAAACTGGAGTGGACACAAAGGTGTCCGGCGGTGTTGTTGAGGTAACGTCAGAGAAGACTACACGACTATTTTTTATTGGTTTAAATCTTTCTAAAAATACATCGATTGTTTTTACACCAACTGGAGCCGAACGGGGGCATTCTTGCGACTCATTTCACCGAAGTCGTGCCTACAGATTGTCCGAAGGTAGCTCTGGAATTTTTGAATCTGAGGTGACTTTCGGTGAGAAAGATAGTGGAAAGTTTTATACCTGCTTACTAGATGGTCAAGTGTCCAGTAAGTGGTACCATGCCGGTACTGATGATACAGTTACCATCAAGGTAACTGCCATCAAGACATCTCTGCCAATTTGGTTGCAGGTTTGTCTTTTGGTTTTATTATTGGCCTTGTCTGGATTATTTTCTGGTCTAAATCTCGGATTGATGGCATTGGATCCCACTGAGCTAAAAGTTGTAACAAACTGTGGTAGTCCGAAAGAACAAAAATATGCAAAGAAGATTCTACCAGTTCGTCAGCATGGTAATTATCTGTTGTGCACTTTGCTTCTGGGTAATGTTCTCGTTAATAGCTCGTTAACAATTCTGCTTGATGCATTGGCTGGTAGTGGGGTTATCGCTGTTGTAGCATCCACTGCTGGGATTGTCATTTTTGGTGAAATTGTACCACAAAGTATTTGCTCAAGACATGGGCTAGCAATTGGATCAAGGACGTTGTTTTTGACAAAATTTTTTATGTTGATCACATTTCCTGCCTCTTTTCCCATCAGCAAGCTTCTGGATTTTATATTAGGCGAAGAATTAGGGACAATATATAATAGAAAACAGTTGTTAGAAATGATTAAAGTCACAGCGGAACATAATGATCTTGCTGGAGACGAGATGAACATAATTTCTGGGGTATTAAACTATAAATCCAAGTGTGTTGAGGAAATAATGACGAAGATAGATTCTTGCTTCATGCTTGACGTGGAATGCCACTTGGATTTTGCTACAATTACAACGATAATGGAGTCTGGGCATAGTCGAATACCTGTATATCGTGGTGAAAGACATAATATTGTGGGTTTACTATTTGTCAAAGATCTTGCATTTGTTGACCCTGATGATTGCATACCACTCCAAACGGTGATCAAATTTTACAGTCGATCTGTGAATTTTGTTTGGAATGATATGAATTTGGGTGATCTCTTAGATACGTTTAAAGAAAAACATTCTCATATCGCAATTGTTCAGAAAGTGAATAACGAAGGACCTGGGGATCCGTTTTACCAGGCAATTGGTCTAGCAACTTTGGAAGACGTCATAGAAGAGATGATTCAGTCAGAGATTGTGGATGAAACAGATAAGTACAGTAAGTAGAGATATTCACATTTATTTCAATGTTTTTAAAATGTTTGATGATAACTCAATATTGAACTATGCTCAGAAAGAAGCCAATATTTCATATTCATGTCAGAGCTTGATCTAGCTATAAATTCCTGAATTTGAAATTGATTTTTATGGCCATATATAGTTCTATATAACATTGGTTAATATTGGACTTTGCATGTCTGCTTATGAATTGTGATTCACTAAAATAGGACAGTGCTTTGAATTGTAGCATTAAAATTTTGGGTTTTCTGATGCTTCTACCAGACACTATTGTACGAATGACATATTTATGTTGATTATTTATCCAGTCGACAACACCACATTCACAGCAAATCCTCAAAGAAGGTTGACAGCAAGCTTCAATATGTTTGTCACAGAGGAAAATGTGAAAATGGCACTTTCACCTCAGTTGCAACTGGCTTCTTTTCAATATTTATCAACAGGTAAAGTAATAAAGATTAAAATTAAGAAACATGGAATAATGTTACATTGTTTAAGCTGGTAGTTATTGTGTGATGAGATTACATGAAAAAAAATAGCTCAAGTCACTTTTTAGGTTACCATATGATAGGTTGATAAAATAAACCAAACCTTCTGTTCTAAGATATATGCAAAATAAGCATGTAATGTATTTCATAATCGTTTTCATATTTTAGTGGTAGATGCCTTCAGCGAAGACAAAATTACAGCAAATGTTTTGAAGCAAATGCTCAAGCGCAAAGATGTAGTCCTGGACATTAAAATCAAAGACGCTCCAAAAGAGTCATTGGTTTTGTATGAAAAAGGAAAAAGTGTTGACTACTTTATGATGATTGTACAAGGGCGTGTGGATGTCACTGTTGGAATGGAAGAATTCAGATTTCCTCAAGGTATAATAAATAACATAAACATCTCAGTGATCGTTGAACTGATAGAATTGATCTTTTATAAATTGGTCTGTTAAATTTCCCTTTTCATCACTATAGGGGCATTTTCATTTTTCTGCCAAGATGTGTTGCTTGCAAGGAATAATAGTGTGTATGTACCTGACTATACTGTTAGAGTTGTTGAAGATTGCCTGATTATAAAAGTCAGCAGTGCCATTTACAAGCAAGCTTTGATTTCAACTAAACTAAAGACATGGGAGAATGATGACGATGATGAAGAGTTTGATTTGCATGTGATCTATAATGACCATGTTGAGCATGATGTCAGTGGCTCAAATTCTACGGAACCGTATACAACTCCAGGGCCATCTCCAACAACACACAGGGCAAACAAGCTAAATGCTTTAATATAATGTTGACAACCATTGTAATGTTCTGGTTGGAGCTCATCCATGGTACTCAAGGATTCAATCAAGTGCTGCGTACCACAAGAAGAATATGAAAGAATGAATTAACAATATGATTGCAAATTTCAACGGATACATTGATATTCATTTGGCATTGAAATATGTTTGAAGGGTTGTTTTGTGTTTTGTTTTTTTTTGAAAGGGACATGAATGGAATACTATTCTTATTTTGGATCTTTTAAAGGTGTTTGGATTTGTCAAAGATATCCCACTAATAGAATTTTTTTTCAAATTAATGATGAATGAAAAAATGTACACAAATTCTCAATAACAAAACAATTTTGTCTTGGTTTTTTCAGAAATTTGATGCACGTTTTTTCCTTATTCACTAAATTAGGCATATATTGGAAATTTGAGATGAAAATATTGCACTTTCAGCACTGTTGATCACTGAAAAATTATTTGGAAATCAGAAATAAATCATACTCATAGTTCAATTAATACATTTTATTACATTACATTGTAAAATCTCAGTATTTAACTTTTACTAATAATCGATCAGATATAATAAATTTGTTTTTAAAAATTGGAGTAAATTTACTTGTCAATCTGTCTATCAATGTTAATTCTTTGTTTAATTTTAGGGAAAGATGTGTAAGAGCATATATATTTTTAAAATTAGTCCTGGCAATCTTTATTTCAAAGTTCAAACAGCGTGTGTTTCAGTAACTATCTTTTGGGTAAGAACTACTTTTAATATTAAGTACCCACGCTCAGATATTGGATAACAAAAATGTACTTTATATAATTAAACAACTAGATCTGCATTTGTCTAGACAATCCCGCCTGCATGCCGCAAAAAAGAGATTGATAATCCGTCACTTTATGAACGCAGGCAAAAAGACAGTCATATGCAACGTTTAGTTTCCACCAAGTTTGCTGCACTTCGTCTCCTGGGAAACTATCATATCTTCTCCTAGGTTAATCGAGACGGATGATTTTCGTCTAATAGAAATCAATTTCCCCCTTTTTTTTTAATCATTAACCACATATTTACATTTTTGTGGGCGGCAGGAATGTTCACGTCATGATTTTGAATTCATTATCATTCTCGAAGACGCTTTCATGGACAAAATTATTTGAAAGAACAACGACTTGTACTTTGAAACACGTCGATATTTCGAGACAAATAGGGCCTATTTGTCGTTAGCAACATGGCTAGCCAACGCTCAGCCACTCGTGAATACAGAGTCGAGCACAGTAAAGTGAAATGGGATCCCAAAACGATGGAGATTCGAACTCATTCGGTAGAGAAAGCTCTGGAACCATTAGTACAGCAAGTGAGTTGTAAAGTTTCTTCAAACATGTCTCTAGGTTTGAGCCCTTACAAGTGCGATATCTCGTGTTTACTATGATATGGTTTGTTATAATTAGTTTTGATGCTATTTGGCGTTGTGGTTTAGCTCAGATCTACTCCAAGAACGACTGATAGAAAAAAATTATAGAGTTTAGAATGTATATTTTGATACATTTGTACTATTTTGGGTTTTAATTTCCTACTGAATATTGTTGCAAAATGCTTTGGGCCTAAAATAGGCGATAATCCGTCGTATTTCAAAATATCCAAGTTTACAAATAACCAGATTCTTGTTTTTACTTTACTCTTGTTAAAATAAAAGTTTGGTAGATCCTAGCTGTTTGAACAGCACGATCGATTTGAAATAAAAAATGTCAACATTAGCATTGTCTTGCTTATTAGCAGAAGGGTGACTTTCATTTTTTTGTCAAACCACTAGAATTTACGGGTATAAGAATCTGAAGTAGTTTATTTTCAAATGCTTCCCGTTTACTTGGCAATTTCCCACGCAATTTGTTTAAAAATATGCTGGAATTTTGACCGCAAACCGAGCAAGTAATTATACTTTTGTACAGAAAGCCATCGCCATTATTACACCTATGTCAATAATGTTACCATGGCAGTTTATTCCCTCGAAAACACATGGATTTATTGTAGGAATCCTGAGAATGTTTACTAAAAACTTTGCTATATTTTCAATGGCAATATTGCACCTACTATAATGCCTATAATATGCTAAACTCATTAGGCCAAGGTGCTATTCTCTTAATTGCATATTTAGCTCACTTGTCACTTTGTTATGGATACATATCAAATAATCACTTGGCACTTCTTGTTTGGTGCCATATTTTGTCCCATTTTTAAAAAAAAATTAGAGATATCTCAGCATATTAGCCATAGTTGTGAAGCCTGGTCATATATTGTGTTATTTACAAATGGAAAACTTGCTTCTGACCATTGTAAACATATTAATTGATGACAAATGGCCTGTACATAAATATTTATGCAGACCTATTCATAGTTTTAAGTAAATATATGATTTAGGCTGTATTGCATCATTTGTGTTTAAAATTCTCTCTAATCGACAGACCTGCAGACATGCTTGTGCATATGATGATATATAGTTGACATGAATTAAGATCATGTCCTTGCAACAACCTGAGAAAGATTATTATTTTAGGTTTAGACATGGGGTGATTATTAAGATTGCAACCTACTATTAATGAACACATGTATTTGTCTTTACAAGATGTTAAATTAAAATATCGACTCCTTGTTAGATAGAGAGGTCTTCTTATGGGAGTGGTGACCATATTAGAGAAGTACCATATGGAAGATGTGACCATATTTCAGAGGGGTCCAAATTGAAGAAGTGTCCATGTTAGGGTAGTTCACATATTTAGAGAGGTGTCATATTAGAGAGATACCATACTAGAGAGATCTATTACTGTATAAGAGAGAGGTCCAAAGTACAGTGCTGTCGTTATGAGAAAGATGCCAGTATTAGAGATGTTCCCCTATTAAAGAAGGAGTGAGTATGTTTTGAAGTGGATGTATTTTTTTGTCTCGTAGGTCACAACACTGGTTAATCGCTACAAATCATTACGCAAAGCTGGGAAGAGTAAAACTGCACATCAGCTTGTTCGAGAAATTGTTGCAGCTATTGATAAATTGATTCAGGTTGGCCAGGACATTGCAGACGATTTTCCTGAAATCGCTGACGAGATGTTAAAGGCTTGTCGAGATACAAAGAATGCTGGTAAGGAACCACGCAATTTATGTTAGGACAATCATCTTTCTTTTACGAAGAAACGACAGTGCGTCTGACAATCCTTCAGCTTATAAACGCAAGCAAACAGGCGAAACGAACTCTTTGAAATTAGTCTGACTTCTTCTCCATATTTACGTGAAGCGAATTTAAAATCTGATTCTCTCAAATTCAGGTGAATTGATGGGCGTTGATTCAAAGACGTTCGCGAACGATCCTCACTCGAATGAGAAACGTAACGATATGATAAAGTCAGCACGTGCTTTGCTCTCTGCTGTCACGAGATTGTTGTGTATTGCTGATATGGCTGACGTATACCGTCTTCTTGCTTCGTTAAAACTTGTGAGTAACACTGTAACATTCGTTAACCATTCTTTAACCATTCACTGACCATCCACTGACCATTCACTGACCATCCACTGACCATCCACTGACCATCCACTGACCATCCACTGACCATTCTCTCACCATCCACTGACCATTCACTGACCATCCACTGACCATCCACTGACCATTCACTGACCATTCACTGACCATCCACTGACCATTCACTCACCATTCACTCACCATTCACTGACCATTCACTCACCATCCACTGACCATCGACTGACCATTCACTCACCATCCACTGACCATCCACTGACCATTCACTGACCATCTACTGACCATTCACTCACCATTCACTGATCATTCACTCACCATCCACTGACCATCCACTGACCATCCACTGACCATCCACTGACCATCCACTGACCATATCAAACGCCCCTTACGACATTTACTTTCAGGTTGAAGAAAAATTGGCTGAGTTAGAAAGGGTGAAAGACCCACAAGCGTTGGTCGCCGCCTTTAAAAGTCTGGGTGTTGATCTGATGAGTCTGGCGAAGTTATCTGGCGCAAGACAAGCAGTAAGTTCTTGAAGGCAGAACTAGAATATGAGCTTATATGTCCACCACTCGTGTGCGGGGATTGCTGCTATAAAGCTTGAAAAATCTACTGGCATTGAGAGAGATTCTTTGATTATTTCCTATTTCTGATTAGGATTTGAAAGACCCGCGAAGAAAAGAAGAAATTGCAGCAGCCAGAGCGATGTTGAAAGATGCCAGCAAAATGCTTCTTACATCGTCAAAAGTAATTCAAATTATCATTTTATCATCTCAAAAACGATAACCGTTTACCCACAGAGTCAGAGAAGGACCTCTAGCTACTTTCTTGAGGGCGTCTTGGTAACTCTTTTTGTTCAACACTAGGTGTATGTGCAACACCCCGACATCCAGTCCGCGCACATAAACAGAAATTACGTTCTGAAGCAGATGAGTGAAGCACTTCAGACTATATACGGCGCAGCGCAAGCTACTGGGAAGAGCGAACCCAGTCCTTTTGAAGCACCAGGCGCCTTATCAGGAGCTCTGGATAACTTTGACGTGAGTATCAAAAAAGTGATGTATCAATCTTGGCTTTCAGACCAATCGCCCTCGTAATATCTAGACAAGGTAATGGTAGGTCTTTTAGTAACTTAACTGTTTAATTTCTAGGCTAATTTAGTCATGGATCCAGCCGCTTTCTTGGAGAAACGAACTCAGATCAGAATCGAGGAACAATTAGAGAGAATTTTGGCCGGTGCTCGAAGGTTATCAGATCTTCCAACAACACGTGTGTCAACTCGGGAGAAGTTACTTCTAGAGTGCGCAAATGTACGAAACGCATTGCACGAACTCGTCGCTGTATATGTTAATTATGTGAGTATTAACAACCTTGTGATAGTTAACTTTCATAGTTGGCCTTTCGTTCTCTTTTGAACTCCTTTCGTTGGCCTTTCGTTGCCTTTTGAAACCCTTTCCTTGTCTTTCGTTGCCACAACTAAATTCCGGCAATTTCATCCATTGTATTTCAAATATTTGTGCTGTCTTAGGCCCAGACAAAGCGAAGACAAAAACCAGGCGACGAACTTGATCAATCTATTCAGAACATGACAGAAAGAACACAAGATCTTAGAAAACAGGTTTATTTCTTCTTTTGTATCAGCTTTCTGACATGTAAAAACCATTGTCATGGTGCATGAAGAAGGACATTTGATTAATTCCTTCTTTTCGTGATCAGATGAGGGTTGCAGTGGCTGATCATATCTCAGACACATTCCTGGATACCTTGGTGCCTTTGATGTTGCTGGTAGAGGCCGCTCAAGACGGAAATCAGAAAGAAGTTGAAGAATGTGCAATCGTCTTTACAGAGGGTGCTGCGAAACTGGAAGAGGTTGGTTTAAATTTCCATGAATTCCGTGCGCAAAGTTCTCAGTGAAACAGTTTCTTACCTCAGAGGTTATGGTTATCGTTCATTTCTACAGGTCGCAAACTTAGCATGTTCTGTTTCAAGTAACGCTGAAGGAGTTAAACTTGTCCGTGTTGTCACGAAGAATATCCATGCATTATGCCCTCAGGTGAGTAAAATGAATATTCTTTGACACCAGAGTCGCATATTAGTAAAGTTTGATAGTCTGACCGACTTCCATTGAGGAAGGTCGAAAGTGAATCACTAACTGAATAAAAAATTGCAAAGCAGAACGTTCTAGACTAGTCAGGCTAGTATTAGTAGCAACAGTCAACACTCAGTCAGACTAGCAGTACTGCAATGATCAACTGACATCGAGGAAGGTTGAAAGTGAAACACTAGACTAGTCACGTTAGTATCTTGCAGTGAAACTAGCAGTACTGCAACGATAGAAGGAGGCCAGAACCTCTCTCATCAATATTAATGATATGTTTACTTCAGGTGATCAACGCAGCGCGGACATTAGCAGCGAGACCTCGAAGCAGAGCTGCGCGGGAAAATATGGACGTTTTCAAAACTTCTTGGGAGAACCAAGTTCATCTTCTTGTTGACGCTGTTGATGAAATTACCGGCGTCGATGAATTCCTTGCTGTTTCAGGTAAAGTTCAGATTAGGGAGTAAACTTTTCTTATATCGTGTATACGTGGTTGTCTGCTGAAAGAGAGGGTAGAAATTTAAGATTAACACGTAAATTAACTTTCGTTAAGAAAATCACATCGGCGAGGATGTTGAGACGTGTATCCAGGCTTTGAAACAAAGAGATGTGGAGACATTAGATAGATCTGCTGGTCTGATTCGTGGTCGAACAGAGCGCGTTATTTCAGTTGTGTTGACTGAAATGGAGAATTTTGAGCAAGGTCCATACACGGAAGGCGTTCAAAAGACAGTCAGGTCTCTCAAAGAAGACAGTAAGTGATAAAAGATTCTTGGCATCAACGTAGCGCAAACTGTATTAGTAAACCTTGTGATAGATTTGGAAGGACTTACAGAGTGCTTTGCACTTGTAGTCCGGCAGGGAATATGATGGAAACTAGTCTATCACGCAGCATCATTTGTGTTTCAGTCATTCCAAGATTTGCGGATGTCGTTGAATCAACAGTGGAAACACTGAGTCAGAATCCTAGAGCGAGAATCGATGAAGAACGTGTCATACAAACATCACAACTTGTAAGTGCATACAGTTAGTTTGTAAATACCGCGTTAATTCTTCATAAGCTTTAGTTGTGAAAGTCCGGTTGTAATTCCAACAAATAAGCAAAATACCTTGTGAAAAATATTGAATATGGAAAGAAGAATTCAGAATGAAATATGAAATTGAGCATTCTTTGCGTCTTGCCCAGGTTTACGACGCCATCAGAGATGTCAGGAAAGCGGTCATGTTAAAATCGGTAAGCGTTTCTTTAGTCATTTTCTTAGTATTTTTTCGTTTTAATAGAAGACGAACATCTGTAAAGGTTTATGCAACAAATGTAGTGAAGAAGTTTCGTAATTTTGTTGAGATTTTGCTTTGTTTTATTGTAGAAACGTTTCGCTGATGGCAATGTGATGGGAGTGGATGAAATCTACACAGCTGAGGTTCGAAAACAACAAGAATTGGCCGTTGCCAAGGAAGAAGCTGCGTATGAACAGTTGCAAGCCGCAGGTATGGAATGTTCGCCTTCTTCTCTGAGTTTACCTTCACTCTGAGTTCTAACTTCACTCAAGACTGCATTTCCCATGTTCTCATGAGTGGAACGGATAAAAAGAATTCCTTCCCGTTACTTCCAGATTCTGTCGAAATACATTTGCAAAACCTCTTGCAAATGGTTAAGCGAAAGGTGTTTATTGTTAAATTTCGCAGGGAAAGTTCATTACGACATCCGGGCATCGGGAGGTGACGACATTGGTGGAATGGGAGTGGCCTCTATCAAGGTCAACGGCGTCGAGTATTGTCACAAGAGACTGGGCCATAATGTCGTAGTCTTAGACCCCGCTGGACAGTTCGTTGCGTCTCGTAATTTTGACACGACCACGCAAGAAGGTGGCGTCGCAATGGGAAGATTTCTGGACGATTTACCAGAAGATCATATCGTGCTGATAGCCACGCAGGAAACGACAGGAGCTGGAGTCGAGCACGCTGGGCCTGCGTTAGAGAGGCTGGGTGCTAAAGGGCCTTTCAATCCAGGTTACAGATCCTCGTGGGCATTTGCGGGCTACACTGGACCCGATCCTAAACCATGGATTCGAGAAGAAAGTCGTTCTGCAGAGCAGGGCCCAACTTTGGTATCGAACCTCATTTATACACCCGCTTATGAACAAGGTTAGTATTTGTTGATGTGTAATCTCCTGTGACATTATTAAATTCCTGCTTCCTTCCACTGAAGGCATGAAAATAAGCTTAGTTTAGTGGTAAAAACATGATATTAAAAAGTGTTCAGAATCTGCAGAATTTGAACATGAACCTGATTTGAAGTTTCACGATATTCATTGTCCAGGAGTTTGGTGAGAAATGAATAATAATTGAATGACAAATATTGACAATATTTGATGTTTTCCAGGCAAAATCAAGATCGTTATTCGCGCTGAAGGCTCGGATGATCCCGATAAACAAGGTCATTGTAGCATCAAAGTGAACGGTGTCGAACGTAGTTTAAAATTACGAGGACATAACTTGGTTGTTTTGGATGATAGCGGAAACTTCGTTACGTCAGGAACTTTCGATACAGGAGACACATCCAGAGACGAGGGCAGAGCTATGGCGAGGTTCCTCGATGGTTTACCAAACGAGAGGATAGTTTTGATCGCGACACAAGATACGAAGGGTAAGACACGCTGAAGTAAGACTGCTTTATAACCACGTGTGAGTGTGAGTGAGCTTTTAGAATACAGGCGTAAGAATTGATGTGATTGAACAAGAGTTGAATACAAGTATGATGAACGGTACCAGATTGCCTGACAGGAAAACCCTTATCAGCTCTAGACTGTTTTTATTTTTGAAATTGCGCCAAGCCTCCTGGTCAAACGAGAAGAAGAGTTGCATGAGGGTTGTGAAAAGTATTCAATAATCATTTCCTATTTTCCAGGTGTTGGGGTGAACGAAGCAAAAGACTCTCTGGCCCGCATCGGAGCGACTGGTAACGTCAATCCAGGTCCAGGAGGATCGTGGGTGTTCATGGGATACACAGGGCCCGATGGTGTTGATTGGGTGACACAGATGGCTAGACCGAGACACAAGGGACCTTGTGTTGTGTCGGAGTTTATCACATTACCCGCGGCTGCCAAGGCTATCGTGGAGGAACAAGGTAAGAATAATAGTCTTTCCTCATAATCACATCAAACACGGAAAGCCTGATGTTAAACGAAGTGTGATTGGCTCGTTAGTTTTGCCGGCCCAATCAAACTTCGTGTAACACCAGGCATCAGTCATTATGTGAAATTTCTATTCTTAAGAAGTATCTCAAGCGGTATTTTCTTATTAAGTTCGTCCTCCTTCTGGCGAGGTTGATGCTTACGAATATGAGGCTGAGCCCGGACAAGAAAGCGACGATGAAGAAGATCTTGATCTTTCTGAGCGAAGCGACAGGGTAAGCAGAGTCCTGGCTTTAAACAATTGTGTCGTAACAGAACACTTCACGGCAATGAATTTCTCTTGCTTGTTTAGGCAAAAATGAGAGCGTTACCTGCCGAAGAGAAGGCGAAGATCGAACGATTATCAACGGAATTGAGATCGGAGAAATCTCGGTTTGAAAATATGTTATCGCAGTGGGATGAGTCTGGTAACGAGATTGTTGTCTTGGCGAAGAAAATGTGCATGATGATGATGGATATGTCTGACTTTACGAGGTACGAGATACACTGTGGTGGTCAGTCCACGCTTTGTCAAGAATCGTGTCGAGAGATGTGTGTTCTCAAGGTAACCTATATATCAAACTCATACTTCTTGTGATTTTTTCCAGGGGCACAGGTCCTCTGAAAACAACCATGGATGTTATCAATGCTGCAAAGGTGAACCCCTGAATTTCATTTGTATCATGTCTGTATTTTGCTTCAAATTCTGAAACTAGAACTTTTTGGTTTTTATTTCAGCGAATCGCCCGATCTGGTGCTAGAATGAACCAGTTAGCAACAGAAGTGGCAGAGAAGGTGAGTGTTAAATATCGCTATGGTTCTTGTAATGTTTCAGGTAGAAGATGTCTTGCAAAGATGCGGTGTTTTTACTTAAAAAATGTTGACAAAATTTTCTTCATTTTTAGTGTCCTCACTCGCAGTCAAAGAATGATCTCTTAGCTTATATTCAACGTATTTCTTTATTCTCGCATCAACTGACGATCACAAGCCGAGTGAAAGCTGATATTCAAACCATCAGCGGAGTTGAAGTTGTCTCCGCGGTAAGATACTCTTAAAACAAACAAACACACCTAACTGCAGCGAATTTTGCACCAATCCTTCCCCTATTGTTGTCTCAAAACTGAATTATTCACGGTTGCCTAAAGCTTGTTGACTCCACAACTCTGTTAACTGTTGTCTCTTTATGACTTTCTATCGTTACAACTTTGATTTTTTCAGCTGGAAAGTGCAACGTCTTTAATTACGTCTGCAAAGAATTTAATGAACGCTGTCATTTTAACAGTGAAGGCCTCATACGTTGCTTCAACGAAGGTAAACTCCGGTTAATTTAAGAACTAATCTCCCGTGAATATCTACTAACGGTTGATGAATTTGTTTTATAGTATCGTGGCTCAAACAGATCAGCTGTAAGTACATTGCACTTATATTTTAATCTAAAAGCCTTCTTCTATGCAGCTTCGTGAGCGATCCGTTTTCTGACATGTTTCTTCCTTCAACAGATAAACTGGAAGATGAAAGCCCCTGGTAAGAAGCCGCTGATCAGCTCTCAACCAACTGCGGACCCAAGAGAACGGGTTACGACAAAATCTACGCGTCAGCGCGAGCAAACTCCGCTCCAAGCCCTCAGCGAATTTGACACTGGTACGCCAAGGAAAAGAACCGACTTTTAGAATTTTTTTTAGAATCATAGGTATTTATACGTGATATTATTGTCTTGGTTATTTTCAATACGCCCAAATGAATTTTGAATTCGCGACCTCCGTTCTTTGCAAACATTCTGGTTTAAGAAATTGTGTAATTTCTAAGCAAAATAGATTCACAACTTCAAATGTTCATACAGAAATCTCGACCTAGTCATTTGCTTTGTTCTGGAGTGGAGATACCGTGTTGTGAAGGTTATTTGTTCGGGAATTATGTCTGTTATTTTAAGCCAGAGCTTAAAAAATATGCACAAACACATTACCTCTTGCTTAAGAAGCAATACGTTTTGTTCGAAATGAATTGCCCGTCATATAATCAATCATTGCGCCACAAGCTTGCGTGATGAAATGGATATAAAAAAATCTAAAATACCATCAACTCCGACTGTCGATATGTTCTTTGTCTGAGGTTTGTAAAGAACTATTTAGACCACAATGTAATGTAGTTATGAATTATGATGTTCAACGTTAGAAATTTTGGAGTTTTTATTGTTGTGATGTCAGTGTGTGCGTACAAAATAAACGTGTTATTTTTTTGTTAATGATGTTAGCTGCTATATTTGAGCTTGTAATTTTATTCTGCTGAATGAAGTGGCTGTTTGTTGTATTTTTGAACCTCGTTAACTAACTGGTTTTCCCGCCGAGAACAAGATTATCCTGGAGTCAGATCAAGTGAAGATGAAGATGGAACTAGTCACATCGTCGAGCAATGGGTAACTTCATATCATAGAGAACTATACCATTATATTGTGAATTTTATTAAGCCAAATTGACAAACATTTACATTACATAGTGCTTCACGTTTTTTAAAAATAATCTTCAAACACTATTGAGTGAATCAAGCCCAACGATGCTGTTTTAAAGGCGATTGCTTCTTACAAAATAACATTGTGTAAAAATGAGAATTTACATGATAAAGTTAGTATTTAAATCAGCAATTGTCAGAACATTGAGCGAGGCAATGAAGGTTCTGCCTGTCATTTTCAGCTGTATTTTCTCTCCAACTTCAGTGATCTCTAAAAGAATCGTTTTCTAGCAGCTTCCTGTTGCTTTTTATAAACAAACAGTCCGATAGCGCAGAGGACGACAGCAAAAAGAGCTAACCAGAAAAGCCAAGTGAAGACTTTGGTAACTTTTGGCGAGAAACTTCCTTTTGTTGGATCTTCAACACGCTCTGTGAAAGTACGTTTTAGGTAAGATTAATGTACCATAATGTATCATTATGTACCACAATGTACTACAGTGTGTATCCTACAATGTACCACTACCATAATGAACAAGTATATTGTGTTCTACAAACCTCTCTGCGCCTCAGCAGAAGCAGCAAATGGAACAATATCATCTGTGTGGATTTTACTTCGAACCGTTTGTTCGTCCTTCTCAACTTCTAACTCGTAGAATTTTAAACCAGTTATATCATGATTATCTGAAAGATTAGACGTAATCGATATTCAATCACAACTTGTTAATAAGCTTTCGTTCGACAAGAACTTTTCCTGACAAGATTTTCACGAGTGTATTTGAACTCTACAAATGGCAAACGAACCTGCGAGATCTCCAGTGGCAGCGCTCAGACCAATATAATACGACGTTGGAAGACGAATGCCAGAAACTTGGAAACAATGTTTCCAATCACCCTCGTTGTCCACGTCTGTCATGACCGTCAGAGTTTCCTTGCTTCCCAGATACTGGATTAACGCGTACGTTTCCACCTCAACATTTCGAAATGGTGCCTGGTTGAAATTTTAGATATATTTTAGTCAGAAGTGTAGGTCTATTAACTGGGGTAAAGAACCTATTTCAATGGTAAAAGACTTGTGTTTCTCAAGACACAGGACATGGTAAAGGAAATCCTCAAGATTACCAACCGAGCAGCCTTCAATTTGAGAGTGAGTACCATCTCGGTCATGATCATAGTTGATGGTTCCATTATTGACCATTGCCGAGATGTACGGGTGATCATGCTGAAATAAGAGAGCAAACACTTTTGTTAAAATGCTTCCTGTTTCAAAACTGAAATTGAGAATTGATCAGAAAAGAAAATGAAAAAGCTCCAACTTACAGCATGTTCACCATTTTCATTACTGTAGGTATCAAAGAATATGCCCAGACCAGAGAAGAAATTCCTGCTACCAAAAACATTACCTAAACATATTCCAATACTTTATTCAAAGTTCAAACCCAATGGTTTAGGAATATATTTGATGTGGTTTGATGTACTATATAAATTTACCCATCTCCATCTTGTCTTTAGCATAAAAGAAAGCAAAGCCATCCCCATATAATGTATCCCCAGAACCATGGATAGAAAAATGAAGATGGATCTCCCAGTCGCGAGCAGTAACTGGCTGAAAGTGAGGAAGTAAAAAATCAGAAAACTAATTTTGGTACAACATATCATATTTTTGATGTTGAAAGTATGTTCACTTACCAAAGAATTCCAAAGGTAGCCTTTTTGACTTTGATGATCCTCTGTTAATCTTATATAATTATTTGTAATCAACGTACTTCCTCCAAAATCCCAAAACTGTAGACCTATGGTACCAGCTAAAACAACACATCAGGTCAGGTCAATTCAAACAAGAGAATGACACATTAATTAGGGGAATATTTGGACATATTTCCTGCTAATTAATTGTTTAACAACAGGCACTGCAAGGTAGCATGGTTTACCATGGATAATTTGAGATCAGATGTACGTAATTTTTTGAGCAAAATCAGCATAATTCCATAATCATTTATCAGATCAGTATTAAAATAAACTGCGTGTCTACGATCGGTAAACTTGTAAATTATTTGAGTAGCTTTTTTGAACATTTTGTCCAGCTCAACCCTGCAGTTTGCTGACACGATTATTCAATTCTTTATTTACAAAGTTATCATAACAAAATCACGGGATGACATTTTCGAAAGGTCTAAAAACTACCCTGTCTACCCAAACTGTATGCTGCATTATTTTTACCTTGAAAGGGTTTAGTAAGAGAATGCTCGCGCCTCACGTAACCATTGGAACTTGCAAGCTCAATTCCATATATAAAGCTAATATTTGTAAAGAAAATTACTAGAAATACAACGTTATTGAAGAAGATATGAACTACGTCTTGTCTCGCCATATTGAATTATTATTGTCGGGTTTTCACGGGCTTGCGGGTTGGAGCGAGAGGAATATCAGGCCGGATTAGATTAGGATTTGGGTTAAGATTAGGTCGTAATAGAGTAAATCTTAATCCTAAATCTAATTGTTTTATTACCATGTCCAGTATATTCGATTGTATATTCGAAATACATGAATTAAATCCTTGAGATTATATATTCCTAAATAAAATTAATGTTCTGCTGGGTTCCTTGCGATTTCAATGTTATAATCTTTTTTAAATTGCTTTTAAATTGATTTTAAAAAGCAAAAGTTTGCCAGTTTGTTTTGATGTGAGGATTCAGGGGGGGGAGTTTGTTGTTCTACATCCAAGATGGCGCTCTCAGCAGCAACTTCGCAACAAAAAATGACTCGCACAGATTGGAAAAAAGAAAAAGAATTGGAAGAAGCCAGGAAAGCAGGAACTGCTCCAGCCTTGCAGGATGAAACAGGAAAGTATGTGAAAACTTTTCAAGTCTTTCAAAGCTGTTTTGTACACTTTTCAAGCTATGAACACTGAGAGTTGAGAATGTAAAAATGTAGGTCTGTGCTTTGGGTTTTAAATGGGATAGTTTATCAAAGAATCATCAGTGATTAAATCCTCCAATCAATAACCTTTTTCCTCCCTACAAATCATGAACGAAATCAAACATGTTCTACTACATTTTACATATGAATTAAAGATATATTTGTGTTTTCAAGGTGTAGATAACGAAATGCTTATTTCTTTTTGCTTTTTCAGAGACATCAATCCACACATTCCTCAATATATTTCAGATGCCCCTTGGTATTATGGAACCACAGGGTATGTAACAAGTCATAATAAACCTTGTGAAACTTAATTGGTGTACCCATACATGCATGATACATATTTAGTTCCAAGTTCTCTTCTAAAATGCACAATATATCCATGATTTTTACTGTCTTTGCTGTGTTTGATGAAATATACAATAATGCAACAGAACTATTTGTTCAACTGCTTTAATAAGAGAAGCTGTTGTGGGGGGTTGAGCCTTAATTGTTACTAAACTAGTACACTTTGATTTGTGGGATACAAATATGCTATGCAATTTATTTTGAGCAATCTGAGACTATACGTCGTATAATCTAGAAATGTCATTAGATTTGAGTTTGGTATCAAAGTAATTCTTGAATTAAAATTCAATGTCACAAATTCTTGGATTTGGCCAGGGTCATTTCTGTCCTCCTATTCCATATGATTCTATGGTTTCATCCTAAATTATTTACCCTCACTGTTGTTATTGCGACTCAGGGGGAAGCTGCAATTTAGGCAGAAAAGGCAACAGTTTTTTTTGTCTTCAAACATGACTCAAAGGTCAGGTAAATCATGACTCAAAGGTCAGGTAAATCATGACAAAACCAAACTAGATTACAATCATCTGGAATACCAATAGCTTGGCCTTAATTTTTACAAGAGGACTTGCATTTAAGATCTTGCTAGTTTAGTTTCAGGACCACTTTTCCTGTGATCCAATAAACGTCATTTAGGTAAATTCAATAAAGCAAAACTGAGAATTTTTAAGTGATACAACATACATATATTTATATAATCTTCATTCTATAAAATATTAAAATTATTAAAAGTACTTATTAAGTGTAAAATTATTGAATTTCTATCATCATTAAGTTTTTAACCATGTTTTTCTATTTGCATTATATGGTCGATAGCCACGCCTCTTTTGTCTCCTGTTCCTCTCTTTGCGACTCCTGTTTTTCTGTGACACGTCAACTAATGGCTTGGATGCTGGGCACCAATTGGGTTTTGGGTGGGTTTTCCAAGGGTCTGTATTTTGTTGGCTGCAGGTGTTCCAAAAGCCTGTTGTTCCTTGGCTGTTGTTCCATGGGCCTGTATTTTCTTTGCTGGGGTGTTTGGTGCAAGTGTTCCAAAAGCCTGTTGTTCCTTGGCTGTTGTTCCATGGGCCTGTATTTTCTTTGCTGGGGTGTTCGGCTGTTGGTTTTGCCGAACAACGCCCTTTACGGTGGTGATATGGTTTCGATCTTTTATTCCCTCGTCTGCTGTGTCTACAGCGCATAGGGAAGCGTGGGTGTACTGAATTATAGTTTGCCTCTGATGTTGTTTGAGGCTGACGTGTAGCTGGCTGCAATAATAAGTAAAAATTTTATGAATACAGTGCATTCTTTCACTTGTTCAAATGAGACTTGTTGAAAACGCTTAAATTTGTAGGTTTTGGACCATAACACAAATGATTTGATCCACAGATTTCTGTATGGTGTGAAAAGTTTTTTTTTTATGAACTCCAGAAATGCATCAAAAGAGAGTCATTTAATTTAAACTCAGCTGTGTTTCAGGCTGAAATGGCTTCCTATATTACTGTGGTGTCATAATTACAATGGCTTTTTTTTGTTCAGATCTGCAGTAAGAACAGCATAATAGCTTACCATCCAGGGTTGCTGACAGTTGTTGTTCAGGATCTAAAACATTTGAAACAGTTTTCAATGAGAAATTGAGATCATGTAGAACAGTAAATGTATATAAGAAATTGAGATTTATTTTCACAACTAAAAGCCAAAAAGGTGAATATATATATGAATATGATGTATTAAGTACACTGACCCTGAGTAGTTTGGCTATTAGTGTTTGAACTGAGCGTTCATCAGCTGGGTACATCAGTGAATAAACGCTGTAGAAAAATAAGATAAATTTCTGTATGACACTAACGATAAAACGGCTTTTGAAATGCTAGCACAAGAACAAAAACATTTCTGGGCTGCGTGTCTATGCTGATACTGACCTCAACAAAGAACTTGATGTTTTCGTTAAGAGGTTTCTCGGTTTTGTAAATATGGTCGAGTTGTAGAAAAAACTAAAAACAATGATAAAAAGTTTTAGCCCTATCATGATGGGATACAGGTTACAATCAATTCTATCTCTCAGACTTACGGGAAGAAATTCCTGGATGTATATGAATAATACGTGAGTCGTTTTGCCGTCTAAAAGGATCAATGTTGCGATACTCACAGGACGACCCCAAGATTGTTCGTAACCTGGTTTTAGTGGAAGATGATTTATAAATTATAACGTGAATTCCTTGTAGTTGTAGTAGCGAAACATAAAGCTTATTATTATATCGGTGCTGTGTATTTTAAATGTGATTGGTTCATTCGTAGTCACATGACTTTAAATAAATGCAATATTTCCCGCCAGCACTGTGCCGCCAGGGAAAAAAGTGAAAAATTGTTGCCCGCTTCTTGCAATAACAAAGTAAAGTGGGTTTTTTTTTAATTTGTTTTTGTTCCTATATAACAAAACACTTCAAGCCTTGGTTAAACGGCCGCAACATTTTGTTGCAACATCATGCAACATGGTTGGCACATGTTTCTTTTTTTTTTTTTTTTTTTTTTCAGAAGTTTTGTTGGTGTGTTTCGCCAGCGGAACACACCAACAAAACTTCTGTCTCGTCAAGTCGCAAAAACAACTCGATATTTTCATTCATTTTAAATCGTTTTCTAGTATCGGTTTGTTTTCTTTTGGTTTGATATTTAAATAGTTATGAATAGTTATTTTCCTTATAGACCAACTCTCAAACATCAGAGACCGCAGGAGGAGAAGCAAGAAAGATTTGCACAGATAGACGCCTCGTACAAACGAGGAGTAAAGGAGGTGGTGCATACATTTATCTTGCATTCTTGCCAGTCTTAAGTTTCATCAAATGTACGCTTGCTAATGATGGGAAAACGAAAAAAGGAGTGTCAAAGATTGCGATGTATGAGGGGAAATAATGGCTTTTACCCAAGACACATTCTTTCGGAAATGTCCTAAATAATTATTCTTCATTCATATTAGACGGCTGCAATAAAATATCGCAAAGGAGCGTGTGAAAACTGCGGTGCAATGACTCATAAAAAGAAAGATTGTTTAGAGGTTTGTCAAGCTGTTATTAAAAGCTTTAGTTCATTTCGAGGTATAAAAAAGCCTGTTCTATTTCCATTGCATTGCTAGGCTATGCTAAGATATAGTTCCGCTTTAGTTTGGATCTATTTCCTTTGTCCTATGAATCTATTCGCAGAAAACAAATGTATTTCTATTTAGCGGCCTCGGCGTGTTGGAGCGAGGTTTACTGGGGAGGATATTAAACCAGATGAACATCTTCCAGACCAGTTGAACTTTGATTACGACGGAAAAAGAGATCGGTCAGTTTAACCTGTTTTCACCAACCTCTAACGAAATGCCTTCACTTTCTCAACAATCTAAAATAATTTTATCTTAAGGTGGGTCGGATATGATCCTGAGGAACATCAAAGAGTGCTTGAGGAATATCAGAAGATGGAAATGGTAAGAGATGATATTGGGAGGAAAGCGACTCTGGTGCATGTAAACACCTTGCTTGGAGTAAAAATATTTGTTTTATTTAGGCTAAGCAACAACTGAAATCTGATAAACTGCATCAAGATCTGATGGATGGAAAGAAAATTGAGGAAAAGGTATTTATTGTTTATGATTGGCTGGAGTTAACCGTGAGCTAGCAACATTTTAACGTTTCAAAGGTTTTCAGGGACATTCGGAACCTAAGCTAGGCGATTATCCTTTCAATTTTCGATAAGAAATCGTTTGTTCGTTCAGGAAAAGTTGAGCGATGATGACGAGGAAGACGAAGACAAATACGCTGACGACGTCATTATACCAGGACAGAAATTTGACAGCAAGAGGTAATAAGATGTTAATTATATCGCATCACTGAAGAGAGACGTTGCTCTGGCTTCCATCTCGTCGTAATTGTCGTGAACAAGGCATTTTAACTGATATGAAATAGTCTGAATGTAATTCTTACCTTGTGTTCTGTACTGACATCAAACATTGGTAACTGCAAATACGTGGTAACATTCTATAACACTTACCATTTAACAATTAGACAACGAGTCCGAGTTGTCTATGAGCGAATAGTCAACGAAGGCGAAGCCTGAGTTTACTATCCGCTCATAGGCAACGAAGGCGAGTTGTCTAATTGTTTTAGTATACACCCTGTACATAGATATATTAATTTCGAGGAAATAATCGATACACCGCAAAATTACACCGAAAAATAATTTAATTAATGCAATTTTATACGGTCGCGCGAGCGAATTTTTCCCAAACGTGCACTATCACGAATAGACGATGGTTGAGTAGCCAATCAGAATGTAGGATTTGTAATAGACGATAGTCGGGTGTATACTAATAAGTAATAACCAGGTTTAACATGCACCAGAATAGATAGTTTACTGCTTACATGTCTGGAGCTCTTCAAATTTTGTTCTGTAGACGGACAACTGTGAGAAATTTACGTATCAGAGAAGATACAGCCAAGGTGAGTGAATAGCCAAAGTTGATTAATGTACCATTCTCTAGCTGTTGTTGAAAACATTGAATAGGTTTTCATGAGCGGCAATGCTTGTTTTCTATTGCAGTATTTGTATAATTTGGACCCAAATTCAGCGTATTACGATCCGAAAACCAGGTCAATGAGATCAAATCCATTTGGTCTGAAAGATATTGCGGGAAAGTAAGTCTTCATTCTCTGATAACTGACTTTGTTTTGCGATGATGTTAATCTTAAAAATGTTGATGTTTAGAGACGTCACGTATCAAGGCGATAACTTTGTTCGGTATTCGGGCGATACTAGGAAAATGGCGAATACGCAATGTAAGCTATCAATTAAAATGTTTGCTAAATCTTTAATATCAAACTCGGTAGATCAGTGTAGGTAGTATTCTACAATACCTGTCGTAGTTTGTGTCTGAACTACCTGAGAAAGATATCTCAAACGTGGGGGTCCAGTGTAGGTAGTATTCTAAAACGAGTATCTAAAGGAATGTCTTATTTTTTTGGTGAAATGATTTTAGTGTTCGCATGGGAAGCCTATGAGAAAGGAACAGACGTCCATCTCCAAGCAGATCCGACCAAGTTAGAACTCTTACATCGTGAGTATAAGGTTAAGAAAGAAGATTTCAAACAAGATTTGAAAGGTGGAGTTCTGGAGAAGGTAACAGACTAATATCCTACCATACTCAATCCATTTGATGAAGAAAGTTATGTAATAAAATGGTCGCTTTCATAAATATAATGAGATGACTTTTATTTTCAGTATGGAGGTGAAGAACATCTGAATGCGCCACCAAAAGAATTGCTGTTTGCACAAACTGTGAGTGTTTCCAGCAGGATAGCTTCGTGAACAATTTCAACTGCAGTCTTAAGATTGTCGTGCCCACAAATATTCTGCATCTTTTTTAAACAGGAAAATTACGTTGAATATTCAAGAACGGGTGAAGTTGTTAAAGGTATAACTCCCCTGCAATAATGGTCATTTATACCTGCGTAATTCCTTGAGTGTACAATAGTTGTGAATATCTTCCTAACTTTGCCCAGGTCAGGAAAAAGCCATCCAGAAATCAAAGTACGAAGAAGATGTCCACGTGAACAATCATACGGTACGATTACCTTTTCTCATCTTTCAACTTGTTGAGTTGTTCAAGATGTCGTATTCATTTTTCACGTTAAATCTTGATACAAATGAATGATTTTAGAGTGTCTGGGGCTCGTATTGGATCGATGGAAAATGGGGTTATGGCTGTTGTCATTCTCTTTTGAGGGGCTCGTATTGTACTGGTGATGCTGGGAAACACGCTTATTCTGTGAGTTTCTTCAGTTGTTTATTGCGTAAATTGTTACTACATTGTGAAACAATTAATGCGTGTGTATAGTTTTGCTCTGGTACTCGATTTGCGTATAAGCACATGCATCAACGCTCTTCTCGCTCTTATTTTGAGTGTATTTTATTTATATCTTCAGCAAGGACTTCCAGCGATCGAGCAGAATGATGATGGCGGACGAGAGGAGAAGTCTTTAGTTGAGGTACCAAAAATCCATTACAAGACAACTGTTTTTGATAAAAACAAAAAGTCATAGAGCGTCTTTCTTCCATCTTTCTACGGCACGTATGAAATAATTTCTACTTTTTTCTCAGCTTCACGATGAGAAACGAAAGAAAAACAAGAAAGATAAGAGTAAAGAGAAGCGGGAAAATCCAGACGAACTTGACAAAGACAAGCTTAAAAAGGTGTCAATTTCTCGTTTCTTCCATATCTATTGCTTCAGTAGTGTTAAGCAGCATTAGATATTGATCATTTCGGATATTTTTTTTGCCGTTTCCCAGGCTTTGAAAGAAGAGGAAAAACAGCAACAACACGCAAATAAATTGCTTCAAATGGACGAGCGAAAACGATCATATCCTTTACTAAATTGTGTTTATTTCCAGCGAATAAAGTTGTATGATGAAAAGTTGTATGATAGGTACAAAAACAAAGCAATACACATTGTGATTTTCGTTTTACAATCACTTTGACTAATTCAATCATGCATTATTTTTTCTTGACATTTTTCACATATAACTCTCTGAAACGAGACTACCACGAAGTCACACCTGAAGAACTAGAAGCGTACAAAATCAAAAGGCACAACACTGAAGATCCAATGAACAGTTTTTCAAGATAACACAATTCAAAGATATGTAAAAAAACATGTATAAAGCCCTGTACATATCTGACCATGTTTTGAACCCAAAATAGTTTTAAAATGGACCCTGCATACTCAGTTATTAAGCTCTAATCACTTCAGGGATAAATAACTGTGCAATTAACATAGGAACTGTTAATTCACATCTTTCAAACTTTGAAAAGCAAAGACACACAACTGAGATATTAACCATTTCAAGACCTATGAAAATAATTTTTAGTATTCTCAGACAAGGCCCGAATTGTTTGAAGATGATTTACTACAGATTCGAACTTCCATTGGATAAATACGTATTCAATACTTTTGAAGCAAACGAAATTTATTAATGTTTATTAATTTAAGTACTATTAGCCATATCAAAATTGAAAACATAACAACTCTCAACATATTACGGAAAACAGGACAACATAGTCTAAACTGGGACAGATGGTTGGAATGGGACATTAGCAGTTCATTATCATTGTTGATTATTACAGAGACTGTAGACTCTTAACATTGTCTTGACTATTAACAGGTTTTATCTTAGTTTTGTCATCATTACTGTCCATATCATCACTTGTTTTTCCATCATTGGTTATATTATCACCATTATAATCGACATCATCGGAAACATCATCAGTATCATCATCATTGTCATCAGCATCATTAACTGGAGTTTCATTACAATCACCTTCAGCACCATCAACAACCGAATTATAACTATTATCCGCATCTTCACATCTACCTGTGTCACCACCACTGGCCTCATCACTTTCATTACAAGCATTCTCATCACCAATAATCTCATCATCTGTACTATGATCAATACCACCATCAATAATCACACCATCATCAGTACCATCATCAGTACCATCATGATTACCATCATCAGTACCATCATCAGTACCATCATGATTACCATCATCAGTACCATCATCTGTACCATCATCAGTACCATCATGATTACCATCATCAGTACCATCATCAGTACCATCATTGACATCTTTATCATCACCATCAATATCTACATCATCACCAATATCTTCATTTTTTTCATCTACCTGACCATTGCCATCCACAACAGCAGTTGCTAATTTTCTCCAAAATTCCTCATTAGATTCAGAACTTTCCATTTTAATAGCTGTGTACAGTTCCAACTCTTTAGGCAGAGCACATTCTTCAAGCATTGCTGGAATAATTTTCTTACATTTGTTACTTTTTGATTTGCAATAATAGACTGCATTTTTTAACTCCCAGGTGGCCAAATGCTTCTTAAGAAAATAGGGTGAAAGTAGAAAAATAATGCTTGCACTTGAGGAAATACTCTCGCAGATGTTATCAGTTATAGCCACGCCAGGAATGAAGTCCACAAAGTCAATACAAACTTGGAGATTAAATTCAGTTTTAAGGAATTGTCTCAGTTCAGTTGCAACATCGCAATTTTCCTGAGCGTAACAAATAAATGTGTCGTATAGTGTTGCTGTACTTTCATCAATGCTTGTTTCCGATGGTGCATTGGAATTTTTGGTTTGATCCGCTCTTCTTGACGCTTGATTACAGATGGAGTTTGCAGCTGAGGTTACCTTTACTGGATTCAAACTTGGCATTTCAGGTGATTTAGGTTTCTTGCTATTTTTAGAGGTTGGAATTAATTTGGAAGTGGTTGGACTGGATTTCTTTTTTGGTGTATTTGTGCATGTCTTTGAACTTGTTGGACTTGTTGTATTCTCTTTTGGTGTTTTATTCTTTCTATTTGGTTTGGATTTGTCATTGGATTTTTTGGGAGGGTCTAATGTTATTCGTTTCTTAGTCTTTGGTAAGCTCTCAGAGAAAGGACTGGTCGTCTCGGTTGTTGGAGTTTTGAGAAGATCAGACGGTGAACTTGATGTCTCTGGCGTCACAGTGGTGGGTTGGGTTTCTGGCCGTGTTTGATCTAGCAAAAAAATATCTGTTAAGAATTTCAAGAATATCAACTTCTGGTGTAACTGGTAGAAAGCACTGAAAGCAGGTATGTTGACAAGACCATGTTTGTTGTGTTTCCAAATAGAGAAATTTCCAAATACACTGATTTCTTAATACGGTATCGTATACTACATTTAGGTAGTACATCAATAATTAAACTGATAAGCGAGACAAACCTCTCAAAGCATTTTCCAGCTTTGTTTTCACGTGTCCACATCCTGTTTGCTCGAGAGCTGTTAAAAACTGCTTGAAAGATCCATCTCTTCTCTTTAGCCTGTCTAACAAAATCGAAACGGCTTCCCTTGGGCCTTCCATGCGTTGTTTAGCTCTTATCTGATCACAATCATCATCTGTTAAGCAAAGTAAATAAGGAAGTACTTCGTTTGGAAAGACATGATCCCGCAAAACAGCACTGAATTGCCGAATTATGAGTCGTTCGTTCTCCAACATTTTCCCGAGATGTTTTAGATTTTTCAACACTTGATCGCAGTGAAATCAGCTTCAGCAATTTAGACTACCTTTGCACAAATCAAATGTGGGTGTGATATTTAGGTTAAAAGCTTTCTCAGGAAGTGAACGACCGAGATATTTTGGAAAGTATGACCATTCGAAATAAATATTACGCCATATTAAGACTAATTCCTTCCTGTTTATGTTTCTGATGGGGAACTCCCTCAGATGACGTCAGAATATATTAAATGCGAAACGCAAATGACTAGATTCTGGGGAGTTTTTTACTAAAAAAGGGCGAAGATTTGCACGCAATTTGTCTGTTTAGATTACAGTCGAGTTTCCATGATTCACATCGTACAGCGAGGAAGACTGTAGTCTTTATACGCATCAACAGTTTTAACTTTTAATAAATATTCAGGGCAATTTCCAACTTACTCCTCCACAAATACTGATTTGAATATATTGAAAATTTTGTTTCGTTTTTTGACACTGAGGCAATTTCATTCCTTTTTTTAACTCCGCAGAGCTAAGGAGCTTTACAGCTGCGCGTTTTTAATATCAGACTGCCTGATATTGCCCCATTTTGTCTATTTTACGCCTAAAATTTGCTTTTTCCTGACGCATCGTGAACTCAGGGATGAGTTATTCTACTTGCGTGGTGAAAAATTTACTTTCACTTCATCGGTTTCTAATCTGTTGATAGAAAACGAAAAGAATCGTTGCAGAACTCATGTGCCAACAGCAGATGTTCTTGCACAAGTTTCTCAGTTGGATATTGGTGTGAATACTGACTGGTTCGCTATGAAGTCATCACATATGACAGAATATCTCACTTGTCATCGCAATATGATGAACAGGTCCATGCGCGCATTCATGAGCATTGAGAATATTTTTGTTGACCAGTCATCAGTGATATGTCGAATAACGTTTGAACTATTGCTAGCCTTAACTGAAGGGGAAAAAAACAAGAAATCACCAAAGAACCAATTCAAGTGAACTTCGACGGTCAGCCAGACTAGGAACAATTAATCTCCTTTCTATCCTGATTGGTTTATGGCGTCGTAGGCAAATGAGAACAGGATTATTATCAATCATAATTCAAATATAAAAGAATTAGCAATTGAGAAATTTAACAATTTTATCTCACTCTATTGTTTTTCTATCCTTGAAGCAATTCTTACCGAATGATTGGATTTTCGCCTTTTTTTGTGACATTATCATTTGGACTCGCAAGCAGCTCTGTCTCAGAGCTGTCTCCAGACATTTGTAGCAATATAACCAAAGTTATCATTCACTACCGTGACTATTACCAATTTTACCTTGGAAATGAATTTGGAAACAACAATTTATACCAGGGAGGAATGTTTGTCAAAATTATCAACACCGTCGTCCCAAAATGTTGTCCAAAAATGAACGTTACCTTCGTGTTCAAAAACGTAACGAATTTAGACACAGATGAGTTGGTAATGAGAAATCTTGTTCAAACGACGACACGACCGCGTCCCTACGAGTTCTACTTTCCAGAATTTGCCAAGGAAGATGTGAAACATGTTTATGATTATGAGTTGAGTTTCGTGAGGTTGAAGCAGTCGCAAGGACAAGCCGCTGTTATGTACAAACCTCATGTAATAGAAAACAAACATATGGATGCTATTATGCAGATAGTAAATTCATCTGGATTGGCGTTGATTTCAATGTTAGTCTTATCATGGCTGTTTGGAATATTCGGCTGGGTAACGGTAGGTAGGCATTCAGAAATCTTTGTGTACATATAGTAAGTATCAATTTAGTTGTTTTTTTTCAGGATCACTGGAAAAATGCCAAGGATTTCCGAGCTCCATTTGTCGTTGGAATGTTTGATGGTTTTTGGTGGAGCATCGTCACAATGACGACTGTTGGGTGAGCATTTTAACCAAAGCACATACGAGAAATTTTACCTGGACAAGCCGGTCAGGAAGGTGTTCTTGGAAACGTGTTCTTCCAAAACGCGACCTAACCCTAGGATTTGCAAACTTGTCAAGAAAAATCTCTCGTTTGTGCCAATTGGTAATTCTTCTGCTTACTTCCCTGTGCAGTGCACTTTACCTCTTCTATAAAACCACGCCTTATAACGATATCAATTATATTGTCACTCTTCCATATAGTTATGGTGACAAAACGCCAAAGAGTTTTCCTGCTCGCATTGTAGCTGTGATATGGGTGATGATATCCGCCGTTTTACTTTCATTATTCACGGCAAACGTAACGACCATACTTGATCGAAGTCTTGTAAAAACAGACTATGCCTCAATGAAAGGAAGGAAGGTAGAGTATGATGACTTGCGACCCACGAAAATATAACTCGCCTTTCTTATGTATGTTTTCGTAATTCCAGGTTGGCGTCCTTTTCAGTAAAGATTTTGTTGAAAAACAGCTTAACTTGGCTGGTCAAGTGAAAAGTAAGTAACCAGCATCATATGTCTTTTCATATCACATGATAATCCTTACTTATATTGATATATTTCCCTTTTCAGATTACCTAAGTTTAGGTCAGATGATCGAAGAATTGAAAAGGAAAAACGTGGACCGTCTGTTGTTTCCAGATTACAAGTTTTTCGCCATGTTATCACGTAACGAAGAATATAAGGACACATTGAAAGATTATGCCATGGTGAAGGTTTTCAAGTCGCCATTTCAGATCGGAATGGTTCTTGCGATTGATCCAGAAACATTTAATAAAGCTGACAAGATGTTTTTGAGATGTTTGAGAAGTCAGATTACCTTGAAACGAAAAGAGGTAGCCTCGCTTGTGCGACTCCTTAACCAAACAGTCGGTAAATTTTCATATTTTTTATTTCAGATGGACCGAGATAATACATTTGGCGATTTCTTCACAACTACAATGGAAGACGAGGAAGTGAGCTCACTTTTAAGTCAAGGCAACATTTCGAAGTTAATCTATTACACTCTTGGTCTCATAGGCATCCTCACATGCATTGGGATCGCTTGGGATATATGGCAACATTTTAAATACAAAGGAAGTGTAGGTGAGGTTCATCTTCGTTCGCCTAAATAACATTCAAAATTAAAAAGAAAATTTTGGTGTTGTGTTAACGAGTTTTAATATTAGATTCAGTTTCCAAAGTTGTAATGGATTGGTCATCACAGTTGAGCTTTCAAGATGAATCATTCGTTATTCGTTTTATAGAGTTCAAAGAGGAGAAATCTTTTCCTGTTGAGCGAGTTCTACCTGTGTTGCATTACAATAATTACAACGCAACAACACTTTGTTGAGAAGGAGCTTCTTCAAACATTCGCGCCATCTTCTGTGTAAAGACGAGGCTGTTTTATCGCTTTGATAGTTGAACTAGGCTGTAGTGACAATCAGTCCATACGGAATAGACATTTTGGGATAAATTGCTGCTTTCAAGTTTCGCTTAGTCGTGTCTATCGTATAGGGGACGTAGGGGTAAAGTTTGGTAAAATATTACATGCATTTATTTTTCCTACGAAAGCATTCAGAAATTGTTTATATCTTGCTTCGAAATAAAAATTTGAAAACTGAACAAGGTTAATCGATGCTTGTCTTGCAGATTTTTGCTTATAGGTCTAGTTCAGTTCATGCATCACATTTTTGGCGCGTTGAATGCATTTAAACAATAGATAATGAGATGATAAACCTCATTTAACCTCATTATCATTACTCCAGTTGAGCGTGGAATATTATAAATAAATATTACGTCATATTAAGACTAATTCCTTCCTGTTTATGTTTTGATGGGGAATTCCATCAGATGATGTCAGAATATATTAAATGCGAAACGCAAATGACTATATTCTGGCATAGGTAGCCCAGAACTGATCTCGCTGACCTCGCGCGACGCTCATGTTGTCTGAACAGTCTTATATTAGTCATAATACTTATATTAGTCATAATATAAGACTGCTCAGACAACATGAGCGTCGCGCGAATTCAGCGAGATCAGTTCTGGGCCGCCTATGATTCTGGGGAGTTTTTTACTAAAAAAGGGCGAAGATTTGCACGCAATTTGTCTGTTTAGATTACAGTCGAGTTTCCATGATTTACAACGTACAGCGAGGAAGACTGTAGTCTTTATACGCATTAACAGTTTTAACTTTTAAGAAATATTCCGGGCAATTTCCAACTTACTCACCACAAAACTGATTTAAATATATTGAAAATTCTGTTTGGTTTTTTTACGCTGAGGCAACTTCATTCCTTTTTTTAACTCCGCGGAGCTAAGGAGCTTTACAGCTGCGCGTTTAATATCAGACTGCCTGATATTTCCCCATTTGGTCTATTCTACGGCTAAAATTTGCTTTTTACTGACGCATCGTGAACTCGGGGATGAGTTATTCTACTTGGGTGGCGAAAAATTTACTTTCATTTCATCAGTTTCTAATCTGTTGATAGAAAACGAAAAGAATCGTTGCAGAACTCATGTGCAAACAGCAGATGTTCTTACACAAGTTTCTCAGTTGGATATTGGTGTGAGTATTGACTGGTTCGCTATGAAGTCATCACAAATGACAGAATATCTCACTTGTTAACGCAATATGATGAACAGGTCCATGCGCGCATTCATGAGCATTGAGAATATTTTTGTTGACCAGTCATCACTGATATGTCGAAGAACGTTTGAACTATTGCTAGCCTTAACTGAAGGGGAAAAAACAAGAAATCACCAAAGAACCAATTCAAGTGAACTTCGACAGTCAGCCGGACTAGGAACAATTAATCTCCTTTCTATCCTGATTGGTTTATGGCGTCGTACGCAAATGAGAACAGGTATATCAATATTTAAATATAAAAAAAATTAGCAATTGAGAAAATTGACGATTTTATCTCACTCTATTGTTTTTCTATCCTTGAAGGACAATTCCTACGGAATGATTGGATTTTCTCCTTTTTTTGTGACATTATCATTTGGACTCGCAAGCAGCTCTGTCTCAGAGCTGTCTCCAGACATTTGTAGCAATATAACCAAAGTTATCATTCACTACCGTGACTATTACTATTTCTACCTTGGAAATAAAATTGGAAACAACAATTTATACCAAGGAGGAATATTTATCAAAATTATCAACACCGTCGTCCCAAAATGTTGTCCAAAAATGAACGTCACCTTCGTGTTCAAAAACGTAACGAATTTATACACAGATGAGTTGGTAATGAAAAATCTTGTTCAGACGACGACACGACCGCGTCCCTACGAGTTCTACTTTCCAGAATTTGCCAAGGAAGATGTGAAACATGTTTATGATTATGAGTTGAGTTTCGTGAGGTTGAAAGAGTCGCAAGGACAAGCCGCTGTTATGTACAAACCTCATGTAATAGAAAACAAACATATGGATGCTATTATGCAGATAGTAAATTCATCTGGATTGGCGTTGATTTTAATGTTAGTCTTATCATGGCTGTTTGGAATATTCGGTTGGGTAACGGTAGGTAGGCATTCAGAAATCTTTATGTATATAGAGTCAGTATCAATTAGATGTTTTTCTTCAGGATCACTGGAAAAATGCCAAGGATTTTCGAGCTCCATTTGTCGTTGGAATGTTTGATGGTTTCTGGTGGAGTATCGTCACAATGACGACTGTTGGGTGAGCATTTTAAGCAAAGCACATACGAGAAATTTTACCTGGACAAGCCGGTTAGGCACTTTAGGTGTTCTTGGATGTTCTTCCAAAACGCGACCTAACCCTAGGATTTGCAAACTTGCCAAGAAAAATCTCTTGTTTGTGGCAGTTGATAATTCTTCTGCTTACTTCCCTGTGCAGTGCGCTCTAACTCTTCTATAAAACCACGCCTTATAACAATATCAACTATATTGTCACTCTTCCATATAGTTATGGTGACAAAACGCCAAAGAGTTTTCCTGCTCGCATTGTAGCTGTGATATGGGTGATGATATCCGCCGTTTTACTTTCATTATTCACGGCAAACGTAACGACCATACTTGATCGGAGTCTTGTAAAAACAGACTATGCCTCAATGAAAGGAAGGAAGGTAGAGTATGATGACCCGCGACCCACGAAAATATAACTCGCCTTTCTTATGTATGTTTTCGTAATTCCAGGTTGGCGTCCTTTTCAGTAAAGATTTTGTTGAAAAACAGCTTAACTTGGCTGGTCAAGTGAAAAGTAAGTAACCAGCATCATATGTCTTTTCATATCACATGATAATCCTTACTTATATTGATATATTTCCCTTTTCAGATTACCTAAGTCTAGGTCAAATGATCGAAGAATTGAAAAGGAAAAACGTGGACCGTCTGTTGTTTCCAGATTACAAGTTTTTCGCCATGTTATCACGTGACGAAGAGTATAAAGACATATTGAAAGATTATGCCATGGTGAAGGTTTTTAAGTCGCCATTTCAGATCGGAATGGTTCTTGCGATTGATCCAGAAACATTTAATAAAGCTGACAAGATGTTTTTGAGATGTTTGAGAAGTGAGATTACTTTGAAACGAAAAGAGGTAGCCTCGCTTGTGCGAATCCTTAACCAAACAGTCGGTAAATTTTCATATTTTTATTTCAGATGGATAATACATTTGGCGATTTCTTCACAACTACAATGGAAGACGAGGAATTGAGCTCACTTTTAAGTCAAGGCAACATTTTGAAGTTAATTTATTACACTCTTGGTCTCATAGGCATCCTCACATGCATTGGGATCGCTTGGGATATATGGCAACATTTTAAATACAAAGGAAGTGTAGGTGAGGTTCATCTTCGTTCGCCAAAATAACATTCAAAATCAAAAAGAAAATTTTGGTGTTGTGTTAACGAGTTTTAATATTAGATTCAGTTTCCACAGTTGTAAAAGATTGGCCATGACTGTCAGTTGAGCTTTCAAGATGAATCATTCGTTATTCGTTTTATAGAGTTCAAAGACAAAGTCAAAGAGGAGAAATCTTTTCCTGTTGAGCGAGTTCTTCCTGTGTTGCATTACAATAATTACAACGCAACAACACTTTGTTGAGAAGGAGCTTCTTCAAATATTCGCGCCATCTTCTGTGTAAAGACGAAGTTGTTTTATCGCTTTGATAGTTGAATTAGGCTGTAGTGGCAATCAGTCAATACGGAATAGACATTTTGGGATAAGTTGCTGCTTTCAAGTTTCGCTTAGTCGTGTCTATCGTATAGGGGACGTAGGGGTAAAGTTTGGTAAAATATTAGATGCATTTATTTTTTCCTACGAAAGCATTCAGAAATTGTTTATATCTTGCTTCGAAATAAAAATTTCAAAATTGAACAACGTCAATCGATGTTTGTCTTGCAGACTCTTGCTTATAGGCCTATAGCTCAGTTCATGCATCACATTTTTGGCGCGTTGAATGCATTTAAACAATAGATAATGAGATGACATTAAACCTCATGTAACCTCATTATCATTACTCCAGTTGAGCGTGGAATTGCGAAAGTTTGTTCGTTTAGTTTTGTGCAGGGTGTCTCAAAAAAAACGCAACCACTTAAGCCAGTATGCAAGAACATTAATACAACTCTAAAGCGCAATAGATAAGCACCTCTGGGAATTGAGAATGGCTTTTAATCCGAGGTTTGCGGAATCTCAGTGAAGATTAGCAGAGACTTGGGATTGATTCTCGCATTTCCCGGCCCATTGTTCCCAAACAATGGATGAATATTGCATGTTGGGTAATTAACGGTGAAAACAACTATTTCTATAAATTGAATATTTAAAATTGCCCACGAGGCCGGTCACGATTTGAATAACAGAACCGTTAAAATCGTTATGAGCAAGCACTTGAGGAAGACTGAAATTTTGAGAACAAGTTGAAGTGATCGTTCGGAAGAACTTGTGCTTTTGGTGGTACGTACACGTGAGTCATATTATTTGATCTTTCGTATTTTCTCTCGTCGTTCGTCGCCTAATCGGCACGCCTTAATTTCCACGCAACTTAGGTTTAAACCGAGAACTATAACTCGAGTTTCTCTTGCCCTTTCACAACGAAATTAGTTCTCAAAGAAGAGAAAAAGCTATTCGAACCAGTGAACAACCATGGCCATTCGTAAAAACTGAGCATAGTAGCGCCTATAATGACTTGTTTGTCTCGCATGCACTGATGCACGTTGTTATAAACTTCGAACTCGACGGCGGCTCAGAGAAGTCGGATTCTTCATCCTGTAGATCTTATCTTGATCTGACTAAATACGGTCTTCAAACTTTAGTTTTAGCCTGTGTCTATAACGAGATATAGAGCCTTTGAATACCCCAAAATTTAAGAGCATTGTAAAGAATATGGGCTTATACAGGAGCTTACATTCGGGTGGGGGCTTATTCGGAACAGCGTGCACGTGTTATTTCCCTTTAAATTTTTAAAGTAACATGTGACCAAAAATTATATATATATTTGCATAAATTATGTGAAAACCGTTGAAAATATTTTCAATTGTTGCGTTTAATATGACCAAAAAATGCAAGTTTTTGTCTTATTATATCAATGAAAATCTAGTATTGGGTACATATTGGGTATTTTACATATTTTAGCTACATTTCAAGATAGTTGATAAAAAAGAAATATT